GCGGATCACAGCATCCAAAAATGCCTACAATGAGATCCAGTCAAGGAAAGCAGACCAGCACAGACGGGCACCAAACATGTCCAACGCCATCATCAGCAACGACCCACCAAGCAAATGGTTTTCGAAACTTGAAAACTTAACTCGAAACTCGACAATTTAACTTGAAACTCGAAAAGTCAACTCGAAACTCGAAAAGTCAACTCGAAACTTGAAAACTGAACTCGAAACTCAAAAAGTTAACTCGAGACTTGAAAACTTAACTCGGATCTTGAAAAGTCAACTCGAAACTCGAAAAGTCAACTCGAACTAACTCGAAACTCCAAAAGTCAACTCAAAACTCCAAAAGTCAACTCGAAACTCGAAAAGTCAACTCGACACTTGAAAACTTAACTTGAAACTCGAAAATGTAACTCGAAACTCCAAAAGTCAACTCGAAACGCGAAAAGTCAACTCCAAACTTGAAAACTGAACTCAAAACTCGAAAAATTAACTCAAGACTAACTCGAAACTCGAAAAGTCAACTCGAAACTTGAAAAGTCAACTTGAAACTCGAAAAATTAACACGAAACTCGCAGAAAAGTAAACTCATCCAAAAATGCCTACAAGATCCAGTCAAGGAAAGCAGACCAGCACAGACGGGCACCAAACATGTCCAACGCCATCATCAGCAACGACCAACCAAGCAAATGGTTTTCGAAACTTGAAAACTTAACTCGAAACTCGAAAACTTAACTCGAAACTCGAAAAGTCAACTCAAAACTCGAAAAGTCAACTCGAAACTTGAAAACTGAACTCGAAACTCGAAAAGTTAACTCGAGACTTGAAAACTTAACTCGGATCTCGAAAAGTCAACTCGAAACTCGAAAAGTCAACTCGAACTAACTCGAAACTCCAAAAGTCAACTCGAAACTCGAAAAGTCAACTCGACACTTGAAAACTTAACTTGAAACTCGAAAATGTAACTCAAAACTCGAAAAGTCAACTCGACACTTGAAAACTTAACTCGAAACTCGAAAATGTAACTCGAAACTCCAAAACTTAACTCGAAACTCCAAAAGTCAACTTGAAACTTGAAAAGTCAACTCGAAACTCGAAAAATTAACACGAAACTCGAAGAAAAGTAAACTCATCTAAAAATGCCTACGAGATCCAGTCAAGGAAAGCAGACCAGCACAGACGGGCACCAAACATGTCCAACGCCATCATCAGCAACGACCCACGAAGCAAATGGTTTTCGAAACTTGCAAAACTTAACTTGAAACTCGAAAATTTAACTCAAAACTCGAAAAGTCAACTCGAAACTCGAAAAGTCAACTCGAAACTTGAAAACTGAACTCGAAACTCAAAAAGTTAACTCGAGACTTGAAAACTTAACTCGGATCTTGAAAAGTCAACTCGAAACTCGAAAAGTCAACTCGAACTAACTCGAAACTCCAAAAGTCAACTCAAAACTCCAAAAGTCAACTCGAAACTCGAAAAGTCAACTCGACACTTGAAAACTTAACTTGAAACTCGAAAATGTAACTCGAAACTCCAAAAGTCAACTCGAAACGCGAAAAGTCAACTCCAAACTTGAAAACTGAACTCCAAAAATGCCTACAAGATCCAGTCAAGGAAAGCAGACCAGCACAGACGGGCACCAAACAAGCAAATGGTTTTCGAAACTTGAAAACTTAACTCGAAACTCGACAATTTAATTCGAAACTCGAAAAGTCAACTCGAAACTCGAAAAGTCAACTCGAAACTTGAAAACTAGGCAGATTGCCGTCCAAGGCTGACGAGTTCTACCAACCCGTGTTTGTGATCGGAGTTGTCCTTCTCCTAGGCAGATTGCCGTCCAAGGCTGACGAGTTCTACCAACCCGTGTTTGTGATCGGAGTTGTCCTTCTCCTAGGCAGATTGCCGTCGAAGGCTGATGAGTTCTACCAACCCGGGTTTGTTATTGGAGTTGTCCTTCTCCAAAGCAAGTTTAGCAAGTGTATAGGCACCACGTGCTCTGAAACCACTATCTTCACCTTGCCATGAGCATTCTCGGCATCGCGGATCACAGCATCCAAAAATGCCTACAATGAGATCCAGTCAAGGAAAGCAGACCAGCACAGACGGGCACCAAACATGTCCAACGCCATCATCAGCAACGACCCACCAAGCAAATGGTTTTCGAAACTTGAAAACTTAACTCGAAACTCGACAATTTAACTTGAAACTCGAAAAGTCAACTCGAAACTCGAAAATTCAACTCGAAACTTGAAAACTGAACTCGAAACTCAAAAAGTTAACTCGAGACTTGAAAACTTAACTCGGATCTTGAAAAGTCAACTCGAAACTCAAAAAGTCAACTCGAACTAACTCGAAACTCCAAAAGTCAACTCAAAACTCCAAAAGTCAACTCGAAACTCGAAAAGTCAACTCGACACTTGAAAACTTAACTTGAAACTCGAAAATGTAACTCGAAACTCCAAAAGTCAACTCGAAACGCGAAAAGTCAACTCCAAACTTGAAAACTGAACTCAAAACTCGAAAAATTAACTCAAGACTAACTCGAAACTCGAAAAGTCAACTCGAAACTTGAAAAGTCAACTTGAAACTCGAAAAATTAACACGAAACTCGCAGAAAAGTAAACTCATCCAAAAATGCCTACAAGATCCAGTCAAGGAAAGCAGACCAGCACAGACGGGCACCAAACATGTCCAACGCCATCATCAGCAACGACCAACCAAGCAAATGGTTTTCGAAACTTGAAAACTTAACTCGAAACTCGAAAACTTAACTCGAAACTCGAAAAGTCAACTCAAAACTCGAAAAGTCAACTCGAAACTTGAAAACTGAACTCGAAACTCGAAAAGTTAACTCGAGACTTGAAAACTTAACTCGGATCTCGAAAAGTCAACTCGAAACTCGAAAAGTCAACTCGAACTAACTCGAAACTCCAAAAGTCAACTCGAAACTCGAAAAGTCAACTCGACACTTGAAAACTTAACTTGAAACTCGAAAATGTAACTCAAAACTCGAAAAGTCAACTCGACACTTGAAAACTTAACTCGAAACTCGAAAATGTAACTCGAAACTCCAAAAGTTAACTCGAAACTCGAAAAGTCAACTCCAAACTTGAAAACTGAACTCGAAACTCGAAAAGTAAACTCAAGACTCGAAAACTTAACTCGAAACTCCAAAAGTCAACTTGAAACTTGAAAAGTCAACTCGAAACTCGAAAAATTAACACGAAACTCGAAGAAAAGTAAACTCATCTAAAAATGCCTACGAGATCCAGTCAAGGAAAGCAGACCAGCACAGACGGGCACCAAACATGTCCAACGCCATCATCAGCAACGACCCACGAAGCAAATGGTTTTCGAAACTTGCAAAACTTAACTTGAAACTCGAAAAGTTAACTCAAAACTCGAAAAGTCAACTCGAAACTCGAAAAGTCAACTCGAAACTTGAAAATGAACTCAAAACTCGAAAAGTTAACTCGAGACTCGAAAACTTAACTCGGATCTCGAAAAGTCAACTCGAAACTCGAAAAGTCAACTCGAACTAACTCGAAACTCCAAAAGTCAACTCGAAACTCGAAAAGTCAACTCGACACTCGAAAAATTAACACGAAACTCGAAGAAAAGTAAACTCATCCAAAAATGCCTACAAGATCCAGTCAAGGAAAGCAGACCAGCACAGACGGGCACCAAACAAGCAAATGGTTTTCGAAACTTGAAAACTTAACTCGAAACTCGACAATTTAATTCGAAACTCGAAAAGTCAACTCGAAACTCGAAAAGTCAACTCGAAACTTGAAAACTGAACTCGGATCTTGAAAAGTCAACTCGAAACTCGAAAAGTCAACTCGACACTTGAAAACTTAACTTGAAACTCGAAAATGTAACTCGAAACTCCAAAAGTCAACTCGAAACGCGAAAAGTCAACTCCAAACTTGAAAACTGAATTCAAAACTCGAAAAATTAACTCAAGACTAACTCGAAACTCGAAAAGTCAACTCGAAACTTGAAAAGTCAACTTGAAACTCGAAAAATTAACACGAAACTCGCAGAAAAGTAAACTCATCCAAAAATGCCTACAAGATCCAGTCAAGGAAAGCAGACCAGCACAGACGGGCACCAAACATGTCCAACGCCATCATCAGCAACGACCAACCAAGCAAATGGTTTTCGAAACTTGAAAACTTAACTCGAAACTCGAAAACTTAACTCGAAACTCGAAAAGTCAACTCAAAACTCGAAAAGTCAACTCGAAACTTGAAAACTGAACTCAAAACTCGAAAAGTTAACTCGAGACTCGAAAACTTAACACGGATCTCGAAAAGTCAACTCGAAACTCGAAAAGTCAACTCGAACTAACTCGAAACTCCATAAGTCAACTCAAAACTCCAAAAGTCAACTCGAAACTCGAAAAGTCAACTCGAAACATGAAAACTTAACTCGAAACTCGAAAATGTAACTCGAAACTCCAAAAGTCAACTCGAAACTCGAAAAGTCAACTCGAAACTTGAAAACTGAACTCGAAACTCGAAAAGTTAACTCGAGACTTGAAAACTTAACTCGGATCTCGAAAAGTCAACTCGAAACTCGAAAAGTCAACTCGAACTAACTCGAAACTCCAAAAGTCAACTCGAAACTCGAAGAAAAGTAAACTCATCCAAAAATGCCTACGAGATCCAGTCAAGGAAAGCAGACCAGCACCAAACATATGCGACACCATCATCAACAACGACCCACCAAGCTCTCCGGATAGCAACTCCGAAGACGAATACGTGTTCTAAATTGAACATGATTCAACCAACCACCAAGTGTGTTATCAACAACACCAAAGAACAAACAAGCGTACGTGTTATCAACAACACCAAAGAACAAACAAGCATGTTAACAATGACCACAAAGAATAAACAAGCGTGTTAAAAAACGACACCGAAGAACAAACGAGCGTGTTTAACAACAGCCCTTTGATAAGCATAGAACCTCATGTGATGTACTGAGATGTACTGAGACACAATAAACCAAGCAAGCATCGAAGCAACAACTACTATCCATGTGCTAGTGACAAGCTCACTACATTACACCGTCCAAGGCTGACGAGTTCTACCAACCAGTGTTTGTTATCGGAGTAGAAGAGAACATGAATATTGGATAATGGTCAGAAACATCACTTTTCAGAATCCCTCCTGTAGTTTCAATGGTTTTATACATGTAGTTTGCGTTTGTGATGATGTTGTCTATTATCGTTTCATCCGTGCCAGTTACATGAGTTGGTTCATTGATCATAGGATAATGGTCGTTATTGGAGATAGTTTTCTTAAAATTTTCAATGGTGTAATGCACGCCGGAAAGATCGATATTGAAGTCCCCCATTATATAAGAGATTTTGTTTTCCTTGTTTATCATTGAAAGGATGTTTTCAAAAGATATTAAAAATTTACGATTCAATTCTTTGTTTTTTTTAGCTATAGATGTAGGAACGTAAACAACACCAACGACAATATTTTTACCAATTGAGCAGAGAATTTCAATGAAAAGGAAATCACATGGTGTTGGACACCCATCTACTTGTATTATCAAGTCATCCCGTCGCTTAAAATGGATGCCCTCACGCACATAAAGACCAACTCCTCCACCTTTTTTTCCTTCTCGGTTTTTGAAAATAAATTCAAAACCAGGCCTAAGTATACGTTTAGGAGTTTTTGTCTCTTTAAGCCATGTTTCTGCTAATCCAATAATATCCCATTTTTTTTAAAGCAAAACAGGAGCAGTATTTATCTTTTTATAAGTTTTGTTAACAAAATCATTAGCATTAATAAAAAACACAGAAAAGAGATCTCCATAAGTTTTGTCCAAATATGTTTTGGTAAAGGTATCGCTTTCTAAATCATCAGATATCGCAGCAAAAAAATGACCAGGAATAAATTTCCTGTGAAAAAGGCCAATGTATCTTTCAATTCTTGTGTCTTTCAAAGCTACATCTCGACTTTCCTCTGTTGATGGCTCTTCTTCATCTTTATGGTGGGTCGTGGCCTCCTGAAACAGAGAAATTAGTGCAGAAGAGAAAATACAAGTTCAGCTTCACATCAACCATGTCTACTTTATCTTGTCTAAAATGTGTAAAAGCTTCTTTTTTTTTGTAAAAAACATTAATCAAAGTAGCTATTGGCTACACGTTCAATTTTATCAAACCAACTTTACAAATGGATTCATGTTGTATTTTGGTATTAATGGGGATCATGCTTAAACCCATTCAACATGTAATTAATACCACCCCAAACCCATCATAGTAACTGTAAACCACCATGAGATCAGTTGGCACAATAAACACTATTTTAACAGTGTTTCCGCAACTGCTGAGGACGTGTTACATCATGTGAGTGAATGAAAACTTGCAGGTGTCACTTGTTACGTTTGGTGTGATGAAAACTTCTTGAAAGCTGAGATATATGTAAAGTGAAACAACAAAATTCAGTGTCACTTACCAAATCACTTTTGGAGACGGTCCCATTGTTGGTTTCTGCATCCTGGTTTCTATTAAAGTCAGACTGGTTAATATCGAAGTTATCGACATTCTTAGCAATAGCAACAGTTTCTGGAACAAAGAAAGCAATGATAGCCATCAATACCACAGTGCTTCTACATTAAAGGATGTGACGTTTACACGTTTAAACGAAAAAGAATTGGATATCCGTAAATATTTTGCAAAACGTGGAAACGAAATCTTTGATATGAAAAGGGGACTTTCGTTTACGTGATGTGTCCTCAACTTGTACTACGTTTATTTCAAAATATCAATATGTTTTTAATCTCATTTAATTTACAAAGTATTAGAAGTATTAGAAGCGCCGCACTACTTTTGCGCAGTCTGAACTTGATTTCAACATTCAACCAAAGACTTTTTTTTCCAAAACGCTATCAACAGTAATTTTTTCACTGTTTTGAATTTGATGAAAACACTTTTTACTTTCCACCTGAACAGTTATCTCATCCTTTTTAGTCCTATTTTAAAACACTTTCAGCATCATAAGTATGTTGAATATTGAAGAAATTGCACAAAAGAAGGATGATTGTACAGTAGGCTTGCAGTAAAATGTTTCACTGTTTGAAGTAAGTTTGAGTATAGGATGAAAAATGACTACTTTTACATTTCCTTAGCAACCTAAAGTGCTATTTTTCATGATTTTTTTCTCAAAAGAAAATGCTCTCAGCTTTAATCTGATACCCAAAACCTAAAAATGCAACGATCCCTTTTTTAGAAAGCAGAATACATGTTTTAGGGTTGCATTTTTTGGGTCACCCTGTATGTCAATTGTACAATACAGTGAAACGCCGCCATAACGAACATGATGGGGTCCACAGAAAGTGTTCAAGATAGTGGTTGTTTGTTATAGTGATTGTGCATTAGGCCAAAAAAAAAAATATTCGGTCTCTGGTCAGACCAAAGTTCCAGAATTGACGCTGCCATGCGGCTTTTTTTTTTTTTTTTGCTTTTTTTTTTCTTCAAGCTTGGATTGTACAGACAAGGTGGGGTACTATTTTGCTTTTTTTGGTGTCCTCATGTACATGGTGTCCTCCATAATTTGCCTTGGTGCTTTCGATTATTTGCCTTGGTGCAATTTCCCATTCCTTGGTGCTCTTTGGTAAAAAAAAAAATGAGGAGGTGCGGAAATAGAGGGCGCTGTTGAAGCAACCGCGGAACATTTTGGAAAAAAAAAGATTGACGCGCATGATTAAAATCGACGCACGCACTGACCAGAGACCGACTTATTTATTTTTTTGGCCTTATAATAGAATTCACTATTTCGGGAGCCCGTGGGGAGGTTCATTATAACCAAATCTTTGTTATAGTGGTGTTCGTTATGGTGGCGTTTCACTGTAGTAAAAAAAAAATAAACATACCATCAATTTCTTCTTCTTCATACACTTCTTCATCAATCGCCGGCACTGTACCGGTAGAACTGCCCGAGTCGCTTATCGACTCGGACAGCTTTATGTATTCATTATCAGTCTAAAAGAGAAAGAAGAAAAGTGAGTTATAAATGTGATGCGATCAAGCTAAATGAGTCCTTTGTCGGGAAATTTTATTTGGAGATACAGGCCAAAATAGAACCACTTCATCACATCACTTCATCACATCTCTTGGTGTTCTGACTTTCATAATTTTGAAACTAAACATGGTATCAGCATGTGGTTTTCACATCAGTAATGCTAAGATTGTGCTCTTTTCAATTCTGTTATAAACAAAATTGACCAGGGTCGACAAACGACTCGTTTAGCTTGATCCCATCGCAAATGTTCTTATTAGCCACTTAACAAAAAGGATAATGACATAGTTGGCTCGTCAGCCTTGTCACAAGTTAGCATGGTTCCAAATTCATTCACATCACAAAATGCACGATCGTATCAAAGATGTGCAGTGTACTTTCATTACTACTGTACAGTATGTATTTCTGAGTTTCACCATTGGTAATAGATTCTATTTTCAAATTTTGCCAATTTTCTAGCAATTCAAAAATTGATTGAAGTGAGAAAAAAAAACACCGCACAAAATTCTGATGGAAACCTGTATGAAAGAATTATCAAAATCTGTCTGCATTGTATACCACTACAGTTTTTTAATCAACTCACATTTATTTGTTTCAGTAGGTTTGTCATGTAAATAATGGTGCTTCAAGAGAGGGAGTTAATGCATGTTCACCGTTTATATACTCTCACACATGACGTCAATTGGTCACATGATGTTTTGGTAGTTGGCACGAGAGGGTACGTGGGCGTTGCATGGCAAACACTCATAATTAATCTATTCCCATTGTCATTGGTGTATTTCTCATGAGGGAATTTCCCAGCTCTTCCCACAAAATTCAAAGATCCATCGAACTTTTCAACCCTAGCATTGGCTTTTCATTGTACGAGATTGGAGCCTTTCATGTCTTACAAGTTCCTAACTTGTTTTGGTAAACAAATACTTCACACTAAAGTGCCATGTTATATTTTTGGGCTAAGCAAGTTTTATTCAAAATACTACATCTTCAACAGATTCTCCACATTGTTTTTTTAGATCCAACAAAACAAAACTAATGCAGTGTGTTGTAAATTGCAATCCATTATATTCAAAGTTGTCCACCTTTGGCATTAGCAATCAGATACTTCATACAGAATTTGCCTGATATAAATTAGTTGTATTGCCCCATGAGGTATATTTATAGCAAGTTAGATCAAAATTGTTTTTAGCTTCTGCAGAATGTCATGATGCAATAGCAAGGTTGTATTTCAGGGAAATCCCAGTTGTTTCGCAATGCCTTGGGATCCATTGTGTGACTCCCAGGGGCTGTGACTTTCATTGTACAAGTTTGCCTGCATTCATGCATGATTGACTTCTACTGGATTCTTTTCATAGGGTTGCAGTCCAGTAAATCGGTCCAAAATTGCCTAGGCCGGCCAAATCACGATTTGCATGCCTTCAAATTCTTCGTCAAAAACAGTTGTGTTAGGGCGCTCTACAACAATAACTACCGGTAAAAATAATCGGACAGTGACGTTTTGGGCCAAGACTATCTCACACAATGTTCACGTGTATTATACATATTCAAAAACAAGACTGAGGAGGCTTGCTTTACTTAGCTTTCAAGAGTGAAAGCAGACAAAATTTGTTTTCCTATCTTAAGAATTTTTGTAAAGGGTGCCCCTTTTGGCAAGGGATATTTCTTCTCTCACTATTTTGCACACCTCTTGTTTATGAATGGAACAGGCACCCCCCCCCCCCCATCCTAAATATATATGGACACTTTATTGAGAGTTACCTGATTTAATACACCAAAACAAATGTAGGCTTACTGACATACATGGATTTTGTGTGTGTGAACAGTACACATTTCAGGACCTTATACTTTTTCATCCAAATGTTTTTTTAAAGTGGGATATGGCAGCCAATTAAGTAGCAAATATCTTGTGACACTCCTATTGACCAATCAAGGCAGAGATGTGGATGAAAAAGACTCAGATTTTTGGCCCAGGACTCGACCAAAAAGTACTCGGACTCAGCCCGTACTCGGCACTGTGTGTACTCGGAAAACTTGGTACTCGAATTCTGGTACTCGACTACAACACTGGAAAAAGTGTAAGACTTTAAAGAGAGATAAAAGATGGAGGCAAGTCTAGTGAACCTGGTCCCAACTCAATGTTCAGTTGATTTTGAATGGCTTTTCACTGGAAGACATTTTTATGTGAGCTGTCTACACAATGAGCTAGATTTAACCTGGATTTAGGCTTTCCTATACGACAGCACTGCCCAGCCCTCTTCACCAGCCAACCAGGCTAAATCATAAGCAAGTCAACACTTGCCATCAGTCAGTGATAGTCATTTAGGCAGTATGGCGTAAATCTGTGACGGCGAGTGGGGGGGGGGGGATGGGGGATGTCCAAAATCATACAAAAATTGCCCATCTGTGGAAATTGGAAAGGGGGGGGGGGGACTGAACACGGGTTGTTCATGATACAGATGTATCTTTGTTTACTCGTGCTTTACCTCAACGAGGCATTTTAAGCTTTTGTACTCTTTTCAACATTTTTCGACATTTTTCTGTGCTATTGAATACATTTGGTTGTTGGGAAGTTCGAAAAAATACCTCCAAAAATCTGCATTTTTTGGTTTCTCATCGCGAAAAAGTTGAGGGGGGGGGGTGATTCAATAGCCCATCCCCCGGTCAAAAAGTGGGGGGGGGGATATATACCTCCATCCCCCTATCCCCCCCCCCATCTCCTCCCCCACCCCAGGGATTCATGCCCCTGCAGTCAGGAACAAAGAGTAGGCCTACAATATGTAGGATTTGCAAAAACCAGTACATACACGTATGACACAAATTGACAAGTATCAGTTCTACCAAATCAGCACAAATCCATTTAATGTAAACATAAAATAAGGAAAAAGTAAACAACATGTGTAACTTTGAAGGTGTTGATTTCTTTTTTAAGGTATTACTTATTTTACATATATGGTACATTTTCACTTAAAATCTATTCATTAACAGGCATGCAAATTCCTCGGATCCGCTGATTTCTTCGGTTTTTTTTTTACTTCTCACGAATGCCATTACAAATTGAAAAATACTGAACAGAGTCTTGTTTGGTTTGGAATTTCTTCGATTTTTTCTACATTCTTAATTGCATGCTTGTAAACAGTCGTAAGTTTCAACTACATGTATTTGAAATCGTTACGATGTTAACCTCCAATAAATCTGCACATGTATGTTTACGTGGAGTATTTAACTTCAGTACATTATAAGATATACATTTCAGTTGATATAAGATACATCCAGAGGAGATATATAGAAAAATTAGTAGTTGATAGAAAACGTAAAATAAAACAATTCCTCTAATAAGGTCCAAATATACATGTAACACCATTACTATCATGTTCTCATTGAAATAGACATTTCATAATTGTATATTAATCAGTGCGATATTAAATAATCTTTAAAAAAAAAAGGAGCAATTACATAGAATTCTATTCAGTGAAGTGCCAGTACCGTAGGTATTCTCTTAAATCCAAATATACATATAAAAACTGAGGTACATGTGAACAGGTGTCGTGGTTTTATTGTACCAGGAAAGTATGCCACTATTTTTGCTATACATGTAGATACAGGGCGAGTCAAAAAAGCAGAACCCAAACCCCAAAAAGTATATTTCGTATTCAAAAAAAATATGTACCACCCCCAAAAAATGACTGGAAAGCCAATTTTCATAAGCTACTTTTAGTTGAAAAAATTACTGAAATTGCTCAATCCATTCAAAGAATATCACCACTCAAACACAATCATAACCTTAAATCCTTTTCCGTCCAAAAATGCGATTTCAAGAATCATTGTCACAATTGTCTTCAAACTTCACCAGCGATAAAACCTCAGTTTAAAAGTAATAAATATTCAACAAAATTTTTTGAATGCACATCTTTTAAAAAAGTGGATTTATACATCATATTGTTTAGCTAACCAGAGTACGTCGTTAATAAAGATATTGTGTACTACAGTTGGTGACAGTTGTTGAAACAAGTGTTCTGTGTCATTTTTTTTGTTTGTTCCAAACAGTCAAAACACACAATGAATTGCTTTGCTTTTCGGACGAGACAGGTTTTAGGGTCATTGTGTTTAAATGGTGATATTCTTTGAATGGATTGAGTAATTTCAGTATTTTTTACATCTAAAAGTAGCTGATGAAGTTGGCCTTCCAGTCATTATTTTCGTGCTACATGTTTTTTTATTTAAAGTTTGACATATATTTTACGGGGTTTGGGTTCCGCTTTTTTTTACTCACCCAGTTTTAAACGGCTAGTTTAAAACCGGGCAGGGGTGTGGTCGCCACCCGAGCGAAGCCATGTTTTCTTCCTATAAGACAAAAAAAATGTAAACCATAATTAGTCCCTCTATACAAATTTGTATAATTTTCACACTTCAAAACCTACAAACTTAATATACATGTACATTTTCGTAAGCAGACATTTATTGTCCTGATGTAGGGGCCACCTTTATTTCTGGCCGGTCTTAAAAACTTTGTGCCGGTGTTTTAGCATCTGTTTAAAAAACACCCACGTGAGGGGCTCTCGACCAGTAGGAACAGGTAAACTAAGTAAGATTGAAGAAGAAATTGCCAATACTGCACCTTTTAATGTTTTTATTCATGGAAGTAAAGGTCTTTAGTCAGCGTAGACGTGTAGTACGGCATCTGTTTCTTGGCCTCCCCCTGATACGCCACGATGTGGTTCACCCTGGTCAGGAGTTGGTTGATTTCCAGCGATGTCCCTTTTTCGTTCAGTACCTTGACCAGAGCTTGGATAAACCACGACCCCAAGGTTGGATTCAGCCATGACACGTACTCTATGTCCCAAGAAAATACAACAAACTATATAATAACATTCATCAAAATCGATCGCAATACTTTTGGGGTATTTCTTTGCATAATTATCACTACATATGTAGGCGCTAGGCCTAAGTCTGTGTGCGATTCAGCACTTCAAATTTTAACCAGTCAGTAGAAATCTTTCGTCATTGACTTTGTGAGATCACAGCCATCGACCGATGCACAAGCCTTCAAATCTTTTTTTTTTTCACGAACCGATCACACAGCGAACTTTCCACCAATCAGTGGAAATCTCCTGTTCGTGACTTCGGTAGCCGACAGCTAGCGACCAATCAATAGCCTTTGTGCCATGTTTCGCGGACGGCTCCGATTTGCTGGCACGCCGGCCGTGTAAGATTTGCTTATAAAGTATAAAGACGTGTTTATCCAGGACTTTATCTTGCAACATGTATTTGTTATAATTCTCTATTTTCAAGTTTCTTGCATCATAAATTCAAATGTCAAAGTGGCTTACCAGGAGGGGTTGAGTACGCTACAAAAAAGTCTGCTTCAACAGGAATCACCAGACTTGTGGATGCTGTGCTTTGAACAATTTCAGCGTTTTCTCTGGCTTGGTCGGCCTTGCCAAGGTCAACTCCTCTGTCGCAATGCATACCACGGCAAGCCTATAAGGACGGGGGACCAGAGAAATGGAAAATTGTGTTCACTTTACCAACTCAAATTTTAAAATATGTAGCTGGACATGTTGTAGTCTAGTACTTTTTTCCGAGTACTGAGTACTGCCGAGTACTTATGTTACCGAGTACGAGTACGAGTACTTGTATTCCGAGTATGGCCATACAGCAAATGGTTCATTGTGCGTAATTTGCCCAGGCCAAGTCAGACTGATATGCAGACCCACTCGAGGCTAGCTGTTAAATGTGTTTGTCCGGACGTGCACAGATGAAAATCAGGAAAAGTTGATTTCTCCACAAGCCAATCAACCATTTCCAACTGAAAGTGTCGATAAAATAAGGCCGTGGTGAGTCAAGCTTTACCATTTTTTTTTTAGTACTGCTATTCGAGTATGAGTACATGTACTTTGATGGCGGAGTACAAGTACCTTCTTTTGAATTCAAGTACTTTGATATTCGAGTACAAGTACTTGTACTCTAAAAAAGTATCCGAGTAGTACTCGAGTATGAGTACCGATTACGAGTACTACAACACTGTAGCTGGATGATACGGCTGTACAAATGTTCTCAGTGTGTTGTGCCATTTATTAGTAAAACAAATTAACTTGTGAGGCTGTGACGTCCTCTGTGTTGGGTTTAAATTTGCACCCTGGCAGGTAAGAGAACACGCTTATTTTACCTGAATGACAAAGACTTTGGGCTTTCCAGCAAGACTTTTGCACCGATCTCCCTTAAAATCTTGCATCAGGTCGTCCAAGTGCAGGGAACCGTCTGTGCAATGTATTTTGCCGCCTGAATCGCCATGCGTCATAATGCAAAATATTAAACAGTCGCAGTCACTGTGATCTTCTGTAGACACTGCAATAAAACAAAAGGAAGACAGATATTTTAAAGATGGATATCCGTGATATTTTTGAGTTTCCTCCCGAAAAATATAGATAAATATATATTTTTTTAGTTTTAGGCCTGTACAAAAAGTTGTTTACTTTTGAATGAGACCTCGAACTCAAAAATTGGCTCTATTTCATTTTTGCAATAATTGCTTTACAAGTTTTCTTTTCTTGTTTCTTTTTTTCTCTGTTTCTGCCGGAAAATTCTCCAGGGTAAAATGCTGGGAACCATGATACTCACAGGGCAGACTTTTTTTATTTTGTGTGCAAAAACGACACAGAAGAAAAGCCCTTTTTTTTTAGAGGGTTGCAGACGCCCAAAATAAAAGATTTTATTGTTTAATATTGAAATAAAACATTGAAAATTGAAAATTCGTGGAGAGAGAAAAAATAATTTGTTGATGAGCACAGACAGTTATCGCAAAAAAGAGGATAGCGGCATATTCTGGTCCTCACCATCTGTGAAAACTTTCTGAAGTTTGACACGATTCAAATCCTTGTGTATTTCCGTCTTGAATCGCAAACGTTGCAGGGCATTTCCCAGGTCGGCTGTGTCCTTGTCGCTTCCCTTCCTTTCTCTCAGCCACTTAAAGCTCACGTTGTTGACAATGACCGCTTTGCCGGGTGACTTGTGGGACATGTCATACGGGAACTTGGTGGGCACGTCGGGAATGCAGCTTGTTGACTGACTGCTTGTTTTTAAATTTTCTTCATCGTCGTCTTGTGACAATTGTTTGGCGAACGTGAGCAAACTCAAAAATGAAAATATATAGTAAAAATGAAAATATATTTCTGCAATCATTTCTTACTACAGCTAAAGGACTGTGCAAACTAAATTACCACAAATTACCACATGACAATTTGTCCCTTTGTGGATTGAGCAATTACAGTTTGTCAATTCGTGGTTTTAGTCAGTAGACCCAACATGGATTTTTGTCAGATTGTTGCTTGACCTCTCAGTGCCAGACTATTCCAGTAACTTTTTAAGCTCTGGCAGGAGCGTCTGTCCTCGACAATTGACCAAAAGTATGGCGCTCCATATGTGCCATCTGCATCGCATTTTTCAGTGTGGCATGTTTAAGCTCTGGCAGGGATCTTTTTGATCGATTCATGCAAGACTTTCATGTAAGACTTCTTGCAATACGGCTTATTGTGCAGTCACACCTGTTTAATTTCACTAATTTTGTGTGTGTGCAATACCTAACTGTATGAAAGTGGTGGCAAATGCCTTCTCTCATTTGTACCATTCCATTTGTTACACAAAACCTAATTAATAGTCGATTTTTTTTTAATTTCAGAAAATTGCAAGTTTATTCCAGTTTTTTTTGTGGTTGAGCACATTTTTTTTGTGGTTGAGCAACTACATTAAATTATAATACACTTAAAGAAACTGTATCTATTTATCAAACGATCCCGTTAGGAAACTCAATTAGTCAGGATTATGGTAAAATTGTATTATGTTCCTCACACTAACTGAAATTTATTGACCTGTTGTACATGTAAATTCACAAAAGATCACAGAAAATTGCACCAGTCTTAATAACAATTTAATAGGGCTTATTTTTTCCCATTTGAAAACTAATAGAGATTTCCACGTTAATAAACCACAAAGAATTTTCAACTCGCACCCTTCTCCTTTCCCCCCCCCCCCCAAAAAAAAAACAGGAAAGAAAGTATATGGTTTCCATTTAATGTACCTCTGAATTTTAGGACTTGGTACCCCATCCGGGACATTAAGATGGTCTTTGTGTTGAATAGACATCTCTTCTCCGCCTTTGCCTGTATTTCAAAGGAATATTATTTGTGATTTTTGGATGAAAGCATTCGATGTCAATGAAGTTCATTTCATGTCCATCAAATCAATCTTGGATAATAAACGAATAAAGAGACAGACATTCCATCTTTAGACAAATTAAAAAACCACAAGTAACCAGAAAATGTTGTGTGTGCACGCCTCAGCCGGAAGGGTTTTATACCCAAAGGTTTGACAACTGACAGGATTAAGGTAGTGTCATTATTAGCAGTATCAAAAATGAGAGGAGTGGCCGTATCGAAACTGGGGGCACTGTTATTAGTGTTACCCTGCCCTTTACCTTGAAACGATGCTTCACCACCTGATCTGGTAGACGATTTGGCCCCTCGACGCTGCTTACTTGGCTGTACTCCATCATGGCCATGGTCCGTGTCGATGTCTGCTGAACTTGACAGTGGTGGTGCTGTCCGTTTTGGTCCTGGCATCGTCCAACGTAGATAATTGTCCTAATCGAGTTGAGCCAAACAATTGTAAGTCTGTAACGTTGTCCACTGGTGTGTCACACTGCTGTTCAGGAGCTGGAAGTGAAAGTTGATGCAAAATTTGAAACTGTTCAGGAAAATTGGTCAGGCGCCCCAATCCACGCTTGAAGACAGGCTTGGATTAAGTGTTTCGTAGGCCCTATACTCTGCTGTAGGCACCGGCACCAAATTCATGTTAGCACTGTACAAATCTAGCCAGGATAATCTGGTTTAGGTCCTAGGCTCTAAAAGCCTGTTGGCACCAAGGGCGTCAATCGCTTCTCAAAAGTGGGGATGGTACATACATGTGTATCTTGATCAGAACTTATGCGAGTGCGAAGCCTAAACGGCCTGTGGTTCGGGGCCCGCTTAAGGGCCCCCCCAAAAATGGGATGCTAGACGCTCTGTGGTGCGATCTAAGGCAAATTCTGACCACTTTTATCAAAATTTGTTCCATCAATTTATCATCATCTTCGAGTTTGTGGTCATTGAATCAGCAATTTGGAGCTACAGAATCAAATGTAGGCCACATTCTTTCACTCGGGGACAAACATATGACGATTGCGTAAAAAAACATAATGGGAGGTCTTCCTAAAAAGTAAAAACAAAAGAGTGACAATAGGGGGTCCCCGATTGCAGGCAAAATAATACACACTTGCATTTGTGGGTAGGCCTATTTTGTGTTTAATGGCACACTGCGGTATTTTCATAGGCCCCCAAATTTTTCGTATAGGCCCCAAAATTTTCGTAAAGGCCCCAAATTTTTCGTAGGCCCTAGGCACAGTGCCTACTGTGCCTTTTAGGTAATCCGGGCCTGCTTGAAGATCCTTTTAGAAGTTTTCCACTGGGAAAGCAACAATCTCCCCAAAAACAAAAAGCTGTGTCTCAGTACAAAGGTGTGGGACATCAGTTGTGCAAGAGATGTTATAAAAGACTCCAGAAAGAATTAAAGTTTATAAAGTTGTAAGAATGTAAGAATTAAAATTTTTGAAGTAAAATTGACTACACAACTTGTTTCTTCAAAGGCTGAGACACAAGTGACTGCATAGCAATTTTTCCTTACCGCCTAAACTTTCTACCTCTTAAGATGTAAAGAACCAACCCTACTTTTCATTGGTCCATAGCCAGGCCTTGCCAAGTGTCGCAGATCAAGATCCCTTATTGGCTGGTTGCCACTCAAAGCCCTCTCAGCAATTGGTTAAAATACGGTATGTGGCTGTTGATTGGTTATTCTCCTGTTTCCAGGATCCCACTTGTCACAAAATTGTCTATGGGGTTTTGTACAAAGTTCTCCATAAGAAAGTACAGTATGCAATGCACTCACAGTGAGATGTTTGCATGAGGTTAGCCTTCATTTAGCACAACACGTATAATATACAACCAACAGGAGAAGATCCATTGCAAATTTGGTACTTTTAAATAATTAGATCATTTAGTGATAAAATTGATTATAAGCAGACAAATAAAAAAATTACAAGCAACACAGTACAATCTTGGGTACAATCTTGCTGCTCCATTTGGTTCCCATCATGACTTGTACGTTAGTGAAGGAACGTGCACCTGCCCTTGGAGTCGAGACTGTCGCAAAATGTACATATTTGGTTCATAAGTGACTTCGTAATACACGCGCATACACCACTAGACTGGTGCCCATTTGGCTAAAGTTGCATTAACTTCCGGTTCCATTGCACTGTGTGCTGTAGACATGGTTAAGTTGATTACGTCACAGGTGAACTGGTCAAAATGCAACAGAGTTAAAGCGTTATGTGGATGAGCTATCCAGCCAGAATGTAAAGATAATGGTTTTAACCAACTCACCTGTAACTTCATCTTCAGTAGACTGCCAGAGTGCCAAAAATAGGGTGTACACGGTTTTATATACTCTCACTTCACTTGTGACGTCAGATGGTCACCTGATGTTTTGGTAGTTGGCAGGAGATGGTACGTGGGCGTTTCATGGCAAACTGTCACACCCACCTCCCATTGTCATTAGTGTATTTTCTCATGAGGGAAAGTTACAGTTGTCGCCCCATTTTTTTTATCCATTGAATTCAAGTTTTTCCACCTTGGCATTAACTTTTGAATTGTACAGGTTGTGTACCAGTCATTCATGCATACATGTTTATTTGTTGTCTGTTCACCGAATTTACAGTAACGCCCAATAAAATTGTCCAGGTTGGTGAGAAAATATTTTTCGAGTCCCGAGTGATTTTTTTCCAACTTTCACTCGGGAGGTCACACACTGGGTAAACATTGTTTATATACGTCAGTGAAGGGCAAAGCCTATTATTGAAAATATTTTTGGGTTAACATTTATTTTTATTTTTATTTTTGTTTTGTCAATCTTTTGTACTTACTGTTTACTTCTGGGTACCAGTATTCTGTTTTAATTATTAAAACTAAAAGTACACCAAAAACTCTTAGCGATTCCAAAAAAAAATATTTTAAAAACACCCTTTATTTTGATTTATTTGTTTGCCAAATATAAAGGCAAAACAAGTTTGAGGTTGGAAATTTGACCTTAAAAAATCCAGGTCGGTTAAGTAAACACATACATGTACTTTTCTTTGGCCTTACCAACATTCCTGAAAACAAACTCTTTATACAGAGGCGGCATGTTATATTGAGGTTCGCTACATTGTAGTTTTACCATACTTTGAGGAATAGATAAACATGTACAGTAAACTCTTTCTACTGCACGTGAGAAACAAACAAGTTTAGAACTTGTTCTGAAGAATCCTTTGGTTTGATGGTCACCTTTGTGTTTTTTTGCAGATTTCTTGAAGAGCTTTCTGTAATATGTTCCCTGCCGTTGGAGTTTCACATCTCTTAGCTGTCGTATTCCTATGTTTCCTGCATTCGTCCTTGTGTGTCAGTGCAAAGAAAAAGGTGAATATACCCACGGTAGCTTTACAATTTGTTCACGCAAGGGCCTAACTTTATTGAATCATAAAGCAGAAAGATATACAACAATGTACAGACTTATCATTGGGTATACAGGTTTATCATTGGGTAGTATTCATGCACTCTCGTCTGCTCCTTCGACCAATAGGAGTAATAAAATATATGCTCGCCTCATAAAAAACGCATGCGGCAATGTGCTTGGAGGTAGTTCCTCGTATTTGGAGGTGGAAAATTACATCCCCCACCCCCTCCCCTGGATTTTGTATGCCACTGGATGTTTTCTTTTTATGAAATTATGACATTCTACATTGACAGTTCATAAATACCCCCTTAACCCCCCCCCCTCCCTCAGATGCTATATGCCACTGAATGTTCTATTCATGAAATTATGACGCTCTGCATTGACATTGCATAAATATACCCCCTTTCCCCCCCTATCAGATGATTTGCCACTGAATTTTCTATTCATGGAATACTGACGCTCTACAATGACGTGGCCCCCTCCCTCCCCCCCCCCCCCCCCCCCCCGATGCCATGCCACTGAATGTTCTATTCATGAAACTATTACGCTCTGCATTGACATTGCAACCCCCCCCCATCAGTATGCAACTGAATGTTCTGTTTATGACATTGTGATGCTCTACATTGACAGTGCTTATTTAGTTGCTCCTAACTGTTTCAAACATTGAAACATCACAAGAACTGCAGTCTGAAATGCAAGAAAGACAGTTTCATTTTTGTTGTTATTTTTGATGTTGTTGTAGGTGTTGGCTGATTTGACAAGTAACAAGCTGACCAGAGAAAACGACGGCAGTTTTGGCCTTTGGTCATTTCATGGGTAAGATCATTTGTGATGAATTGTTCGGTTTGTACATGGTTTTCAACTTCACTTTTTTGTGTGTGAAAGGTGCTGTGTAATACAAAATTAAAATGAGCAGAATTTTGGTTCAGTTAATAATATACCGGTACATGTACATTTAAACCAGCAATTGCATTTTGAAGCCTACTAGTAGGTGGTCAATGTAGGTGCCCCTCCCCCTTTGGAAAAACGGAAATAAGAAAATTATCTTTAGAGCAAACTGTTTATAAAAAGAAAAAACCTCAGATAGCATTTTTGAAAAAGTTCAAAACTTCCAGTATCCAATCCCACCGATTTCAGGCCACCTCTAGCTACCCCTCCCCAAAACAGAGAAACTATGATACATTTCTCTCCTTAACCTGTTCTGTTCTGTACTAAAGGTATTCTCAAATCCTTTTACCAAACAAGAAATAACTGTTCGCCCTGCCCCTTCCTCTCTTAATAGTTTGCCGGCCAAATTACAATGACTGAATGTGGTTTGTTTAGACAGAATTCATCAGCCAGCTTGTGTGGTGAAATTATTTTGAGGGGCCTACGTTTTACGAACAAATAGTTATCAATAGAGGGGGCTAAACAAGATCTCTAAAAATAAACCGGTATCTGGGCAGACGTGCCGAGGTCACTAAGTCATGCTGCAGGTGGTTGGGGACTTTGGGGAGAAAGTTATTACAATTGTATATTTATATTCTATTGTTAGGAGAGCTGGAGTAATCCGAGCATGGTTTTCGAGGGCTGGAAGAAAAATGGAATAAAATTCCTGGCTCCAGAATAAGTGAAATAGAAAAAGCAGTTTCAATGAGTGTTATTGTTCGAGTCGAGCGACGATAAGCTAGTGTTATTTCCGCCCCCTCACTTCACATCGAAATACTTGCATTTGTCCTTTTGAATTTGACTATAATTAGAAATGGAATTTCCCATGAGTAGAGAATGACGTGATATGACACGGTTGTCAAAATAGTGGTAACTGGTGCAGCTTTTAAAATAGTCCAAGTATTATTTGTGACTAGAAGTGATATTTTTCCAGTGACGTATATAAACTTAGATTTTAGTGGTGATGTTGAAAACAGAAAATATTAGCCCGACAGAATTGTTGAGTTCATCGTGCATGTCGGCCATTTTGGAAGACATAGCTAATATGACTTAGGAAGACTGTTCACATTGGTGGGAGACCGTTCACATTGGTGTTATAATGTTTGGCAACTTTATTTGTGCATATGTTGCTTACTGTGGGAAAAGTACTTTTCTCATAAATGGAATGAACTCCATGAGTAAGGCCAACAAAAAAGTCTCCGGTTTCTAGATGGTATGGAACTTGCCCCAAAAGTGGTGCGACAACGCATTTTTTTTTCCACCTACTTTTACTTTTCTTCAAATGTCGGCCGATTTTGCAGATAACACCTCGATCCCCTTTTAAAACTCTAAAACATATCATTCAGGGTGGGCCATAATGCTCTCCACTGACACGAATGTTCTTTGAGAAATTTAGATAGTCAAGACAAAAATCAGATATAACAGTAACGTCAGACTATACAATGTACATGTACATCATATATCAACACCATGCATGCTACCAGGTTGGTCATTAGTCTGGTCCCTTACATATTGCGCCAATTAAAAAGCATTGACAGGTTCCATGCAGATACACGACCATTGCTCCCTCAGTCTGGCTTCCAGACGCACAATTTAAAAATTACAACACGTACGTCTGCAAATGGTACCCAACTTAATTAAGTGCAAAATATATGGGAGCCCAGAGTGGCCACAACAAGTTTATACTCGATTGTAACCCATCTAAAAACACGTTAAAATTGTGCAGCAGCAGGGTTCCAGTCAAACCAGTGAGTTTGGCGGATTGAGACATCATCTTACCTTGAAAAGTTTTTTTTTTAAATTTTGCTGACGCGCATGGCTACGATGATGGGCGCGCTGACCAGAAATCAGAAAAGAAATTAATAAATACGGTAAACACCTGGAACGATTATTTTCTGTTGTCTCAGGACAGCAGCTGAGAGCCATGCTGATCAAACAGTGTTCACGTACAATGCTGATCTCCTGTCGAGTGATGGTAGTCGGCACGTCAGTATCGCCTCTACCCTCTACCCATGGATGGGGCTCACCTCGGACCTAGATCCACTGTTCCAGGTACATGAGAGTCTGAGTCTGATACCAGATTTTGGATTTTTGTTTCTCTCGTCTTGGTCCGAGACTGGCTTTGAATTTTTTGTTTCCCCTTTTTTGCAGCCAGACCAGTGACAAATGCGGTTAAGTTGATGCAGGGTTGGAGATTGTAATCCAGTCTTGGCAATATTGGCAGCGCTACCCAAGAAATTCTGAGCATATCTAATGCACATGCATTACTTTACATGCCTCACTTTACAGTGTGCATGGGGTATGCTCGGACTTTCGTGGGTAGCATTGCCAATATTCCCAAGATTGGATATTTGATACCTCTCGTTGATAGGAACCTAGTTTGTTGAAAGGGTACTTGTTCAAAAAAGGTGCTGAGCTTATGATGTCACTCTTGTTTCAAACATCTAACATATCGTCGGGTGCACCATGAAGTGACGTACCATCATGCATGGACTTTGTGCACACGATACGTCACTTCGTGGTGCTGAGGATATATTTCAGATCTCAGGAATAATTTCACTCAACGCATCTGCCTGTCTAATAAAGCTGTAGATCCAACTGAGTATACTGAAAATCATATTTTGTTTGTGGTCAATAGTAATCCACAATAGCATTTTCTTGTGAATTTTGTCCATAGGAGTATCTGTTCTTACAAGCGAGGGCCGCAGGCATCGACGGTTTTCTCCTAGAATGGGTATGTGCTTGAATTTTAATTGACTAAATTTAAACCTGAATACATGAGGAAAGGCGATTTCCATGGTGCGCAGCCTCTAATTTTCACAAATTTGGCACAAAGACTTGAAGCTAGAACAAGGGTGGATCTTGGGGGGGGGGGGGGGGGTGGGGTGGGGGGGGGTGGGCCAACGGGGGCCATCCCCCCCCCCCAACAAAACCAACTTTTTTTTAAGTGGCGTCGCAATAAAGGCAGGCACTGCGTACACCACTATCATTTTCCTCCAAAAGATTTTGTTTAAGTGGTCAGAAATTGCCTCAGATTGCACCACAGAGCATCTAGAATCCAAAAAAATTTTGGGGCCCTTAAAGCTGGCCCCGAATCCAACGCCGTATTATTTGGGACCCCCTTTTTGGGAGACCAAAAAATTTTGCCCTCCCCCCCCCCCCAAAAAAAATTGTGTTCTTGATCCGCCCTTGAGCTAGAAAGTCATGAAACTTCACAGCGAAAAACACGCATTTGGCTAAAGTATTGCAAAGAGAAGTGCAGGGGACCACAAATTTCCTGCAAGATTAAAGAGAGTGAAATGATGATGCTTTTAAACTTCTGTGTCGCAGACTGCAGTATGTGGAGACTTTGAAATTGCAAGAAACTGTGTATTTTTGGGAAAAATGACACTCAATAAATCACTTGTTTTCAAAAAAAGAATGAACGGGTTGGATTTTTGAGTACCCCTTACGTCAAGGTTGTTGTATGGCTGGTTAGATTCAGCTTGATCAAATACTTTTTCAAGCAGTGAGAGGTCAAAGTAGCCTTGTGGCATATACATTTTGTAAATTTTAGAAATGCACTGTATTTTTTGTATCCTGGTGTTGCATGTAAAGGTGACCGAGGAATTTCCATTCCATCTTCTTTTAATGCATTCTATTGTTAAAGGTAGGGTACATCATTTGTCATACATGCATTTTTTTCATTTGAAGCAACAAAAGTGCTCAAAATCTAAAGGCGGGTGCAACTGACCTGATGAAGTTTTAGCTCCGTGAATGCTGAAAGTTTTGAGAAAACAATATTCCAGGATCTCGGTTTCAAGTAAAAAGTTGCCAAGTCATGTCTCGAATTGCACCCGAAATCAGCGTCCGGGACACGTTCTCATTCAGTGAATGAACGAATATCAGCAACGCTGCGCGCGTGTGCATCGTGTCAGCGCTTGCGCACACCCATTCATGGATTCGCCGAACTGCAAACCACCTTTAATTTCAGTGGGAGTTTAGTACCATTAAATCTTTAAACCAAGTAAGTTTTTCAACTTTAATTTCATCAGTTACCTTTTTGAAAGCTGCAAATGATCGACTCTACCTTTAAGCACATGGATTCAGAATGTCAGTGCCAGAATGTGTCACAAAGTGCTCTAATAACTTCATCACACTCTTATAGATACACCCGTCATATTTTATGTCCGTTGTTGAATACAAGCATCTTTGATCATTACTTCAGGGCCACATGAACCACTCAAGCAACACAGCCCTCCGACAGCTACTGAGAATTGCCAAGAAGTACGGAGCGTTTACCCTCGCCATCAATTGGTAATGGATTCATTTCAAAGAAAATTATAAGTGGTACAGTGGTTATTGTGTCAGGCTCATGTGTAATGGTGTATGGTTTTTAACTCTGATGGGGAACATGGTTCTTGTGTTCTTGGGCAAGCCAGTTTACTACAATTGCCTCTCACCATCCATGAGTATAAATGGGTACCTGTACGGGTAGAGACCAGATTGCACTGATCTTAAGCTGCAAGATTTAGGTCTCATGGCCTGATGAATAGGGGTAATAATTGTGAAGCGCTTTGCAACTTTGTTATACAGTGCTTTATCTTCAAGCAAACTTGAATCCTTGATCCTGATTGGTCTATCCATGGCAACAACAGTGTAATATTATACCTAATAGCATGGTCAGTATCGCACTTTGCATATCATCACGCTTTTCTAAGATGCGCGCCGATTAAAAAAAGAAAGAAGAAACTTAAGGCCAGAATGCATCAATAGCCTGGCCCCATCCATTTCAACAATTCACAATTTATAACATACATTCAGGGAACATGACCCAAAATGGCTTCCTCGTGAATAAGGTCCATGTGGTAGCCCCGAATTGTTTCAAATTTTATCTGAATTTAAATCTTCAGCATGATTTGTGCGAACAGAAATCTGAAATGCCAGTTCCTGACTTGGCGTCAGTCAAATATGAGGACGATTATTAGGGTGGTGTTTTTTTTGTTTTGTAGGTGCGACCACTGGCTCACGACAGAGTTGAAGAATAAGACCAGTGGAGAAGTAGGTAACAGTCATTTAGAAGCTAGCGTGGCACCAGATACCACGCCGTGAATTGCCACAAACATGATGTGTATTTTGTGAAGCACCACAATTAAGTTGATAGCTTGGCTCAAAATGTGATGGTTTTATGGTTGCAATAAGTATATACAGACAAGGCAAAAGTCACTAAAGAAATGGCGTGGGGGGGGGGGTCCAACAAAATTTCTGTAAATGCAAGAAATACAAATATTGACTGCTTCGAGTGGTGTAGTAAAACTGGCCTCTTGAGGTGATCGATGGAGCATTCTGTTTTGCCGAGGCATAGCCTAGGGAAAGAGAATGCTCCATGGATCACCAAGGGAGGCTGGTTTTACTACACCACGAGATACATGTAAAACCGTCTATATTTGTTTTATGACACCTCTCCCACAGATTCTGCTTGATTTTAAAGGATAACTGATTAATTTAATCTAAATACAATTAAAATGTTCTTCCATTTTGAATACGAAATTAGTTGAAAATTTACTTGCACTTATTCCAAAGATACTTTCACGAAATGTTTGAACCCAGCTCTGTAGCGCTAGCGCTTGGGAACAATACGTGCAACGTGCATGCCATGCAATACCAGTTGCTATATGCGTGTGGTACTTGGGTTGCTATGGGTATAATACTTTGGTTGCTTCGGTTATAGTACGTTTGGCCGTGCTCAGCAAGATGGCAAAAAATAGCGAATGCCATGTGATGCAGAATCCGTGGGTGAGGTGTTATAATAACATTTTTGTCATGCTCTTGGCTGAAAATTGACCCATATTTTTCTCATCCTTTTTCCAAGGTGGTTGATGCATTCCACAGGAACTTGCAGTATCTGATTGACACTGTGTTCATACTTGGGCCCGAGGTTGTACTTTACCATGGCAACCATCCCGTCATCTTCATCTTTGGGGGAGGCCTTACGTCGGAGCAATTTAAAGGTATCGTTTACTACACACCTGCACTATATGTTAATGAATTTAATTGGAATATATTTGCTGTCTTCCAAAACCAAAGATTTTTCTTTTAAACTATTTGAAAATGTCTCTTTTGCAGATCTACTCGCCAAGCCCCTTCGCCTCCCTCCAGACATGACCACCCCTATTTGGATTGGTAGCTACCTCAACTTTGCCTCCGGTCCTGCACTGTGGGGTGAATGGGGCGGCCTGCTCAACGGCACTTTTGGGTGGGCGCCGTTCATTGAGAAACCCACTCCAGCTAATATGTCGGAGTGGGACTACTACGGGACATTAGAAGATGCTGTGCAATACCAGGTGAGGTGTTTTCGAAGTCTGGGCCATGCCTCCAGCTTCGGTTGGATTGGTGACATCAGAATCATTTACAAGTCTTTAAAGATGCATGAACTGTGATTGCATTTTGTACTTTGAAAAATAGCTTCCAATTTTAAATGTTTTTTTTTTCTGCCAATACAAAAGTTGCTCATATAAAATGAGACATTGACCAAAAATGTTTTTCTTATTTGATTAAAACAAAACAAACAAAGTGAAAAACTTTAAGGAGAAAAACAGTCGATTTTTGAAGAGCATGGAAGTCATCTTTTGCAAACATTTAACAATGAAACTGCCAAAATATTATACGTTATCCCGCGAGGGCGAGTGGAACGCGGATTAATGTAGTGCATCTGTGTCCCACATACCACGAGGCCGAAGGCCGAGTTGTATGTGGGACACAAATGCACTACATTTTCCATGTTCCTCAAGCGCGATTGTGATAACGAATTTATCTATAAGCAAACTTGACGCGCAGTATAGTTGGAAAGAGCACACTTTGCACTAACATTTCAGCAATTTAGCGCATGCAGCTGGAATGTCGCTCGCATCTTGGAATAGCGCAGTACGCAGGGTGCGATATGGACCGTGCAATACAGTATAATATCACACTATTGTTGCCATGGATCGACCAATCAGAATCGAGGATACGGGTTTACTTGAAGATATTATGCTTAATTGTAAGTGAATAATAGGATCAAACATCCTGTGAAATCATTGCACCTACATGTAGTATGGTGTTCTGCGAATAAGAATTATTGTTCCCGAAAGACAAACTGGGGATCATACCACAAGAGTGTGTAAGTCAAAAAGTAGTAATAAATAATTAAAAATGGAGGGCTTTCAACAGAAATCTTACTTTGTGTCAAGAAAAGTAAAGATGCATTTCCACAGTTTCCTCAGAATTGATGATATCTACTGAGCTGAAAGTTTTGCAGGTTATTTTTTTTAATAATCTGCTTCAGATTTTATTTATTGTTCTTGAATCGGCACAAATACACTTTTGTACAAATGGTGAACATCACCCTTCATTTATTTTCAGAGAAACCTGAGCAAGTTTGGCAATGATTGTGTAGCAACTGGTTCCTGCGTGCTGTGGTGCGGGTCTGCGTCCCCCGGCTTTGATAACAGGGGCTGCGCAGGCTGGGGGCGGAGTCTAAGATACCTCCCACGACGGGACCTGCAAACACACCGCAGGTATTGTCAACTAGGTTTTTGAAACCGCGGCTGTGTCTCTCAGTTTTGGCTTCATCCCTGGATGTCCGCAGGGTTTCCAAAGTCAGGGAAAAAACTCATGGAAAGATCCTGAAATTTAAAACTATTATGGAAAGTCATGGAAAATCCATGGAATTCGTTATTTTTGCGAGGAGTTGTGGAAAGATGATATTCCAAAAAAAGTTATAAAAAACAGGTGAAATACCCGCACAACCCATACGTGATTTAAAAATGCGTATTATTCGTAGGGGTGTGCATCTGAACCGGCTACCTGAGTACCCGACTGCTGATGTCAGGAACCAGTTCTAGATTATGGAATCGAGTGCCTGTAAACAGCTTTACAAATTACTCAGTAACTTCTCATACACGTACAATGAATAAGAAAGGTTTTGAATGCCATTTGCGGAGAATTTTCAAAATGATAACTAGACTACATGGAAAATCAAACCAGATTTCACGTCATTCTATGTCAATGACTCTCGCGAAAGTTGCAGTTTGCACCGTAAAGCAATAAAGCTGTTCAGACAACTTCAGGGATTTGCATTTTGGGGTTGGGTTTCTTTTACGGGTACCCGGGTATCCGTGCTTTGCTTCAATAGGGTACCCGGTTTCCTTGCTACCTGTATTTGCACAGCACTAACTATGTGTTATAATGTGTAGATGCCTTATTTAGTATATGGTGACATGTAAGTTTAACATGAAATCATGGGAGGAGCAGATGGCTGTGAGGGGAAGTGGAGGCCATCTTGATGGTAATGCACACTGCACAGATATTTATTTCAGTGTAATGAAGACTTATTCCAGCTTATTGTAAATATGTGCCTAATATGCCAAAGCAAAGTAGGAATTGGTCATCGAAAGCCCTTATTTTGCCCTGGAAAGTTGTAAAGGACATTTTCAGATACATCACTGCTTCTTTCTCCCTCCAGGAGTACATACAATGCTCAGTGGGAGTTCTACATTGGATTAGCCTCCTCTCCAGATGTTATTATCATCCCGACCATGAATGATTTCCCAGGTAAGCATCATTCTGTTGGAATGTGAATGATTTGACGCTTTGCCTCCATTAGGAATGAGGTCTTAGGTTTGAAACAATGTTCTTACTTTGTCTGAAAGCATTGCTTTGTCATTGTTCATTCTCCGTTACTTGTTATCTGACGTGTGACTGACTTGTGATTGACTTCTGATTGACTTCTAAATTGTGATTGACTTGTGATTGACTTATGATTGACTTGTGATTGACCTCCGACTTGATTTGTGATTGACTTCTGATTTGACTTGTGACTTGACATGTGATTAACTTCTGACTTGACTTATTACTGACTTGTAATTTGACTTGTGGTTGACTTTTGACTTGACTTGTGACTGAATTGTGATTGACTTCTGATTGACTTCTGAATTGTGATTGTTTTATGATTGACTTGTGATTGGCTTGTGATTGAATTCTGACTTGACTTGCGACTGACTTGTGGTTTGACTTGTGATTGACTTTTGTTTTGATTTGTGACTGAATTGTGATTGACATCTGATTGAGTGCTAAATTGTGATTGACTTCTGATTAAATTGTGATTGACTTCTGACTTGGCTTGTGACTGAGTTGTCATTCATCACTTTAAAATTATCAATAAATATCAATATGAGCGACTTTCTTTCTCTGTGCAGAAGCAACTGTGATACTCCCCACCGGTCCCGCCATGGATGCATTACACAGCACAGCCTGGCTGTCAGCCAAATGGAAGAATATCAGTGCTGATACCACAGGCGTGTCCCTCCCTGCTAGTTGGTTCAGTCTGTACCGCCAGGCTATCTTCTACCAGCGAACGCCACATCTAAATGGTGAGATTTATTGCAGTAATTTCCCCCTTTTTTCTGAATGGGTTGTTTTTTGTGTTAGTAATGCTTTGCTTTTTTTCTCAAAATTTTCTCAATATAAATTTTATATGTTTATCTAATATAAAATAGTAGAAGTATTATTCCTACAAATGTAAATCATGACAGATCTCCCCTTTGGCAAAACTTTTGCCAAAATTAGTGGGTAAGACGGCATGTTTCATTCCACTCAGCTTCGCCTTGTGGAGTATGGAACATTCCATCTATCAAGTCACAAAATTATCACCCAATGAAATTATTCTCACCAATGCACTCACAAACATTTCGTTATTTGTGCATTTTCCATTGCATGAATGTGAACCATTCATTATATGTTTTATACAAGGAATGAATAAATCCTCATCAGAGCCGCCAGAGTTGTGTTATAGAACCACCAATAGTATGCCCATGCAATGGAACTTCTGTTTACCATGGAATGGAACACGTTTTTTTTCGGTGGGGATAGTCATTGGGTTTGGACAAATAATTCAATGACATGTGATCAACGACCCGCCAATCAGATGACAGGGATTTATTCAGGCGTTGTTTACGTATAATAACCATTGACAGAAACGAATTGGGACTTGGAAATTATCTTGGGCAGGAAACCTCATTGATCATTGCCCTGTCAAGGATTAATAAGGGAATAAATATGTGTTTCGGAGGTATTATAACACTCTGTTTAAGACCGGTGGGAGTCTGGATGAGTGATAATTACCCTTGGCTTCGCCTCAGGTAATTATCACCCATCCAGACTCCCACCGGTCTTAAACAGAGTGTTTAATACCATTCAAACACATATTTAACTCCCATTCATAAATACCACAGACAGTTTAGCTATTCCTATTGGTCGAGAGCCCGTCACGTGGCCGGTTTTAAACGGATGATAAAGACATGGCTAGCTGGTCTTAAACACTTTTCCAGTGTCACAATAAAATGTGGACTCCTAAAAATCCAGTGCCTCTTACCGTTTCATTGGTTGAACGTTCACAATCCTCACGTAGGCATGCGCAACACTACATGCGAGTCAGAATTTTATAGTTCTAAATTCAAAACGCAACGGCCCAGGTGCGTTCTGCGTGACATCGCGCAGAACATGCTACGCGCGCGTCAATCCCCATAAAAGGGTTGTTTACATCTTACTCGCCAGCTGAACACTCCATTATTTTGCTAGAGGGATGTTTCAAAAAGCATGAAGTGAACTTGTTGAACAAAATCGGGATTTTTTGAACGAATTATTTGATAGTTTTTTACGGATAAGGTATTTATGAATGGGAATAAATATGTGCTCGGTCGGTATTTATCACTCTGTTTAATACCGCTTAGAGTCTGGGTGCTGATAATTACCCGAGCCGGAGGCGAGGGTAATTATCAGCACCCAGACTCTAAGCGGTATTAAACAGAGTGATAAAAACCTCTCGAGCACACATTTATTCCCTTATTCATAAATACCTTTGCGGTCAAAAAAAAAAAATCTTTTCGGTCCAGAAATCAAAACAAGTCAAAAACTAGACGTTGCCAACCATTTTGTTCAACAATTTTACTTCACGTTTTACGAAACACCGCTCTGACTATAATATGGAATGCTCCTCCACAACTCGTTACCTGATAAGGACATTGGCGTGCGCGTCGCGTGTACTGCGCGATGTCGCGCAAAATGCAGCTGGGCTGGTGGTGTGTGAATTTCGGACCATGAAATACTGATTCACTGGTAGTATTGCGCATGCATATTTGAGGAATGTGAACGTTCAACCAATGAAACGTTAGAAGGCACTGGATTTCATGGAGTGTAAATTTCATGTGACACTGGAAAAGTGTTTAAGACCGGCTAGCCATGTCTGTATCATCCGTTTAAGACCGGCCACATGACGGGCTCTCGACCAATAGGGAATGAGTAAACTGTCTTTGGTATTTATGAATGCCTAATGATATATCAGATTTTTCAAATCAGTTCTCACTGTGTGTGTTATTTGTCAGTTTCACACATCATCTCAGCACTAAACCAGACAGCTTCACTGATCAACAACACACTGTACGCCGAGGCATCTAGCTCTCTGCATATCATCAGGTATGTTTTTTTCCTTACTCGTTTTTACATTTTTCTTTGTCTCAGTGTCTAACAACCAAATATCCAAGGTAACACTGTCCAAGGTGAAACATTTCCTGTATATCTAAGGTTAACCAGCCCCCAAAAAAGGTGGACAACATAGATTTTAGAAATGTTTACAATTTTAAGCTATTTTCACATTTGTTTTATGTAGTTTGCAATTCATATACCACTTCCAAAGTCAACTTTGCAACGTATGATCCATTTTTCACATGCCATGGTTCTGGAGCATTGAAATGTTTTCGTTCCATTTGAATTAATATTTCTTTCCTCCCCAGAAAAGATCTACAGAAGCTTGCATCCAGATTGAAGGTGACAAACTTGACCTTTGACCTACCAAGCGAGGGCCTGTATCCTACCGTCAAACCAACCACACAGAATGGCTCGTATGTCGTCAGCAAGACCGACGGGCTGTTCCTTGCTGTGGAGGAGACCAAGGCTGCTATGCTGAGAGCTGCAAATTTTAAGGTGAATTGCTGATTATTTTTGCTGGTCAAAGAGGGGCCATCCTAAATCCCTCCTTGTTATGCAAATAATGAATGTTTATTGAGTGCAATGGAGGGAATATTTTCCAGGCAATGAGGCGTAGCCGAGTAGAATGGAACGGTGGAATACGCCAGGAATATTTTGACAAGAATGGAACGACCAGGCGTAGGATTACTTTTCACTCTCTACCTCAATGCCAGGCGGGTTGAAGCCATCACCCTCGGGCAGCACACTCATATTTCTGGCCTCCCTCGCTGCGATCGGGTTGCTGACAGATATTTCCGGCCTCGCTCACTGCGTGTTTATCCCTCATCCGTGTTAGCTACATTTTGATACCCCGTTTGGTACCAAAGACTGTAAATCGTCCAACATTGACAACGGTTTATGAAAAATGATGCAGTTTGAAAAGTTGCAAATTTAAAGAGTATGCGAGTCGAGTGGAAATTGCTGATTGACAATGTGACACTGCCCGAAACGAACGGCAGGAAATATCGATCACACAGTTCTTGTGTGCATGGGAACATGTGAAATTGCATTACCCACGCTTTGTGCGGGCACTGTGCAGGCGATAGGGGCCAATGAACTACAGGCATGTGTGTTGGCGCTCAGCAATTTCTCCCTGCGTATCTCTGAAATTGCAATTTCAAACTGCATCGTTTTTCATAAACCATTGTCATTCTTGGACAAACTACGTGTTTGGGAGCAAACAGGGTGTCAAAATGTAGCTAACAAAATCCCCCAAAGGTCTATATCAATGATGTTATCATAAGACGATCGGATTCAAAATTATTACCCCTCCAATGATTGTGGACTTTCTTTTTTGCGGTGTTTTCAATGTAAAAGTGATCCCTACTTTGGCTGTAAATAAAATAAAGAAAATAAAGATACTGTCAATAGTCGTCTTCATTTCTTGCATGTGACTAACCTTGGGCTCAACCTCACTCAATCGATACAGGGACTACTACGATTTGAGTATCGTCTGCAGAAGGAGACCTTCTCACATCTCAAGGTGTACTCCTCAACATCCAGACAAAATAAACCACCAAGGAAAGAACTTCTTGTATCAAGGTATTCAGAAAGCGGTCGGGAAAAAGAGGTTTTTGTCAAACACGGTGATTTTGCGGAGGTGTGTGACATCATGGTGACATCATCAGGTGGGCATATCTGACATTTTTATAGTTTCTGGAATTGGCATTGTGCCAGGCATTTTGAAAATGTGAAAATTTGAAAATGTGAAACTTTACGTGGTTACCATGGCAGTGTTGCCAGGCGACAGTAAGCACGGATTGGGTTGGAAAGAGATTTCATATTGTCGGTATTGTTTTATACAGAAATCTATTAGTAAGAAAATAAATATTAAAATTTATAAGGAAAGGAACTGAAAAAGAAATTGGATAGAAATTATAGGAGCACAGCTACTGTTTTGAAGGACCGTGACTTTAATACAGTAAAATTTACAGTGGAAATTGCGGAGAAGTACAATATAAATGCAAATATTTGCATCGGTTTTTGCAATAAACGGCGCCACCTTGTGTCCATCAGAGAATGGGGTGCATCAGAGGATTGCAGACCGTAAACAGACTGCCATAGACCTCAGTGATAATTACATGCATTTCCTAAAATTATTCAAAATACTCAAAACTGTCCAAAGTGTTTGCAACACACCAAATTAAAGCTTATTTCAACATCTTTCATTTTCCGTTCAATTTTTGAGGGATTAACAAATGAATTTTGAGAGATAATTCCATCCAAAGATGATCACCATCAAAAGCAGGCCTGAAGCCCAACGCCATTTTGAAAACAGCCTACACTCCATTGCAAAAAAGAGCCGTTTTAAGGCCTGATTTCATCCAAATTTCACACTAACACGAGCTCGCAGTCCTCTGCATGGCTTCCACTCCTGGCCCTCAAAATGCTCTAATACCGGAGAATTTGAGGGCATGCAAATCGTGATTTGGCTGGGGTAAGCAATTTCGGGCCTATTTACCGGCCTGCACCCAGAGAATGTCAAGATTTTTTACGAAAATATTGAAATTTCTTCAGGTTGTATGCAGCTGATAAAAACTGAAGATTTGGGGAAAAGAAAGTTAAAAAAATTAAAGAAGAAAAGGGATTTTGATCTGCTTGGAAGGCCATATTGAATGGAAAGCTTAACAGAAATGTTGCTGGCTTTTGCTGGTTACTTGGCTTGTTTCATTGACGTTTAAAAAAAAAAAAATCATCACCCCCCGTTTTATTTTGGTTCCATGTATAAGGTGCCTGGGAGTCTGCAGTAGTGGCTCTGCTCAAAGTCAACCAGGCCTGGGACCACACCGCTGAGCATTCATCAGATCTGTACTTCGTAGCTGACGAGTCATTCTTACTGCGCAACATCTCTCTCGAGTTTCAAGTCTTTTCTGTCGATCCAAGTTGATGATTTCAATTTATATATTTATTTAATATTTTATTATTTTCATCCATGGGTTAACAGAAAATGTATTTAAATGTAATACATCTTCAGAGATTTTCAAACGTTTAATATATGGTATATCTTGCCATATACTTTGTCTACTTAAAACTGCTGTAGGGGAGCTTTTTAACAACTTTACTTGTTTTCCTAACAAAATTATATATTTGGCATCAACAATCATCTTAAAATAGAGGCTTCCACTTTGTTGTGTCCACGTATCTCCTAAAATGGTGTGTGAAGTTATGTTCCTGAAACGCGAGTTTTCAATGTCAAAAGGTCACACCTCGTTTAGAAAAACCCGGATGTAGCCCGGACCTTGATGCACGGAGCGTATCCGCGCGAGATATGACTTTGTTGCAGAATCGAGTTATGACCTTGTTGCACTAATGTGACGATTTGTTCTAATAGTTTTATTAACATTGTTAACTAGGCATGGCCTAAGGGCCAAAAAAGTGTCTGGTTTCTGGTATGCGCGCGCATCGCCGTAGCCATGCGCGTCGGCAAAATGAAAAAGTTGTTTTTTCAATGTATGATGATATCTAAAATCTGCCAAACTCACTGGTTTGAGTGGAATCCTGCTGCTGCACAATTTTAACGTGTTTTTAGATGGGGTTACGATCGAGTATAAGCTTTATGTGGCCTCTCTGGACTCCCACATATTTTGCACTAAATTTAGTCGGGCATCATTTGCAGACAGTGTTGTAATTTTGTAATTAAGAAAAAAAAAGGAAAAAGTTTTTTTTTAAAAAGCCGCGTCGCTGCACCACTTGTGGGGCAAGCTCCATACCAGAAACTGGAGACCTTTTTTTTTGGCCTAATGATGTAATTTTGAAATGCAGTAAATTGTTTTAAATATTAAAGGTGTTTTTTAACACTAGAGATAGTTCCCTGTCTTTAAGTAAGTACAACTTATAACTTCTTCCTGGGAAAGTGCTCTTAATAATTTATAAATAATTTAAAAACATTGTTTAGTCCTAGTACAATGAGACTAGAAGGCAGATTGCGTATAAGGTACCAACTTTATTAAAATGTTGGTTGTAATTGTCAAACGTTTAGGAAAACTTGTACATGTACATGCATTATTATTTTCTGTTCATAAACACGTAAGACAGTTTATCAATTCTCATTGGTCGAGATCCCGTCACATGGCCGGTCACAAAAAGATGATAAAGACATGGCTGGTTGTCTTAAACACTTTTCCAGTGTCACATGAAATTGGGCTCCAATGAAATCCTTTTACCGTGTCATTTGTTGAACGTTCGCAATCCTCACGTAGGCATGCGCAATACTACCAGTGAGTCAGTATTTCATAGTCCTACATTCACAACGCACTCACCACAGCCAAGGGCGGATCCAAAACACAATTTTTGGGGGGGCCAAAACAATTTTTGGTCCCCCCAAAAAAGTGGGTAAAAAAATTTACGGCGTGGGGTTCGGGGCCCGCTTAAGGGCCCCGAAATTTTTTTGGATTCTAGATGCTCTGTGGTGCGATCTGAGGCAATTTCTGACCACTTTAACCAATGTTTTTTTGAGGAAAAGATGGTGGTGTACTCATTGCCTGCCTTTATTGCGATGTCACATAAAAAAAAAAAAAATTGGTTTCGTTTTGGGGGGGGCCATGGCCCCCTTTGGCCCCCCCTGGATCCGCCCTTGACCACAGCTGCATCTGCGCATCATTGCGCAGTACGCACAATTGATGCAGTACGCATCAATCGCCATAAATTTGATTATGTCTTACTCGCAAGCGGGACACTCCATTATATAGCTAGAGGGGTGTTTCGGAAAACATGAAGTTAAATTGTTGAACAAAATCATTGGACATTTTAAATTTTGACTAATTTTGACTTTTGGACCAACAAGTTTTGATTTTGAACCGAAAAAGGTATTATTTATTGAAATAATTATGTGCTTGGTCGGTATTAAACACTATGTTAAGACTGTTTGGAGTCTGAATGCCGATAATTACCCTTTAACCAGTTGTACACATAGTGTTTAATACCGACCAAGCACACATTTATTCCCGGCTTATTAATGGCAAATTTAAGTGAATTTGTTTGGTGTATCGAAAAAGTTTGTGTATTTTAGAGTATGTGTGGTATTGAAATTATATTCTAAAAGATTTTTGTTTCTAAATTATAGAATATGGCACATTTGGTATACGGCCATCTTTTCTTGGTCATCATCATAATCCTTTTCAGAAATCTGAATCCATTATAGGCTCCAGCCTATTTATTTTTGTATATTTGATACTTCGAGCTTAAAATAACAGAATTCCCAAATAAAGACACATTGAAAATTAATTTGTTTGCTTCATTTGTTCATTTTGTCTGTAGACTTTTTTTTTTATGCCTCTGACAACATTATGACAAAATCGAGGGTGCGCGCCAATGATGAGCGCGCCAGCGGCCTGTAAAATGTATATAGCGCCCTCATGCGGCACTAGATACCCGTCTGGCTGGCACAAAAGTGCAGGCTGCTGATTTGTCAAAAGTTCTATTTCACTACGTGCGTAAAATATTGCACCAAAAAAGTAAGTTTTTTCTTTTCGCTGATTGAACGCATAAAAAGGCTTTTCTTTTTTTTAAACACGTTTGTGTAGCATATAAAATATTGAAACAAAATTTGGGAAGATTTAAGCGATGAAAGTGTCTAAGTGACATCAACTGCTGGGAAGAAGATTACACCAACTGCGTGATGCAAAAATTTAGCACGTGCTACGGTGCGTGATTTTTGTTTGATCGATCATGTCGATGGCATTCCTGAACTGATGCCTGAACTGTAGTGCAACTCCGAGCTGTCCAGACGATGTGATCACGTCAGTAGATTTGCAGGTAATCTATCATGTTTATTTCTTGTGGGCTTGTATTAAACTAAAGGCAGTAGCAACAACAAAACGGCATACTCGTACTCGCAGTATAAATCTGGCACATTTTTGTCATCGGTTGCTAATCATTCAGCACTCCCTAGACCCGTGAACGTGGCTTGCTTGTTGTATACAACGCCACGTTCACGGGTCTAAGCACTCCCCTGTCTCCAGACTCAAAAAACTATTCGGGATGGTTTCACAGTAAAATTGAGTCTGGGAACAAGACAAGTGAACTTTTTAAAGAAAATTTTGAAAAAATGTTGCATCCTGATGCCACTTTTTTCATATCATGTCAATGAAGCTGAAACATTGCAAAAAATGGTGCCAAGACATGAATACTCGGAGTCGGACCAAGTGAGAAACATTTCCAATTTTGTTCGAAAATGCTTTGAAAATGTTCTTCATAGAGTTTGTCATGTTTGTACACGACCGCTGAAGTGGCATCTGGGTACTATGCTAGGCCTACATTCTTTCCCTTTATTCCTTGGAACTCACATTTTTGCAGGGTGCGTCAGATTTCATCTTTTGGTAATCCTTACTTTTACTTTTAGGACACCTCTATTTTTTTACGAGTTCTGTTCAAAACTGACATTTGCAGATGACTGTCCAGTACCAAAGTGACTTTTGCAGGCTAAAGCAGTCTTTTTTCATCATATAAACTCATGTTAGTTGTAATTTTGAAAGCACTTTCAAAGAAAATGTGACTTTCCTACCTTTTTTCACAGTCAGACGTGCATGTTGTACTTATCACACGCATGAAAGCCCTACATAATGAAAGCTTGATGCTGATTTGCTGCTAAAAAAAATAATTAAGATCTTTATTTTTTATCAGCCAATCAGCATCGAGCTTTCATTGCATCGAGCTTCACATTTGCCATCTTGGTTTTTGAGTCTGTTTTCTGGTTGTCATCATTGTCTTTTACCCCTTAATTTCCCTCTAAAATCAAAGCCCTGCCCTCTTTCCACAAACTTAAACCTGCTGATATTCAAGACCCATACCCATCTTTCTCTGTGATTCATGGCGTCGAAGGATTTAATTAAAGGAAAGGAAAGACCGAGAACATTTAATGATGCATACATTTTAATTGGTCCTACTTCTTTTAAAATAGCGTGGTGAGGGTCCAGGATTGGATCGGATCCCACTTACCTGCCGCCAAACACATCAATTTTCACCTCACCTTGTGATTTCAGTGTTCCAGAAAGATCAGACAATGTGAATACATTTTAGGAGAAAGTGTTTTTAGAGCACATTTTGGATGCACACATCGTTGGCCAATGACAGCATGAGCCAATGACAGGGCAATACCTAATTATGAATATCTAATTTCTGATGAATATTTAGTTTATTAAATATTCCCTAGTCTTATTTCAATGGATCCGTTAAAACTTAAATAGTTCAAAAAAATTCACTGCGTTCAAGCCCACTCACGGTATAGCGGTTAGAGTCATGATATTGGTGTAATTTAAAGACGACAGTCCGAGGATCGAGTTTCGATGGATCTCCATGAAGTAAGTAACTGATTAATAAAGAGAAATGGAAGAAAGGAAAAGGTGAGAGTCAAGGAGGGAAAGTGGAGGAAATAATCATACAGGAAGCAACTTTTTAGCACTTGAAAATTAATTGACAAAATTCTGAGTGCACAATTCTTTCCAGGGTCCGGAAAGAATTGTGTACAAAATAAATCTATGGAGAGTCAAGTACATTTTCAAAGTATTTTCTAACAAAATTTGAAGTGTTTCTCAGTCCCAGACTGTTCATGTCTTTCCAACATTTTTGCAATGACTGACCTTCACTGAGATAATTTATGATGAAAAAAAATGGCGTCAGGATGCAACATTCTTTCCGAGGGTCCTAAAACTAAAATGCAATGAAGTGAAGGGCCACTTTCCCATTTTAATTTCTAAGAGAACGACACTCTTTTTTTTGGAAAGAACGTAGTATCCATTCGCTACTTCCTTGGTTGTGTACAACTTCTACGGTGAGTCGAGTGCATTCATCCTTTTACGTATTTCTTACGAAATTAGAAATGTTTCTCAGTCCCAGATTCATGTCTTTTCAACATTTTTGCAAATGACTGACCTTCATTGAGAAATGTTATGATGGAAAAAAAAAAGTGGCGTCAGGATACAACAGTTTCCTGCTCGTTGTACTATATATGCCTCATACTGGACTCAAATATAGCTATAGCAATGACCAGTGTCAAAAAGCAACAGTGCACATTGTGGAAAGAGAAAAGCCAGGGTTGTGATTTTTTCAATGTGATAATTTAGGGTAAAGTATTAAAGGGAAGATACAACATTTGCAAACATCTCAAAATGAAATGATCAAATTATCACAAAATACCTTACTGGATTGTTAGGGAATGACGGTCTAAAACATTCTGTAAAATCGTGGCTCCTGGTGTGCTGTCATTTTCAAGAAAAATGGGATTTTTCCAACGCTGGTCGGCCGACCAGCGTTGGAGAAAACTGGCTTTTTCAAAAAGTGCTCCTAATTCTTCATAATTTGTTATTCCGCGTTTTCTTTGCAATTGATTACACACCTGTAAAGGGGTACAAGCCTGCTAGACTGATTCTCTGACCTTACAATTCCGCAAAGTTTATAAATTGCTCTGTTTCATCTTAAGTGGGGTCAGGGAACCAGACTACAAGAACATGATTGGTTTTCTTGGTTTTTCCAGCATCTACAAGCCCAAATCGTGAAACAAGTCATTTTAACAATATTTGCTATAACACACTAATCCTCCAAACCCATTTATTTCTGAAAAAAATGCAAATGTTGTACATTCCCTTTATCAACAACAACGACGACAACAACAAAATGCAACACCACAACATTATGCGATGTGCTTCAAATTGAACGCATGAAAAACTGCATTGATTCTCATATGACATCAACATATATATATACTGTAAATTCAGAATTTTCCATTTTGTACTAAAAAGTGTTCCAAAATTAATCAAAGTGACCCAAATATGGTTATAAAATCAAAAGAAAATTGCCCAAAGGTGACTGAAGTCATATTTAACTGAAACAAAAATGGAAAAAGAGTGGCCCTCACTTCACAATCACCAATTCATGGCAAAAATAATATCTGGCCAGATGTTTACGCTTAAATTGATTGATTTAAGGGGGAAATTGTAAATTCTCTGGCACACGGCTCTCGTAAAGCATAGAGTACACTTATTCATTCAGTGAAAGATGTAATTGATACTAAGCAAGTAATACTATTTTTTAAACGACACATGTGAGCGCAGTCGGAAGTTTTTTGACATGCTGCCTAGACAGCAATCAAATCCGCCCGCCAGGTGAGTCATGAATATTCATAGAGCATTATGTTTACCCAGCAGTCTGGCTTAAAATTGTAGCGTCCCTCTGGAACAGCCCATTCCAGTGACCCACTTTTGATAAAGAGGGGGAACTGTCAACCAAAATAAAAAAATGACACCCAACTAAACTGTGCTGACTAAAATGATATTCACAAATGGATCCTCTCAAGTTTTACATTTGTCAAAAATTAATTATTAACGAATAACTGCTGTGTAAAGTATCCGAAATGTGCTTCATAATAAGTACAATTTAGAGTGGGTGATATTGAACACCCCTAATAAATTGAATGGAAGCTTCCAGAAGGTGACCTAGACACTGTATACAGTGCAGTGAACAATGACCTTAATGTCATTGTGCATGGGATGATATGCTTGTGTAGTTTACAATACACATGTGTGGAATGACGGTTAAATTCATTCACTCATTCAGCGATTGAACGAAGGCTGAACCGTGTTAAACCAAGACACAAACATGATTTTACTGACGAATTGGGGCAGAAATTGGCTGTACAGTTACTGCTAATTCTGAGATAAATTACTCAAATTTTGAGGCCAGTTGTAACTTGCCCACTCTGCCAGTGACAGTGAGTCCAGTTTTGTCAACTGAAGGAAATTGATACAGTTTGGTTTGTCCACACCGAAGTGAAGGATTAATTGTTCCAGGGAATTTTCATCATGATGAAGTTGAGGAGTTCGCGTTTGGTGGCCTCCAGAGCGGCCCAGAAACAGGACGAATCGCCATTCTTGCCTCCAGCTTATGAGGCGAATGGAACCAGGTAATGTGGTCATATTAAAAAGTTGGAAATGTCAAAGTTGTCTTGAAGGGTTCTGTTTTTCCTCCTTTGCTGCTGGCATGCCAAACTCGATACATTTGACTTTTTTATGAATTTGGCATGGCAATATCACAGCATTTAGAACCGTTATTTTGGCTCGACAAATAGAGTTTGGTGCGGCGAACTTTAGTAAGCATCACACATGAGCTTGTGCAATATCTACCTTCACTTTGTATTTTTGTCATCATTTTCGTCATTGTACCCCATAATTTCCCTCTAAATCCATACCCCTTGGCACCGTCCCTAATCCATGACATTCCTGTCGCTTTTCAAATTCACAAGGTACAGTAATTGGGTGAGTCCAATAACATAAAAATGGATAAATTATAATAGTTTATGCGGTACCCACTGCTATGTACATCAGATTCGAACCGGCCAACCGATCCCGTTAGCTCGGTGGTCGAGTGGTAAGACATCTGCTCGGTGGTCGAGTGGTAAGACATCTGCACTAGAAAGCAGGAGGTCGTGGGTTCAAGTCCCACCCGAGTGATTTTTTCCAACTTTCACTCGGGAGGTAACACACTGAGTATACAGTGTTTAAAAAACGTCGGTGAAGGGCAAAACCTAATTTGATTTATATCACCCCGACGCAAAATTCCATCTTATAATAGTTTATGCGGTACCCGCTGCTATGTACATCAGATTCGAACCAGCCAACCGATCCCGTTAGCTCGGTGGTCGAGTGGTAAGACATCTGCACTAGAAAGCAGGAGGTCGTGGGTTCGAGTCCCACCCGAGTGATTTTTTCCACACACTGAGTATACAGTGTTTAAAAAACGTCGGTGGAGGGCAAAACCTAATTTGAAATGTACATGTAGTTGTCTTACAGGCCTGGAAAGGGGTCCTGAACTGAAGTACACCCCAACGATTTGACAGTGACATGCAACAATAAGGCAGTTCGGTATTTCAACTGCGCATGTGAACAATGATGTGGGTCATGGTCATTCGGGATAATTGAACATTTCGAAGGTGCATGAATGCGTGTGCATGAACGCGGGCGCACGAGGCTTGCGTGTAAATTACCAGCAGAATGGGCGTGCACGTAACATCGCGTAACATTACGTCAGCGATGTTATCCAGAATGACTCGGTTCATAGAAATACCAAACTGGCTTATTGTAGCAAACTTATGTGCTGAGTACTTGGACCTATGCTTGGACTGTGGCATCCTGGTACCATCATGGAGCTATAAAAAGGAGCTCCATGGTACCATGGAGGTACATCATGTAGGAACCTCCATGCTGGTACCCACTCCTGTCCATTAGCCACAATAAATTGAAATGCGCTTATCTTATGATAACAGCTCATTATTCAGGCAGTGAGCTTTGGCCACATTAAACTCATTGTGTACACATCTACATTGTAGCTGAGAGAAGCATGTAACTGTCATTTATTTGCTGGAGTGATAAACTTTAATAGTCCATACATGCCATACATGTGTAGCTTTAACACTCAATATTTGGCAGTTGTGTGCCTGGGGTTTTTAAGCTTCTATAAAAGTTTATTCTAGGCACTTTTACGTCCAGTGAAATTATATTTGTATTTCTTGCCACATTTGACCACATTACCCCAATTAGATGACGACAAATATACAGTGTAGATACATTGTGTACATGCAAATTAAATTTCTCTTCAATTCAAAATTCTCTTCAATAAAATAAACGTCTTTAAATCTGGCAGAATTCTAAAGGTGAAAATCTGGTTTTTGCTCAGATTTTCACCAGATTTTCGCCTTAGTCATGTTAGTCCTGTCTATCTAGCTCCTGTGTTTTGTGGTATGGAAGAAAACAGTGTGTGTGAAATGACAGCAGATGAATGACGGGATATGTTTATGTACTTTTGAAAACTGTAAACTTGCTTTACTTTGTTTGCTTATTATGGGGGTGCACTGTTCAGTAGATAAAAGGCTGAAAGAATTTGATCAGATCAGGAATGCAGTACATGTACTTGGCAAGGACAGTTGACTTTTTACAGTTTGCATTTGATATGAGATAAGTTTTTCAAATTTGTAACAATATGCTTGATGATAAAAACATTAACATTCCAAAATCCTATATTATCTTGTTAGACATAATGATGGATAATTATTGAAGTATATCCTTTACACGTTCTGTAATTTTGCCTGGTGAACATGTACATGGTATACATGTACCCCTCCACTAGTGTCCAACAAACTATTTGTCCAACATGTTTGTTTCCGAAGACAGCAAATTTGTCTTGATCTTTATCACGCCTGCTACATGTGCATGTGTGTATAGAACCACTTATTACTAGTGAAAAGATGTTGTTTGTTTGTCCTTTTGCAGAGTTGGTTTAGAGTAAAGACATCCTGGTCATTCAAGGGTTGTTGCATAATGTAGTTTAGCAACCCAATTGCAACAACGCAAGGAATCTTTTTTTTTTACAAATGCGCAGTTAGAGAGACATTATGTGCCCAAATGGACTGCAAAACACGTTTTAAATGAAACAATGTTAATTGGCAAAAGCATTTAAAAGCGGGATATAAACGTCCACACATTCATCCTTTAAAAACTGGGTGTTTTTGTGTTATTCTTGCCACAAACATGCGAGAACGAATTTCGGGGGTCAATATTTTGACTCTCAAAAATCGAGTGTTGAGAGCATGCATACATACATGTAGTTGTGAATCCTGCCGCACAGTGCATCGCATTCTGCGAACATGGGAGAAACAATATTCGTGTATTGGTGCTGTGTGCTACACACACAAAATGTGTCGCACATTGAATGGAAACGGCTGAAAATACATACATGTATGCATTATAAGCCGCGTCCGATGTCAAACATACATATTTTTTTTTCTCATAAGACATTAGGATAGTTTTCTTCCAACCAGACCTTTTAAATGGGATAAGTAAACAATCCAAAACTCAAAATGTTAGAGGATTTCAGGCCGCAATGCCCCTTTAACCTTACATTTGTTCCAGTACATAGCACAAATTCTGGATCTAAAACAGATTCAATGACCGAGCCGAAACTGGGAAATCAATATGGTGCAATATTGATTTACTTTGGTTGCTCTAAATCCATCTGAAAACTCTGGTGGCTACGCCTTTTGTCCCGAGGCTACGTGCTGTGATCTGGTTATTATTATTGGGCCTCATTAGAGAGATGACAGAACTGCAAATACCCTGTAGGCATTTTGGGGGCAAATCCGTGTGTGCAATTGGTAGACCCAACAATCATTTCCCAATTTACTTATAGATAAAGTAAAAACCGGGGGAAAACAGAAATTATATTATACATCACCAATGCTACCATGAATTTTGCTTTGTCGCCAAAGCAAAGTTATCAGGGTTGCATGTAGTCTCTCTTTGTTTTTATGTTCCTGGAATCTATTCCTTGATGAACAGGCATGCAACTTTTCCTCGGATTTGCTGATTTTCTCGTTTTTTACTTCTCATAAATGCCATTACAAATTGCAAAATACTGTACAAAGTCTTGTGTGGACTGGAATTTCCTCGTTTTTTCTAAATTCGCAGTTGCATGCCTGGATGAACTGAAAAATATTTGGAATCAATTGAAAAAGAAAATTCTGATTCCAATTTTACACATGTACTGTTGATTTATGTGCCATAGGTATGGAATTGATTCTGTTAGATTCTGCGCTAGTGTCGCCCAAGCCTACATGTATGATGTACTGTATTGGTACCTTTTGAATACACTGTTTTGAACTTTAAACCTTTGAACTTTGTTTTAAAATAAGTTGTATAAATGTTACTTACAAGTAAAAGTAGTACCCTACAAACAAACTGCAAGACTAGCATAAATATGGTAAGGCACTCTGAACTCATGAACATCAATCTTGATAGTACCATGTTGAAATACTTGCAACGGTTTTATGCTCAGTTTAATTGCACCATTTGTGGTGTAAAATGGCGCTCAGTGCCCACTGCTCCATATTTTTTCTGAAATGAGGTCAGCTAACAGCTCGATATTTGCACAAAATCTTCGTACCTCTTTGTCCAGAGTGCCATTACCCGTTGTGCATTGTTCGGTTTTAGCCAAGTAACGCAATAAAAAAAGTTAAAGTTTTCAATGAAAGTTCACCCAGTTGCCTCCCTGGGTATGGTAACGATGACCTTGTAAAGTGATAAGGGGGTAAGGCATGTGTTTTGTTAGTATTGTTCAGAAGCTTAAACCAAGGAGTCATGGTTCAGTTCCCATACATTATAATTTTTAACTAGTACCTTTACTATGTACAATGTATCTAATCCTTCCAGCGCAGTCTGCAAAATGCTTTTTGAGATGCTAACCAATGAAAGTTAACGCACTTGGGCCCCCCCCCAAAAAAAAATCCCACAACCCCAAGCCCCAGAGTGGTAAGGGGGTAGGGCGTGTGTTTTGTATAGGCCTATTGTTCAGAAACCATGGTTCGTTTCCCATACAATACCATTTTTTTTACTTGTGCCTCTCCGTACAATGTATCTTTCAAATCTCTCTTTGTAATCCCTCCAGTGCCGTCTGCATAATGCTTTATGAGATTGTAACCTTCGCTTGTGCCAAATTGTTATTAAATTTCCACATTATTAAATTACGTGTACATGTAGTTCTTAAAGGGAATATACAACATTTGCAAACATCGAAAAATAAAACTACCAAGTTTTTGCGAAATACCTTAATAGGATGTTGGTAAATGACAGTCTAAAGCATCCTGTAAAATTATGGCACCTGGTATACTGTCATTTTCAAGAAAAGTGGTATTTTTGTATCAATTTCCAACGCTGATCGGCCGATCAGCGTTGGAAACAACTGGCTTTTTTTTCAAATACAGGCCCCAATTGACCATTGCACTTGTTTGCAATCGATTACAAACCTATGAACGGGTACGGGCCAGCTAGACTGGTTCCCTGACCTTACAATTCCCCAATGTATGTAAACTGCTCTGTTTCTTCCTATATGGAGTCAGGGAACCAGACTACAGGAAAATGATCGTTTTTCTTGGTTTTTATAGCATTTTCGAACCCAAAACCTCCAAAAAGTCAGTGAAACTATATTTGCTTTATATTTCCAACCCCCCAATTCCATCCATTTCTGAAAATTACAGCAAAAGCAAATGATGTATATTCCCTTTAACCTAAATCCACCAAAAGCCGCTCCCGGGTTTTGAAATATTTCTTGATGAATTCACAGGGATATAGATACTGGTATGGGGATGATGTCCCACTATACTAGTGTACAAAATACTTGCCATTAGTCTATTAGTATTAGACTTTTAGAGATGGCAGGCACAATAAGAGGGCGCTGTTTGTTCTTGGTAAAGTCTTTTGTATTTACCCAAAGCTAACAGCGCCCTCCTATTGTGTCTGCCATTTATCTCAAATAGGCTAATTATTTTTCTATTTTAGCATGTGGATGCCAAAGTAATGTAAAAAGTCAAAGCTAGATTTCAAACTGCATTTGCAGTATGTACAGTATGTACATATGTACATGTACCCGAGTTGAACAACTGGAGTTACTAAAATTCAACTTAAAAATTTCTTAATTCTTATTAAAAAAAAAGAAGTTATCTAAATGTAACCCTAACAGAACTCAACCCATCAAACCCCAACAGCATGTACATGTATTGTTGGAATCTGTCGGGATTGGTACAGTCATGACAGTACATCTAAACTGACAGTCTTTTACATTGGGTTGGCACACCTCCAGAATCAAAGTCAGAAATATTTGTTTGCAGTTCCCCATGTGGTGTTGGAATTTGCCAGGATGGGTATGGTTCCCAGTAAATCATGCAAGGGAGTTGGGGTTTAAAAAAAAAAAAAAAAAAAAAACAAGAAAATAGGCCTAATTGGGATTTTAAAAAAAGTTGTTACAAGAAGTAGGGAGGTTCTGTTGATTCTCACTTTTCCACCCAAAGAAAATAATTACAGTTATTTCTGACTCTTAAGTCTAAACTGAAAAACTGAACACAATTATGGAGACCTTTATACTGACCTAGTAATACATCATAATTTTTTTAAATGTCAGGTCTCACAAGGACATTACCAGAGGAATGTAAATGGTGCTTGATTGAATTAGACACAAATTGGCCAGTTGCGTGGGGAGATGTATGCACTGTGCACGTAATCATCCAAGGCAATTTAATTGGCAAGTTTATGGTGATTCCAGATTTAGTGCTCTCTTTGGTTGACCCTTGATCCTGGCCCAGTTTCTTGAAGCTGTTAATTTGTAAGCACTGACGTATTGCCAAGTTAATTTATTTGCTCTTCAACAGTCCGCCGGGAACCAGTAATGGCTGGTAATCTTTCTTTTTGCAAACCACAGATCAGTTAATCACATTTCTGTGCTTAAAGGATGAAATGATGGGTCAGGCATGAGATTTTTATCTGAAATCAGATTTTTTTTAATACAAGAGAAAGATTTTATCAGCGATGAAGGAAATGCATCATTCAGACCTTTCACCCAATTTTACGATTTTTTTTAATTAACACTTGCAATTGTGTATAAATTTACACTGTTGTTTTAATTAATACTTTTGTACTAGTTACCACATGGTTCTAAGCCTATCAGTCATGTGACAGGTCGAGTCACATGACTGAACATGTGACAACGGCTCGTGTCTTTCGATCGTTACAGCATTGTATGCAAAACATACCAAAATTCCAATTAAAAAAAAAATCTGTTTCAATTTTTTTTCCCAGGAAGGAAAATGTACAATTTTCTATTTTTCTCATATTATTTCTTCCAAAAACAAAAGAAAGAGTAGAAAAAAAGGGGTAATTAAAAAAAAATATCTCTTCTGAAACTTGTTTGAGGATGTCGTTGTATGAAAATCCTGTTTCCTTTTTCAATATGGATATGGATTGATACAAAGTTGATAACACATCATGTGTTATCCCCAGGAAGCATCTGTCTATTGGAGCCATCTCAAATTGTCATTTCCTGTAGTCACAGTAAAGACCAAGCCTCCTAATGCTAGGGTTCATGCACTACACCGGCGCGTCTTCCTGTTCTTTTCTGGTCGTGTCTAGCGTGATTCATGCACGCTTAGCGGTACACGTGGCTTGTTTTGGGGATTCCTTTGTTTTTGTATTCTTCAGATCTTCGTATTTACTTGTTCTCCACTGTCCAGGCCTGTTTGTGTATTTAATTTGACGCCTACCTACAGGTAAGTTTTCCGCACGGTTATGCTGTCAAGCGTTTAAGGGGTTTTAACGCAGAGTAATAAGCTGTTTTTGTTAAATCTTACTTCATGAGTTGGGCTACATGTGTATGCATATATGTACTGGTACATCAGGTCTTTTGTCTTGTGATTTTTAACTACCATGCCTAGCTTCTTTGGTTTGAATATTAAAGAAATTTAATAAATCTTGACTGTGAAGGAATTTTCATCTGTGCACAGAATAAGCCAGTTCCTTATTTCAATGACCCGAGGTCATCGCGGACGTGATGTTGCGCGATGTTGCGCGATGTTGTGCATGCCATTCTGCTGGTAATTTACTCGTAACGTGGTGCACCTGCGTTCATGCGCCTTCGAAACGGTCGATTATCCCGAATGACCCGTGACCCATATCATTGTGCACATGCGCAGTTGAAATACCGAACTGGCTTATTCACCTCTGTTGTCTTACAAAGTTTTAGCTTGACTCAGACGTTTATTTGCTCTGTTCTTTTAAAATGTTTCTCCAAAAGGCTTTGGCTTTCTTGCAAATCATGAAACATTTTTCTGAGATGCATGTACTCCTTTCTAAAGCGCATGGAATTTTTGGGTGTGTAACACTTATATTATGCCACCCAAAAGCTTATTTAACCCTCCTGCTGACTGAACAGTCACAGACAGTCAAAAAATGAATCCTCTTCCCCTGCCATGCCCTTTACACAGGCTAGTCACCAACAGTCAGATCATATTTCATGCAAGCACTGTGACTAGTCAAATTCAGTCAACAGTCAAAAGCAGGCACCTAGTAGCACAGCTGTCTTATCAATCACCTACAGTCAAAGCATAGCTGTATCAAGTTACATAAGCAGTCACAGCCGGTCAATCCTGCTTTATGTAGGCCGGGAGCTCTTAATTGTTAAAAAGAGTTCACTTGACTGATTTGACGGAAAGGACAAGGATGCACAAAATGCATGTTTGCATAGGAGGGTTAAAAATGACAACAAAAAAAAAAAACCGACAAATAAAAACAAAGCCTGAACTATGACTACATTTGGTTCATATGTTTTTGCTAAGGAAATAAGCCAGCATATCCTGAAGAAACAAAACAATTTACAAGTTCCCCGAATCCAGAGTACGGTATTGCAGACATGACACATTTTGGCTTGTAGTAGACGTGCTTTTAAATTAGTACACATAATGTATCATGACCTGCTTTAGTTTCCTCGCTTATGCATAATTATGCCTGCATTCTGCTCCGTTCCACCTGACCTAGCTTCTACCGGATAGGCCATGCACACATGATGGGCATCAATTATTCAAGTTTAATTGGCTTCGTAGATGAGTTAGCCCGTATATAAGGCAGCCTTTCCACTCTGATCCTGTATTATTGCATTAAATCGGCCCTGTGTGGGTGTACTGGTACGTTGTACATGTACATGTTATTTACCGCCATTACATACTGTACAGTCTGCATTTGAAAATGTTTACAGTCGTTTCATAGTGTTTCGAATCTGGTAATGGAGTACATGTACTACAGAAATGTATCTGGTAAATCGTAATGGATCTACAGACGTGTTACATTGTACAAAGCATATCGTGGCACACACTGTTCTGACGCAGATGGTGAGTTACTGAAACTGTGTATGCTTTCACAAGTTCATTTTGTTTTGAAATTCAATTCAGGTTTGTTCGAAATCCATGACTGACCATTTTAATGCGCGGCCATTCCATATGTTACCAACTTTCACTTTCATGTTGGTATTAATTTAATCTGTTGAAACCTCACCCTTTATTTTGAAAACATGTAATTGCCCAGTTACACTTTTACCAGTTTGAGTTTTGAGTGTTTTTTGGCATCGTTACACGTGCACGTGCACAGGTACATGTACCAGTACATTAACCCTAACGTACCGGTACCAGAATCCATCAAAATCCACACCCCTGTTTCGGGGGATTTCGGCAGATTCAGGATACCTCCATATTGCACAAACCGGGGGATTTTGATGGATTCAGGATTGTTAGCCTAGCGGAACTGCAGGATTTTGATGGATTCAGGATACCTCTATACTGAGCTGTTGGGGGACTTTGGCGGATTCAGGATCTCAACAGATTTGCTCCCGCCTAGCTGGTGGATTCTGATGGACTCACTGGCCACCAACATTTTTTGCTTGGCAAAATTGATGGATTTTGGCAGATTCAGGATACTTTCTAGTAGAAGAGCCCCAGGGGTTAGGCCCAAACAAAGTCTCCGGTTTCTGGTATGCACGCGCGTCGCCGTAGCCATGCGCGTCGGCAAAATGAAAAAGTTTTTTTTTTCAATACAAGATGATGTCTCAAAACCGCCAAACTCACTGGTTTGACTGGAATTCTGCTGCTGCACAATTTTAACGTGTTTTTAGATGGGGTTATGATCGAGAATAAGCTTTATGTGGCCTCTCTGGACTCCCATATATTTGCACTAAGTTTAGTCGGGCACCATTTGCAGTCATTAGCCGACATTTGAAGCCAAAAAAAAAAAAAAAAAAGTTAAAAAAAAAAAAAAGCCGCGTCGCCGCACCACTTTTGGGGCAAGCTCCATACCAGAAACTGGAGACTTTTTTTTTTTGGCCTTAGGGTTAATATATGTTTATTTACTAAAACTCCTGTGGATTTTGAGTGCCTGTGTAATAAACATTTTAACTTTTTTTTCCTGATAGGCCAAGATTAAAGTTTGATTCACCGGAGAAGACCGAAGAGTGGCTGGCATCCAGGTATGTCGTTATGATAATGACAGTGACAAGTTTAGAGTGACAGGACAACACTTGAGTATATATATACAGTGTTATCAAAATACTGTTTACTCAAGTGGGGCGCTATGGTCCAGTGGTTACGGTGTTCGACTCTTGTGCCGTGGTACACGGGTTCGAATCCTGATCGTGGGAACATGGTGCTTGTGCTCTTGAGCAAGGCACTTTACCATTATTGCTTTGTCCTTCGGATGGGACATAAAGCCGTAAGTCCCGTGTGTTGTGTAATGCATGTTAAAGATCCCAGTATACACTTGTCGCTACATGTAAGAGAAGGGGTTTTCCCCCATGTTTCTGGCAGTGGCACCAATATGTGCCGCAGCACCTAGCAAAAAGGTGCTACATAATGGGTCTCATATGTTTATATACTTCATTTACCTGTCTTTGGTTGCATTCTCCCCAGCGCTTTGTATCCTTTGGAAAGGTGCTATATAAATACGGTTGTTATTAAATGCGTCAGTGAAACCCAAATTTGAATTTACATCACCCGATGCCATTTCCATCTTACCGGTATGAAAACTTTGGTTGCAGTACCTGCTGCTGTATCGCATTTGAACTAGCCAGCCAACCCAGGCGAACTCGGTGGTCGAGCGGTAAGACACCTGTGCTATGAAGCAGGGAGTTTGTTAGTTCGAGTCCCACCCGAGTGATTTTTCTCACAATCGCTCGGGACAACACTGAGTACAGTGTTAATGTTTTTAAAAATGCATGTACTGTGGACAAAACTCGATATTGAATTAACATTGGAATGGCAACAACTAGCTGACAATGTGAATGATACAAACGCCATCTCTACCATTTTCATCATATTCATATGATATTTTGTCATTTCCTTATTATTTTGGTTTTAGGGTTTTTTTTTTTTTTTGGTTCCAGTTTTAGTTCCTGGAATTTGAATTTTTACTTTCATTTTTTTTCTACAGGGAAAAAACAGACTACACATACTCCAGAAGGTATGTTGATTACACATTTTGAAATTGTCGGGGTTTTTGACAAATTGATATGCGAAGTTTTGTCAGTGAATAAATGAATAACAAAATTGCACTGTTTAGAATATCATGCATTTCAGCTATATGTCAGCTTAGTAATAGCATGCACAATAGCATAGCAACATTAAGATGTATAGTAAAACCAAAATAAAAGCCAGTAGAGGTGGCAAAATGAAAAAAGAATACGCAGCTTGTGAGAAGCTTGCATACATGTAGATACAATGGACAGATCTACTGATTTCAAGGAAAGATGAAACATTTGTATAATTCCGAGCAGTCTCAACGTTGAATCAGGATAATGTAAAGACTGCATTGCAGGAAATACAATTCAATCCATTAGCACCTGTACATGTGCATGCTACATGTACATGTAGATGTACATGTAGTGTGCATACTACATGTACATGTGCAAACTACATGTACATGTACATGTGCATCGTCTTTCACTTTCAGTGTTTTGATTCCCTGGTGAATGCATAACATCGTAGAGTGCTCAGGTGTCTTGGGCCGTGCAGGGAGCGTAATAGACATGGTGGTTTGGGCGGTTTATTGACTAATGGGTTATTGTGCTTCAGGACTGTCCATTTTCAAATAATTTTAGTATTCGATTACTCGAAACTGCATTTGACCGAATATTTTTTCGAATATACATCGAAACTGCTGGCTGCAACTGCGTGCTGCACTGGTAAAAAGTTACACAAAGAGTGCGGCATTAAAATTCACATGCGGCACTCGATATGGGGCACTAAGCATTTTGTAATTGTCACTGGCTTTAACCTGCTCAATGGATGTGAACAATGATCTGCCATTGACATAAAAGTTACTGTCGACAAAAAAGTGGCAATTGATAATAAAGTGCCACAACTCTACAACGAAATAACATCACATCTGTGTATACATGTATGTATGTGCATATTTTGTTTTTGTTTTTAAACCGTCAAAAAGCTATTCGAATATTCAGTTGATGATCAAATATTTGAGTATTCAAATATTCAAATATACGAATATTTGAGTATTCAAATATTAGGGACAGACCTATTGTACTTGCTTAAAAAATGACCATAAACTTCTAAGGGATACATGTTTTGCAATTTTGTAGTCGAGTCCATCACAAGTCCAGTCACAAGTATATCCAGTGTTCATTCACAAGTAACAGTGGATGAACAATAACAAAGGAATGTCTTTGCTAAAGTTCATTTGAGTAGCTTGTGAGTTGAATTGGGACTGGAGGACTTGTGATGGACTTGCAGGGACTTGTGATGGACCCGACTGCAATGCTGGGATATTGGTAAGTTATTCCGAATGTTTTATATGTCCTATTTAATCGGCAGTGCAAGTTACAGTGTGGACGGCCAGACCAGCGGCTACGAGATTCCCATCATGTCCCGCGTGTCCAGGGGTTCCTTTCTGCGAGACACCAGCTCACCAGCAAGACGCAGCCAGCTCCAGGGAGAGGGGACGGCCAGCCCGAACCGGCGCAGCAGCCGACTGGCCCAAAAGCACAGCGTGCACGATACTTCCGCCACATCAAGGTAACAAGTCAAAATTCCTACTCTATGATTTCATTCATAAAGTGTGGCGTGGAACAACTGATGTGTTTATTTGAGGTCCACATTATATTTTTCTACAACAGTCATCATAAGCAACTCTTTAATAATTGACTGTCTGTTTTTTGCGGCAATTCAATTTTTTTCTCTCAACTTTTTTCAAACGCTGTCTTTTAAACAAACAAAAAAGGATTCCTTTTTTGGCAGTGTCCGTAACCCCCTGAAAAGCTTTAATGAGTGGTTGCTTCTGCACGCGAACACACCTTACCAATATCTATTCTGGTAGAAATAAATTTAATAATTCAAAATTTGCTCCATAACTAAAGGTTTTTTGTTGGCTGTATCGTTCAAAAGTGGATAACATCTGGATCATTACATAAATTTGGGGTCCCTGTTGCATCTGATATAAGACTTTTTAAATTCGGGATACATTCTTGAATGCCTTCGATCTCAAAGAGTGATTATGTGAAGCAAAGCACCTGCCAACAAAATAAAAAACAGTTTGAAGTCAATTTTATTGATACTTGCACGCAGTTTACACAGGTGAGGTGTAACAGGGGCACAAAAAAGTCTCACTTTTGGACCCCAAATTTGTGGAATGATCCGTCTGTATACATGTAGCTAGGGGAGGGGGGGGGGATGAAACTCTAAAAAGCCTAGACAGTACATCTTTGATCTAAAGAGAGATTTCGGTTTCTTTTCAGATTTAATCAGTCGCAGACCCGTTCCCTCCAAGTGAGCCATAGTGAAAGCCACAGCGAAAGCCACAGCGAAAGCCACAGTGCCACCAACCTGCAGACCGCGTCTTTCAACGGTCACTATGAGGACGGGAGCCAAGATGCGGTCTGGCCGTCGTCCACATCAACCATGGCGTCGTCAGCGTCCCGTCTGGCGCGAGGAACGAGGGACGCGACCGGGAGGAGCGGAATGTACCACCAGGTCCATCACGGCAGGGAGCATTCTATCAATCATATGTACGGTAAGAATGTCGGGACTGTAGTGCAGGCTAAAACAACAACAACAAAAATCAGAAAGACAATTTGTGTATACTTTTATGCAGTTGAAAAAAAAATGAGAATTGAGAGTTACTGATTTTAGGAAGAGCGGAAACCTTACTGAGAAAGAAAAGGGAAATTCCTGGTTGGTTCCAAAAATCCAACAAAGTTTGTGAAGTCTGTAAATCAGCACAAGAAAGCTTGATGAACAAAAAACGGACTGAAAAATCACTCATGAGACGAGGATTTTATAGCGTATAGGTTTTTATGGCAATTGGTAAAACATATTTAAAATATCTACAGATTTTTTTTTGAGTAACAAGCTTACATTATATGTACGTTGAAGAGTCAATTTAAAAAATGAAAGATCATGATGCACAAGTAACAGGAATATTTATAGGTTGTATACTCTTTCAAAAATGGATTTTTTTTCTCCTAATGAATTTTTAATGGATATGTTTTATTAAAAAAAAAAAAAAAGTTGTCAGATTTTGTGCGTCTCCAACCCTGTGAAAATGGACCTTCATTTTACGCAGAATTGAACCGTGAGAGCCAAATTATTGTCCAGCAGCTAATAATTTGGATGTTGCGAAGAAATATTTCGATAACTGAAGGTTGATGGATTTTGATCTCTCATTCAAAACTGAATAACTTGTATATTGCTAGGAAAATAGCAATTGAAAAACAGCAAATCTATTTTTGGAAGTGAAACTGGAAAATAGCGTGGGGAACGCATCTTTAAGTTATGAAGTAAAACAATATGTTTAGTAATATCATAGGCCAAGAATGTTCTTCTTCACGATTAATGCTTTTTGTCATTGTCGTTTTTTTCCCCCATTGTTTCAATACAGGGCTGGATGGACATGATGAGAGTGAAATATCAGGTAAAAAAATGAGAATTGTCACAAAAACTTAGCCGGCATATTATAATAATAATAATAATAAGGTCTCAAAAAGATTCACAATTATTGCTGCTGTTCATCAGGCCATGAGACCATTTCTTGCAGCAGCTCGACAGAGCGCATTCTGGTCTCTACCTTCACAGGTACACATTTATATTCCAGGGTGGAGAGAAGCAATTGTAGTAAAGTGTCTTGCCCAAGAACACAAGCACCATGTTCACCATCAGGGTTCGAACCCACGTACCACAGCACATGAGTCAAACACCATAACCATTGGACCACAGCACTCTACGTTAAAGCCAGATGTCGAATGAAAACAAAGTGTCAAGGAACAAATATTTATATAACTAGTAAATTTTGATCATGACATCATTGCAATTACGCTAATTCTAATGTTAAATATGGCAGTATTAAAGCCCAGGCGCTGTGGTACATGTATGATTTACAAATGCTCCTTAGCATTTGTAGGTTTATTACTTAATACAGAACCTTACTTTGCCATTTTGCGTTCAGATACCGAATCCAGTTCAGCAGTGACGTCAGGAGTAAGCAGTCGCACGTCGGGTAGATGGGGCACTGTAGACCACGCCCACCACACCCACCACGCCCACCACGCCCACCATGCCCAATCCTCCACCTGGTTCTTCCCACTCACCATCCTCACTACCATCGTGACCTCGGTCGTGTCGGTGGTCACCACCGTGACCCACACGTCCTACACGTTTCTTGCCAGGGCCGTCTACGGCTCGTCCACGGGAAGTTCTGTGAGTGCTGCGTTCAGGACAGGCACGGTGTCTTCTAGAATAGGTAAGACTGTTGAGATTGTACTGTGCAGAGCCAGTGGCGCACCCAGGATTTGGCTTGGGGGGCTCACAATTTTTTTCAAAAAATGTTGCCCAAAATTTTTGGCAGCAGAAAAATGAAACAAAAATGGGGGGGGGTGTTGGACTATTTTGATGTTGGTGGCGCCAGTTACACCCCGGTTATACTACTAAAAAATAGTCCACATACATTTCACCACAGTCTAATCGTAGAACTACAAAAAAAATGGACCCTCCCCCCCCCCTCCCCCAAAAAAACTGACACCCTCTTGGGTTATCTGGAGTCAAAGCATATATATCTGTACCAATTTACTTAAACAGTCCCAGCCAGTCAATCCTATATATAGGCTGGAAATTCTTAACTGTTGAAAACAGTCACTTGTTTGATTTTGACTGAAAGGACTACTTGGCACAGAATGTAAATTTACATAGGATGGTTAATTGCAACTCCTACTGTAATAATAGCTCTTGGGTTTTTTGTGTGTGTGTGTTTTTGTTTTTTTTACTTGGAGTGCACTTTCCCTCCATTTTTCTTTTGCAGTTTATGTGTGTTCCAGTCTGATGGAGGTAGTCAGTGTAGCCGTGTATCGCTGTGTGACGTATCTCATGTGTATGGATGTCTGGTGGCTCATCTACACCAAGTAAGCTTCCTAGGACTGGTCTTTAGTCTGCTCATGATTCCACGTGTCGTTAATGGCAGCTGTCGGAGAATACTGACATAAATCTATTGCTACCACCTTTGGTTCATCTCCGGACCACTTATCTTTCAAGATTTAAGCCACGTTCGGACTGGACTTAAATTTATAAAAAAGTTACCGTGAGTGATTGTTAAAACTCCATTGTGGTTATTCTACCATGTGTCCGTCCCGTGGAAAGCCAATACCATGCTCTAAGAATCTTACGTTGCTTTTACCTAGCAGTGGTTGTTGGCACGGGACTTTGTAAAACTAACAATGTCATTCTTTCGTGACCCAGTTGGCCCCGTTAAACTGACCGCAGTGGACTGGAAGCAAAACAGTCGACTCTCGACAATTGACAGTTTGAGAAGTTTTCCACCTGTCCACACTGGATTAATTCGATCAAATATATTGAAATATTTGGTGCCTTTGGCACAGTGTCAAGCATCAAGCCCTATGTAAATTAACAGTGGCTGGCCCGTGACCATCTTTCGTGGATTGAATATTGAGGACTTTTTTCTTGCAACTTTTTACATCGCAGAACGACAACTTTAGCACTCCTTGGAGGTCTAGCCTCATTGCTGGGCCTAGGGTCGGCCAGTCAGACAGACAGTGCAGCCATGACATCGGCGATGTTACTAGAGAAGAAGAGAAAGCGACGATCCTGCTGTCTCTGTCTCTTACTGCTGCTGGGGACGTTAGCCTGTAAGTTTATTTTGATTGACTGAGGTAGCCTGTCAATGTTGGACATTTCTGCCTGTCTCTGTGTCGTGACCTGTTGTCTAAATACCTCATTTCAGATGGAAGAATCCAACTTATATTTGGCAAAACCTTTTAAGATTGTTCACTCTGTATAACTGCTTTAAACATCCGATTGAGCATTTTCAAGGCAATTTGAACAAATTCTGTATACAATATCAATGCATTTTCTGGGTTCAATACAAACGGCTTTCGAAAGAAATTATTTTTAAACATGTATTTTTATGTAATTATTGTTGCTTTTAACTTCCGGTTATGATTTGTGTTGCACACACCAAGTTGTGTCTGTGGTAACTAATAAACACTTAAGGAACTGTCAGAATAAATAATTTAGTAAGCCTACCGGTAACTGCTAAAAATCCTTCAAAATCCACCAGGAAGATTTTGCAGGATTGAGGAAGGTACAGCCAAACGAGTTTGATGACCCTAGGAAGCATTTGGTTTCCTTCGAGGATAATTCAAGATTGCCTTAGTAAATCAACCCAGGAAGGTATACCTTAAAGATGTTCAATTTTTTATTTTCTCTTTTTTTCTCCTAGCCTCATATCTTTTGTTAGCAGTGGCCCCGCTGTTAATGGCTGTAACAAGGAATGAGACAAAGGTTGGTTTGACAATATACAAATATTGAGGGGCTCAGAGTAAAAGGGGAGGAATATTATCGCAAGGTAAAATTTGGACTTTTCCATTTCACGAGGCTAAGCCGATTGAATTGGAAAAGTCCAGATTTAACCGAGCGATACTATTCCTCCCATTTCACAATTTAAAGCCACTCAATATTTGTTTCATATAACTGGCATATAGATCCTTGTCATTTGATATATTTGAACTTTTATTTCAATACAAAACTGGAGGAAAATGTATTTCTCTCTTCCAAACCACCCCTTCACGAAAATGTTTGAACCCAACGCTGTAGTGCTGGCTCTTTGGAACAGTACGCGCAACGCTGAACGCACACACCAGCATGCATTTGCACACAAATACTGCATCATGATCCTAACTCTTCAAAAGTAAGATTTTTTAACTTCTAACCCTCTAGCTTGTTCGAAAAATCATTAAAATGTGCAAGATTCAGGATTAAATTTGAATCCCTATCCTGCGTTTTATTATTACCATGCTTTTATGTGTTTTCAGACTGACTCTCCTCTTCACACTGTGGATGAGCAGCTTGGTCTACTAGTAGGCAAGATCGGAGGGAGTTCCTCAGATGACGGCGATGATGGAGGTGCAGCAGCAGCAGCAGCCTTCATGGCCGGAGCCGGCTGTCTGCAGTGCCTTAAACAAGACGACCTCATGGCCTTGATTGGGGTCGTGGTCAACGGTCAACTGGATGACCTGAAGTCCGAGGTCGCATCTCAGAAGCAGCAAATACTGGCTGTAAGTTGGAAAATTCTCATGCCACGTTTCAGAGTTTGGCTTCTCTTTGTATAAAGTTGGCGTGTTCAATGCTTAAATGCAAGCTTCAGTATTCTTTTCCTGTATTCCATAATATCAAAACTTTATCTGAGGTATACACTTTCTTGTTTGAATTGAGGGGTTTTCTACTTTTTGGATAACATTGTTATTCTGATTTCCTTACATTCACAGTAATGCTTGCAGTTAGTTGTGTTTACTATGGAATGACATGAACAATTTTGTGAGGTTATCCTGCACACTAAGTATAATGCCATGGTCATAAATGTTACTGTGTTTTCATCTGTTCACTGACCTGTGGTATTTACAACTGTAGAAAAGGAGAGTTCATTACAGCCAGATCAAACAACGTATTATGTTTTTTTGCTTTTGTGGATGCATCAGAGAGTGATGGAGTGCATTCCAGTGGTCTCTGGTTCTATCCCTGTTACAGTCAAGTGCTTAAGGTGTATCCATCTTTTATGAACTTGTGGCATCGTGAATGTGAAGTTTGTTTCTGTCTTTGCTTTCTAGATGCAACAGTTAAGCAGTGATCAGGAAATTCAAATCAAGGACCTTCAGGAGCAGTTGGGCCATCTGACTGCCGCCCAGGGACGGCCAAACGACCGCACGCTGCTCTACCTGAACACCATGGAGGGTCAGCTGACAAGGGTCAGAGGTCAGCTGCGCAGTCTACAGCTGAGTAGACTGCGAGGGGAGCAGGACTCTGGAAGGGAGAGTACAGAGAGATCAACGATTATCGTTGGTCTGAGTGACGACCTGCAGATGCTTGGGAAGGATGTTGCTGGATTGCAAGCAGAACTAGAGAGCTTCCATGCCCAGCAGGTGCTTGAAATCAGTAAAGCTCAACAAGAAAGCAATCATTTGCATGGCGAATTGCACTCAGTTCATGCAAGCATGCTCTCCTGGGAGGAAAGACTAAGCGTGAACGTCACATTTCTGGAAATGAAACTCAAGGGGTTGCTCAATGACGTAGAGCTACTGAAATCAGACGGGAGGCAGAGCACGGCCAAGCTGGAAGGGCTCATTGACAGAGCCAACTCCTTTGAGTCCGGGCTCTCAGATGTCAGGGCCGAGGTTCGCAATCTGAAATCAGAGTTTGGGGACTTTCTTGCCATGTGGGAGAAGCGAGAAAAAGCAGAGGCTGTGGATTCTAGGCTGGAACTTCTGAGGAGTGATTTTGCTTCTTTTAGAGTTTCCCACGGAGATACCGAGAAATCACTGAATGAGCTACAGAACAAATATCAGACACTGAGTACTTCGCTTGGAGGGGTGCAGGCAGACGTTAAAGACTTACACTCCTCAGTGGAGGATCTTGGAACCCAAAGAGTTGGAGCATTAGAGACCGACTTCAAGCAGCTGAATACAAAACTTGCCAAATTAGACTCGGATTTTAGCTCTTTGCAGGCTAACTTCCTGACCTTACAGGGTACTGCATCTGGAGTGGTAGACCAGAACAGGCAGGAAAGTTTGGAGTTGAGCATCTCACAGTCTCAAGAGCAGCTGAATGTCTTTGTAACAGATGTTGATTCTCTGAAACTTCAGATCAGACAGCTGAGAAGCCAATTAGAGGATGTCAGAGCGAGTCATGAGGAGCATAAAGTACAAGCAGGGGCAGCCTTCCAGGAACTTAGATCTGACGTGGGGGAACTAAACATTAAATCTGACAGGATGGTGGTGCTGGAGAATCTTCAAGGCGATGCCGATAGCGACTCACTGGTCAAGCAGCTCTCAGAGGAGCTGGGATCAGTGAGACTGGACCTGAGAAGGGTAGCATCTCTTGAAGGAGACAGCAATCTGGTCACTGAGGTGAACAGCTTGAGAGAGTCCCTGACCTCGACCAAATCGCAGATCAACTATTTTGACACCACCCAAATGCAGATGAGCCGAACCTTCACAAGTAGCATCTCGGATCTCCGTGACAACATCAGTGAGATGAGCCGAGCTATCGAAGACCAAAAGGCTGCAGCGATTGGGTTCAATGCAACCGTCGTCTCGCTGCAGCAAGGACAGGATAAGCTAGCGGCATTTGCAACGCGGAAGCAGTTGGAAGACCTGGAGAAAGAGATGGTGAATGTGAAGGCAACAATCAGCAAACTTGCAGCAGCTCAGAGCGTCTATGTGACAACAGGAGACGTCGATTCTCTCAAGTCGCAGATCACTGATGTCAAATTGCAAGTAAACAACATACAAGTCCAGCTGACTGACATGAGTGACTCGTACATGGGTGAGGCGTCATCCTACACCACCCTGGCAGCTGATTTGGCCAAGATGCAGGGTACCGTCAACCAGCTTGAGGCAATGCTCTACGATTCTGACAAGCAACCAATCAGCCTCACACTCCTGGAGTCTAGGATTAGCGACCTCACCTCCATGGTCCAAGACAACGACAAGAATCTGGCAGCCCTCCTTGCAGCTGGGGGCACGAGAGGATCTACCGGCTCAAGTGATGCAGTCATCTTATTACAACAAGACTTGGCTGCCATCAGATCTGACACAGATCGCCTGACAGGGATGATGTTTCTCCAGGGGGTGGATGGGGAATCGACCAATGTCATGGCAGGGTTACTGGATCGAACAGCTGCGTTGGAGGCTAGCATGGCCCAGATGAAGTTGGCCGGAGTCGGTGTCGGAGCTGGAGCCGACCAGGACATCAGAATTCAGAGACTTCAAAGTGATGTCAACAGTCTCAAGGAGGACATGATGCGACAGAGTGCTCTTCACAGTGCAGGGTGAGTAGGTATCTTTATCGCCTGCCCCCACCCACAAAAATACCTTTTTTGGCATTGATGTCTTTTGAATATTGAAAGGTTGATTTATTTCATAAGCATTTGCATGTATCATCATTTCACAACCGGTTATGGCTTTTCTTCTTATGTTCATGTCTGCCAACCGTTGGGTTTTGTTGGGGCTGCAGAAATAGATTATGGTATATGCATTGGCTGATTGAAGTGATTATGTAAGATCAGTTGTTGGCACAGCGGTGGGATCATGCTGATGCAAACATGGCAACCACTCACTTGCAGTACCAATGGCTAGATCAGGGCCCAATTTCTTGGCTCTGCTTACCATTACTGAAAAATCACTGTTTACTACAGCAGAAAATTCTGTGCTTACGGTAAGCGTATTTCACGCGGTTAGCAAGGATTTTTTGCTTCTGCGCATGTGTATATCCCGTAACTAAGGATTCTGCGCTTATGGGTTAGCACAGAATTTGTGGTCGTAAGCGCAGAATTCTGTGGTTAGCAGAGCCAAGAAATCGGGCCCTGTTGCCAAGTGTGCGGCGTCGTCTGTCAATAAGATGGATTACGTAACACTTTGATAGGAAATAGTTTTGTTGTATTTTACATTCCACTTACAGTGAAAATGCAGCCTCTCTGAATCCAAAGAGGTCTTTTCTTTTGTCTGAGGGATTTTTGTCTTTGTTTATTTTAGTGCTGGTCTTGGTGTTCTTGGAGCCAGCATTCAGGATGACATGAAGGAAGCCAAGGCCAACATTACCAGATTGCAGGTGGACGTCTATAAATGCTGCAAGAACAAGACAGGTCTTCTGGTGAGTCTTCTATTAGGTTTCCTCTTCTGTCAAGTCTCTTAAATCCAAACTCTTCCTGAAAAAGATTTTTTGCTAGACCTGACGGGTCAGCCTATTGTCCTTTGACTCATTGTCCGTTTGACTGACTGAGTCCGAGACTGACTGACTGAATGACTAAATGACACACTGACTTAGTCCCTAATTGACTGACAGATAGACTGACCAAGTTACTATTAAATAATGTCCTTAAGTGAGACCTTATGATCCGAGTCAGCTATGCAAGCCTTGTCTTGTTTGTATCTGATAATAGCATGAATGTAGCTTTTTGCTAGACCTGACGGGTCAGCCTATTGTCCTTTGACTGATTGTCCGTCTGACTCCCCGAGTCCCAGACTGACTGACTGAATGACTAAATGACACACTGACTTAGTCCCTAATTGACCGACAGATTGACTGACCAAGTTACTATTAAATATTGTCCTTAAGTGAGACCTGATGATCCAAGTCAACTATGCAAGCCCTGTCTTGTTTGTATCTGATAATAGTATGAATGCAGAACAACCTGTTAAGATCAATTTCGAAAACAGAAAGTGACATTGTGATGGCATTTTGCGTTTCAGGGTTGGTGGAGTTCGCCTTGGTTCGGTGGAGGTCAGGGGTCAGCAGCCGATGGTGTCAACTTCAGTGCCTCTGGTAACATGGACGAGGAGGTAAGCAATGATCATAATTAAAGGGGGTGGTAGCTCGAGGTTCACTTGGAGGTTCTACGAGGTTTCACATGGTACCTCAGGGTACGGGTTCAACCTCGTGTTACCGAACTCTTAAAATTTTGGATTCTTTCCTAATGCTAGAGTTTCTCATACTTTTTCATTGGATTATCTTGAATATTGTGATGAAGGTATGACAAGTCACATTCCAAGACATCGCAAATCCATCACCAGTCAGTTGCAAATGCTTCACAGGTTAATCACAAGCTCCATCACAAGACCATTCTCCAGTTTAGTGACAAGCTATTTAGATGACATTGTGGCAGAGACAATGTTTGTTCCCTGTTACTTGTTACCCCACCTGTGACTCGACTCATGAATGTCTTCCGATCGCCTTGATTACAAATCTAGTAATCAGTGCTGTTGTTTCTGTATTGGATACTTAGGCAGTAAAGCACATTGTCCTGAGTGCCTTGCACATATACAGCGCCGACAAGACTGGCATGGTGGACTACGCATTGGAGTCAGCCGGAGGGAGCGTCATCAGCACTCGATGCTCAGAGACTCACCACTCCAAGACTGCACTACTCAGTATCTTTGGTATACCTCTGTGGTACTTGGCCAACTCGCCACGCACAGTCATACAGGTAAGTTACAGTTATCTTTTGTGGAGTTTGAGTTGCTATTTTGTGCTTTCTCCGTTGGTAGTTCTGCTTGGTACTTACCTGTATCCTTTGCACTTAAAGGGTATCAGGTGAAGTAACAGTGGCTGGCTGGACCTGCCACTCTTGATATAATCTACCACAAGCTCCAAGTGGATAGTGAAGGATCTGAGAGGGTGGTGTCGAGAACATGTTTTTTAACTGCTGCGTGATATGAAATGTCTTTGACACTGTGTTGGAGGTGATTTACAGAAATGGAATAAGCATCTACTGGGTTGGAATTGGTTCTGCAACATAAACATAAGCATGAGACCATCTACATTTCTATTTGTGGTCAACGATGACTTTTCGTCAATAGACTCTCCAGGTTTTCAGGTCAACTGATTTTCTTTTCTTCTTCTTTTTTGTTTTGCGTTTAGCCTGATGTTCAGCCAGGTAACTGCTGGGCCTTCAAGGGTACCCAGGGCTACATGGTCATCCAGCTGGCAGGTATCATCAAACCCAGCGCCTTCTCCATGGAACACATCCCCAAATCGCTCTCCCCAACAGGGACCATAGAGAGTGCCCCCAAGGAGTTCAGTGTCTGGGTAAGATTTGGAGACAGTTGAGTTGGGGAGAGAATGGCCATCCGGCCTTTTAAACACTATCATTTTGCCTACCCACGTTGAAATCAACACAGGCCTACCTTGAGATATACAAGGCCAGGTTGAACATGGGTTGATAAGGCATACCGTTCATATTACTCTAGATCCTCTCAGCCCTGGTCCAGATCAGGGCCGGTTTCTGGACCCGTTTCAAGTACTACGAAAAAAAAATACTTTCAGAATGTTGATATTGCGCTGGAGACTGTGGTAGAAGGCGCATGCTGGGGCTGAAAGCTTCTGAAGGAATGCAAGATCACCCCTGATGTCATTGCACACCACCTCGATCGTGTGTTGCGCCAAACGATCAAGGAGGTGTGCGATGACATCAGGGATGATCCTGCATTCCTTTAGAAGCTTTCAGCCCCATCATGCACCTCCTGCCACCGTTTCTAGCGCTGTAGCGGCATTGGAGGACGCCAATTAAAATTGGCAGATTCTGAAAGTATTTTTTCGTATCCTGTTTAAATCCTATCCTCTTGGACAAAGCTGATGGAAGTCACTTCATAAAATTTGTCATGCCTTATTTACATGATCTGAAATTTTGGTTTAATGCCATAGTAAACAGAGTTATTTAGCATCAAAAGTAGGACGTCTTTTTTTGACACGTGGTAGAAGCTATGTTGGATTCTTAATAGTGTGAAAAGGGTTCCTGAAATTTGGAGGTGTAACCTGCAACCTACACAGAGATTTTGGAGTGTGATAGGACCTAATTATGGGGGTTTTTTTTTTGGTTAATGGATTTAGGGTCTACAGGATGAAGATGAAACTGAAGGTGTGCTGCTAGGGGAGTACGTCTATGATCAAGATGGTTCACCGCTGCAGTTCTTCCCTATTGTGGTAACATTCAACTTTGATATTTTGTCACATGAATACTATATTACATTAACCCCAACTCTCTACTGTCTTTTACTAAGCACTGAACCAAGTCCGCCAAAATCCATCAATCACACTGCTTTGCTTTTAGGCCTCCAGGCCTAAGGCCATCATACTCCATCAATATTTAGTCAAGCCAGGCCTGCAGGACCATGTCCCCAAAATCCACTAAAAATGGGGGGATGGATTTTGATAAGAGTTGGGGAGGTTAGGGTTAATGAGATATGCACTTGCGAAACCTCTCAACCATGCCATCAGACTTGCAGTTGTAAGCAGTCATTTTGGTTCTTGACACCCCTAATACTCTGAACATCTTTCTAAAAACTTGGGACTGAAGGCCTCGGTGCAATTTTTGGTGGCACTCCAAACCAGCAGATGAACTCTTGCACCGAGTGCTAGTCTTGGCAGTGACATCTGGTGAAACTGAAGATCCTTGATTTGAATTTCATGATCAGTCCTGAACTGTTGCATCTAAAAAAAGGCAAAGACAGAAACACACTACAGATCGAGACATTAACAAGTCACGGATGATTTACATCGTGGTTACCTGTAAATTCCGTCTTTTGTATCAATTTTTTTTTATAGAGAGATGATGTTGAACCCATACCGGCTGTCGAGCTGAAGATCCACAGCAACCATGGCAACTTGGAGTACACATGCCTGTACCGCTTCCGCGTGCACGGCACCTTGGATCGACGGTAGCAAATCACCCACGCTGGCAGATTCTCTAAAGGTATGTCCAATCTGGGCTGCCGTTAAGGATGCACAATAGCGCCCTCTAGTGACAACAGAGCACTGGCGGCGTTAAAAAGATTACTGTACAAGTGCATGGGAGCTAAGCTCTGGCCAGTCTCGGGCCAGTTTAGTTGCTTAGTGGAGGTACTTCAAATTTATGTGCTAAGCCAGGCCCTGCGAATTTATGTGCTAAGCCAGGTCCAGTGGAGGATCAGTGCTGGACCAGTCACATGCAATAAACATCACGTGATATTTTCACTGTTAATAGGTTTTTGCTGAGCGAATCTTGTTTTGTGCTTTGCAGCTATATGGAGTTACCTTGCCTACCAGTTTGTAAAACAAGAGAGTTGGTTAAAATGTCGGAGACATTACTAAAAAAATTATTTCTTTTTTTACTGTCTACTTACATAGTTAAACAAAAATTGGTGAGGAAGAGAATGAATCACTGCAAAAAGCAAAATTAACAAATACGCACGGAAATCATTTGATAAAAAAAAACATCAGCCCCATTTTTGGAGCCGAGTTTGTTTTCCTTCGTACAATTATTGTGGAATCCCACCGGATTTTTTATAACGCCCATAAGGTGTGCCACAAATCGTGTACATATGTTTTTGTGAAAATGGTGTTGAAGATTAAAAGTATCACCATTTAAAAAAAAATAATGAAGTAACTATGACATTGGTTATTATGTAAAATAGAAAATGCGTAAGATTAAAAATGTAAATATTTGTTGTCCAATGCCAAGCATTGAATATGTTCTTCCACTATAGATTTATTAGAAGGTAGTGTGTGCTGGTGTTTTTTTGGGGGGGTTGTATTGGGAGTTGTGGGGCATTGGTAGTTTTTGTTTAATTGAACTTTATTAACTTAGAGCGTTCAAAGCAGTAGCATAGCCAAGAAGATGCAGAGTGCAACGGGCTAGAGATTTTAACCACTTCGCGCCGGGATTGTTTTTGCTGAAAATTTTGATTTTCGTAGAAGCCAAAATTTCCCAGCCAAATTCTTATGTACAGCCAAACACCACAAATACTGATTTGCAAGAGTCATTTCAACAGTATTTGTACGATATTTCTCGACGAAATCTCATATACTCCGGGTGTGCACTGAAGTGTAAACTGTACAACAATAGGCCGTGCACAACGGCCAATTCAAGATCAACACACAGTCCGCCTCCACAGACTTCACTTGTGTGAGTATAAGTGTACAAAGGCACGAGGGATTAGCGTGTTTAGACGTCACCCGGAGGCGAGTCGAGGCAATCTTGACGTCGTAACCCGTTGGCCATTCCTGTGTGTAAAAACAGCCAGTGCATGTTATCACGTCCCCCGACACAAACTGGCTAAAAGCAACATCAGGACCTTGATATAAGCAAATCAGGATGGCAAAAATGGATTAACAGGACAATTCCATTTAGCATGAGGCAAACAAAATCTAGGATACACACCTGATTCAAAGTTGATTGTCGACAACTGAAATATGCCCTGGTTCGTCACTCACCTACTTACACATCGTCCATTGGCCGATATAAATGGAATCAAGTACAATCCATACACAGGCGTCACAGAAAACAAAAACCACTGTGCGGTGTTCCAAGCTTACCTGTAGGTTTCAGGTGCAGTAGCATGGCCAATTTACAAATGCAGATCTTTTCAGTTATTTTGGGGGGTCGTATTAAAGCTGTGATGGAGCTTTCTTAGTTTTGTTTCATCACAAGAAAAATGTTTATTTTTGTTTTTAGGTTGGTAACAGTAATTATTGGAGCCAGTGGGAATTTCCCTAACAATGCAAATACTCACTTTATTCTTTTGGTAGCGTGTTTTTAAAGTTTGACAGAGACGCTGTTGTACAGATTTACTTAAAAAAAGGAAACAAATTGGACAGTTGTATCATACCTTTGTTTGGGAAGTATTGTATTGGTTATCTTTGCTGAGGCTTCACTAGCAAATAACTTCTGTCTTTTTTGGCAGCAAATGGGCATTTGAGTGATAAAGAATAGTGCGTTTGGATCCCCAGCTGAATGAAATTTAAAAATATGCACAGACAAGTTCACTGTCTTTTCCTTGCATCAAATATGAGTATCAGTATATATCAGAATCACTGGTCCTGAATGATGCTAGTGTCATTTTCAAACTGCATGTAAGCTATTTGTGGCCACACTGACTTGCCAAAAACTAATGTTTAATAGTAACATTATTATTCATCAGCAGTGTACATAATTCAATGCATGTCACACAAGCCATAACAGTTTTTGTTTGTACGGTAAAGTAAAAGTAATATCATAACTACACTAGTGCAGATGAAGATGAGGTTTCCAAAAAAGTAGTTGATATTTCAGTTGAAATATTTGAATTTGTGGTGCTGTTCAGTTCCTTTCATCTCCAAAGAAAATCAAGATTCAGTAGTTGGCAATACGAATATGCAACAGCGAAGGTTTCATATCTTATGGACAATCAATTGCATATATTTCCTAGTTTCAATTGAAACATTTATTTTAATTTTGATAACACCAAAAGTGATTGAAATATTTACATTTATACCCATTACATGTTGCATTTTTAAAAGAAATTCCCTAATTTCCTGAAATTCATCACCATACCAGTGTCGAATGGCACATTCTGTGTAAGAAAATGAAGACATCCAGTCCCAGTGTATCAAGTTATGGTGCTGTGGCCCCGAAGCCATTAAAATCAACACAAAATTGTTGCGTCGGTGCAACAAGGTCGTAACTCGATTCTGCAACAAAATCGTATCTCACACGAATGCGGTCCGTGCAACAAGGTCTATCTCGCGTATCGTGACGTTCGTTGACTCTGTGCGTAGATCCGGGTTATGTAATATGTAAGATACGACATTTAGACGTTGAAAACTTGCGTTTCACATACATGACGTCACACGCCATTTTAGGGAGATATAGGACCTTGTTGCACGGACACGACAAAATGGGATATAGATTTTGATGGTTTTGGAGGGTTAAATATAATAGCACATGTAATTACAGACGGTAACAAAAAGGCAGACGCTTAATCAATCAGACATCTGAAATAATCCATTGAATGGTTTCAATAATTATTAAAATCAATGCTTATTGAAATATTAATTATATAAAAGATTGTATCTTCCCTCGTGAAATATAAGAACATTATGTTGGTAAATTTTGTTTAAAGCAGAAGAAGTGAAAGTGTTCAAAGTGAAATTTGCGACAGAATGTACTTCTGTATTAAAACAGTGCTTATTTGTTATATAATTTGGTGTGATTTTTCTTTGTACAAAGGTTACGGATTGTTTGTGGAATTGAGAAACTTAAGAATAGAATTTTCTAGAAATTATACGATGTTGAAATTTATTTTGATTGTTTAATTTTGAAATATATTTTGTGATCAGAAAGCAAATAAGCGCTAAGTGTTGAATGGTATATAGTTTAGACTTCTATTAGTGAAGGATTTAATTTTTGATGCACATTTGAGAAATGTAACTTACACACTTGTCGGATCTTAGAGAACAACTTCATTTCGTTAAAATTTATCTCCATATGTGTATGCAATAGAGTTTAACAACCAAAGGTGACAGTAGTATGTAAGGGCTTTCTTTCATGACTAGTACAATCAGGCTTATTGGTAAGAATACAGAACTCAGCTTGCCTTATTAGTTATTTTGTCCATAAATGTGATACTCCTAGGTGCAGTATAGATGTAAATTAGAGGCTTTCTCCAAAGACATTGGCAAAGATCAAACTTTTGTATGAGTTGTAAATAAGTTATTAAAGAAACATTTTGGGAGCATTTTTGAATAGTGGCCTAAAGTGTATTAGTCATTGCATTGCCTTTTTGTGTCTGATGTTCCTTCGCTCAAGCTAGCCAATTTTTTGGGATCAATTCGTAATTTGTCAATGAAAATTATGTCACTTGATAAAGACTTAATACAACTTATGCTGTGGTAAAGACTTGATACTCTATGCGGTATCTTGGTAAAATCTACGCATATTGAAATTGTTATGAGGGAATATATACAGTACATATATATTACTTTTGCATGTAATTTACAAATATATCTTGCACAATACAACATCTCATAAGGGGAGACATTCCAACAATTCACATAACAGAATGCAAAATTTCACACCTGCCCCTTGAAATTTACCACTTGCATTCAAAGAGTAGTATACAACATGAAACAATGAGAAAAATGGCAACAATTTAACGAAAATCAACTTTGTGGAAATTGTGCTGTTTACTCCTTTGCATCTACAACGCCGCCTCCTGAGATGGCAAACGTGGCTTCGTTCTCTGGCATGTCAGGGCTGAAAATAGGATTATTGGTTGTTAACAAAACAACTTCCGATACAAAAAAAAATATGAGAGGTTATTATGTTGTTTCGAACGACCGCAAAGGTCAATCTGTGGACATAGTAATTTCTAACTGTTTTAGACTAGTGTTGTGCAAACTCGACCCGATACCGACTTTGGGACTGGTCAGTTTTGTCCATTTCAGTCGGGTCGGTTTCGGTTTTGTGATTTTTGGGTTGGGTCGGGTCGGTCAAGCCATTTTTGAAAAACCCAAAATAAAACAAAATAAACAAAAACCAAAAAGACCAGAAACAGTTCGGAAATTCACTCGGTGCAATATTTGTTGCGGAATCACTGTGTTGGGTATGACCAAAATGGTTTGGGGTCTAACACACACGGTCTATAACACACACGGCCCACCAGTAGGTCACATTGCGAGTACCGTATGGGCTCCGTGCGCGAACAAAGAGGGCGCCCTTTTACCTAGCAACGACGTCCCATGGGCAGGACATTTAGCTGGTTGACGCGCACCGTTCCTTGTGTGTGACGCACGTACACCAGGGGATTTGTACTATGTGCTAGCAGTGGCATGGTACGTACGGCCGCGTGTCACGGCAAAATTGCAGTCGGGCAAGATGGCGTCGGTCGGTCACCCCCAACTGTACTTTCTTTGCCGGTGAGGGGGTACTTGTGAACGGAGCAGATGGTATGATTCAGTTACTGAGGGAGACGATTTTCACATGACGCGGGTAAGTTCAGGCTCAAAAAGCAGACACAGTTGCCCACAAGCCAGATATTCAGGTTTTTTTCCGGGTCGGTATGGTTTCGGGTCAGTTTTCCTTGAATTTTTGTCGGCTTAGGTCGGGTCGGTTTGAAGGAGTTCTGTTCAGATTGGTTTTGATTTATATCTATAATGTTTCGGGTCGGTTTGGCATGATCAACCCACCCCGATGCACAGCACTGTTCCAGACCTCAAACTCTTCATGTACTTCAATCAAATCTTCAGAATAGTCTAGTTTGGTGCAACTCTGTAACGCAAGTCTGAAATGGTTGAGTCAAATTTACATGTAGACTTGTATGAGCCTTATATTTTCTGTTTTGGAGTTAAAAGCACTTCTTGATCAACACTCTTATTAGCCCGCCCTGAAATACTGCTTTCTCACCTGTCATATATCTTGGCAATCCTGAGCTCTCCTCGTCCCTTTCTCAGACTCAGCCGTGTGGTGGAGGCATGGGCCAGGATGTGGCCTCCAATGGGCTTCTTGGGGTCAGCTTGGAAACTGAAACCATGATGAATTGTTGGCAACAGACTGATCCTTTAGGCCCTGTCTACTGTGCGCATGAAAAACAACATGCGTGCATCTCCTATGCCATGCTGCATGTTCCAGACGCATGCATTGTATACATAAATGTGGGCATGTTGGACTTTTGTCGGATATCAATTATGATTGAGATGATCAATACGTATGGGGCAAGGCCTAATAGATAGGTCCGTTTGTGTGGAAAAATTATTTTAAGGTTTTACTCCTTGGAAAGAACATTCACTAATTACTCATATCACTGCTTCACTCACCTCATTGTTGCACCAGGATCGGCAGTCATCTGATTGGTCACAAACACAGCAACATTATACTCTGGTACCAATAAAATAAATATAACGTTAGTACACTGTGTTTTTGTTGTTGCAAGAATTGAAGCACCTAACTAGTTAAATCACAGATCCTCTACACAAGGATAAATGACTTCCCCAAATTTCTGGTTAGATGCATGATATGGCACTTGGGCGGAGTGTGTAGCGTGGCGAGACTCTGCGCACAACTGCAGTCTTTCAGTGGTCAAATTTCTGTCAGGATGCCAGCTGTCGGGGATCATGGTGCGTGCATTGTTCTACATGTTCTATCTGTTTTTCTTTGAGCGGACGCGGCATATCATGCATGTAGACAATCCGTTCCGTACATTTTGTACACAAGCTGGGATGAGTCTTTTATCCTTGTGTAGAGGATCCGTGGTTAAATTGAGTTGTTGAAAACTCAACTGAAGTTTTTCATAGAATACCTGTTTTAAAAATGATGAGTTCTGTCAAAAATATAAAAGAAAATCTGGTTATCTGTTCAAGATCAGTTTTTTGTGAATATTGTCGAACTATAGGTCGTACAATCTTCCCAATTTGAGTTTTGTGGGTAACAAAGGAGGAAAAACGGACATATTGCCTGTAAATGTTTAGGGTAATGCATTTCTAGCACAAATACGTAAACCTCTGTATCCCGACCATTTTTTTTTTACCAGAATGTATGTTCTGGTATGTACCAGTCTTTACACATTTCCCCTCCTCTTTCCTAGTCTATGTAATAGACTCTGGCCCTGGCGAAGCCGTTCATGGTCTATGATGTGTAAGTATATTCAACAATTAATTATGCAAATATGTAATTATTAGACTGCGTATGACCTCAAGAAACTGACCAATCAGCGGGCACCTTATATGCGTGTAATGCGACCTCCGTCCCCGCTTGCGTAAACATCACACCCACGATGAGTAGCATTTTTGTACAGGTTAATTGTTGTATTACAAAAACGTTTCCTTCCCTCCCTACATATACCGCCGACCATAGTTTCTGCTACTGACCTTCAGATATCTTCTGCAGCTTGGACAGCATCTGTGCCAGTTTCTGCTGCCTGTCTGCCAGCTCCCCTCGGCCGCTGAAGTCCACTCTGAACAGGGCCATGATGGAGTCCACAATCTACAATGAAATTAAGCACAAATAATGTACAGCATGTACCTTTAGCTCTATACATAAAAACCAATGAGCTCTATGCTCACAGAAGCTGATGCACCAGCTGATGCATCTGCTCAACTTAAAAAAAAAAAATTGCAATAAAATTGTTTGGGAAGTCTTTTCCAGTCTTACCAAGAGTTTGAAAACGCCCGGTTCCTCATGGAACTTAGCCGCAGCAAAGTCCAGCAGTTCAAATTGATGCTCACCTGAATATGAAAGAGTGAGTAGCATTGACTTTGACGGATTGAGTGACAACAAAAGTGGCATTAAAAAGCTTGAGGTGCATGCAGTTCTTGACAAAAATATCATCAACTTCTTTATGCCAAGTAAGTTATGTGTAGATTTACAGGAAAAAGACGACATATCTCTATTATAAGATGGAATTTTTGCATCGGGGTGATAAATCAAATTATAGGTTTTGCCCTTTACCAACGTTTAAACACTGTATACTCAGTGTGTTACCTCCCGAGTGAAAGTATCTCTATTGAAACATTTCTTTGTGAAAAATGAAAATAAAGCATGACAAAAGCCAGTAGTTACACATGTAGAGGCAGCGAAATCTAATTAAGAATCACAGCTTGAAAGAGTCTTTTCATAATACTGAGGACAGACAAAATGTGACCTACTGAGACAAAATGAAGAATGTCCCCGAAGTCTTGTTTTTGAGTAATCGACGCCTGAAGTCGGATATATTAGAAAAAAAATTGTCAAAATTGATATTGGTTGTCTTGTATTTTTGAGTAGTCAAGGTATCCAAGATTCACACTATGCATTTTTGTTTGGAAAAAAATACCCGCAAAAGAGAAAAAAATGAAGAATGTTTATAACTGCCGTGGGCGAGGCAAGTATTTTTTTAAAGCAGTTTTTCTCGAAATGAGTTTGGCGAAGATTGGCGGGACACTGTTGAAGTTCCTGTGGCACATCTTTGGAATAAATTCAGCTACAGAAATACATTTGGTATCATTGGAAAGCTTTAACATGATGTACATAACTTGGAAAGGTGGGGGTTATTCCTCATTATGCTATGGCAGGTTACAAAAAAAAAATGTGTCATCGTCTTACTTGTATAAGCCCTGGCATACAGAACGTTATCCAGCATTGCTCCATGGTCCAGGTTGAAACGGTCAGCTATATCACGCAGCCTATCAGGGCGACTGGAGAATTGCAGTTAAAGGGAAAATGGCAACCACTTCTTAGAAATTGTGTCTCAGAGAGAGAACCGTGTGTCCCTTCAAATTTGTTTAACTATATGATTGGGAATTTGACATTTGCTAAATCTTATACTTGTTGCACATTCACGTTTGTGCGGAGTGTCTCACTGGAAAGTTAAACATGAACAAATCAATTTTATTCAGAAAGGGGATTGTTAATCTGTTGTAAAGAGCAAACAATATAATTTCTGTGGTATTCTAAATGCTAGTATATTCACATTTTTCTTTTTGCATTTTCAATACATGTATAACACGGTTAATTTTCAGTGAAGCTCAGGTTTAATAGAGCCCTAATACATGTAATTTGAAAAAGTTCAGTGTTTGTTAATTTCGAATCATTGGAAATCATCAATTTTGACCCCAGTGGCAAAAAGCAAAGAAAACAAATCAACAATTTGAATATTTATTTAAATGCTTCTGTGTAACGGAGGCAGGGGAGGGGGTTGGGTGGGGGTGGGGAAGGGTGGGGGGGGGGGGGAGATAGTAACAAGGGAGAGGTAAAGCTGCACATCTGATCTATGCGCTGAATGTGTTCTCTGTACACGGCCCGGGCAAAAACATTTGTCCCTACACCACTGCTTTTGCCGCACAGACTTGGATCTGTTTGCTTTGATTAAGTGAATATTTCTGTTGTTTGAGTAAGGATACAATGTGTTTTCTGTGTCAATGAAGACTACTTTTCCTCCAGGGTAGTTGTTTGCTCCGGGTAGCTGGGTAGTGATACACAGTGTGTGTGACAGCTGCGTCTTGCCTGTGCGGAACTCTGCCAGTGAAAAAAAAAGAACACAAATGGAGACATTATTTTGAGACTTGTGTCACACTTCATCTTGTCTGCATTTTCCAATAAAAACAAAAAAAAATCATGATTGTATGAGAAATGCTTGTGCAAGGTAAATACATTATTTAATGAATACACAGCATTCTCTTGTGCTACAGCGTCCCCCAAAAAATGGACCAAACCAAGACTTGACAAACTGTGCAATACAAAAAGACTCATTTTATTCTTCACAAATGGCTTCAACGAGAAATACAAAAAAATGCAGGAAAACACATAAACTGAACCCATTAAGTTTAAGTGCAAACAAAAGTTAAATACTTTGTATAATAATTGCATTTGAAGTATTTTTTCATTTGCTTCACATTTATTTAATTTATTCATTGCCTTCTGATCATTCAAGACATTTCAAGTTGATAATTTTTGGCTCACCTCCGAAAGCTTCAGTGATGGCCATACTTTCTATTCCTCCCCCGATCAGTTTGCTGGGGGAAAAAACAAGCAGTATTCGTAACTTCATCAAATTAAATAGAACATGCTTTTTAGTCCCTCTGTGAACTATCATCGTGATTGGTAACGATCATAAAAAAAATCCAATTGCAATATCAATACCACTCTTTACCAAACTAAAAATGCTGCCAACATTATATTGTAGCAGTAAAGAGTATGCAAAACAGTCTCATCAACTTTCGTCATTGTTCCCAATCTCAGAAGGAAGTGAGCTATTCTGTTTGGGAATTTGGGGTGCACAGCAAAACTGTCCTTTACTACAAAATTGTGTCAACAAAGCCTTTGCATTTGTTGATCAGGTTTTGAATTTTGCATTCACTGCAATTTCCTCCATGAAGACCGCAGGTTTGCTGACAGATTCTGTATGACTTAGGAATAGTGTTCAGTTTTATTAAAAAGTAGGAAGTGTGGCCCTACTTAGGGTTCGTGACTCATGATCAGAGTGTCAGGGGTTCAAATCCGGCTGCTGGTCATATGTTGTGTCCTTGGGCAAGCCACCTCACCCCACTTGCCTCCATCCAGGTGTACACATGTGTACTGGCATTAGCTGGGGAGTAACCTGCGATGGATTAGCATCCCATCCAGGGGGGAGTAGGCATATTCTCAGTCGTTTCATGCTACTGAAACCGGAGATAAACGTTGGCCTGATGGGCACATTGGCTCCTAACAGACTTTATTTTACTTACTTTACTTAGTTAAAACAACATGCATGCTGTTAACATTTAAAAGCATTTGCCAGTCATTAAAATTCTTATATCCAAAACAGGAATTGAAAACTAAATAAAAATGAACATGCATGAATGCAGCTTTAATAAGGAAGTCTTACTCAAGTTCTGAGCTTCCTGTTGTGATGCGAAAGCAATTCTTGCGTTTGGAGCTGTATTCCAGAGCTGTTATGAATCCATGCGCCTGCGGGAAAAATAATATAAAGAATATAGTCAAGTTGCATTGGTTTTAATTCTTCATCATTTTAAGACAACTTGCAGGCTCTCTCTGGGAAGGGCCTAAGCAATGCCTTTTACCTAAATGCCTTTTGCAAAAATGGTTTAAAAGCTGAAGAATCAAAAGAAATGTATAGAATATCAGAATAATAATATGTTAGCTTAAACTCTTGGATCGCTTCAAATTTTCTGAATTTTGGATGGCAAAACAAAGCACTGATGTCATCGTTAATTACATCACTCTAAAAATCAATGCAATTTTTTCCCAATCAACTAACCTCTAGTTTGGCAGCTGCTTCTTTTATTTTTTCCATCTTCGCCTCTGAGATACCTTTGATGTCACACATTCGTTTCCTAGTTGTCATTTGGATCCCCTGCACAAAAGGCAAGTACAAAATGGTAACCACAGACACTGAATGCAAAATTTTACTGTGGCAGACGACAGGGTACATAAAACTTTACCGAATATTTTTCCAGCAGTAGGCCTACTGCAGTGATTTTTAATTCCTTGAAATAACGGTTGTAACCACCGGAGGCTCAACTTCGAGACAGCAGAATGTCTCCACTCTGCATGGATGTAGTCAGTCCATCACAATTCCCTGCAAGTCCATCACACAAGTCTTCCAGTCCCAATCTCAATCACAAGCTATTCAAATAAGCTCTGACAAAGGCATGCCTTTGTTATTGTTCATCCACTGTTACTTGTGACTGGACTTGTGACTGGATGAGTTTGTGATTTACTTGTGACTGGTCTTGTGATGGACTCGACTACATTCCTGTCACTATGATCCAATCAACATAAATACCAAAACCAGAAAAGAAAGCTTTTAAAGTTTTAATCTGATTTTCAATATCAGGCATGCAACTTTTCCTCGGATCCGCTGATTTCCTCATTTTTAACTTCTCATGAGTGCCATTAGAAATTAAAATATACTGTACAAAGTCTTGTGGGGTTTGGAGTTTCCTCGTTTTTTCTAAATTCCCAGTTACATGCCTGCAATATCCTTTCAGACATTACAGACTTGCGTGCTGTGTGTCTTTTTGATTTGTGAACATAAATGCGGATGGCCCAAAACATGAATAGACTAGCATTGTATGAAGGAATACAATTGACTTGAGCCAACTTACTTTTATGGTACAAATTCCTGCAGACTTCAGCTTCTTGATATCTGCCACATTCTATATAAAATATTACGTAAACAATTGAAATATACATGAATATGCTTTACGTTATTATACCTTTTTTTTGGGGGGGGGGTGGCTTAAACAAAATCAGGCCTAGGTCTTGCAGCAAGTTATCACTATCACAGTCTGAAGCATTTTCTCAGATTTACACAAACTTGGCTTCATTTATTTTAACCGACTTACAATGCCATGATTTTGCAGGAGGTCTATGTCTTGGAAGAAGGACTCCTACAAAGTAGAAGAGAAAATATCAATGTTTACAATTCATACTAACATTGTAGGCCCTACTTAGCAAGTTTGCCTAAATTAGGCCTTGCTAAATTTGGCCTACTTCCCCCCCCCCCCAACTCTTCCCTTTAATTTATTTACCAGTCCTTTTGAAAACAGTCTCAATAATGTTTTGAAATTCCACAAATTGATCATAGGCCCTACAATAAAAATACCAAAACAAAAACAAACGTTTTGTCTCTCTTTCACTGAAATTCCTACCACAAACATGACAAAAAAATCACATCCACACAACATGTACGACTTCCAAGCTGTTAAATTTTGTTAGATACACAGACCACTAATCTACAGTCATGATAATCATGACAATGACATTGCAAACAATAAAATGCTTACTTCATCGTCCAACTCATTATCCATGTTCTCCTCCACAACCTGATCCTGAAGCATCGTGTCTGCTGTTCGAGTGTTCGTCGAACAAATTCCAGTGCAGAGACTTCAGAATCCTAGGCCAATTTGTTCAGAAATGTTCCTGTTTTTGGTTGTCAATCCAAGACTTCAAGTTCAAGCGTCTGACCTGCTAATAAAATCCCTAGTAGTACATGTAAGTTTCTATAATCTTAAACTAGTGACGCTAAAAATCGTGGGAACACTTTCAAATGTAATTCAGTTTTGAAACGGAGTTCCTCCGGAGTTCTAAACGTCACGCACGACTTGACAGACGTTTCCGAATGTTATGAAAAAGTGTCATTTAATTTTTCGCGCGTTTTTTCAAGGTCATTAAACTTTTGTCCTGTCGCTTCAAGAAATGTCTGATTTCGAAAAGTCTGGACTCGAACAGCTTTAAAATCTATTTTGAAGTCATGCAGCCTGCAAAATAAAAAAACTTTATTGATATTTGCCTTTTTTGAAATCATTATTTAGGCCTATCCTCTTTTAAAGCAGCGCAAGTTAACTTTTTCGCAATGCATTTCGGTATAGTAGTCTGGCGCCAACTACCTAATTCAAGAACGTTCATATGACACTACGAAGCCTAGTCACCAAACAACGCCAGTAACGCATTGAGTTTTCACATAAACCGCACGTGTCTCGTCCTCAGTGAAGCTTATCGCCGAGAGGATAAGATTTTCTCTATTTTGATCCACATTTGCAATAAAATTGTTACAGTATGGTAAGCATAGACCATTTTGTTTTAAATGCTGTTATATTTTAAGTTAACTTGTCGGAGAAATATGAATGGAAATCGACCGTCATCTGGTCATTGTCGGCCCGCACGCGAATGTTCTTTTTCCAAACTGATATCCGCATACATGGTTGTCTAGCGCCCTCTACGATACTTTTATGAAACGTACGCAGACTAGACAATATTATTTTCCCCAGTTTTCGCTGAGCAGTACGGTAGCTCAGTCAATACAGCGTAGGATTTTAGCACGCAAGGTTGCGGGTTCGAATCTCGGTTTTGCACACAATTTTTTTTTTCTTTTTTAATACTACAGTCAATTGACCGGTTCCGCAATTTGACCAGTTCCGCAATTTCGGAAAACTAGCTCTCGTTTTCAGGAAGACGAAAACGTCAAGGACTTAAACTTTGGTACTGATGGAAAGGTTATTCCATCTACTTTTCAAAAATGGTTTTAGTTTTAGGATACTCACTTACATTTAAAAATAAATCCCCCACGACCGTCACTTGCCGTTAACGAACTGCCGAAATGGAACGCGCACGGAAGCGTGATTTCATGTTTGTCGGCCTGCTACACGATTGTTCAGGGGAATTAAATCATGGCGATTGATGCAACTTGTTCGGAAATTATTCATTATTCTACCATACAAATATAAGATTTGAAGTCTTTGAATTTTTTTTTCTATACCCACCAGAGTAACTGCTGGTCGTTTGGCCGGTTCCGCAAACGCATTCATACTGCCTATACAATACACTGGCCATGGTGTGACTGTATTAACCAGTGCTGCTATTGACAAGTATTGTTGATGACGGCCCCCTAGCGCGGTGCACTTTATTTATTTTGGCATGAATCTTTTTTTTTTTACAACTTACAAAGAAGTTGAGAATTTCTATAAATCCTTGTTTAAAAATGTCGAAATTTGATGATCATTTCTGGGTGTTCAGTGAAAAAAATTGAAAACTAAATTGAAACAAATTGATTTTGTTTCTGTCCAGCTTCCGGACAGCAGTGTAGGTTTTTGATTACAAAAAATTGGACTTCAAAATTTAAAATACAAAAATCTTTCTTAATACTTCCCACTAAACGCTTTTCCTTTGCTCTAAAAAAATTCACCCCATACTTGATGTTGAAGCGGTTGTGCCTCAGGGGTTTGAATTCATTTTAGAGTTACAACTCTCCACATCCAGGGTGCATGAGTCAGCCCAGGCTAGGAGGTGAGGTTTGTGGGGACCAATTAAGAATAGTGCATAATAATATTTTTCTAACCCAAAGGACATTTCCAGTAATTTAGTAAATTTAAAATTATCCTTTTTCGGTGGGTTCTAACCTTACTCTTTACCCTTTTAAACAAAAAGAAAAATAGGTCCACTAATATTTCATTATGAAGACCAGTCTCTCGTCAGTACAGAGACACAAATTTTGATTGTTTTCTTGGAGCACAAAATTTGTCAAATACTATAAACCATTTCTCATTTTTGTCTCAATTGGTCATAAACTAAACGTTTTATATAAAATTTCTTTTTCATACAGACAATGCCAAAGACAAAGAAGAAGATTACGCCAGCCTCCTGATAGGCCATAAGAGGCCATCAGCACATCTTTTTCAGTTTTACCTGTGAAGGTCAAGAAGAAGTTGAATATTATAGTGAAAGTACATGTAGCTGTGTGTCTTCATCACCATTTCTTTGAATTAATTTATTTATGTGACAAGTTTTTTTGTATAGTGCTAGCTTCTGGAGTGCTTAAATTATTTGTGTATAACAATTAAACAGACATGCAGGTGTCATAAAGGCAATAAATTTAAAGGCGTTACATACATTTTTATTAACCAGTACATGTGAAAGAGAAGTGAGGTGTTTGAAAAACTATGCTACTTTGCATGAAAAACTCACAGAACATGTCTATTTCTGTGATTCATCACCATTTATTTATATGGCAGGTATATTTTTGGATTTAAAAGGGGTAGCTTCTTGAGTGCTTTAGTTTTGTATTACATTTACACATGCAGGTATCACATGTCAATATATTGAAAGGGTTATCGGGATATACGTGATGAATGTGTTGACATTTTCTTTTAAGAGCATCACCGAACGGTAGATGAGGTTTGCTAATACAGTTGCCCAAGCATGATACACGTACATAGTTAATATGTGCAACAATGTATGAGGAGTAACTGAACATTATAATTAGAAATTGCCATTGCTGTGAAATAGGATTTATGACATTTTTAACAATTTGTTTTAATTTGTTTGTGAAATTTAATTTGAATGTGAAACAATATGTACATGTATGTGGCCTGTATGTATCTGGCCTGCTGAGGCCTGTTCCCCCTCCCCTCCCGGCCCCCAGGTTCCCCCTACTGGATGTTGGTGCACACAAAATTAAGCATATTGTGTTGTTACCCTGAACAAATTGAAACACTCCCCCCCCCCCCCACAAAAAAAATTAAAATGAAAAAAAGGAGGAGGGAATAAACAAAAGTAAATAAATAATAATAATTAAATAAACAAATAATATTAATAAACAGTGCTCCCCTGCAGACAATGATTCAGTTCCAATTCATCCAGCCATGCAGTAACTCCCTTAAGTGTCATAGGAATTAAAAATGATCCTGGAGAAAATATTAATTCAAATTCATAAATAGCTGGTCTGTGCTTATGTGAGAAAAAACAACCAACTGGAGCAATTCGGTACAAGGTTTGTGTCTGGTTCTATCCAACGTCAGAGTGTGTCTAAATAAAAATAAGACAACAACAAAAAAAACAAAAAATTAGTGATTGCAAGATGATAGACAGAATGCACAAAAAGCAAGAAAGTCATTTAATTGGATTGAAGCAAGTCAAAATTATTATAACGTAAAAAAAGATTCAACGAACCATAACAACTTCATGGAGTTACATTTTGTAAATTTGGACGCATTATAATGTGCAGACCTTGGCTCATGCACAGGGAAATATAATCCACATCTTTTCTTGGCTGGTTTGGGGGCAAAAACGATCTAGATTTGGCCAGTAAACAAGGAATATTTTCAGTCCAGTCTCGCAGAGGGCGCCGTTCGCGAAACCGGAAAACATTTGCGGAACCGGTCAAAGCACCGACCACTACAAAATGTCCTGGCAATTTTTTCTTTCAAACGATCGCAGAAAACTATTCATATCATGAAGTAGGTGAGTAATTTGCGCATATTTATAGATAAGTAGCTTCCTGTGAAAGCGCGTTTTTTCGCCACAAGACGCTTCAGACGATTTGCGATTGCGGAACCGGTCAAACGACTGTATAGTTTAAATTCTAAATTCTAATCTGAGGCTTCGGAGGATTTCTTTTTAAAAGGGAAATAAAGTCCGAATTTCATAATGGTCAAAATCATATTTTTGTTTTTTGTAATTTTGTATTTTCTTATGACTTTTTGAAAAGTCAAGTCCAAAACGCCATAGCGTACACCCGGCCATATGTACCCCCATAAATGTGGCCAATTTACTGGACTACTACCGCCGTAAATGAAGGCCACACTTCCACCATGTATAAAAACATGTCGAACTTTGTCAAATTTTGATTTTCACATTTAGGCTTAGTTGTACTTGTACTTTTTTGTAGATATTTTTGCTTTAGAAGCATGGAATTATACTCACCCTCTTTATAATTATAGGCTAATCAGAAAGTGCTGCCTTTTTCAGATGTCTATTTTTCGTGGAATTTCCAGATTCGCTTGCACACGTTTGCGTATCAAAATTTCAACATGAAATTTCATGACAATTAGACATCTGAAAAAGGCATCTGCAAAAACATGAAGAAAAAAATCCCCTTTAGGCCAACAAAAATAAGTCTCCGGTTTCTGGTATGGAGCTTGCCCAAAAAGTGGTGCGGCGACGCGGCCTTTTTTTTTTTACCTGACTTTTTTGCTTCAAAATGTCGGCTGATGACTGCAAATGGTGCCCGACTAAACTTAGTGCAAATATATGGGAGTCCAGAGAGGCCACTTAAAGCTTATTCTCGATCATAACCCCATCTAAAAACACGTTAAAATTGTGCAGCAGCAGGATTCCAGTCAAACCAGTGAGTTTGGCGGTTTTGAGACATCATCTTTCATTGAAAAAAAACCTTTTTCATTTTGCCGACGCGCATGGCTACGGCGACGCGCGCGCATACCAGAAACCGGAGACTTTTTTTTTTTGGCCTTAGGTGACCCAATCTGTCAAACCCCTTCAACAGGCTTGGACAGTTATGTGGTTTAATCCATGGGGGTTTTTGCTGTTGGTGACCAGCCTGTACGTACATGTATGCTATGGGAGAGGAAGTTGATAGATTTTTTGACAGTGTGTGACAGTTCTGTCAGTAGGAGGGTTAAAGGCCAAAACCCAAAGTGTACGTCTCCAAAAAAAAAAACCCAAAAAATCTCATCCTACATAATAGATGTATACCTCATTTCTTTCTTTCAGGCTGCTTCAGGAGATGAAGTCAACCCCAAGGCTTACCCTCTGGCCGACCCTCAGCTGAGCGTCAGTGTCCTGGACATAGTACAGCAGGCGTCCAACTACCACCAGCTCAGAAAGGGAGCCAATGAAGGTCAGATAGTTTGTCAAGCAACTCCCAAACTTCTCTGGGGAGAGGGCAGTATCGAGACTGATCATCAGTGATGGTCTGTCATCGCAAATACACTCAACCAAAAAAGAAAGTCCCCCCCCCCTTCCAATACTTTGTTGTCTAACTCAAAAAATACTGAGCACCTCTCGCTCAAAAAATGACTAATCAGTACAGATATTCCTTAGCAATCCAGCCATATTCTTTATTTGGCCCAAAACAGTGATATGTGTACGAATTTATGCAATTTATGACAAATGATACCAAAAACAGTTGCACTTTTGTATATGTGCAAGTTGTGGTTCACACTCACCTTGCACGTATACAAAAGTGCAACTATTTTTTTTGGTACCATTTGCCATAAATTGCATAATTTTGTACACATTATCACTGTTTTGGGCCAAACAGAGAGTATGGCTGGAGTGCTAAGGAATTTCAGTGCTGATCAGTCGTAATTTGACCAAGATGTACCCAGTAATTTTTTAGCCAAACAAAAAAGTATTAGGGGGGGGGGCTTTCTTTTTTGGTTGAGTGTATGTGTGACATGTTCTGTCGAAACCGGACATGTTTGTGCAGAGCTTGAAATGGAGATAAGACACAGTTTGGATGACTTTTTTTTCTTTGAAGTTTAGGTGTTATTTTTTTTTAAATGCAGGACAACAGGGACAACACCATAATTTTTTAATTTTTACGAATAAAAAGATTTAGGTTCTGAATGATTTTCTATGTGCAGTTTGGGTTCAGTAATAGGAAGTGCAGTGTTTTTTTTTTTATCCTAAAACATTTAAAACTTTTTACTACCTTTTATTTTTTGCTTCAGCTACCAAGACTCTGAATCGTGGTATCTCCGAGTTCATCGTCATGGCTGCCGACACCGAGCCCCTCGAGATTCTGCTTCATCTCCCTCTGCTCTGTGAGGACAAGAACGTCCCCTACGTCTTTGTCAGATCAAAACAAGGTCTGTTAAACCATTCCAACTCGACTATCTCTGAAGCCACGTACTAAAACTACATGAACTGTTACTGCAAATTTAACCTCGCCCTTCCAGCGTTGTAATTAAATCAAGCTCAAGTCATTCAAAAGTTCAAATTTTATGTCAAAGTGCTCACTTCTCTCCACTGGTCCTGGTTCGAATCCCGGTCTCGGACCATACATGCCGTACGTGAGGAGAGTTGTGCGTCGGTTCTCTCCTGTGCCATTGGGGTATTCTGGTATTCCTCCCTCCAGAAAAATCAAACACTTTCGATCTCAGGCTGTTCTTAGTGGTCATATATGGGTTGATTTGGCTGGCTGCCACAGCTGCTCGACCGCATTGAAGCCACGTCCTTCGCAATTCAGCTTCCCAGCTGCGAGTAAGGATGATTAGCCTCCCAAGTTATTATTATTACTATTTGATTACCACTGATTGTAGTCTTTGTTTTGTGATTGGCAGCATTGGGTCGCGCCTGTGGTGTGTCTCGGCCAGTCATCGCCTGCTCAGTCACCGTCAATGAGGGTTCGCAGCTGAAAGCACAAATCGAGAAGATCCGCAAAGACATTGAGAGGCTGCTTCTGTAGGAGCATGCGTCTGCAGTGCACACTTTGGCCATTTTCCCCCCAACTTTGATTGTGCCTCAAGTATAGAGTACATCATCTGTAATGGAACCACATACATAAGTTTTGTTTATTGCTTTTTTTGTGGAAGATTGCGGTAACTCGCAAAAGAAATCGCCTGTGGTGCCTCAAATCTGTCTGAATTCGGCCCCTCTTTTTGCTTGATTTTTAAAAGTGCCAAGTAACCATTACTTTTTTTTATCTCAGGGTACAGTGAACTAATATACAGGCTGAAAATGGTGCCAGTCAGAAACAATGAGCTAATTTAATCATTTCAAACTTCATTTTACATTATGCTAATTCCATTTAGTTATGGCAGTAAATTCCATAATAAACGACTTAAAGGGAATATACATCATTTGCTTTTGCTGTAATTTTCAGAAATGGATGGAATTGGGGGGTTGGAAATATATAGCAAATATAGTTACACTGACTTTTTTGAGGTTTTGGGTTCGAAAATGCTATAAAAACCAAGAAAACAATCCTTTTCCTATAGTCTGGTTCCCTGACTCCATATAAGAAGAAACAGAGCAGTTTACATACTTTGGGGAATTGTAAGGTCAGGGAACCAGTCTAGCTGGCTTGTACCCGTTCATAGGTGTGTAATCGATTGCAAACAAGTGCGATGGTCAATTGGGGCCAGTATTTGAAAAAAAGCCAGTTTTTTTCCAACGCTGATCGGCCGATCAGCGTTGGAAATTGATACAAAAATAGCACTTTTCTTGAAAATGACAGTATACCAGGTGCCATGATTTTACAGGATGCTTTACACTGTCATTCACTAGCAGTCCAGCAAGGTATTTCAAAATGATTTGGTAGTTTTATTTTTTGATGTTTGCAAATGTTGTATTTTCCCTTTAATGTCACAGTACAGTCACAAGAATTTACCATTGTTTTACACAGTGATCAGTTTTTATATATTGGAAAAAGTTCCTAATAAGTAGAAGGTTTTGGCTGGTTAAATTACCCCTAGGTTTTTAATTCTGATGTTAAGGATTTTAAATATTCATGTACTTTTCTCTCTCTTTGGGAGCTTTCTTTAACAAAGGAACTATTGGTTAATCAAGAGATTTTTTTTACAAAAGACTTGAATGTTGTCATTTTCATTCCTTACCAGTTAAGTAATGCAGGGTAACCCCAAATCCTAAAAAAGAAAAATTTTACAAAATATTAGTGGAAGTCACTAATAAAACAGAACATAATGCTCTGCATTAAGATTTTGTAATATTTTCATTGACTTTTTTTCTCTGGAATTTTCACGGGAAGAGAACAAACAAAATGAAAAGAAGTCCACCTCTGTAAATCATGAGTTTTATTTGAAAACCTTGATAAGATGTATGAAGATTAATGTGAATAAAAAATGGTCGGGTTTTGTACAGAAACGTTTAATAGTGTATTTTGTTTTCTATTTCCCCCTTGTTTTTTTGCGTATTTTGATGCTTTGTCCCCAAATAACCCTTTCTAATTCTGTAATCAGCAGAAACATAGTGCTTTTTATCCCCTCAAATCTCATTTTCTTTTAACTAGTTTTGTTTTAAAGATAATGTGGAAGGTCCACACAAATAAAAGTTATCATTGCCAGTGCAAGCCATTGTTCACCAAGTTGCCGCCACATTTTTATGACATGAAATTGATCCTCTGGATTTTTCGGCAGTGCATTGTCTAGGCCACGTTTTTCCAATTGTAAGCCGAGGAGTAGGATATCCATTCCAAAGCTTTTTGTTTTATTTTAAAAGCCAAAACTGCGATAATCGATTTACTCTCGTTGCTAATCGGGTCCAGGCGATATAAACAGAAAACATAATGCTTCACTGGCACCATGGACCACGAGCTCAGCGATGCGAGCACAGACCACATGTGCCTAGCGACCAAGCCAAAATGCAAATAAAGTGGTGCGCCACCTGTCGTCGTTGATGGAAAAAAGTTTCGTCTAATATATTTTAGAGGGGCGGACGTTTTCAATTTCTCTGTATATAGTCACGGTGCGAAGTACAGATTTGAGTCCTCTCCTGCCTTTGTCCTGCAGTTTCGGTGCACTATCTAAAAATTATGCTAATAATATCTGGTCTTTCAATAACTAATGACCATTTGCAAATATAAACTTAAGAAAGCCATCCAGTAATAGGGACATACCCTTTAAATTAATGGAACATTCCACATTGGAGCGCTATAGTTGATCATGTTAAGTGTACGATCGAGGATCGATACGGCGGTGCAGTCTGTTCATGAATTCCAAGTTTAATTTATGTTTTCATGTATTTTCTGACGAATCAAACACGGTCATTATTGTTGCAGCGGTTGATCAGGACACCGTGGACAAGCTCCAGAAATATGGATCAAAATCGCACCTAGTTATTGGCTGAAGATCTGAAGTGGAGTAGAGAAAAGCAAGGGGAAGGACGGTGAGAAAAGCATTCATTAATATTATTTTATCGTATCACTTGCCATTTTTGCGGTTGCAAGCAGTTCATATGCCGCTTCGTGCATGTGTCAAACAAAACCCAAATCCCAGAACCTATACTATAATCTAGGACAGGTGATACGTGCGTGAACCATGTTGATGGAGCTAAGTAGTAAGTGTCGAACCTTCCCGGCTCGGCTTTTAAAGTTTTATCCAGGAAAAAGTAAATTGTAATAATAATCCTGAATCCTGATGCCACTTTTCTGGTTGTCTTGGTCCGGTTGTGTACGAAATCTGTTAGAACTTGGAACTTGGAAGTGGTGATTTTTTTTTTCAAGTGTGCAGTCCAAAATGTATTTTTGTTTAGGCCTATCATTGCCTATATTAAATGTCAAAATTGTGTAGCTCTTTGTTTAAACTTTACTCGTTAGGCCTAGTGAACTGGTAAGGTTTTTCAACAATAATTCTTTGTATAATATAAACATGATAATTTGTATTGTTGAATGTTGTAACATGACTCGTTGTCGTTGACTGACCATTTTTGTTCCAAGTGTTTATCATTATTATTACCATGAACAGTGAAGTTGATGTGATATTCTTGAGTGAATTTTACCGACTCAACCAGAACCAGAACCGGTTGGGCATATTTTCTGTTCTTAAATGCAGGGGTGTGAAACTTCAGCTTTAAAGCTGATTTCAGCTTTTTTTGTTTTCGATTTCAGCTTTTTTCCCTCACTTGGGGTGTACAAAAGTATAGGAGATTTCCAAAGTTAAGCTTTTTTACACCTTTTTTCCCAGCTGTTTTCAGCTATTTTTATCAGTGGTCACTCACACCCCTGTAAATGGCACATTGTACAGCACCCTCAATGTGCATGTTGGCCTACACCATATGGGCCTAACATTAAATTGCCATATAAACTACAATAATACACAACCCTAAAATTCAAATCCCATTGTCTGAACTTTGTGGACTTGTGTAAATGGCAACTTTTCTGAACGTCATCTACAGTGCATTAAAATATACATAAACATGAAATCTGCTTTTGGTTTTCCATGTAGACTGGTATTTATTTTGAAAATTTCCCACAAATGGCATTCAAAACCTTTCTTTTGTTGCTGTCTGAGAAGTTACTACATGTAAGTTATTTGTAAAGTTGGTTATGGGAACCCGACCCCATAATCTAGAACCGGTTTTTGACATCAGCGGTTGGGTACTTGGGCACCCGGTTCCAATGCACGCCGGCTCCCCAAAGTTTCTCGTCCAGGCTTTTTGAAAAAAATTTTGCAAGATGGCGAAGGCAATTCTTCCATTCCCTCAACTCTCTTGCTGTCAAAAGAAGGTATCATTCTTTCTACCAGATTTTAAATATTTTGCTGGAAATAAATAGGCCTATTATAGTATAAAAAGACAAATATGATTTTAAATAAAACAATGGGCAGGGTGGGAAAATGAGGCAAATGAGGACAAGAAACTACAATGTAGTTTTTTTTTTTTTTTTTAACTTTGCTATACATTTGTACATGTGTGGCAGGCTTGACACTTCGGTGATGGTTACTCTGCTCTTAAAAAAAAAAATGGGACATAAGGCCAAAAAAAAATAAGTCACCAGTTTCTGGTATGGAGCTTGCCCAAAAAGTGGTGCGGCGACACGGCTTTTTTTTTTTTTACCTCATTTTTTTGCCTCAAATGTTGGCTGATGACTGCAAATGGTGCCCGACTAAACTTAGTGCAAAAATATATGGGAGTCCAGAGAGGCCACATAAAGCTTATTCTCGATCATAACCCCATCCAAAAACACGTTAAAATTGTACAGCAGCAGGATTCCAGTCAAACCAGTGAGTTTGGCGGTTTGAGACATCATCTTTCATTGAAAAAAAAACTTTTTCATTTTGCCGATGCGCATGGCTACGGCGACACGCGCGCATACCAGAAACCGGAGACTTTTTTTTTTGGCCTAATAGAAAAATATGAAACTGTGACTGTGACCGACAGTAGTATTTGAGGTTGTTTGGTGGAAGTTGAATCCGGATCAAAGGGCTAAAGGAAGAAGAAATCCGATATGTTTATACATGTACTGTATGTTGTTTGATTACTACTTCCTGCAAAAGGGGATGTCCACAAAAATGATCTTTTTTGTGTGTTATCCTTGAACCTGCAAGTAGAGAAAAGAAATACTGCAATTTGTTTTGTTGTAATTTAGACAGTGTTTAAAATTGTCTAATGTTTGTAATAATTACAAAATATTTGTAAATACTGCAGGTCAGGGAATAATATTTTAACCCTTTAGTAACGTTTTAGCGCTCGAAACCACCCTGCCTATTATCACTGTAGGGCCACAAAGCGCCCAATCACTGGTTCTTCAATGTAATTAATTGTTTCAAAATTCAACTGAAATACAATTGACGCAAACTGGGCATTATGAACATTTTGCATTAATGAGTTTTCTTTGTGTGTGGGTGTGTGTGTGTGGAGCTATGTGTTAGCTGCATCCATGATAGTAAATTAGAGTACTATAGTGTGCATCCATACTTTATGACTAGGGGCTATCCTTGAATTAATTATGCTAACTAGCTCTATGTCAGCTGACCATGCATGGTCAAGTATTGTAAATACCAATTAACTGCTAATTGCCCCGACAACCCGCTCGCAGCAGTACATGGAAAGGAAGTACGCAGGGAACACTGTGTCAGTGTGTGTGTAGGAAGTTGCGGTGGGGGAAAAAAAGCCCAACCCAATTACTACAAGGACCTGTTTTGTGCGTGGGATCGCAAAACCTGAAGCTGAACAACTGGCCTTCACCCTATGCCTGCATGCATGCATACAGAACCCCACGCACATGGCCAACTTGCGGTGGTGCTGCATCACACACCCAGTTTGCTCCATAGACCATAGCTCCGTGTCCAGGCTGGTTTTGTGTGTGGGGCAGGCAGAGTATAGTAAAGGGGCGTGTGCATAACAGAGCAGGGAAAGGAGCAATAAGCAGCAATTGGGGACCGTGCTGTGTGCTGTTCAAAGTACTGTGCACTGCATTGGATACTCAAGGATTGGAAGTGCTTTCTCTACGTAGTTAAACACCGTGTTTGTGTAATACCTTGTAAGTATGCTGGTACCAAAATTACGTTATTCTGGGCTTTTTCGTTTTAACTTGTTATTTATTTTCTGGTATATAAATACTGGTAACAGTTAACTGTTAAAATTTTCAGCAGCAACTGTTGCATGAGGAATTTTTTTTTGTATGAATGCAGTTGTATTATGTGCATAATTGGACTTCAATTATTTTTCTTTTATTAGTTGCTATTGAAAGCGTTCAGTGTACATTTACATGTGTGTCAATTTGTGTGTATACCTGTAAGTTGTTGTGAAAAATGGGCATGGTCTTAAATTTTTGCAGCATCAAGTAAAGTTTTAAGTATGTTGCAAGTTTACTGATTAATGTGTCAACTAATGCATCATGACCAAATTTAAAAGGCCGAAGTAAAACAATTGTGTGTTTATGGTAACACTCTAAAAAATATTCAGGTAGGAAAATAATTTCATTTTTTTTGTGTGTTTATCCGTTGGGTTTTTCTAGGATACCTTTAAACAGGTTAATGCTGTTTAATTAACCTTTTCATTACTTAAGTAACCAATTACACCTTTTTTTAATTTCCAAACTACATGAACGTACATGTACCAGAGGTTGCAGACCTCAACCTGTAAAGAGTGCCCTTTTTTACGAAGTGCCCTTTTTTCTTCTGAACAAGTGCCCTTTTCAAAAAAAAGTGGTGCCCTTTTTGTGGCATCTGTTGTTTTTGGTGCCTTTTTTTCGCACAGAATTTTGCACATGAAATGACCGTGATACGCCCCTGTTAGTTCCCACATTTTGATGAGTTTAGAACTTTTTATCCGGTACTTTAGTAGCTCCTGTGCTCAACATTTCAATATGAATGACGCCCACATCAGTTTGTCTGTGTAAGCTCAGATCTATAGGTATTGTATTCAGTGATCAAGGCACTTGGAACTAGCCAAGCATATCATCATCATGGCTAAAAAGGTCTTAAACTCAATCACCCTACATGCATGGAGTGTGCTTACAAAGTATTTCATTATAATGTGGTTAGTGCCAGTTGATGGAATGCGACAAAGGCTCTTCCCAGGGGCTAATCACAGCATGCAGCACTTTGGTACTGGATGTGCTTTCATTGTGCAAATCAGAAAATGGTTTGGCGTGCTGGGAAACTGTGCATCACACTGAAAATAAAGCAAAACCATGAAAGATCTAAAAAAAAAACCAAGGTACATAAGTGTTACATAGATCTGTACATGCTATGCTTTACTGCTACATGCACACTGCCTAGCGTCTACAGTATGTACATTATAATATGCATGTACCGCTAGTATGACCTTTTTATTTACAAGTACCGGTAACTTCTACCACAATAATAAGACTCAATCTGTCAAAAGTTGCCATTTTCACTTACCTTAAACCTTACCTTACCTAAATGCAACTCTTGAAAAAACCACTTGTCTTGTTCCACGACTGGATTGAGATTTTGTCCCCCCCCCCGCCCCCGCCCCTATGCAGCCAGTACCTCGTGCAAAATGCTGTCAAGCTGCCGCAGCAGTAGAAGTCAGTCGCTATCAACAAGATAAATCAACAGTATTGGGAATTTTGGCAGCGGTACCCAGGAACTTTTGAGCCGACCTGAATTTATAGCGCAGAAAGTGTGCCACTTTTTTTTTGACGGTAACTTTTTTGTCGACAGCTGTTCATTGTTTTCAATATCAGGTTAAGCCCTTGACAGCTATAACATACTCTGCATGCAACTATTGACTGACGTGGCACATATTTAAAGCTGGCAGTTTCGAATATCCGAATATTTGGTCAAACCCAGTTTTGAGTACTTGAACACTAAATTACTCGAAAGTGGACAGCCCTAGTGTAGGCAACATGATTGCAATGTAAAAACGCTTGTTAATTTTCTTGCAGGAAAGATTGGAAAAAACTTGTTTCCAGTTTGAAAGGCTTTTGCAATCTGATCTTGGAATTTAGCAATGTGTTAACAGTTTTAAATTGTTTTCCACTTTCCAATCAAAAAGTACATTTCATTCATAGAAACCAAATACAGTGAAATGCCACTGTAACGAACACCACTATAACAAACATTTGGCTATATAATGAACATCACCTTTGGCTCCCGAAATATTAAATTCTATTATAATGCACAAGCCCTATAACGAATGACTACTACATGGTTGTATTTAGGAACATTGTTTGTAGACCCTATCGTGTTCATTATAGTGGCGTTCGACTGCAAGTGTTACGTGTACATACATTTTATTTGTCTGTGATATGGAATACATGAATAAAAAATACATGGTTTTATACATGTAAAAAGTAAAACTCTTTACTAAAATTCTGTCCTTCCATTGTGTACTGTTTATGAATTATGCACACAGTGTTTGCACTCGACTGTAACCTGTCCTGTAACAAGTTCTGTCATTATAATTCCGTCACGCATCGTGGCATACGTGCATTCCTCAGGTCAGCCATTGATAATAGTTGACAAGTTCCTGACTCAAGGTGTTTTGAATTCCGAATTTGTTTTGGGGTCGGCGTTGTTGTGGCAAGGGACAAGCTTCAGCGGGTCCGTGGTGCACCCACGCTGGTAATCGGTGCATTTCAATGGGCCCGGTTTTGGGGAATTTGTGGGGGCTAGGGTCAGCCTGCTAAACATGGATGCCTTTCATACAGAAAAGTACAACTTTGTAATGAAAAGATAAAAAGGGAAGCCATGCAAAGAGGGTGCAATACAATTTGCCATAAAATTGTTGCTTGTTTTACCATATTTGCCTTGAAAAATGTGCTCAGTCAGTTATCAACATAAAGAACAAAACAAAAAATCTGCAGTTACTGGAGCAAACTGGGCAGACTGTTTTTAAAGAAGTTTTTGTTGTGATTGTGATGTCACCGTCTGCTATGCACGTCTGCATTGAACCATAACGGTCGCGGTTGAAAAAAAAATTACATAAATGCTCTCTTTGTTTCAACAATAGATCTTTCATTCCTAACATTTGGTGACTCATTTATTTTCAAAAAAATGTGAAAACAACAGCACTACTGCTTGATCACTGTTTACAGCAATCGAATGTTGTGTCTTCATATAAAGGATATCTCCCACAATCCTGCTTAATACTCTTTTGATTTGACGCATCTTGGTAGGGCTGTCCCGAATATTCTGAATATTTGAATATTCAATCATGAACCGAATATTTGAATAGCTTTTAACCAGTTCGAATATTCAATAGGAACAAAAACCCTATAGATGCACGTACACATCTGTGATGTTATAAATAAGTTGTGGCACTATAGTCAGATTTTGTTGATGATGACAACAAATTTTGTGTCAATGGTAATGGTGGTTCATTGTTCTCACCTGTTAAGCAGGCTAAACCCCTTGGCAGTTAAAAAAATACTTACTGCAAGGCATTCGAGCGACCCGTAACATCGATCTTTGCACACAAATTTTACCCCGGTGCACTTTGCGTGCAACATTTTACTGGCATGGCAGGCAGTTGCATCTGGCATGTGCAAACTTGATCGGCGAGTTTCGAATATTCAAATATTCGATCAAACACAGTTTCGAATAATCGAATACTAAAGTATTCGAAAATGGACAGCCCAAGATCTTTGAAGGTTTTAGGGTTAACTATCTGTGGCACGTCCTGAAAGTGTTTCTGTGATTTTCCATAGCTAAATTGCAGAAATTGGAATCAATTTAGTGACACTGATTCAAGGCATGAATTTCAAGCTTTAATTCTTGTACAATGTCAGACAAGTGCTTGAATGTTTGTGAATACTTGAGTACTTAACCGTCTTTACATTTTGTTTGAATATACAGGAGCAAGTGAAGACAAGAACATTCAAGATCTTGTGTCTTGGTTGGTACCACTTTACATTTTAGTCATCAAAGAACTTACCACAAACTGAACAATGGATAACATGACGGACGCGCCCAAGATCTGCGAAGGCCTGATCCTCCCGTTGACGGACGAGTCAGGCTGGAGCCTGTGGTTTCGAATTGTCATCTACTTAGTCGGCCTGCTCTGGAGTTTCCTTGCCGTGGCCATCATTGCCGACGTCTTCATGGTGTCCATCGAGGTCATCACGAGTCGGACTCGGGTCCTGAAGATAGCCAATCCCGACTTCCCCGGCGGGATCGAGGAGGTGGAGATCCGAATCTGGAACGACACGGTGGCCAACTTGACCCTAATGGCGCTGGGCTCCAGCGCCCCCGAGATTCTACTCTCCGTCATCGAGGTGACCGGGAAGGGTTTCAAGTCTGGCAAGCTGGGCCCCAGCACCATCGTGGGCTCGGCGGCCTTCAATCTCCTGGTCATCACGGCCGTTTGCATCATGTCTATTCCGAAGGGGGAATCCAGGGGCATCCGCATGATCAAAGTCTTCGCCACCACAACCGCCTTCTCGCTCTTCGCCTACATCTGGTTGTTTCTGGTCCTGCAGGTCATCAGCCCCAACAAGATTGAGATTTGGGAGGCGGTGGTCACGTTCATGTGTTTCCCCATCTTGGTGGTCGTCTCCTACATCTTTGACCGGGACTTCTGTGGCACCAAGAAGCACGAACCTGACATGGAACTAGGAATAGGTTGGTATATTATTATTATATATTTTCTGATTATGAAACCAAATTTAGATTCCTCAAAAAAGTACCCATGGCCCTGCAGCTTGCAAGCCTGAAGAAACCTGTTGACGATGGTTGAGAGAAGACAATAAGGAAATGTCCAGTTTGAGAGGTAGGAGGGAAAATACCCACAGAGGGGCAAAATGCACAAAATACAAGGCCAAACTCACAGAATCCGATGGGGGGCTGAAAAACCAATGCACATCTGGACCTGGGCAGGAAATCTAACTTGGGCCACAGAGGTGGAAGGCGAGGAAAAGACCAACCTGACTCCCCAGCATTTTTAGCTGGGCGAAAGCAGTTCTACAAATACTCATGTTTCTCCATTGGTTGGTTGGTTAGTAACAAACTTCACCGAATGCCTTTTTTTGGGCAATCAATCACCTTGTTTTTTAGCCCTCGCAACAACAGGTCTCCACTGACCAGAGCTGTGCCAATTTATTGCAGGTGTGGACAATTGGGTCACAAGGTCACTCATTTAGCATTGGGGCTAGCACTGTACTGCACACAAATTGGGTGTTCCACATGCAACAAAATAATGGGAATCCTTTTCAATTTACAGTCAAGACCACGTGAGTAGCTGAGCAGTATAAGAACAGACTTTTACATCATGTACATGACTTATAGGCTACAGCAGGTCTACTGTTGGGCTTCCGATATCATTTCAAGCTTGTTTCTGTGTCATATGTAGCACACTCAATCCGGTCCAATTTTTAAACAGGAAATTTTATTTAGAAAATTTTGTGTGCTAAGTAGTACAATTGGCAGAGAACCAGCCACAAGATATTTACATAAGGTAACATGAGATTTTAGCTGGTATCGGTACATGTAACCTGTTTTTGCTAAGTACTTGTAAATATTTTCCCTGCTTTTAGCAAATTTCTTCGCTCACCAGCTCCGTGAAATCATGTCTGATCATTTCATCATTGCATTTTCTTGTTTCTTTTCTTTTTCATTCATTTCATATGCTTTACATTGATACTGCTTTTGCATTTTCTCATTTCTTACAGCATACATCATTTACTGAAACTTTTATTTTCTTCTGTACGTTTGCACACAATACACTCATTGCATACGTACCTGATTTACATACCAGATTTCTCAATCCTTTCCAAAACCTTGTTAAAACATTACGTGATTTGACAACCATACGGTTGACAACCATACGGTGAACTAATTTGCATTATAAATGGGAACTTGCCTGAGTACTCCAACATACGTGTAACAATTCTTCCACAGAAACTCACTAGGAATGTTGACATCGAAGACCATTTTGGGCAAACTTACCAGCAGCTGATCTCACAAAACTTTGTGCAATGGCCTAATTAACTCCACTCGCCCAACCATTTATTGCGCAAGATATTTACAGTGTACCTGGCACATGTACAATGTACATTATGTCAATTATTTAAAATGTTGCACAGCTTCATACAATATATGCCAAGTCTCATGAAATCGATCACAAGTATATTGCGCAGCTGCGCAACATAATTGTTGCGTAATTCCTACGCTAGCGTAAGTTTTTCTATGCCAGCGCATTTTTTCGTAAAATCATCTGCAGAAGTTTGCAGTTACGTACGATATGGACCATATGGTACAGCAGGTTGCCATGGACTATCGTTATGTAGCATTTCAAAAAATATGGATTCCATAAAATTTAACGATGAATAAAGAAATATACATTAACTATCCAAAAAATATTACTATGTCACTTTTGGTGAAAATAATAATTGCACACTTATCACTAAATTCAAACAAATGTGGGTATAGATCTGTAGACCAGCTGTTACCGAAATAAGATTCCTAGACTAAATTCTCAATCATCTGGATAAAACACCTTCATGTACATGTACATAGTATGCACATGTAGGTCTACATCGTGTGAATCTGAAAGACCAAAAAGTACAAATTAACACAAAACATACATGTATGTATACATGTACAACGACGCAGAAATATTAAGGCCTATAAGTTGAGATGAGATGTTGTTAAACCAAAAACATAAAAAAATTGTATACCATTTCAATGCATGGTCAGTTTGCAATACTCTCAAGCCTACGGTAACTGTACAAATCAGTGATCAATAAAAACTTCACAGAAGGCAAAACCATCAGACTGTTAGTAATCCACAGTAATTCAATAAATGCATACAACAATACACAGCTAAAACCCATTAATATTACTGTACGTATTGATCATTCAATACAAAGAATCGATTAAATTGTGTACATTGTACACATGTTACAATAACCGTAACAGTTTGCTTTGTAAATTATGCATGTAATAGAAAAATTGTTTGGTTATCCCCCCCCCCCCAAAAAAAACAATTGCAACAACTTTCAGGGTCAATTGTTTTTGCAGTTACACATGTACTGGTATACATTCATTGTATACATAACATGTACCATATGGCAAATTCTATCCATACTACCGGTACATGTACCTACAGTGTTACATTGTGTACATGTATGCAAATTTACATGTATTTTTTTGTGATAATTTGTATGCAAATAAAAAATTGGTGACACAGACAGGATACTTCATCCAATTAGTGAAGCATAGAATTTCTTTCTTTTTTTCCCAAAGGCCTCAACATTCAGAGCGTATCAGGTGTACATAGATGCCAGTTTTTCAGCTATAGCCGGAATTCTGTTTAAAAAAAAATGGGGGGGGGGGGGAGGGGGGGGCGGGAATTGGCAGCAGCCCTTTGCAGGCCGGAAAATATATCCTCATGTTGTGCACATAGTAGACAAAAAAAGAATTTATAAGGAAACAACCATGTGTCATTTTTCATCCAAAAAAGTCTGTTACATGGTTACATACATGTACACGTGTGTTGTTTATCGTCGCTCATGAGCCAATAAGAAAATTGGTTCCATGGGATGCTGCGCATGGGATGGCGTGTGGGATGCCGCGGCCCGGGCTTGTACGCACAATCTCCGGTCAGCGTTGAAGACTTTCATGGAAGACGGTCAGAGCTTATTGTGCACTACATGTAGTTTTAAGTTAGCGCACACTGATTTTTCTGAAGATGCATTGGGGGGGGGGGGGGAATAGGTTACAACTCATCACTTGAAGAGTGACCAGAATGCATGAATGCAGTTACAGGAGAAACAACCCTGCATTAAAACAAAACAAATTCACTGACGCGGAACCAGTCAGCAAGCTGCTCCACACTTCACAATGCTTGACCGATTCTGAATTAACATAATGAGGATGGCATTTGGACCTCAACTACATGTAAAACCAGCATATTTCATCTGTATTTTATTATTTACATTGTGTAACTGATGATAAGTGATGTGGTGGTCATTCACTGTCATTCAATTCTCCTGACGGGATGACTTTAAAATGGGCATTATGCATTGATGCTTTTAAGCGGCGAGTGCTTTGTACCGTACAAATACAACTTCTGCTAAGTGCTGCAATAATTTAGATGTACTGCAGGGTGTACGTGCCGTGACATTTTCAAGCCTTCTTTTGTTGTGCGTAATCGCTTGGCTATTAGTGTGAAACAACATGTTAAATTGCACCCATGTCAAGTGTACATGTCAACAACTTTTCATAATTGTGCAAATAAACGCTTGGAGCATGGGCAATTTGTATGGTAGGCCTATACTGGAGTACTGCTAAAAATGATTTTTTTAAGCTTGAGCATAATTCTCGGTTCAAGAAATGTTTCTCTTTTCTCACGTTCTAGAATTATTTTTCTAGGAAGTGAGACTTAAGCAATGTTTTCTTGAAGGTTTTTTTTTCTAATTTTAAGAATACTATTTTTAGCAGTGTACATTTGTACAAGTACAAATCCCTTACATTTTGTACATATGTACACATGACGTAAGGGTAGTTATGATATCTAGTTGGGATAGGTAGATAAATCTAAAACATGTATGTACATGCACTCATGCAGGTCTTCATAACACTACATGTACATGTATGCATGGAGCTACTGGTATATAGCTCCACGATGTACGTGAAATACTTCTTTTTTTGTTGTCATGCATACATCAGGGCGGAGTCAGGGGGCAGTGTTTTGTATTGGTTTGATAAGCATGAGTACACCATTTGTGCATTCATTGTGACTGAATAAAAAAAAAAAAAAAAAAAACCTCCATGTAAAGGGAACACTTAATGCATGTTGGAGACCAGAGTTTATATTAACCCCTCCCCCCCCCCCTTCCCAAATTACAACCCCCCCCCCTTATCAGAAGCTATTTTGTGGTCTAATTTGTGCCTGTACTCTGGATATTTTTGGAAAAGTTGTCACAGCATTTCAAAACTCTGCTGTTAAAACATGCTGGGCAGTTTTAGTAAGTGTTGACAGACACATAGTTGAATAGGAAGTTGTTTATTAGGACAGTTAAGTCAATATGACCAGGAGACTTGGGTTGTTGAGGAAGTTTCCAATATTTTAATGTCCCGATAGGTACCTGTTTTGGCTGACTATGTACCGGTATGTATCTCAAGTTATTCATAAATATGCCAACACTTTTTCGGATGGAAACTAAAACTATGAAAGCCTTGATGAAGTCTTAATTTAGGGTTTTGTTTCGAGAATATCAGTTTTGATTAACATTTGTTTCAATTTGGGGCACTATTGGCATGCAATAAGTGGTCAATTAACAATGATTCATAAATTATACCTAAGACAAATTTTTATTACCGAAAAAATATTTATGAATGGGAATAAATATGTGCTTGGTCAGTAATGGTATTAATCACTCTGTTTAAGACTGCTTGGAGTCTGGTTGCTGATAATTACCCTCGCCTTCGGCTCAACCAAACACAATCCAACCCAACCCAGCTCAACCAAACACAATCCAACCCAACCCTTCCCATCCCGTCCCGACCCAACCCAACTCAACCCAACTCGACTCAACCCAACCCAACTGAACTCAACCCAACCCCACCCTATCCCAACCCAACCCAAACCCAGCCCAACTCAACCCAACTCGACTCAACCCAACCCAACTGAACTCAACCCAAGCCCACCCAACCCAACCCAACTCCACCCAACTCAACTTAACCCTACCCAACCCAACTCAACCCCAAGCCCAACCCTATCCCAACCCAACCCAACCCAGCCCAACTCAACCCAACCCAACTCTACTCAACCCAACCCAACTGAACTTAACCCAACCCCACCCAACCCAACCCAACTGAACTCAACCCCACCCAACTGGGCCCAACCTACCCAACCAAACCAACCAAATCCAACCCAGCCCAGCTTTTTAAAATCACAATACCCGAAATTGCATTCCGTTTTATTATTGTTGTAACATGAATTGTAGTAACATTATTCACAATGCGCTAGAAAAGGCAAATACATACTTCATCAGACATATAATAGAATTGGACAGTTTCAATTACCTCCTCATGGGAGTTATTAATCCTTACCATACCTGTTGACACTCTATCAGTCAACATGGCAACATCTTCACCAGGCACCAATCATTGTAACCTTTAATTCCCATGGATCAATCGATGGCGGTTGCTAGGAGACACTCGTCTGGCAAACTCAGACGAGACAGTGATATTTTAGAGTAGTGTGCATCGTCTGGTATTGCATGAGTCAGTAGTGGATCAAGAAGAGAAGATATTTTTGCCATGACGACAGTGCCATGACCTTTTAAAAAATTTGCCATCTTGAAGAATGTTTGTTTTAAAGCACAGGGAATTAGTGTTAAATATCAGAGATGCATGTTTCTGAATATTTTATTGTTTTTTGGCAAGGGTGTTTAGAAAAGCAGGTTTTGTGGTGTTGGATCGTTTGTTGTGAAAAAATATCAGAGGACCAAGCAGTTTTCACTGGGATGAATGTGAGAGAGATGGAATAAATTGAGAGCACCTTGCTGGGAATTTGATTTGTTTTCAAACTTATATTTAAATTATTGGGGTTCTTTTTCAGAAAAAGCAGTCGTTGGTTTTGACTCTCTAGGTACCATGCAGTCCTTGTTTTTAACTTTCCATTTGTACTATTGAAGGAAAAAAACAACAGCAGGTCTCCTGATTTCAGAGGAAACATGCAGAGGAAAAAAGCTCAACAGTGGGCATTCATGAAAACAAATTTCACCTGTGGTGTTTCTGTCTCTATCTTGGCGGGCGCGTGTGTATATTATTACAACTTGTTGGCCTCCTTGCATATTGCGTTTCATTAGGAATGCAGATGGGACTTCCCAAGAGCTGCTGCATACAGAACCCCTCTTGAGCTAGCTAATCACACCCACTCAAGTCTTTCCTGTGGGGAGTATGAATAACCATAGAGGGCCCATAAACAAGCTACATGTACTTGCAGTCCTTAAACAACCCATAAAGAGCTTTATGTGCTATTTATGGGGAGGATATTACATTAACTACTGTCCCCTTGAGATCTTGGAAGTGAAATGGCTAATTCTTCTATGAAATTTGGTACACTAGTAGAAAATGTAATATTGCCGATTATGGTACGAACGATTTAAGTGCCTGTGGAGAACAGCTGGGCAAAAAAAAAGATAGCAGAGCTGCCTCATTAAAAAAAAAGCCGAATGAAACCAAGGGAAAACTAATTATCTTACGAAAATAATGTAAATCCCTTAAGACACAAGCTCACTCTGTGATCACAGACAGTTTTAATATTAATTTTTTAATTATTAATTCCTGGCGAGCTGTCAATTTTAGGCATGAAAAAATAACGCAAGTTGCGGTAGCATCTGAAATGTACCATTTTTTTTGTTCTTGACGTTCTTCGTCTACTCCGCAATAAGAGGGGAGTGAAAATCCTGTTCATGTTTTGGTTCTCGTCATTCGAAATCCCGTTCTGGTGTTTATTCAAAACGAGAACGGGGTGTCAAATACGCCCAATGAGTCCACAAAATTAAGTCCGCAAAACTGTTGTTTGGGCGGCAAAAACGTGTGTCTGTTGGCGAATATGAAGAGCGCCCCACTATTGTCCAAAAATATCCAAAATCATCTATTTTGAGCACACCCAATTGTCAGATAGTGTCTCCCTCCCCCCCCCCCCCCCCCCACCCCTGCGGTTTTAGATTTTGCAATGGCCGGCTAGCCAGGGGAAAAAATGTCCAGGCTATCTTTTAGACTTTTGAGGGTACATGTAGAAATGTAGGTTTTCGGCAAAGTTTTTGTCAAACCCCCCCCCCCCATAAATTGGTAATTGCTTCGCCCCTGAAGATCAGTCGTCCAATTCATAAAGGCTCAGTACAATTTAATCCAATTGCATGGTTATGATATTCGATAATATGTACAGGTGTAGGGCTAACAGGGAGAGGGCATGGGACCATACTGTAGTAGGCGTTGGATGGGGAACTCCAGTTTAAAGCACATGCAGACACATGGCTCACATCTCAAATCTTCTATTTAGCAGACATTAGCTGTAGAGATAATCTAGGCTTTCCACACAGGCCTTGGGGTAATTTTTATTTTACGTTTACCGTTACCACGGTTGCATGTCGCATCCTGACTGTCGCGCCTACTCCAGTCCGGTCAATGCCTTCGGGATCTCCTTAATTGGGTTATTCACTCCAAAAACGGCTGCCGCGAAGGTCGCAAAAGGTCAAGCCCTCCAGTTCAGTCGGTTGCTCAGGAAATTACTTAACGTCACGAGCGTCCCTCGGCTTTTTTTGGTATCACTTGGGAGGTTTTTGTTTTGGCGTTGTTGCTACGAGACCATGGGTGTTGCCTTTGCCAAATGTGGTTCCATGGTTTCTTTAAATAGTAAGTTGAAGTTTAGTTCACTTCCTGATCATATGAGTCTGGACTTGGTCAATGACGTCAAGTTGTTTGCTTTGGCAAATACAGACTTTACAGGGCCAAGCTTGGCTTTAGTCACTGAGTCAGACCAAACCTACGTGGTTGTAGACATGGAAAATTAATTGGGCTTATGAAGAGTGATATATAACTATATTATAAAAAAACAGGAAAAGGTGTGCAAAGAATACAGAGTACCAAAGTGTGACGTCATTTTGAACCGGGAAGTGTAATGCAAACGAATGGTGTAGGGGTGCGTGTTGGTTCACAGGCTGAATTGCGCGCTAATGTCTTTTACACACATTATTGTGCGCGTGATGTGTTCACTTCGATACTCCATACAGATCACAAACATTTGACTAAGTTCCATTTTGCATTTAGGACACTTTATGGTTTCAACTGAATAAAAAAGTACTTATGGTTTGAATTTAGATTCATACTATATATTTTTAAGTGCTGGTACATGTATTTGTTTACATGCAAGTATTTGATTTGATTTTTTGAAATAAAGTAAGCTTTGTATCCCCTTTGAGTTATTCCTGACTAATTTGTCTATAGTTTTGTGACATAATTGTCTATTGTATTATAATTATATAATAATTGTCTATTGTATTATAATTTTTACCATACCACATTTAAATGTGGTATGTGTGTTTTTAAGGACCCCGATAGGTGTGTTTTTAAGGACCCGATGGAATTAAGCCGTCTTATAAACAGCTTTTCGGGTTTTCCTTGGCTTTGTATTTACATGAAATACGTTCGTTTTTTATATTATTGTATGTTTGTTTGTTTGTTTTTGCCAAAATAAATAAATAAATTAAATAAATAAAAATTAAATGGTCTTTTGCAATAGCCCCCCTTGAAAAAAAATCATTGCCAACTTAACGGCCTAAGTTGAGTTGGAAAGAACTGTCATTCCGGGACATGTAGATTGACGGTCCCCTGTTCAAGTCCCACCAAAACTGGATTAAAAATCAAACCTTTTAAGTTCAGCCATGTGATTTGTATAAGTGCTGAAAGTAAAGTTTACAAGAAACATCTCAATTCTATCTGTCCTTTCTTTGCTTTTATTTTCTCTCTCTTTTTTATTTAATGTCACTTCATTTGTTTTTCATTTTCAAAATGCATTCATTTTCAGCTCTGCTTGACATGCTAGAAATATCCATTGCTGCTTAATCTGCTTCCATCATTTTCTGTCACTTATTTTCTAAATTTATTTTGTTGCTTGGAATGCACCATGACTTGACGATGCCTTTCTAGAGCCTTCAAGAAATATACTCTCGACTCCCGAGCATGCCGAGAGTCCATGCTCAGATCAGTGTCAAGGTGATGGTCTTATTTTGTAAATCCCCTACCCCCCACCCACGTCATCAATTTCAGCACATGCTGCACTGCACATTTCGTCACCGTTTTCACGAAGAGATGTAAAAAAAATATTTTTTTTTATTTCATTTTTTTCTCGCTATTTTGCTTTAAAACATTGTACTTAACCGTTTGACATGTTTCTGTAAGCAAAACATCATTAGTTTCCAAATTAAATTAATGATGCAAGGGGCAGACATCTCGCTAATGGCATTTTGCGTTTTCACGAAGAGACACAAACATTTCGGCCCCTTGAACACGTACAAAACCTATTGCATGGACAGTCATAAAAGTACTGTAGGTCAACTGAGATTTTCGTTTCATCTTATTTTTATTTACACTTTAACACGAATTGTACTTAGTACACAGTTTTATCACGCACAGGTGTGATACAAATCTATGGAATTGACTTGCACTTACATGTATCCCCTTAGGGAGAATAAACATAACATTTGTGTGCTTATTAATATATGTTTATTCATTAACCCCTCATTTCTAGGCATTTTGCCAGGAGCTATCCCAAATCTGATCAAATTCACCCCACACCCCAATCCTCCGCTGCAAAGGGACTGAATGATACTTTTATTGAACATATACCTTAACTTTTCAGCTGAAACTTACTGCAAATTTGTTTGTCAAGAGCCAATACAAGTGTTATCAATTCCATGGAACAATCGCTATAAAATAAGGTTTCTGTGAGTTTGTGGCTGTCAGTGCAGCAGTTTTTGTCTTTTGTAAAGCTCTTTGATTTCCTAATTCCTACCCAATGCACTGAAGTGATATCAGTAGACTGTCTGTAATGACAAATGTAGATATATTGGATTTAAAAGTCTGCGTCTCTGATGTCACAGAATATAAAACCAAAAACACAGTACTTGCCATGGACGGACACATGTATGCACACCCAGTCGTGTTTTACTATACGCCTGAGGACAACCTATTGTGTTTCCCTTTGTCCCTGTACTTTAACACTTTCCCGTAGACTAAGCACGTAAACGTATGATCGAGGACAGTTTCGAACAAAAGCATCATCGTCGTTCGAGGACTGAAAGGATTTTTGTTCACCATTTGTGTGTCTGTCCTCGAGCGTAATACAAGACAGGAACATGTATACGTGTTCATGTATTCATATGGTGCAGACTTCCGGTACATGCGACTACATGTAATAGAGCATGCTAGTTTTGCCAGCGTTTATTTATGGTGTAAATCGAGGACACACAAGTGCAACATCATCAATGAATTGAGGACAGGAACCAAATCGAGGACTCCTCAATTAGAAAATGTGCACAAACTAATGAGAACTGTTGCATGAAAGGGAAGAGGAATCAGTCCATGATTTACACCATAAACAAACGTATATGTTTGTGTGAATGTCTTGGAACCAAACCCTGATTACACAAAGTCCAGTACGTCACAGAATCCCATTTTTTCCATAGTAATGTGCGTGATTGACTGGAAGTCAGGGCAAACTTGTTTACATTGTGTTCGTACAATTTGCAGTGCATGTATTTTCAAAATGTTTTGAAATCAGTATACACATTTTTTTGGCAGAACTTATCAGGGGTGTGAAATCTCAACTCTAAAGCTGATTTCAGCTTTTTTGTCTTGGATTTCAGTTTTTTTTATCCCTCAGTTGCTGTGTACAAAAGTATAGGAGATTTCCAAAGTTCAGCTTTTTTTAACACCTTTTTCGGCAGTTTCTGCTACTTTTATCAGTGGTCACTCACACCCCTAACTATTGCTCGTTATTGCCCAATCAGCATGCTCAGGGAACACAATAAAACAAATAAAAACTAGGACATTACACATGTTCCTCCTTAAATTAAAATATGAGGGTGAAAAACATTTTTTACGACCCGTAATATTTATCAGCCTGAGAAATAAATTCTTAATAAATGTTTAATCAGTCTTCCCGTAATTCCTCCCGACAGCCGAGGGCTCCCCGTTCCTCACCTCTGGCCATGTGGACAAGAAAGCCGTGGCCGAGTTCATGCGCGAGGTGGGCAAGCACCCGGACCTGGACGAGTCCACCATCGCCCAGCTCATCGCCTTGGAGGCCCAGAAGCACGAGGTCCACTCGCGCAGCTGGTACCGCGTCAACGCCTCCCGCGCCCTGCTGGGTCAGAAGAAGATCGAGCAGGAAGTCGAGCCTCATGTCTTGGATGTAAGAATCTTAGAGAGTTTTTCCATTTTTTTTTTTTTTTTTGGCCAGTGACAATTAATAAATGTGTGATCCGGAGGTTTTTATCACTCTGTTTAAGACCACTTAGAGTCTGGGTGCTGATAATTACCCGAGCTGGAGGCGAGGGTAATTATCAGCACCCAGACTCTAAGCGGTATTAAACAGAGTGATAAATACCGACCGAGCACATATTTATTCCCATTCATAAAAACCTTATCCGTAAAAAAATATCAAATAATTCGTTCCAAAAATCCCGATTTTGTTCAACAAGTTCACTTCATGCTTTTTGAAACATCCCTTTAGCAAAATAATGGAGTGTTCAGCTGGCGAGTAAGATGTAAACAACCCTTTTATGGAGATTGACGCGTGCGTAGCATGTTCTGCGCGATGTCACGCAGAATGCACCTCGGGCGTTGCGTTTTGAATTTAGAACTATAAAATTCTGACTCGCATGTAGTATTGCGCATGCCTATGTGAGGATTGTGAACGTTCAACCAATGAAACGGTAAGAGGCACTGGATTTTTAGGAGTCCACATTTTATTGTGACACTGGAAAAGTGTTTAAGACCAGCTAAGTAAGATTTGAGGCTTTGCATGGTGAAGATACTAAATAATGAAAGGTTTAGCCATGTCTTTATCATCCGTTTAAGACCGGCCACGTGACGGGCTCTCGACCAATAGGAATAGCTAAACTGTCTGAGGTATTTATGAATTGATATTAAAAGTGCATTCTTTTGTCGAATGTCATCCTAACACAGATTCCTTTTCTTGAATTTTTTTCAACAACACAAAAGTTATGCACTTTTGAATGCGAAATTGACTGAATAATTTCTGCCCACGCTTATTTATTGGTTTTTATCAAATACCATGCGGTGGGGTAATCTGGTTCCCTCCCTACAATCAGTATTGATATTGTACAGACGGGGAACCAGTCTCCTCGTAAGGCAGCCGTGTGGCCAAAATATAACAGTATTTTTTTCAGAGGGTTGCAGACACACAAAAAACAGCCAAGTTTTTAAAAAGGTTGGAATAAGTTGAAAGTTTTTACGAGGGAAAAAAAGTTGTTGAAGAGCGCAGGTGATGCAACTTTAAACGAAATAATTGCTGTGTCGGTTATTTGGTTGTATATAACACCGAAATAGATCCTTGTCATTTGATTGGTGGAATTTAGTCACATGACATTGAAACAATTGCCCAATTTCACTGAAAAATATTCCATTGCACCGGTATGATTTTTTTCATACATTATGCAGTTTGGTTCCATTTACTGTGCATTTTGGTTCCATTCATTTTGCTCCATTGCACGCCCTCCTCGATATCGATCGTAGAGCGTGAACTTTGCTATTGCTACTATGCAGCGTTACGCGTTGACCGTACATGACCGACCGTACCGACACTGTTGTGTGTACGACTGTTTGGATTGGAACCTTTACTACCTGTTGGATTTATAACATGCTGTGGATCGATGGCCATGGAAATGAAGTAAAATTGTAAAATTCAACTCTGCTACGCCTCTTTGAATGGAACAGTGAATCTTTCACCTCATGAAAATATTCCTTCCATTGCACTCATAAACATTCATTATTTGTATAATATTTTTCAGTTTGATTTAAAAAAAAAAAAAAATTGAAGGCTTCCTTTCTGAAGGGTTCAAGAGAAGTGCCCAAAAAAATTCCAAGGCCAAAACGTAAACAAAATAAATCCACCCACAAAACTTTTTTCCAAAGAATTGGGACAAACACAAAGAGAGACGTACATGTGTATGTACATGTATGTACTTTGTGAAAATACTGTGAAGATCAATGTTGTGAAAGGTGAGCGAAGGGTTGGTTATGGAATGTTGCATTGTTGGCATCACTGCCAAGTGACTTCAGCACAGCTGCTCAGGCTAGATAGTTAAACCATGGAGCTATAAATCCAGAAAATTATCATACATGTTCTTGCCGGTCTACCATTTCTATGTCATCAAGTTTGTGCATTCAGATAAATTGTCTAGTATGAGGAGAATCCACTGATAAAGTTCGTTCTTTGCAAACTTCAAAGAATTAATGTACCCCAAGCATTCTTGTCATAACATTACGTTTATGATTCAGAACTCAGTACTGAACTTGTGAACATCTGCACATGTATGCGTTATGCACCACTGCAACATGCTAGGGCTGTCCCAGTTATAGCGAATACTTGAATATTCAATCATCAACAGATTATTCGAATAGCTTTTGCGCGCTTGAACAAATGTTGAATATTCGGGGGAAAAAACAAATATATGCAGACACACGCAACTGTCATGTATTTTATTGTAAAGTTGTGGCCTTTTATTGTCAGGTGCCACTTTTTTGTCGATGGTAACTTTTGGCTGACGGTGGTTCATTGTTCACATGGTTGCAGCAGGCAGTTTTGAATAACCGAATATTCAGTCCAACACAGTTTTGATTAATCGTATACTAAATTATTCGAAAATGGACAGCCCTACAACCTTCATTTGTAATTCATGCATGATATTATAGTAAATGACACGGTTAATGGCGGTTGACTTGACTTGTTTAAATTTTCATTTTTTAATTTCCACTTTAAACTTTAAAGTAGTTATGGCTCGGCTCCTTAATGGGAGCTTACCGGTACGTGCCAAGGACAACACAGATTGCACTTTTTCTCTTGGAAAACATCAAGCACATTATCATGTAAAATACCAGAAGCTATTATTACCATATTATGTACATAAATGTGTAGTTGAAAATATGAAGATAAAACAGTGCGCACCCATGAAAGTTGCCTACATGTACATGTTAAAGGGAATATATATCATTTGCTTTTGCTGTAATTTTCAGAAATGGATGGAATTGGGGGGTTGGAAATATAAAGCAAATATAGTTACACTGACTTTTTGGAGGTTTTGGGTTCGAAAATGCTATAAAAACCAAGAAAAACGATCATTTTCCTGTAGTCTGGTTCCCTGACTCCATATAAGAAGAAACAGAGCAGTTTACATACATTGGGGAATTGTAAGGTCAGGGAACCAGTCTAGCTGGCTCGTAACCGTTCATAGGTTTGTAATCGATTGCAAACAAGTGCAATGGTCAATTGGGGCCAGTATTTGAAAAAAAAGCCAGTTGTTTCCAACGCTGATCGGCCGATCAGCGTTGGAAATTGATACAAAAATACCTCTTTTCTTGAAAATGACAGTATACCAGGTGCCATAATTTTACAGGATGCTTTAGACTGTCATTTACCAACATCCTGTTAAGGTATTTCGCAAAAACTTGGTAGTTTTATTTTTCGATGTTTGCAAATGTTGTATATTCCCTTTAACATGTATAGGCCTACATAAAATGGTTCTCTTCTACAACAGTTTCATGTATGTCATGCATATGAACAAAGGTCCCCCCCCCATGTACATGTACCGGTATACTTCTATCACGGAGGCCCCCATTTATGGTGAAAGCATTGTGTTAGCTATTGTTCAGGATAAATGTACCGTAACTGTCACGAAACATTTCATAAGGTTAGGTGAAGATAACATTTTGCGTCGGGGTGTAAATTCAATATTATGTTCTGCCCTTCAACGACGTAATATAAAAACTGTATACTCAGTGTGCTACCGGTACCTCCCGAGTGAAAGTTGGAAAAAAATCACTCATGAAAGTTGGAAAAAATCAACTCATGAAACAGTTGATCTTTACAATACCCGGTAGCTAGCCGAAATAGCTACAATATCTAGTGATCAGTGCTGGGATTCGTCTTCAAGGTGCTCAATCATCCGTGGCTGAAGAAATGCAATTAAGATATAAATGAAAAGCTGATGAACTACCCTTTAAGTTGGAGCCACTTTTGACAGTCTTCAAGTTCATAACTTTTACATATTAACCCATTATTTTTTTACCTTAAAAAAAATATATATACAGGTACCCTACGGTATATAGCAATTTCTACATTGTATCAGGTTTGCAGGTATACCCTACCAGACTGACACAGAACAAAATACTGACTGTGTGGCAAACTATATGGTGCATTACACTGAGCGCATCATCCTCATAAAATATTGATCATCATGGGGATAGTCTTGGCTACGGCCCTGCAAGGAATCGTAGCAGCTGAGTCAAAGTCCATCCTGGCTTACGGCACTGTCGTTGCATTTTTAATTATCGTACACTTATACATGATGTTAGGCTTGGCTATGATGTTGAAGCTCGTAAATTGTTACATCGACATTTGGGAAATTCCACACTAATGGGCCAATTAGATAAGTTTATGGATGTTGCATATATACAGGGTAAAGATGAGCCAGTGTTTTCTTTAGTTTTTTCCTGTAGCTTGCTAAGTTGACTTAGACAAGAAAATACAAGAGATGACATCTTTTTTATTTGAGAAAATAACAGGTCATTTTTCTGTGTTATACCTACGTAACTTGGACAGACACACTGCAAAGAAAAGGGTGCTTAGGACAATTCAGTTTGTAACAGGCACTTTCATTTGACATTATCAACGCATTAATTAACATTGCTGTCAAGCGAGAAAAATAACAATTTCGTGTTGGCTTCAAAGTTATGATTTGTTTAGGGTTACATACGCATATACAGCGGACAGACATTTTGTGACAAATGTCCAGTTTGTTTGTATAAAACCTGATGACAAAATATCAAATAATTCTTCACATTGACTCTGAGTTTTCTAGGTTTTGACTGATGGCAATCCTCCAGGGTACCGGTACATCTTCTTAAATCAGACAACATTAGGGGATCATTAAATGTAAATTGTAATGCTTACTTTGTGACTTTATCGAAAATGTCTGTAAACATGGTAAATGTATGTAATACTTTTAAAAACAATATCTGGACCCCATATTTTCTAAACTACAAAACCAATTATTTTCTTTTGCAGGTGAGGATATTTGTTCAAAGCTTGCAATGTTTACAGCAAAAATTGAGAGACAAAGATCCTGTTATCAATGCTCAAAAGGTCTTCTCAAATGTCACATTTTTGAGCCCATTAGTGTTGAATTGCCCATATTCCCTTTAATTAAAGTGTGGGTCTCGCTATATGTACGAGCACGCATCAGTTACCACACGTATGGTGCAGCGTATGCATGGCCAATTTCCATCTAACTGTTCACAAACCCATAGCATCTTCACAGAGGAGTGCACCTACCGTATATCATATCTCGGCAATGCATATATGTACGACATTCATTTATTGCACTCTAATTTTGCACCATAAGGTGTGTCATTTGTGTGTGCATAAGGCAACACATCAGTACCAATAATTATTTTTTTAAAGCGCTCTCTATATCAAATGTCTACCAACCACCCCCCACCTTTTTCATGTACATGTACCGGGTACTGGTATAAGTTGCAATGGCTGGCCGGTCACAGCAATCAGTCAGTCCCCTTAAGGGCATGTAGGAACATTTGCAATTACTCAGAAACTTACCTACCGATTTTAATAACAAGAAAATCCTTGCTCAATGTGGAGATCAGTTTGAGGATCAGGCATTCACGTGCGCAGAGTCACGTTCGAATGTCTGATATATCCTAACACGCAAATTGTATGCGACCGCGCGCCAGCCAATCGGAGTCGATTTTAGAAGTGGGAGAGTCATTTCGATCAGAAATGCGGACTAAGCCTTAATGTGGACTATAAGCTTGATTGGTCAATTTGGCTGTCTTGTTTTTGTAATTACAACAACGGCTTAACGCAGACCCGATACAGAAGGCGCTCGCTGAATGGTCAGAATCTCGAGGTCAAGATGCAGTCTTGTTCAAGTGCATAATTAATCGCCGAATCTGCTCACATAAATCTGATCATCGACCTTGCTGTGCAAGGGGACATTCCATTAGTGAAGAGAGGACTGGTACCAAATACCCTCTGAAATTATCCGCCTGAAATGGTATCATTCAGAAGAAAACAATCATTGAAAGTTGTTTAAGAAAATGTACCAAAGGGCACAGTTTAGTAATTTACATGCATTAGCAGCGGAATCAAGTTATCTATCCAAAAACATTGTGCACACATTTTCTCTGTTTTCTCAAAATGTGTAGTATACGTGCTTGCTGAAACTTCCCATGGTTAGTTTTTTTATGCGGCCTTCTTAAGATTTTGAGCAACTTTATTGCTTCAAACGAAACAAATACACGTTACACTACATGGACCTGGACAAATAAGAAACCAATAGGACAAAAGATTATTTAGAATATCAAAATTTGTTTCTGTTTGTCTGAATACATACCAGTAAGAATATTAAAAGCTTTGAACAGATCCGAGTTCATGGATGTATAGTTAACAGACTACATGTACATGTAAATGTACAGTGTACTGGTACATGTACCAGTCCATGCAGGAGACTCTTAAGTTGAAATTAATGCCAGAATATTTTTTGCATCACATTGAGAAAGGCAATTTGATACAGTCATTATAATGTAGAGTGCCATGGTCCAGTGGTATGTGGGTAAACCCTGACGGGAGCATGATGTTTGTGTTCTTGAGCAAGACACTTTACTACAATTGCCTCTCTCCATCCAGGAATATTAGCGGGAACCCTGTGAGGGTAGAGGCTGGGGCTAATTTCACGGCGCTCCTAAGCACACAAATTTGCTTAGCACAAGAAGAGTCTGGCTATTATTAAAGCAGTTTACCAGCCAAAACTCCATGTGATACAGAAGCAAACAGCAGAGATACCAATCACAAGCAATATGTACCGGTATACACATCACATGGACATTTGGCCGGTAACCTGCTTTTATGAGCCAGACTTTTTTTGTGCTAAGCACATTTTTGTGCTTAGCTGCTGCTGAAAACTGGTTTGATGGCCCGATTAAATTAATAGGGGTAATAATTGTGAAGCGCTGTACATACCGGTACATGTACGGGGTACATGCATGTACGTATTAAAGGGAATGTACATCATTGGCTTTTGCTGTAATTTTCAGAAATGAACTATTTGAGGGGTTAGTATCATAGATCAAATATTGTTACACTGACATGTTTGAAGTTTTGTGTTCGAAAATGCTGGAAAAACCAAGAAAAACAAAAATGTTCAAGTAGTCTGGTTCCCTGACTCCACTAAAGATAAAATGGATCAATTTACAGATGCCGGAAAATTGTAAGATATTACTAAGGGAACCAGTCTAGCTGGCCTGCACCCGTTTATGAACATGTAACCAATACCAAACAAAATTTCGACTGAAAAAAAAAAGAGGTAAATGTGGAGCAGTAGTTGACAAATAGTTAGGTTTTTCCAACGGTGGTCGGCTGACCACTGTTGGAATTTTTTACAAAAATACCATTTTCTTGAAAATGACTTCACTCCAGATGCCATAATTTTACAGGATGCTTTAAACTGTCATTTTCCAACATCCTAGTAAGGTATTTCGTAAACATTTGGCAGTTTTATTTTTCGATGTTTGCAAATGTTGTATATTCCCTTTAAGCACCACATTATTACGAGTATACTGTGCTGTGAGTCTAATCGTAGACCTGCAATTTGTTGCACTGATATGCGAAGAAGTTATGCAGTTTGCTTTCAAGCTTCAGTAGACAATGCATATTTTATTACAATTTACACTCGATAGCTACAGTGCTGTATACAGATCGATAAATACCGTTATATGTCCTTTGTAATTTGATCATGCAGTAAATCAATCATTTGGCTGAACTGCTTCTGTTTGTTTGGTTGCAATATTGGGTGTGTGCGTGAGTGTAGGCCTATGTGCGAAGGGGTGTGTGTAATTTTCACCTGTTCAATTTTAACAGATTTTGAGTGATCTTATTATTTATTGACCATGAATTTTTGTATTATTATGCAAAGGGCCCTTTTTGGGGGTGGTTTTAATACACAAATGTTATATAGCTACAATGTATGTTGCCAAAAAGTTTAATTGTAAAGTATTCAATGTTTATTTACCGGTTCATTATTAATTCAAGTCACTTTATTACAAGCCAGAAAGAATGTGATAAAACATGGCACAGATTTGCATGTTCAAAGAACTGGGCATTTATGGAACGAACATTCCGAGTCCTGCAAATGAAATGATCGGGCTGACTGATACGCTAGAAATGCAGGGGCATTGGACCCTAGAGACTTCCACAGCCTTTGGTATGTTTATAAATACCACTAATTGGACCAGCAGATGTGCAGATGCCTATCATTCTGCATGTGTGACTAGTCCTTATTGAGATTTTGGATATATCCCGTTACAGTGTACATGTAGTTTGCAGACACGCTGAGTAGCTTGGAGCATGCTTGGAGGGTGTGTCCGCTGGGTACTATAGTTATTTTTTAACTGGGGAACAACTGCACATTTTAACCTACCGGGAACCGTACGTTTTTTATGTTAATCTAATTGATAAGTTCATAGCAAATTAAAGTGAGACTTTTTTTTTTAATTTCTAGATCAAATCACTTCACATGGTCAACATGTTTTTAGTAATTAAAAAATAACCCAGCGATAAACACACTGATTTCCAAACCATAGGGTAGTTGAACATTCATTCTGAAATTACTTATAAAATATGTTGTTTCATGATTGGGTTATAATATTCATGTGAAATGACAAGCTTATTTTTTTAATTTTATTTTAAAGACACTCAGCGGCATGCCAACCCCACATTATTGACTGACATTCCATTCCATTGCTAATTATTGAAGAGAAAAGAAAAGATAAATATGTACATGTGAATATGCAAAGAGTCAAAAAAAAATTTTGATAATAATTTTCTCATAGAGACTTCCATGTGCAAGTATGTTTTCCAGTTAAAAAAAGTAGGAAAAATGTACATGTACTGGTACGGTACATGCACATGTATGCACACATACTTGTTCCCGGAAATTGGCAAATGCATCAAAGTGGGGTTTTTTTAGCCGCTTTTTTTTCTGATCAAAGTATCAAACGTTTGTTTACAGGTAAATATGCAATCGAATTTGGCCTGTTTTTGCAATGCAGTCAGTAAATGTGACATGTGCCCTCAGCTGGATGTGCCCACTGTCGTGCATTTCAGCTCAAGCACAAAGCGCAGTCTTTTTTTGGACACTATTGGTCACGCCTCCAAAACCTAGCTATTTGTTTATATTTTTTTTCTGAGCAATTTTTGCATCTAACTTCACCTTGGGGATGAATACCCATCCTTTTTTTCTCAATGAAGAAAAAAATCACAGACGGGGTCCATATTGCATTGACCATAGATACCGGTACACAGTGAGACTTCGAAACACGAAGCTTGTAAAGTTTTTTTTTATTCTCACGTTCTCATTCAACTTTACAAAGGATGGGAAAGTGATGGGAGTACATGTACCGGGTGAGTCAGAAAAAAAAAAGAAACCCAAATGGCAGGACCCATGAGTTTTTATAACATTTTTAAAAAACATTTTAGCCCTCCTATGCAAACATACACTATGTGCCAAGTTGTCCTTGAAGCAAGAAATCAACCAAGTGACTGTTTTCAACCCGTAAGAATTCCCAGCCCACATAAAGCAGGATTGTCTGCCTTGGACTGATTAAGTAACTTGATACAGCTACCCGGTTTGCTTTGACTCCGGGTGAGTGATAAAACAGCTGTGACCACAACTTGCCAGCTTTGTCTGTTGACCCAATTTGACTAGACACAGTGCTTGCTGGACACATGATCTGACTGCTGGTGACTAACCTTTGTTAAAAGTATAGCAGGGGAAGTGGACGTGAATTTTGACTGTCTGTGACTGCTTAAAGAGCAGGAGGGTTAAAGCAGCACATATAATTTTGGCCTCTATCTTCCCATTTTGTTGCACATCAGCTGTACCAGAAGATCAAGAACAAAGAGATGCCGACCAACATCCCCACGGCAGACCATTCGGCTGGAGGCACCAAGGCCGTGGTGGAGTTTCGGGCCTCGTCATGCGCCGTCTACGAGAACGAGAAGAAAGTGCACATTGTGGTGGAACGCCAAGGGCTCATGAGTGTTCAAGCAGTTGTAAGGTAAGAACACGAGCGTTGAACGGAATGTATTTGAGTCCATCACAAGTCCCCACACTGCACACTCAAGTCCTCAAAAGTCTCCTTCTTCTTCCTTGTAAAAGTGCTGCCTTCATATTGTTGAAGATAAATGCACTGCGTCCTCACCAATCCTAAAATGTCAATCAGAATCACAGGGAGCCCTCACAAGTAAAAATCAGAAGTCCTCACAAGTCCAACATACATCTTCACAAGTCCTCACAAAGCCCAACACAAGTCCATCACAAGTCCTCATGGGTCAATCACAAGTCCTGACAAGTACTCACAAGTCCATTACAAGTCCTTACAAGTCCAACACAAGTCGGCACAAGTCCAACACAAGTGTACACAAGTCCTCGCAAGTCGCCACAAGTCCTCACAAGTCCATCAGAAGTCATCACAAGTCCAACACAAGTCCTCACAAATCAATCACAAGTCCTCACATGTCGAGCCCAAGTCATTGGCTCTGCCTCAACATATTGACACTGATCAATTCCCGGGGACAATTTTGCAGGATTGAGGCAGTGATCACCCCTCCAAGGACCACATTCAAGAAATAACTAAGGATTTTGGAGGATTGATGCTGTATGCAATTTTTACATGGAGGCAGCGCAGTTGGAGGATTTTGCAGGATTGAGGTTGCATCCTAGCAAAAATGCTTGGAGAGTTTAGGGTTTATGACTCAGTCTTGTAGCTGTAGTGAGATAACGTTGTGTCAACCGCCATGCGACTGTCTGGTTTTCATTTTAGATGTGTTTACCCATCAAGCCAACGCAATCAATGCTGTCCTTGCTTTTAATTGGGTTGGCTTTGACTCGGTCGAATATGTCAGTATATGTAAATGCCATCAAAGGCATCTCCAAACATTGACAGGCCTAAAAGTAATGGAATATATAGATTGATTATATCTGCACATGTAAAAATATGCAGATAATTACAAAAACATAACAACAATGAAAATTGTATGTGTTTATATCAAGAATACTTAAAAAAATAGATGATGTCATTTGGGAATTTAGTAAGTTGTATTTAAACCATTAACACCTTTGTAAAGGCCCATAAACACATTCGCGATTTTTTTTCGCAACGACTTTGTCGCGCAGCAATGTTGTAGATGCTCATGTATGTATAAATACGCGATACTGGTATGTCGCATGATTTTTACAAACAAATCACTTTTCAGGTGCAGGGTATTTGTGAAATACACGTATGCGACGTTTTGTGTCTCACGACAAAATCACTTGGAATTTGATTCCAAAAAGTCACGCGATAAGTCGCACAATTTTGTCTCGTAAATGAGAACACACTCATTTGTTTGTGTGTATTTATAAAAACACGCAGCAGTAATTGGCCTTAACGTTGTACATGTACATTTTTTGTACATACGGTACGTAAGATAGATAGATACATGTACATGTAGATAGATAGATTGGTTTATTGATCCACAAATCGTGGCCCGAAGGCCAAATTGCATGTGAATTTACAATATTAATTTAGAATTAAAATCATTAAGTAAATCCTTCTGTTAAAACGTTGACAACAATACTTAAATAAAATTATATAATTATACACAGAAAAAAGAAACACATACGGAGATAACTGACATAAACATTTTCTAAAAAAGTGGAGGTGCATTTATGCTGTACGTACCGGTACTGCAAATTTTAAAGATTATTGACACTGTACTGACATGGTACATGTAGCAAAATGTAAATGACCACGAGTCAAGAAATGCTGGCTTACTTGTTTTATTTATCTATACATATTTACCCATGTACTTTCAAATGAAACACACACATGAAATGTAAATCCAGGGCCACTTTCCAAATCCAGACATCATTGCTTGGCTTTGCCATCATTCAGGTGCCTGAATCAATTGAAACATTCACTGCTGCAATCAAATTAAACGATTCCCATATTTGGCTACACATTTAGACATTTTGCCTTCAAATTTTTAAAGAAGCTCTGTTGTAAAGGGTAAAAAAGGCAATGGTGTTGCACGCAACTGGGTAAAAAAATAAAACGTTTGTCTTAACTGAAACGTTGTACTCTCTGTGTTCATGTGGGTACCAGGCTCAGACAAGTAGACGGTGTTCTTTATCCGATCGCATTTGGGAGCCCAGTGGCCAGGACACACTGCGTGTGTGTACTGGTTGGCGTGCGTATGGCATTACGTATTTTATTCTGAATGTGCACACTATGATCTTTGCATGAGCAGCAGGTGTTGCGGCAATGCCTTCGAATGTCTCTCCCAGTGCTCTTGCCCGACTCTCCATTTGTTACTGTCAAGGGTGTACATGTGCACAGAACCCATTGCCATAAGCAATTCATAATAACACGAGTTGACTAGTCAAGTGTACCTCACTTCCGTTGGTTGATTCATCCCCGCAGGTACGAGACGGTCAATGGCACAGCCGAGGCCGGCTCGGACTACATCGCTCAGCGCAGCACCCTGGTCTTTGAGCCCGGCGAGACGGAGAAGATCATCGAGATTGAGATCATCGACGACAACGAGTGGGAGCCGGACGAGACGTTCTTCGTCAAGCTGGCCATGGATCCCAACGAAGAGACCTGCCTGGGTCACCGTTCCGTCATGCAGGTCGTCATCATGAACGACGACGGTGAGAATCAAGTCCAGAGCCAGCTCTGGGCAGTATTGTACAAATACTGACTGACAAAGGGGATCTGTGGAAAGTAAAAAAGTGAAGAGAAAATAGACCACTTCTCAGATCACTGAGGGAGGCTATAGTTGTAATGTACCACGAGTTATAAGCAGTCAATATTTTTATAACACCTCAGCCACAAAATCTACCTGGTTTTTGGTTTTAGATATTTGTGTAATTATACCCAATTCCAATTCAAATGCACTCTTCAGATCACCAAGGAAAGCTATAGTTTTATTGTACCATGGGTAATAAGTAGTCAATACTTTTATATAACACCTCTTCCACAGAATGAACCTGGGATTTAGTTTTAGATATCTGTGTAATGATACCCAATGCCAATTCAAATGCACTCCTCGGATCACCAAGGGAGGCTATAGTTTTACGGTACCATGAGTTATAAGCAGTCAATATTTTTTATAGAACACCTCTACCTGGGTTACTTTTTGCATTGATCAATTACTCTTTAGAGCAAGGCAGCCATTGTGTAGTCCTATTTGACCGTGCACGGCAAGATGGTAAAAATATGGAGAACCAAGTGATGCCCTCTTGGCCAATCAAGAGACAGAATCTGTGGATAAGGATGATATAATATCCATTATAACTCCTCACCCACAGATTCTGTGTCTTGATTGGCCGAGAGAGAGTCACATGGTACTTTCTATTTTTGCTATCTTTCAGTGCACGGCTATACCCACAGCAACCAAAGTACTATACCCATAGCAACCAAAGTACTATACCCATAGCAACCAAAGTACTATATGGACTTTTTGTGTGCAAAATGCATAGGGGTGTGTGTGTTGCTCGTTGCCCGTATTGTTTCCAAGCGCGAGCACTACTAGAGCTGGGTTCAAACATTTCGTGAAGGGGTTGTTTGAAAAAGTGCAAGTTAATTTTCAGCTTATTTCGTATTCAAATAGAAGTAAATTTTTATTGTATTCGGATTAAATTACTCAGTTATCGCTTAAAATCAAGCAGAATCTGTGGCAGAGGTGTTATAAAACAAATATTGACTGCTTTATCTCGTGGTGTAGTAAAACTATGCTCCCTCGGTGATCCATGGAGCATTCTATTTTCCATCGGCTTCGCCTCAGGAAAAATAGAATGCTTCATGGATCACCTCGGGAGGCTAGTTTTACTACACCACTCGAAGCAGTCAATATTTGTATACTTCCATTTCCCGGTAGTATCCAAAACGAAGCCAAAAGTTATGGTAAAACCTCAGGAACTTTGTGTGTGTGTGTGTGTGTGTGTGTAATCCTCTACACAAACAAGAAGCTGACGCCCTTTGTTTTTAAGCTAATTAGAAATTCATCCATCTTTGCTTGCAGAGCCCGGAATGTTGGAGTTCACCAAGACCAGCTTCCTGGTCAAGGAGAGCGCCGGCAGCGTCTTCGTTCCCGTCAGCCGCAACCAGGGCGTGGACGGCCGCATTGAGGTCCAGTGGCGCACCAAGGACATGGAAGCACTCAACGGCTCGGACTACATCGGCGGGGAGGGCACGCTGGTCTTCGAGCACAACGAGAAGGAGAAGGAAATTGAGATTCCGATCATCGACGACCAGGAGTATGAGAAGGATGAGAGTTTCCAGATCGAGCTGTTTGAGCCGACGGGCGGGGCCCAGCTGGGCCGGCTCAAGAAGACGGTGGTGACCATCATCAACGACGATGGTGAGCCCTCTCTCTGAGTCTTATGATCCAGTTTTGTAGTTGAGTCCATCACAAGTCAGTCACAAATAAATCTAAACGGTGCAGACCAGTAAATTGACCCAAAATTGCCTAAGCAGGCCAAATCACGATTTGAATGCCCTCATTTTTTTTGCTATTAGAGCATTTTGTGGGCCAGAAACTTGAAGGTTTGTAAAAAAAAAAGATGGATGGAAGCCATGCACAGGATGTGAGCTCGTATTTCTATGAAATTCGCATGAAACTGGGCCCTAAAATTGCTCTATGTTGCAATGGAGCGCAGGCATCATTTTTCAAAATGGCGATGGGCCACAGGACTACTTTTAGGGGTGATCGTCTTTGGATGGAATTTTCTCCCAAAAGTCATTGGATGACCATCCGAAAATTTAACAGAAAAAGGAAGACGATGAAATGAGCTTTAATTTGATGGGTGTCTGAAACGCCTTGGAGAGTTTAGGAGTATTAAATAATTTTTTGAAGTGTGCGTAATTATCACTGAGGTCTACTGGTCTGCACCCACAAGTTTTCGAGCAAGTCCGGTTGTTAATTATTAAAGTTGCGTTGAACAAATTCAATTGTACTTTTTCTGGGTGTTTTTTTTTACGTCTGCAACCTTCTGAATAGGGGTTTTTGTTTTAAGCACAAACAGATCCACTTAGCGAGCAGACTGGCTCCCAGTCCGTACATTATCGACATTGATTGTGTGGCGGGAACCAGCCTAACCCACGAGGAACAGAATTATTGTCTGGCTGCCAGTAATTCAAAAATGAAAATTTAGAATTCAGAATCCAAAACATGGGCAATTTTTTTTTCAGTCAATATCTCATTCACTAGTGAATAACTTTTGTATTGATAGAAAAAAAAGCAATTTAAATATGGACCTTTTTAGGTGTGAAACTGAGAAAAAAAAGCACGGGGAACGGGGAACGGACTTTTAACACAGAGTGAACAATGGCACAGGAATGCTACTAGGGAGGTTTCGCAAGCGAACGGATACGCTTACACTTACGTTTATCTATCCGTATCCGTTTTTTACTTACGTGTAGCGAGCGAGGTATGCGTGTCGTCTGCACGTATGACGTCATACGCCATTCACTATCCGCTAAACGTGCAGACGACACGCATATCTCGCTCGCTACACGTAAGTAAAAAACGGATACGGATAGCTAAACGTAAGTGTAAGCGTATCCGTTCGCTTGCGAAACCTCCCTATTGTCACAATTCATACATGTAGGAATAGATTGTGACTTGACTTGAGATTGGAGGACTTGTGATGGACTTGTGGAAACTTTTGAAGATTTCGTGATGGACTCAACAACACTGTTGCTATCATTTGTGACAATTTCTGTCCAAACCAGGGGCCAATTTCACGCAGCTGCTCAGCACAAAAATGTGCTTAGCACAATACAAGTTTGGCTTATAAAAGCAGGTTACCAGCCAAAACTCCATGTGATGTATATACAGAGATGAAACTTTTTCGATTTTAATCGGAAATCCGACTTTTTGAATTTTCCAACGAAATTTCCGATTTTTTTACAGTGCGTCCCAAAAAATTTGATTTTCTAACGATTTTTTCACAAAATGTCATTTTATTTCAACCATAATTTTGAAGAAAAGTCGATGGAAGTGGCACGTTAAAATCATCGCGAACGTAGTTTTAATCTCTTTCACCAGTCGTTATTGGAGTGTTTCAACGGTAGAAACACAGGGCATAACACTGATCGGAGCCTTCTCCGGCTGAACAAAAGGTTAAACATTGACAGGCGACATGGAAAAATCACTGTGTCGCACGTGCGTGCGAATATGCAATGGTACCAGCGTACGTACCGCACCGTACCGTCTGCTAGCACATGGCCGGTCGGGAACGGGTAGCCTTGTGAACGATCCAGTGCCAGTGGATAAAATCATTATGTTGTGCGATTTTTGGAGGTTTCAGATTTAGTTGCACAAAATGCAATGCTTTAAAAATCATGATGATTATCTCGAGGATAGCAAAGAGAGCATTATCGAAACATTTCACTGGCATTTGTTGGAAGAGAAAGACGATAATGCCTGATTTTTTTATCCCATGTATGAATGCAAGTGGAGTAGTGGAGTTGTGTGGTTGAATCGTGGACATGATTGAAGCACTATGAAAGGTGCCCTTGTCTTTCAGACTTTTCCCTCGACTTTCTCAAGTAAGAGGTGAACTTCTTTATTGATGACTCCATTACTCTAACCGGAATTCAGGCATTTTATGCAATGAAAACACTGACCATTTTTTTTTGCATCGTAAAATTTTGTTTGAATCGAAAATAAAGCAGGAGTTGGTGTCCGGAAATTGGGCATTTAGTGTATTGTACATGCATGTACATGTGTGTAACTGCAGTGCGGCCCAGATTTCGGACACGTATTTGTTCGGCCTATTTTCTGATTTTTTTGCCATATGCCAGTTTCATCTCTGTATATAGCTCGTGATTAGTATTCAGCTGTTGTTTGCTATAGCATGAAATTTACATGGAGTTTTGGCTGGTAAACTGCTTTAATAAGCCAGGCTATTTTTGTACTAAGCAAATTTTTGTGCTGAGCTGCGCCGTGAAATTGGGCCAATACTTTTGGGCAGGGCTTGAAACGAACAAATAAAATGACATTCGTGTGATTTGGGGTGGGTCTTTTTCTTCAGGTTTTTGGGGTCAAATTCCTGCCTGTCCCCGAAACAGTCACATTGACCAATGAAGTCACAACTTTTAGTCAGGTGACCACATACACTCAGGCAAACAAGCACTCTGAGAAATGTATGCTATAAACCCAAGGTGGGCGGGGGCTAACAACAAATTTAGGGGGTACTTTTAGTCTATCTTTTTAAAATAGATTCTCTTCAAAACTGTTTTTAGACAAAACAGAATACCGGTATATAAAATGGTCATTTTTTGTGTCTGAGCACAGATTACGCTGGTATCCTGGACCGAGTGGTTGCCATCACCCATGTCAACATGGACCGACTGAAGATGGGCAACGCTTCCTACGCTGACCAATTCAAAGATGCCATGAATGTGAATGGTGGCGACTTGGAGGGAGCCGGGGCACTAGACTACTTCATGCACTTCATGACTTTTGCATTCAAGGTAATGTTACAAAAGGCCCCCTCTTTTGAATTTTATTCATGAAAAACGAAACTTTCCTGATTAAGCGGGATTCCGACTTTTTCGAAGTTTTTGATTTGAATTTCTCATTGTTATTTCCAAAAGTCCGAATTGTCTGACGATCTTTGCCCCGCAAAGTTTGATTTTATTGAATTAACTTTTAATGAATTTGATGAAAACACTACTGCGACATCTGCATTGCGAGAGCAATTTTAATCTTTTCTACCAGTCGTCTGCGCACAGAGTGTACTGTAGGCACGCATACGTAAGCCTGGATTGGAGTTGCTTAAGGCTGGAAATTTTTTTCCACGTACCTTCGACGTGAATTGTGCACTTGTCTTGGACCATTCTTGGACTTTTTTCCACAATTTTCTCAAGTAAGAAAAGTAGTGAACTTCTTGGTTGACGAGTCAGTCACTCCATAGAGCAAGGAACAGAAATGCAAACTTTTTAATTAAGGAAACACTGAACATTTGAGGGCAGATGTGTTTAGTGTGTTTGATTTGCTGTGAGCTTGAGGTGTATACTCCTTTGGGAGCTCAGATGGCTGTACATGTATGAGCCCATTGAGTAGGGGTCGTGATTATGTATCGCCTTGAGCATTAATACATGCAGAGATGTGCGTTTATGAATAGGCATTGTTGTTCTCATTGTTGCTTTAGTACATAATCTCATTAAACTTCTCTACTGCTGTTGCAATGCAGGTCATCTTCGCCCTGGTCCCGCCCCCAGGATTCCTCAACAGCGGCGGCTGGATAACGTTCTTCTGTGCGCTGGGCATGATTGGGCTTCTGACCGCCATCGTCGGGGACCTCGCCTCCATCTTTGGCTGCCTTATCAATCTGGATGACAGCATAACGGCCATCACCTTTGTAGCCCTGGGCACCAGTCTGCCCGATCTCTTCGCGAGCAAGTCGGCGGCGTTGAACGAAAAGTACGCTGATAACTCCATCGGCAACGTGACAGGCAGCAACTCGGTTAACGTCTTTCTGGGTCTCGGCTTGCCATGGTTGATGGCGTCTCTCTACTGGGCCGTTAGGGTGAGGGATTTCGCTATTATAGACTCCGTGCGTGTGCCCTTGGGCAAGGCACTTTGTCACTGATTGCTTCTCTCCACCCAGGAGTAAATGGGTACCTGTGAGGGTAGAGATGGTTACTGTGGTTGATTTAGCTGCTTTGCGCTGAAATGGCAGCATCGAGCTGAATACTCCCCTGGGAGCTGAGATGGTATTTGGAATGTTTCATGGGCCCAATGAGCAGGGGTAATAATGATGTGGGCCTTGAATACCAGTCCTGGTGGATACGTGCGCTTTATGAATACCCACTTTTATTATTATTATGCATGAAATGTAAATGGCATTGCATACCGGTACTAGCACTAGTTTGCATGCACATGGTGTGATGGACCACAATTAAAGGCACGCAGGACCATTGAATTCAGTGAGAAAAGCTTGCTCAAGGCGAAGATAGGAATGACATCAGACAAACTTCTTGTATGCTTTTCAGAAGTGATTTTGTCGGTTACTTTTTGGATAACTGCAAATGATATACTCTACCTTTTAATCTACAACGTTTTAACTCTGTGTGAATGGTGGGCCGATATATCTGCTTGAATTAAGTCATTTTACGTTGTTTTGACTTAAATTTGCAACCAGCTTGGCTTCTCATTAATGCAATGCCAGTGTTCCTTCCCTGCCCAGGTCCGACCTTCTAATATTAAAAATGTTGCGCAAGTGTCCAGAATAGTTTGGAAATAAAGAAAGAAAATGACATCATCTTGTCACAGATAGTTGCAACATTAGGAAGCAACGTTTTGTGTGTGTGAGCACAAAGTCCATATTCGATCAGCAACTCAATGGTGCAGCAAAAACTATGGCTTAGTCAATGAAGTAATTTTCAGGGTCCAATTAAAGGCTGTTTCTCTTGTTTCCTCTTCCATAGGACGATGAGTTCATCGTGCCGGCCGGTGACCTAGCCTTCAGCGTCAGTGTCTACACCATCTGTGCCGTGGTCTGCATCTGCGTGCTCATGCTGCGAAGAGTTCTGGCCGTTTTCGGCAAGAGTGAGCTGGGCGGGCCCTTCGGACCCAAGATCGGCTGCGGCGTGTTCCTGATCTTTCTCTGGATCTTGTATGTCCTGTTGTCATCCCTGAAAGTCACCCGTCTCATTTTTTAAATTTTGAATAGAAAGTTTTCAACTTAAGTTTTCAACTTAAAAGTTCAACCTAAATACCTTCTGTAGCTTTTGGGGGCCTGGAATTCCAGGGGGGGGGGGGGGGGGCAGGTTTGGGGTAGCATTGTCCAATTTCACCGAATTGCTAAGTACACGAAGTTGCTAGACACAGATAATACAAGCTTGGCAAAAACAGCGGCCATTTTCATGGAGCAAAAAAACAACAAAAACACTCACTTAGTATCTGGTTACCAGTCAAAATATCATGTGCTTCATAATGACTTAGACTGGTTCCCCGCTGATGTTTGCTTGCCTCTGTCTTCTGCTTAGCAGTCTCATGATATTTCGGCCTCGGTTACCAGCTGAAAAGTGAAACGATGTCAGTTGCTTTTGACTGGTGTCCGGTTCGTTTTTGCTCAGCACATAAACTTGCGAAGTGGCTCTATAGAATTGGGCTGTGGGTTGTGTTCTAGTAATGAAGATGTGTTTACCTTTGCGATCTAGGCCATGCGAATGGCCAAACCCCCCTCCCCCAAGTGGAAGGATAAGTCCTCCAAAAACTGTTGTCAAAATGGCGGCACCCTATATGCCAATCCTAAAAGTGTTTGGATGGCAGCTCTTAAAAATCAACAACAAAAAAATGATCAATACTGGGAAGTTTAAATTTTGCCAGTAATATATGAAATGTAATACTCAGGATGTAGAAACCGAAAATTTCGGCTCGGACAGAATCATTACATTGGGTTGGCCATTTTAGGTAAACATAGAAAATTACTTGGAAGATCGCTCGCCTTGGTTGCTGACGTCCGCCAACTTTGGTGGCAAACAGTCAGTCCCACCAGGCCCGGATTATCCAACAGACAAAGTAGGCACTGTGCCTAGGGCCTACGAAAAATTTGGGCACCTACAAAAAAAATGGGGGCATACCAAAATACCACAGTGTGCCAAAAGGCCTGTAGAGCTACCAGTGTGGCCTGGCTTGCTCAGTGCAGCTTAGCATCAACATAAAATTAACCCCTGTGCCTAGGGCAGAGTAGGGCCTACAGAACACTGGCGCCTAGGGCCTACGGAACATGTAATCCGGCCCTGAGTCGCACTTGCGCTAACTTTGCTAAATATAGTATTAATAACTTTTACTCTCTTGTAAATGTATTTATAACTGCTCCTATAACCTTATACGCCATGAAAGCACTAATTTCTTATCAGTCAATAGTCAACTTGGGAAGATTTTCCCGGCGATGGAGTTTTTGTCGTAGAATCAGTGTCAGTTGATAGTTTAATCATTTGTATCCTAACTTTTTTAATGAACTGCAACGTTAATCTCGTCCACATGTTACGCATGGTGTACACATTACATGCAAGAGTTGGTGTAGCGGGTATAATATCTGTAGGTAGTTATTAAAATTAAAAATTCGCTCATTGATAACTTCAACTTCGTTGTTTTTGTTTCTCCAAACACCTTTCCTGTAAAGGTGCCTCTCAGAAGTCAGAACAGTCTGAACATTTTTAGTGGAACAGTGGTTTTTTGTACTGGAACATTCTGCTGTTCCACTGAGAATGACGAGAGTCCATTTTTCTCAGAGCATTGTGGGTTGACAAATTTGCCATGGTCGACCAAAATCGGAACCCTTAAAATTGTTAGTTTGTCAGATCAGTGATTTCATAAGCGTATCATTCGAGTATCTCTTTTTGTTCTTGTCATTAAGATGGCTTTTTTTAAAAAGGCAGCAGAATGCTGTGCCCCAATCTATCAACAATTTCCTCATCAAGTTGTCTACTGACGTTCATTCAAATCGCGGCAGTCAGCCATATTTTTGTGGACCGTAAAGTTGAAAAATGGACTCTCCGTGGCAAACTCTCGGTGATGCACTGTATCGGGAAATGTCCATTTTACCCGGAGTTCGATACCACATGTACATACAAAAGTTAAAACCGATGCTTTTTTATTTATTTATTTATTTTTGCTGGTCCCAGAGCGCCAGCCTGCAGTCCTCTGTGTACCAATCTCACTGGCGGACCATAGAGCTTTATTAAATTACTCGAGCGCTAACTCCTCATTCTTGCGCGCGGAGACGCTTTGAAGCCGTCCTGGGCGCAGACAGTTTGAATTCATGCGCGTGCTTGTAGAACATAATGAAATTAGATGGATTGAATTTTGAAAGTGTACTCTAAATGCAACGCGCACATAGAACGTACGCACACTTCCTACACGTGTTACGGTAAAAAAAAAACACGGTTAATCAAGGCTGCAGCAGATACGCACACATGTTGCACTGTTTGCATAGAGCAAAATGACATGCTCATTTCCTGATCGTGGGTTTCTGTGTTGGGCGTATCGGCTTCGATGACTTACCGGTATGGAATACAAACGCAGATATGCAAAAAGATGTACAAAATAAGACGTACAAAATACGTACCAAAATTTCTCCATGAGGTTTGTGTACAAACTTGGATGCGCCCAGCAGGCATCACTTTGTACATGAGTTAACGCTCTTGTAATGTAATATAGCTCTATGTAGCTCTTTCATACATTTCAAACTGCACAAACTAAACGTCTTTCATTGCAAAACTTATAGAATGCTTGTTATGTTGTCTTTCTAAGCTTTTTAGAGTGAGTCAACTTTGGGTTTATGTCCTGAAATGAAGATTGAAAACTGATACATGCATTTGTATTTGTATTTTTATTTTTTCTACTTTTTGAAACTTTGCCTTGGAACTTTTTTATTTGTATAAAGCACATATAACTTCACCAACTGGAAAGTATTTAAGATTTAGAGATGAGCTTTTGCATTTTTAGTGTCAAGGTATTTAGGTACGGTATTAAGTGGTATTTAACATTCAGGATTTCAGTCTGCAATTTTTTTAATTTAAAAAAAAAACTTTTTACAGGTGGATGACAAAATACATGTATTTTTCCCCCAGAAACTTGAAACATGCCCAAATTCTATTATCTACAAGCAGAATAGAATCCTCGATCCTGATTGGTCAATTCATGGTAACAACAGTGTGATATTATACCTAATAAGCACGGTCGATATCGCACTCTGCGTATCCGTGCTATTCCAAGATGCGCGCACCAGTCCTTCTGCACACATAATGGGATAATCGCTGAAATGTCTGTATACCGCATGCATGTTTCATCTTTTCTGGGCATCAAGTTTGCTTGAAAATAAATGTGTTATTCCACTCGCGCTCTTGGAACATGGAAGATGTATTGCATCCTGTGTCCCACATACCACTCGGCCTTCGGCCTCGTGGTATGTGGGACACAGACGCACTACATTATTCCGTGTTCCTCTCGCGCTCGCAGGATAACTTATATTATACTGTTAGAATAGAGTTAAGAATAGAACTTGGCAAATTTGGGGCTTGGGTACGTAGCTCCGTTGGTAGAGCGACGGTAAAGCGTTCCAGAGTTTCCGGAGTTAAACTTTGTTCAAGTTTAAAAGTTGTGTATTTCAGTGTGATATACGGTACATGTTAATTTGAACTTTTTTAAGTGCTTTATTCACCCCTGTGACCCAAGATGACCCAGGGGTCAAGTTGGTGATACAGGGGTGGTCAACCTAAGTCATTACATATCATGTAATTACCTTTTTTTGTTAAGTAGATGTCTTTGGGGATATTTGCAATATTAGAGTAGTTGGAATGGTTTTAATACCGGTAGGAACATGCTATATATCTGTACAAGAGGGCATTGTAAGTCTATGTGCCAGCAAGGTGGTACGCGTGGTAGTATATCTAATAACAAAAATATTAAGATGTACATAAATCATGTAGCTAGCATAGAACTCATTAGGCAATCGATGAGATTTAGATTAATAGAGTAACTTTATTAAATTTCTCTCTGTAAATAGGCATGTGGGTATTTGTCTTGTGAATTATTTTATTTTTAACTGTGTGCCCAGCGCTAATATTTGTGAGGTTAATGGGTGTTTTAAAGATATTTGAAAACTTTCCTATAAAAACTGATGGATCGTTTACTGCTTTGCTGTAAAGCATGTAGGACAGAAAAAAAATCGCTTATACTTGCAAGCGAATGTTAAACTTCTGTTAGTGTTGAATGATTTCTGCATGTGGAAGGTGGGTTGGTTAAACATCATTATATAACTAACATACAGATCCTTGTCATTTGATTGGTGGAACTCACATCACGTGACTCCCATTCACACCGGGACTCAGAACGTCCCATTCGCCCATGACAAATGGATTTACTAATCAACACAGTTAGCATGGTTAGGATCATCCTTGTTCCATGGTGCGGTATTTGTATGCAAATGCATTCTGGTATGCGTGTTGAGCTTTACGCGTAGCACGTATTGTTTGTGAAGGGGTGGTTAGGACGAGAGAAATACATTTGAAATAGGAGTTCAAGGATCTGTATGTCAGTTGTATAAAACAGATATCAAGTGGCTTTAAAATTGTGGAATGGGAGGAATGTTATCGCTCAGTAAAATCTGGACTTTTCAATTTCACTCGGCTTTGCCTCATGAATTAAAAAAAAGTCCAGATTTTACCTTGCGATAATATTCCTCACATTCCACTCTGAGCTTCTCAATATTAGCATAATGAATATTCATTGTTTTTACATGTACTTGCCTTTGTTGTGTACCCTTTTTTTAGTACACATGTATACAGCGACTTTAAGGGAGTTGTACTGCAGTCAATCACAAGCCAGTTCACATATAACAGCTCACCAGAAAAACGGATTTCCTTAAATTTCTCAATGTAAGAAAATAATTTGTATTAAGAAATATTTTCTTGTCCCACTTCCTACAATGTTTTTTTCCTGGGAGAGAGATGAGAATTTTAATCGAAATAACATTTTAAAAAACAACAACTTTATTTGGGAAAAAAAAGCAGTACAGCTGTAAGGGGATGGTGACCAAAGAATGTCTTCGTCACAATTCATTAACATCTTGTCACTTTAGACACGATAACATTTGAATGACTTATGATTGACTTAAGTACCTAATGTTAAACCAGAATCAAGAACAATTGTCACCTTCCACGAGACAAATCAGATGTAATAAAAGAAGCATTTTTTCTCTTTCTGAAAATTGTGACTGAACAAAAATTGAAAACTGGACTTCTGAATTATGTCAGTGTTTTCATACTTGTTCAATGCGGTGCAATTTCAGCTGTAAATATTGAGCTATTGTCCTTGGTCGATGCAGATTTTGTGGGTTTTTTTTCAAAATAATGACTGCTGCAAAAAGCTCTTAAAAAATATTTATCACCATACATAAATATGGCGTAGTTACGGGAAGAATTGTAAAACTAATGTGTATTTATATAATACGTCTGCAAGTATTTTGTACTCAAAGCATTGTTCAGTATTACCTCTGTTGTTTTAGGCCATTAATTTTGCTATTAATTGTAAGGGCATAATTTTGTGATGAATATTCATCTGGAATTCTATCATACCATTAAGAAGCTGCATGCTTGTCTCTGATCCTGTTTGTGTATATGTTTGTTGAAAAGGTTTTGATATATAAACATTTGCATCATGTTGGGGTAATTGGATTTTTGTCTGACTGACAGAGGGCGCTTTGATTTTTGGTTGCAAACAAAAAGTGAATAAATTATTCACCCATCATGTTAAAAGGATAGATCTACGAACAGAATGTATGTTACTTTAAATTGAATACGGCGATGAAAAATGTTCTTTTGAGTTTTAATACATATCTGCTTATTATCCATTACTCTAATCTACAAATTAATGGATGGACATGTGTATGTATTGCTTGCATTTTTTGTGAAATGTGCGATGGTAATTTTGCTTTTTTTCCCCTGGACAAAACTCTAGTAATTTTGTTTGCATAAGGAGGATTATTTACTGCTCAGTGTCTGTAAAGTGTCCGTCATTTATGTAAATAATAAATTATGCATTGAGAAACCATATCAGATGTACTTTGAGTAACTTTTGGTCTCCTGTTGATTAAAATGATGTCTTTGCCCGACATATTAAGTGTCGATATTAAGTGACGAAAAGACCCGCCCCCCCAAAAAAAACCTCTTTGATATTAGGAGCAAAAAAAATCGGGCATCTTTAGACCATAGAATGTATATGGCTTTTTTAAAACAAAAATGAGTGTTGAGCTGGGAATCGAACCTCGGTCGCCTGATTGGTAATCCTGTGCCGTGCCACTCGAGCAAACCCATTCTTATTGAATCTGTCGTTCTACATAGTTATATTTGCAACTGTAGCTTTACACGTTGCCATTATGTACACTTGGACGTAATGTACAGTCTGATAATGTTAACACGAGTTTGATTCCGAGATTTTAGTAAATAATAACTGATTCACCTGATCAGAATTCGATTGCAAAAGGGTAGAGGGTTGAAATTGAATTAAAATCGTAACATACTACGCACTCAAACAGATTCAATACGTGTTTTCTACACGAAACACACGTGTTCAACGGATGCAGGGAAGCCCATTTCTTTTGTCAATTTCCTTTGTTGAATCTGGCGTTAACAATAAAATGTTTCCATTGAGGCGAAAGGATTAAACGCCGCGATCTTTTTTCACGCTTGAGTGCCTCTGAATGGGGAATATTGAAGCGGAAAATCACGAAATACAGCACTTAGAAAGCATTTTAACCCACATAATGATACTTTTTGAAGAGGAAATTGCATACTGAATCCAACTGTAGTTTCAAAATGCAAAAATTCGCCGTATTTACAAAGTCGAGGAAAGTTTTTTGGAAAAATTTGGCCCAAACTTTCCTCTTTCCAACGTAGGTGGCGCTATATATATTTCATTCTCGCATGTGCCGTTGGTTAGCGCCATGGCGCTATATATGATTTTATTTCTCAGTGCGTGCTAGCCACCTGATCTTACTTCCAAGCATATTTTATAAGAAAACTTAAGAATAAGTTGAATGGGTCTTCAACTAAAACAATAGCATGAGGTCAGCGAGAAAATGCGATCCGAATAGAAGTCAACTTTAAACGGAACAAAACAGGCGCGTATACAAAGGCTTATTTATAATTTAGCCAATTGGGCTAGAAGCGACCAATAACGGTCGCCCCTACAGGAAATTCCGCTAGAGGCGACCACTATTGTCGCCCCTAGCGGTATAACGCTTGTATCGCTGGGGGCGCCCTTTGTCGCCTCTAGCGGTATATATTAACGCGCGTACCGCTGGGGGCGACCACTATATTGTCGCCCGTAGCGGTATACCGCTGGGGGCGACCGATATTGATCGCCCCCAGAGGAACTTCCGCTAGGGGCGACCTTTCTTGTCGCCCCTAGCGGTATATAATAACGCACGTACCGCTGGGGGCGACCACCATTGTCGCCCCTAGCGGTACCCGTACCGCTAGGGGCGACGTCGCCTCTAGCGGTACGTCGCCTCTAGCGGTACGTCGCCTCTAGCGGTACGTCGCCTCTAGCGGTACCCGTACCGCTAGGGGCGACGTCGCCTCTAGCGGTATACCGCTGGGGGCGACCGATATTGATCGCCCCCAGAGGAACTTCCGCTAGGGGCGACCTTTCTTGTCGCCCCTAGCGGTATATATTAACGCGCGTACCGCTGGGGGCGACCACTATTGTCGCCCCTAGCGGTATAACGCTTGTACCGCTGGGGGCGCCCTTTGTCGCCTCTAGCGGTTTATATTAACGCGCGTACCGCTGAGGGCGACCACTATTGTCGCTCCTAGCGGTATACCGCTGGGGGCGACCGATATTGTCGCCCATAGCGGTATATATTAACGCACGTACCGCTGGGGGCGACCGTTATTGTCGCCCCTAGCGGTATATTGCTGGGGGCGACCGATATTGATCGCCCCCAGGGGAACTTCCGCTAGGGGCGACCAATAATTGTCGCCCCTAGAGGAACGAGCGTTTCTGTATAGAATTGAAGGATGGAATATATATAGCGCCACCTACGTTGGAAACAGGAAAGTTTGGGTCAAATTTTTCCAAAAATTTTACCTCGACTTTTTAAATAGGGCGAATTTTTGCATTTTGAAACTATAGTTGTTTTCAGTATGCAATTTCCTCTTCAAAAAGTATCATTATGTGGGTTAAAATGCTTCCTAAGTGCTGTAATTCGTGATTTTCCGCTTCAATATTCCCCATTCAGAGGCACTCAAGCGTGAAAAAAGATAGCGGCGTTTAATCCTTTCGCCTCAATGGAAACATTTTATTGTTAACGCAAGATTCAACAAAGGAAATTGACAAAAGAAATGGGCTTCCCTGCATCCGTTGAACACGTGTGTTTCGTGTACAAAACACGTATTAAATCTGTTTGAGTGCGTACAATTTCACGATTTTAATTCAATTTAGACCCTCGACCCTTTTGCAATCAAATTCTGAATAAGTAAATCAGTAATTATTTACTGAAATCTCGGAATCAAACTCGTGTTAACATTATCAGACTGAACGTTACGTCTAAGCGTGGATAATGGCAACGTGTACAGCTAGAGTTACATATATAATTATGCAGAACAACGAATTAAACAAGGATGGGTTTGCTCGAGTGGTAAGGCTCCGGATTCCCAATCAAGCGACCGAGGTTCGATTCCCAGTCCCAGCAGTGACAGTCACTTTTGTTAAAAAAAATAAAATAAAATTTGGAATTGTTTAACTAAGATGCCTGATTTGTTATGTTCCCGAAATCAAAGAGGTTTTTTTTTTTCGGGAGGAGGGGAGGGGTCTTTTCGACACTCTTAAAGGCATAGACATGTTGGGCAAAGACATCATTTTAATCAACAGGAGACCAAAAGATACTCAAAGTACATCTGATATGGTTTCTCAATGCATAATTTATTATTTACATAAATGACGGATACTTTACAGACACTGAGCAGTAAATAATATACAAAAATCAAGCCAGCCCCACCCCCATGATGCATACCCGCCCATATTGCCGTACACACACGCTATAGCTAATGCGCTAACATACTTAGTGCACTGAATCCGGTGCGAGAATGAAATATTATATAGCGCCACCTACGTTGGAAAGAGGAAAGTTTTGGCAAAATTTTTCCAAAAATCTTACATCGACTTTTTAAATAGGGCGAATTTTTGCATTTTGAAACTACAGTTGTTTTCAGTATGTAATTTCCTCTTCAAAAAGTATCATTATGTGGGATAAAACGCTGCCTAAGTGCTGTATTTTGTGATTTTCCGCTTCAATATTCCCCATTCAGAGGCACTCAAACGTGAAAAAAGATAGCGGCGTTTAATCCTTTCGCCTCAATTGAAACATTTTATTGTTAACGCAAGATTCAACAAAGGAAATTGACAAAAGAAATGGGCTTCCCTGCATCCGTTGAACACGTGTGTTTCGTGTTGAAAACACGTATTGAACCTGTTTGAGTGCGTAGACAATCACGATTTTAATTCAATGTACACCCTCTACCATTTTGCGAGCAAATTCTGATCAGGTGAATCAGTTATTATTTACTGAAATCTCGGAATCAAACTCGTGTTAACGTTATCAGACTGTATGTTACGTCTAAGCGTACATAATGGGCAACGTGCGCAGCTACAGAAGCCTATATCTTACAGTTATAATTATGTACAACAACGAAATAAGTAAGAATGGTTTTGCTTGAGTGGTACGGCACTGGATTCTTAATCAGACAACCAGGGATCGAATCCCAGCTGGAAAATTTTTTTTCTTCAAAAAAACCAACCCACTACACATTGAAATTTTGAAATTGTCTAACTCTGATTTGTTTTGCTCCCGAAATCAAAGAGGTTTTTTTTGTTTTGTTTTTTTGTTTTTGTTTTTGTTTTTGTTTTGTTTTGTTTGTTGTTGTTGTTTTTTGTTTTGTTTTTTTGGGAGGGGGTTCTTTTCGACACTCTTAATGGGAGAGAATAGGGCAAAGACATCAATGCAATAAACAGGAGACCAAAAGTTACTCAAAGTACATGTGAAATGGTTTCTCAATGCATAATTTATTATTTACATAAATGACGGATATTTTACAGACACTGAACAGTAAATAATCCTCAAACAAAATTCCCAGAGTTTTGTCCAGGAAAAAAGGGCAAAATTACCATCGCACATTTCACAAAAATTCAAGCAATACATATCCATCCATTAATGTGTGTATTTGGAGTAGACATTATACAGAATAAAGCATGTTGGATATGTAATCAGGAGATATATGTCATCAAACTCAAAAGAATATTTTTTGTTCATCGCCGTATCCAATTTAAGGCAACATACATTCTGTTCGTAGATCTATCTTTTTAACATGACGGGTGTATTTTATTCACTTTTTGTTTGCACCCAAAAGTCACAGCGCCCTCTGTCGGTCAGACAAAAATCCAATTACCCCAACATGATGCAGATTTTATCAAAACCTTTTCAACAAACATACACACTAACTGGATAACGACAACAAAGTGTGTCAGAAAAAGACTCAAATTCGGAATGAAGTTTTTGTGATTAATTAAACGCTTAGGCCTATTTTGTTTAAATAATATTAAATGTATTCTTTCTTGGTTCACGTCAATTTTCAAATGGGTTGTGTCACATTTTATAGTTAATAATATGACGCAATTTCAATCCGAAACAATATGTTGTTCTTGAGTTATCGTCTCAACAAAAAGTGTCAAAAGAGACTAAAATTCAGAATGAAGTTTTTGTGATTAAGTTAAACGCTTAGGCCTATTTTTTTAAAATCATATTAAATGTATTCTTTCTTGGTTCTTGGGTGTCGGGGGTTTCGCCTTTTTTTCAAGATTTTCTATGGCAAAATTTTCTTTGACAGGGCTCCCCCTATGGATCCGGGCCTGTTCTGGTTTCAAGCATTCCTGGCTGGGATATATTCTTTCACTGCCGGTATTTCAAAAGAAATTTCGGGGCCACCGATATGACTAAAGAAAGCACCTTACAACACAACGTTCCCCTTGTTCGGAAAGAATTAAAGAAAACTAATCAATCAACATCAGTTTGGCCTGCTCTTTTGCTTGGAAGATATTTGATTTATTGACGCTCTCAATACTAAAAGTTCACAAACGCAAGCTGAAAAGTATGCATCAACGTATTATGGTTTTTAGATATATCCCCAAACCTCTATTATTATATGTATACCCAGATAGTAATAACCGATTACAAGAATTATATACGAAGAACCAGTTAAGGTAGAGATTAAAAAACCAGGAATCAGAAAAATTGAAATGATGTATTTGATCTTAAGTGAGGTGTTTGTAGATATCGAATACTGCAGTCTGGCACATTAAAGAATCCTTTCGTATCAAATAACAAAAACCCTGAAAAAGTACACAATGTTTAGCCTTTGCTTAACCTGTTTTGACATATTACGTCTCATAGAATACGTATTCTTTAATTAAATCAACGTCGTTGCAATAATTATGACTCGATGTATCTCCAAAGTCAATGTCAATATTGGTACGAATAATTCAATGACATGTGATCAACGATCCACCCATCAGATGACGGGGATTTATTCAGGTGTTGTATAATATAGAATATACATAATTCGCGCGTTTTATAAGCAGCAGCATAGAAACGGAGGTTTTGGCCTGGTGTGAAACCTCACTGAATTGTGCTATTTTTGATGAAATATAACTATCCGACGCACAGAGGTTGTCTTAGAAGAGGATTACAAGAATATAGACTAAAGGTACAAATTACTGCAAATCCTTGAGTTCGATTTGGGATCTTGTACTCCACGGTAGATCGGTGGATCCCAATCTGAAAACGAAAACCAGGAGAGAATGCTTTGAAATGAGTATATTTTGCAGAAAGTAAATTAGAAGGCTGTATTTGATGTTTGGTATTGTTTCAAGGTTTGTTTATCTGTTCATCTATTAGGTTTTGACGATGTTGACGATTAACAACTGATAAACAAGACAATTTGTGACCTGCATTAACGAATTGAGAGTGAATCAATTATCACTTGTTGTAAAACAGGGTTTTTTTTAAAACGTTTTACTAAATGAGCCATTGTACTCGAAATTTTTGAAAGAGTTGAATTGACACCAACTATACATGTAATCACAGATAATATTTATAGCCTACCTAAGAACTAATAAGGGTAGACCCAAGTTCAATCGGCCTTTTGGTATGGACGCGATCCGCCTTAAGAATAAAAAAAAATGTAATAATTTTAATACACATCAGCTGCCAGATTATGAATAGAAAGCTTGCAAAGAACGCCCTTACTGTGGACAGGCTTTGTTACTGAAATTCAGTGACATGAGACTACAAAGCGTCGACTCCAGCGTAGTATCAAAGAGGCACATATAAACCTGTCATATTTATCTTCGTTCGTCCCCACGTCCGCTCTAACCCTTTCCAGGTGCCAGACTGCAGACCAGTAAATAGGCCCAAAATTGCCCACGCAGGCCAAATCACGATTTGTGTGCCCTCAATTTTTGCTATTCGAGCATTTTAAGGCCATGAACTTGAAGATTTGTAAAAAAAAAAAAGGATGGGTGGAAGCCGTGCACAGGGCTGTGAGCTCTAGCTTATACTTCTGGGAAATTCGGAGGAAATTGATCCCTACAAGTGCTCTATTTTGCAATGGAGCGCAGGCTCGGATTACGATAAATATTAACAAAAAATGACAGATGATGGAAAAAAACCTCACTGTCTCAAACACCTGGGAGAGTTGTGAGTATTTGTAAATAATTTTTGGAAGTGTACGCAATTACCACTGAGGTCTATGGCAGTCTATTTATTTGTCTGCACCCTAAAAATTTCAAAATGGACGCGGCCACGCACACCTCGGCAGTGTTTTTTTTTTCAGTGGGCGGGACCTTTTGGGGGCACTAGCATTTCAACAGTCACCAGGGGGCGGATCCACAACAAATGCCCCTCACCAATTTCGCCTTGATGGAAGCGCTTTATCCTCAGCACAGCCTGGGAAAGCGCATATTTTTATACAAGCTGCACATGCATGTTTAGGTCTGATATCGATCTCTAATAATTTTTTTCTACCGAAATATCAATTAAGGATCCTTCCTCTTGACGTGAAAGTGTTTTTCTTTAGGGGATAGCAAAATGTCGGGTATATTTCACACAAAAACATGTGGAGGAAACGCAGATGCCGCAAAGCATGTTGGGTAGGTCACTTCCCACGTTCGACGTACATACAATCTGTGCGCACGGGTCATGCTCCCCCGGAACTTGCCCGGGTCAACTCATAATGGTAAAGAAAAGCTGTCAAAAAAGTTCGAATGTGGTTTTTCCCTGGTGAAGGGACTGATGAACAACAACTGTCCAAAATATTTTTGAGGTTTTTATGGCCCTTGCAATTCGGGGTTTGTAAAAGTCGAGGGGCCGGCTCAAAGCATGAAGTACGTCGATATCGAGCTGGTATTTTTTTCGAAAAAGATTCTCCTCCTTTAATTCTTACCTGGGTCACGCCTATCCAAGCCGCGTTCGTAGCCTTTAAAAAAAGAGAAAATTACAAATAAATATTCAGTAAAAATATTCTTCAAACATTATCTTATAATAGTGATGAATCCAGTCTACTTCAAACACCAGGGACGTGTATTGTAAATGCCTTTGACAAAGCTGACAGCTTATGATTTGAATTGGGACCGGAGGATTATAAATAGACTTGCAGGGACGTACTTGTAAGGGTCTTGAGATAGATTCGACTACATCCCTGGTATCTTATAATTATGGTACAGGCCTATACTGTAAACAATTTGCCCGTAATTTTACGATTAAAGCACTGTCAAACGGGTTGGCAACGTAACAAAAAAAACCCGTAAAATTACGGTCAGTTATAGGTTTCCTAAAATGACGGTGACCGCAATTTCAACACGAATTTCCCGTGAATTTATCGGCCGTTTCTAATTTGTAAAACAGATCGAACAACCATTGCTATTTCACAGACTTGCACCAATACTAACTCTGATTACGAAGAATCTTACCTGCCTTGCGCTCCTCCATTTTTTCCAGTTACTCACTCAGCAAGGCACGAACAGTCTCATCTAAAAACAATTCAAGAGGGAAAATGTACGTGAAAATGGGCTGACATCATGCTTTTGTTGTAGGTCTTTAGCGTTCAGTGTATCTGCTGTTGGAGACACCCACTTGGCCTACACTTTTTAGCCTCAATAAAATCTAAAAGCGGGGGGGGGGGGGGGGGGGGTACTCTTCCAAATTGGGGCGCTCTTGACCATTATTATGCATACTGGAAAATATGTGCCGAATGTAACGGCGCATTGTATTGCTTTTGGAACTTGATTTTTGTTTCATGTCAGAACTTTCTAACCATTTATGAAAATAGTTACTGGAATTTTTATTTTTTTTTACAAACATCTGCCGGGGGGGGGGGGGGAGATCCCCCCACACTGGTTTGGTGGCTGGAGGCAACATGTGCAGATCTTCAATAAGTCACCCGAATATATATATTTTTGGGGTAAAAGAAATTATGAAACGGCAATAATAGTGTAAATAATTATTTATATTCGAATGGAACTTTGGACGGTTGTATTGACCGATATCACATAATCCGTCCTCGATAATGCGTTCCACAACCATCTTAAAAAGAAAGTTACAAAGAAAGTAACCGAATTAGAATGTAGTCTTTTTTTAATTATGTGTCTCTCTCCATTTTATAAAAAAAAGCCTACAGATAAAGTACATGTTATTGACTGGTTACTTTGAAAATTTCATGTAATTTGCATTGTTTTCCCCAAGTTAGGCCTATGTGTATTTTAATAAAAAAAGATCATACCATTCGGCTGTCCACCACCGTTCTACGAACTGATGACTACCCATTATTGAATACAATGAAACTTTGGACGTTTTCGTAGCTCCATGAATGAACGAAAAGTTGCAAAGGAAAACGACCAAAATCGCCACCATATTTCAGAGAAAACAAGTTGACTTGTTCCTCATATTCAAACACGACATCTGACAGTAAGAAGAATGTTTTAGTCTTGACTCAAATTATTAAAATCTCAATTGTAATTTATCAGTGCCTGTGTGCAGTCTGCAATTCTCACTCAGCTCGATAACTTCCAATGGAATTGCATAGACAGCTATAAGGACAGCTTCTATAAACAGGCATAACTTCTAATAGCGTGGATCAATTTCAGTAATTATTTTTTTTTTATCCAGGTGCCAGTGGAAGAACCTGCTCTTTTATGAAATACAGTAGCCTACAGCGGTGTATCAAATCTGACTGCTTCCTAAGAAAAAACATTAATCCGGGTCACTTTCTTTTTGATTCACCCTGTATATATGCGTTTACTAAGAACATATTTATTGTGGAAACATCGACTAAACCCTCTCACCTTTCTCCTCCATGTAGCCATGGACCTGGGCCAGGGCAAGGCACATCACACAAAGAACAGCAACAATCCAAACCTTCATCTTGAAGCCGTAGATTCAACTGCGAAGAAAAACAAACAAAATGTATCTCGACTTGTTCTGTGTACTTGAACTGATTTCCATTATTCGCCGGAAACGCTAGTACGCTATTAATGAAAAGCTTGTTTTGATCGTTGTATTAAAGCTTTTGACATTATATTTTTTGCAATAATTTATTAAACCTTTACCTGTTGATTTGTTTCAGTTCGTAAAAAGAGATACAGTGACTGTTGCACCAAGCTGCTTTCGATGAAGTCCGAACACAAACTTTCAGAAATTGCTGCAGCCCCCGGTTTATATAGGCCCTTTTTCGCATAGAATTAGGCGGTACACAGGGGTCAACTATCTATATGCCATCCATGGTCAAGTACAAAAAGTAAGAATCTGTCTCGATTATTATTTAAATCACACCTGAGCATAAAATAGGGGTCCTAGTATATTATGATGGGTGGGGACAATGGAGTGGCGTGACTTTCATCCAGGTCAGAGGTTCTATTATCATGGGATGGAGCAGTGGCTACGCCGGCCACTGGGATGGAGGGGTCGGCACAGAGAACAGTAGCATCCAGTAATAAAATCGCAGCTTTGTCAGACTTTGTGTGAGTTTTGAGGACAATGGGAACTTTCAACGAATACGCTTCCACCGCTCAGGCATAAAGGGTCTATAAATTATAAGTGAACTTCTTTCACTGCCGGTATTTCAAAAGAAATTCCTGGGCGATATGACAAAAGAAAGATTTCCATTATTCGCCGGAAACGCTAGTACGATATTAATGAAATTAGCTTGTTTTGATCTACGTATTCAAGCTTTTGACATTATATTTTTTTGCAATAATTTATTAAACCTTTACCTGTTGATTTGTTTCAGTTCGTAAAAAGAGATACAGTGACTGTTGCACCAAGCTGCTTTCGATGAAATCCGAACACAAACTTTCAGAAATTGCTGCAGCCCCCGGTTTATATAGGCCCCTTTTCGCATAGAATTAGGCGGTACACAGGGGGCAACTATCTATAATATGCCATCCATGGACAAGCCTACAAAAAGTAAGAATCTGTCTCGATTACTATTTAAATCACGCCTGAGCATAAAATAGGGGTCCTACTATATTATAATGGATGGGGCCAATGGAGTGGCGCGACTTTCCTCCAGGTCAAAACCAAAATCAAAATCAAACAATCAAAATCAAACAATGGCCACTTCAGATTCTATTAAAATACTTTTCTGATACGTTTCATGCCAGTTTGACACACTCCCCAAATATGCACCCGCTGTAATGAAATATTTAAATTCATGTTAGTTATGTAACCGAACGCGGAACAATTACACATTATGTGCATGTTCTCAACTTTAGGCTTTGAATACAGAAAAAACTTCATAGGAGCAAGAGTGTATAGGCCTATATGCATTTGAAACAAATGAAACAAAATATCCCCTCATAATTTTAAAAGCTTTTGCTAAAAAATAATCAGGGGAAAGTGGCCAGGAAACGCCTCAGACTGCACCACAGAGCATCTACGATCCAAAATTTCCCGGGGCCCTTAAGCGGGCCCCGGACCCCACGCCGTAAGGGCTTCGCGCTCCGGGCTCGCATTAGTCCTCCGGCCAAATTTCCTCTATGCTATTATTTCACCCTAGCGGTGCATGCCCCCACCTTTTTGGTACCTTCAGCAGCGAATGGCTGAGGCTCGGACCATGGGCGTCGCCAGGATTTTTTCTAGAGGGGGGCAACATTTTTTTTTGCCAAAAAATGCTTGTATTTCTCAACACATTCTCGATTTATCAGTTTCAGAGGGGGGCAGGGACATTTTGCCCCCCCCCCAAACTCATTAAATGTACACCACTTTGTCTTCGCGCCTCTTTTTCTTTTCTTTTTTCCCCTTTTTTTTCTTCCTTTTTTTTCTTCTTTTTTTGCTTTTCCAGGGGGGGGGGGCAAGTGCCCCCCCCCCTTGCCCCCCCCCCCTCGCGACGCCCATGGCTCGGACTACAAGTGGCCCGAATCCCATTCCAAAATAAAAAGTTGTGAAAAAATACGAACATGGCCCATGGTTCTCAACTTTGAGTACATAACAAACTTTATAAAGAACAAAAAAATAACAAATTCCAATGGAATTTTCGATGTTTAAAACATTTTCTAAACGGTGGAAAGTGGCAAGTAATCGCCTCAGATTGCACCACACAGCATCTATAATCCAAATTTTTCCGGGGCCCTAATGCGGGCCCCGGACCCCACGCCGTAAGGGCTTCGCGCTGCGCGCTCGCAGGTCCTGGACCCTTCATTACAATTCGAATACGCTTCCACCGCCCAGGCATAAAGGGTCTATAAATTGTAAGTGGACTTCTTTCACTGCCGGTATTTCAAAAGAAATTCCTGGGCGATATGACAAAAAGAAAGCACCTGACTAAAGGGGCACTGGGTACCGGAATGCATTAATTAACGACAACTAATCAATCAACATCAGTTTGGCCTGCTCTTTTGCTTGGAAGATATTTGATTTATTGACGCTCTCGATACTAAAAGTCCAAAAGTAAATTAAGCTGAAAGTATGCATCAACGTATAATGGTTTTTAGATATACATGTATCCCCCAAGACCTCTATTATTATCATATGTATAGGCTATACCCAGACAGTAAAAGCCGATAACAACACCTATATACCTAGAACCAGTTAAGGTAGAGACAGAAAATACAGGAACAGACAAATCGAAATGATGTCTTTGATCTTAAGTGAGGTGTTTGTAGATTTCGAGTACTGCAGTCTGGCACATTAATAAGAAATAAGAATCCTTTCGTATCGAATGAAACCATAGCCTTTGCTTAACCTGTTTTGACAGAGTATTACGCATTCTTTAATAGAATCAACGTCGTTGCAATAATTATGACTCGCTGTATCTCCAAAGTCAATGTCAATATAAACGAATACCAACTAATAAACTATATACTATAGTATAGAATATCCATAATTCGCGCGTTTTATAAGAAGCAGCATAGAAACGGAGGTTTTGGCCTAGTGTGAAACCTCACCGTCCAGAATTGTGGTATTTTTGATGGAATTTAAAACGTGTGTTTTTATACTATCCGACGCATAGAGGTTGTCTCAGAAGAGGATTACAAAAATATAGACTAAAAGTACAAATCACTGCAAATCCGTGAGTTCGGTTTGGGATCTTGTATTCCACGGTAGATCGGTGGGTCCCAATCTGAAAACGAAAACCAGGAGAGAATGCTTTGAAAATTGATTTATTTTGCCGAATGTAAATTAGAAGGTTGTATTTCATGTTTGGTATCACGGTTCCAAGGTTTGTTGATCTGTTCATCTATTACGGTAGGTTTTGACGATGTTGATGATCAACAACGAGATGAGAGTGAAGTAATCGTTACTTAGCTTAAACATGGGTGTAAATATTTTAATAACAGTGTTTAAACTTTTTTTCACAATGAGTGATTGAACTCGAAATTTTTGACAAGATTTCAATTGACGTTCCATCCTAAATGATATTTTATAGCTTACCTAAACAGGGTAGACCTCAACTCCATCTGCGTTTATGTATGGACGCTGTCCGCCTTAAACAAAACAAAACACATAAGCCGTCAAAAACGAGTAGAAAGCTTGCACAGGGCGCCCTCATTGTTGACAAGCTTTGTTACTGAATTCAGTGACATGAAATACAATGTGTCGACTCATGCGTACTCCACAGTGATGGCGTGCTATGCAAACTTAATATTTTCGTTCGACCTAACAGTATAACTATCTTTTCAAAGAAACATGTGGACGAAACGCACACACCGTTATCATTGTGGGTAGGTCACTTATTATGCGATCGATGATACAATCCGCGCGCACGGGTCATGCGCACGCGGAAGTGTTGACCAGGGTCAACTGGTCAAGACAATCTGTCCAATGAGAGCTCGAATGTGGTTCGCCCCCCCCCCCCCGGTGAAGAGATATGATGAACAAAATCTGTCCAAAGATTTCTGAGGGTTTTTTTGGCCCTTGCATTTCGGGGTTTGTAAAAAATCAAGGGGCCGGCTCAAAGCATGTGACGTCGAGCTTATATTTTTTTCGAAAAAAATTAAAAATCTCGTTTGATTCTTACCTCGGTCACGTCTATCGAATAAGCCGCGTTCATGGGCTTTAAAAAAAGGAGAAAATTATAAATAAACATTAATACAAATATTCTTCACGCTATATATCTTGGGATGTATGGTACGTCCACACCACCAATTCACCATGCATGTGTCCAAGAACGTGCGGTACTATTGTAATGTTTGTCAAAGCTGACAGCTTATGATTTGAATTGGGACCGGAGGACTTGTAACGGACTTGCAGGGACGTACTTGTAAGGAAGGGTCTTGTGATAGATTCGACTACATCCCTGATATCTTATTATAGATAGGCCTATACAATCTATTTCAAAAGGTAAAATTCGTATAAAGCTTCACTCCGTCCGACTGAATCGTTTGAGAAGAGAGGGAGTTACAATGATTCAATCGGGAAGATGGAATTAACGCTCGAGTTTTGACTGAAGTAAGTGCGAATAAATAAAAGTGATTTTCAATCTCAATATTCTAGTTATAGTGTTATTCTTAATTGCGAAATTCTTGGGGCTTCGATCCAGGTTGTTTTTTGTTCTCATTAGGACCCTGATATAGAATAACTCTCTTACTTTTTAAATTTGCATCAATTCAGTAACTCAGTTTACAGTAAGTAATAGTGTTGTTATCTCCCGAGTCAGAAAGGTTTCTGTTGAGGTTATACTACTGGAATTGGGGCAAATGATGTTTAAACATAATAGGAAAAACGTTCTAATTTGAAAAACAGATCGAATAACCATTGCAGACTTGCACCAATATTAACGTTGATTATGAGGGATCTTACCTTCCTTGCGCTCCTCCATTTTTTCCAGCAATTCACTCATCAAGGCACGGACAGTCTCATCTAAAGACAATTCAAGAGGGGAAATGTACCTGAAATTGATGAGCTTATATGCTTTTGTCAAGAACTCAATCCCATTGATGTGTATTTACTCCGAAACCCGAACGTGTTCAGTCCATCTGCTTTGGTTGGGTGACGGAAGGTAAAGTTGTGCAGAGCGCTTCTTCATTAAGTCACCCGAATAAATAGTTTGTTTGTAAAAGAAATAATGAAACGGCTGATAGTGAAAATAATAATTAATATTCGAATGGAACTTTGGACGGTTGTATTGACCCATATCACATACTCCGTATAGAAAAAGTTGGATAAAACACCGCTGGGCACTGTAATTTACCCGGCATTGGTATGAAATTACCTATTGGGTTGAACTTGGGTAAAATCTGTCAAAATATTCGGAAGAATTTGCCCAAGAGTTTCGGCAGAGACAAAGTACATGTTATAGTAACTGTGAAAAGTTCATGTAATTTGCATACTATATTCCCATGCACGTAAAAAGATTCCAGCTGTCCACCACTGATCATTTACCCCTTAATACAATGATGAAACATAGACGGTTTCCTTCCTTCCTAACACCATGAATGAACGAAAACTTGCAAAGGAAAACAGCGAAAACCACTACCAATATAATATATCAGAGAAATAAAAGTTGACTTGTTCCTCATACTTGAACTAAGAACGTATTTTTGTGTGTGGAAACATCGAATGCTTTAATTGCGACTAAAACCCTCTCACCTTTCTCCTCCATGTAGCCATGGACCTGGGCCAGGGCAAGGCACATCACACAAAGAACGGCAACAACCCAAACCTTCATCTTGAAGCCGTAGATTCAACTGCGAAGAAAAGCAAACACAAAGTTCCTTGACTTGTTGATTTCCGTTATTCTTTCGAAACGCCAATTTAATACAGACATAATAATGCAAGCCTGTTGTGATCATTGTATTAACCTTTTGACATCGTACTTTTGCAATAACTTATCAAACCTACCTGTTGACTTTTCAGTTGGTGAAGAGAGATTCAGTGACTGTTGCGCCGAGCTGCTTTGGATGTAGACCAACCCAAACTTCCAGAAATCGCTGCATCCCCCTGTTTTTATAGGCCTTGTCCCCATAGAAATGAGCGCGGCACATGGGACAACTATCTATTGTGCCCTCCATAGACACGTACAAAAACCCAAATGTCTCGATTATTATTCAAATCAAGTTTGATCACAAAACAGCGTCGCTACCTAGTCCATTATGATGATGGATCCATGATCCACCATAACAGACTATGTTTCAACCATAGAGCAAGGACCCAAGGAGTCAGAACTCTTGGGCGATTTACATTTTGACCATTAACATACCAATCCCTCGGGAATGTCTATAGCTACAGCACTGTGACCGCAAGCCTCGACCATTCAAAGCGTGAATGCCAGCGGCCTTTGAACACGATGATCGTCGCCGCCTTTTTAGTTGGTAACCAACAACCTCCCTGTATGCTGCATAATAAGTCATGTCACGTCGCTGCTCTTTTTTGAAAAATATATTTTACGACAAGATAGGTTTTTACAACTGCGCAGTTGTTAGATGTGAGTTATGAACTCAAGTTAGCAATGTGCAGTTGTTGGTGCTTAAAAGCGTTATCTGTCCCTGTAATTTGGAGATAAATTGGATTTCTTTCAGATAAGCTTTCATGTATTTTCAGACATTTTAATTGGCAATATATCATTGATGAAATGTGTTTTCACACTAAAGGTACAGAGCATTTTGTTCTTCATGAAATGATTGTTCCAGTGATGTTGACCACATTTATATACAGTATCATCCAACTGCGAACAAACACTTCAAAATCATTCATTTTTAGCGATGTATGACAACTGCGCATGCGTATTTACCATGGTACTGTCTACGAAGCCATGCAAACTCCTTTTTTTTGGCATTAGTGAGCGCGGATCTCTATTGTGTCGAGATTAGCGTAGTGAGCAACTGAGCAAGCTGGCGCCAGGTGCTTTCTATTGTAGCTTTCGAGCGCGGCGACCATCATTTTACTTTTGAAGTCTTGGAGTACGAACTCCTTGGGTCCTTGCTCTATGGTAGGACCCCTGTTGGAGTATTGGGGGGGGGGGGGGGAGAGTGGTGTGGCATTTCATCCAGGGGTAACCAAGATTCTATTATTATGGGATGGACAGGGTGCTGATGTGAGCACAGGGAACAGAAGCATCCAGCTTTTTATTGCGAGGGTGGGGGCAAAATTAAGGCGTTGTTATCGATGTCTGAACCGTCTTAAACCCACCAAAGTTCTGTCGAGGGGAGGGGCGACGGACCCCCCCCCCCCCAACTGGATACGCCACAAAATATTTTCGTTGGTTATATGGTTCCGGGTCCCCACATTATCGATACCAAATTGTAGGCGGGAACCAGTCTGCCCTCACCTGCGATAACTCAATAAGGGCCGCAAAAAATGTAATTTGTGAAGTAATTACTCCATTAAACTAAATATTAGCTAACCGATGTTTTTTGCGTTCAAATATCTCATTCAAACTGAATAAAACTGGGTTTTGCTAGTAAAAAACTAGCACCTGAATGTATATCTTTTGTGGTGAAACTCGGAAAAAGCACGGATCATTTTAGTACAACTTTCAAGTCAGCCTCCCTCCATTTTGATTTCTGCAGTAAAGTAGCACGTGCCTGCTGCCCCCCCCCCCTCGGCAAAGCTGGCTCCGCCCCAGTTCTAAATCCACCCGTGGGTGCACCACGCTAGTATAGGGCATACAGCAAGGAAAAGATAGGCCATAATCCGACAAAAACAAATATGAGAGAAATACATATCTAAATCAACGTCTGATTGGAATACGACTCAGTGTGCTTCCAAAGCCGATATGTCAATGAAAGCGAATATCAGCTAACAAGACGACGATTAACCTTGCAATTACCTAAACTACTACAGTATCAACCTCGTCCCCAGTGCTTACTTTATTTCCAACCTCATTTCCAATAGTAAGCCCTGGATAGGACACTTTTTATACACTTTAATTGTTTTCTTGTGTAAAGCGTTGTGATACCAGTTTGTGTAAGAACGCTATATAAGTGCCCTGATTATTATTATTATTATTATTATTTCTTCCTGTATCCTGATTCGATGCTGCAATCGGCTAGTAATGGATTTATACCATGTACTTGGTGTTATTATTTTCAACGTGCAGTGTGTGTTTTCACAATCATTGTAATTAAAAACGTCCACGCCTTCTCAAAAATACTCCTCTCCTTTTCCAATGTGCTCATATTAATATGAAATGTGATACTGCATAATTGGCGGGATAAGATTGTAACATTTTAACTTCGAAAACAATCGTGTTTTCGTAACTCACGGCGCGAATTGGTACGGTTAAAAACCGTTTTTATCCCAGACACCGCATACAAAAAACAAACGCTAATGTAACGCACAGGCAGGCACCGGAATATTCCTCATTTGCATACGTGTTCAAAAATCTTGCACATGCAATACCAGGGTAAGAGAGCAGGTAGTGGTGGGCGCGTACTGCTCGACACCCTGTGGACGAGGTTGCTACAGTATAGACTACATAAAGTTTGTTGATCGGTTCATCAACAGATGCCCCCCCCCCAAACTGAAATCCAGTGCAATTCAATTAGGACTTTTCCCCCCAAAAGGTAGTGGCTAATAAGATGGGGGTGTTCATGCGTTGAAGTCAACACTCTTTCTTATGAAACTCAGGAATAATGGACACAAATACTTGCTGGAGACTATGCGACATTAAGGTACTATTAGAATACACAGATTTCAGTAAAGTCTTTTGCGCGCCTGTCGCAATTACTGCACGGTCTGCAGAATCCACTCAGGAGAAGCAGCAGGCGGCTTATCAGCAAGGAACGAAAGATCAGGTAAACGACCTGCATCTACAAAAGGCTGCCTCTATAGCCTACACCTTTCATATAATAAACAAACCACTGCCCTGGATAACATACTAGGGCTTTGTCAAGACTGGATTTTTTATTCTCCTATTTTGCAGCCGGTTCCGTGAAGAACGCGATAATGAAGTTGCTGCGGGGTGGTTCCACCAACAAGATTAATCAAATCCAGTTTTGGCAATTTTGGCAGTTCTACTATTCCTGCCTCCATGGCTCTACTCGGTAAATTCCGAGCATATACAGCGCGCGTGAGAAATTTCCTGGGTAGCGCTGCCAATATTGCCAAGACCGCATAGTGATTCATCTTGTTGAGACCTCGCCTGTCACGGACCGGCTGTATAATAAGGGTAATAAAATTCAAATCCATTCTTGGACCAACTATGGATGACCCTGCTCACGGACATTATAAGCCCCACCAATAACTCAAAGGAACAACCCATGGATCAAAATGTCCAGCAAAAATTACACGGCCTATAGAAAGACCCACACACTGTTGTATAATTCAGGTTGCCCATGCAAGGAAATCAAGAGCAAAGTGACGTTTGCAGACACACAGTACTTACAAAATAGTTGAACCTTCGAAGAGAAATATTTTAGTTTGTTACACAATTTTTTAAATGGATTTATTTCTACAAATCACTAAAATTTAATCACTTTTGCAAGTTGATTAGGCCTATACTGTTTTGTTAATAAGTTTACAAGAATTTAATGTATATAAATTACACTCTCTTGTTATACGTACATGACATAAAATAGATGTAATATATGTTTTTTTTCTTCAATTCTCTGGAGAATATTTTAAGGAGTAAATATCGTGATGTCAATCATAAACAAAAGGGGCACTTGCTCAGAAAAGGGGGCAGCTTCTGTCAGTGTGAAAGTGAGAGCCTTTTGGCTTCCGCAATGGCGGATCCAGAAGACACCACCCAAACAAATTTGGTCCCCAAAAAGTGGGTTCACAAATTCTAGGCCCGCTTAGGGGCCCTGGAAAAAAAGGATTCTAGATGCTCTGTGGTGCGAATCGTACCGAGGCAATTTCTGACAGCTATAACCAATGTATTTTTAGGAAAAGATGGTGGTGTACGTTTGGCACACCGCACATGCAAACCTTCCGCCCCCGGAGGTGACCTCTCTGGGTCCGCCCATTTTGATGGCCAGCTCAGTGATCATTCTATTCGCGTGAGGAGGAGCACTATAATATTTAAGAGGGTCACAATTTTAATGTTAGGAGCGGGGAACTAATAAAATTGTGCTTTCGAGGGGCAGTTGCACATCTCGAGAAAATGCACAATCTTATTAATGCGAGAGGGGCACTTGTGTTTTTGAGGGGCAGTTTTCCATTACTTACAAGAGAGGAAACAATTTTATTTGTCGCGCGAACATATGCTTTCATGACTTTGTGTGCATTTTAGGAGCAGTTTTGTTTTCATCTCGAGGGGGCACATTTATAAACGCGAGAGGGGCACTTTTGTTGGCCTGGGATTATCTGCCCCCCCCCGGTTCCGCCGCCCCGGCCCTGTTTGTGACTGATTCTCAACTGATTTGTGCTCATCAATTTGCTAAGCGATAGTTTCTGATTGCTATTTAGTCAACAAATCTCTCAAACTTTGCTGCTCAGGGCTAATCCGGCTGCAATCGGTAAACAGATATTTTCAAGACTTCAAGGACATGAATACTTGCTGGATGCTATGCAGCAAGGTCCTACATACAATACACAGATTTCAATTACAAAAGTCTTCCGAAAACCTCGTAATTACTAGCAGTATCCATTCTGTATAGAAGCAAATACTAGACGGCTTATCAACGAAGGACGAACGATCAGGTAAATAAGGACTTTCTTGAAAGGCAGTAACTAAAATTTTGGAATCCAAGACTTTTCAAGGGGTAGGGTATTGGTGAGGTGGGAGTGGGGGTGAGGTGGGAGTGGGGGTGAGGTGGGAGTGGGGGTGAGGTGGGAGTGGGGGTGGGTGGGGGTTCGGGTGAAGTTCGGGGAGGGGTGGGAGAAGTGCTTATGTGTTTTAAGTCCACACGCTTTCTTACGAAATTCCAAATTAATAGACAAATACTTGCTGGAGGCAATGTGGCATTAATAAGGTCCTACAATACACAGATTTCAATTACAAAAGTCTTTTGCAACCCTGTCGCAATTACTGCAGTATCCAGGCGTAAGATCAGGTAAACAACATGTATCTACAAAAGGCTGCCTCTATTTGCCTATCCTTTACAATGAAAACAAAACGCTACCCTGGATAACCTCCTAGTCTTCATCCAAGACTGGAATTGTATTCCCCTATTTTGCAGCCGGTTCCGTGATGAATGCGGTTAATTAAGTTGCCGCAGGTTGGTGGAGCTCTCTACCAACAAGATGAGTCAAATCTAGTCCTGGCACTATTGGCAGCTTTACCCAGGGAATCCTGAGCATACCTCACGCACATGCATTAGCTTGAATACAGCGCGCGTGAGGAATTTCCTGGGTAGCGCTGCCAATATTGCCAAGACTGCATTTGATTCATCTTGTTGAGAACTCGCTTGACACGGACCGGTTGTGTAATTTATAAGGAGAATAAATTCAAATCCAGTCTTTGAACAAGGCTATGGATGACCCTGCTTACGGACATATAAGCCCCAAATAACTCAAAAGAAAGAACTCATGGATTTTAAGATGAATCAAAATGTCCAGCAAAAATGATAAGATCTAGAAAGACCCACACACTGTTGTGGAATTTAGGAGGCCCATGCTTTGAAACCAAAAGCAAATGATGTGTGCTGACACACAGTGCATACAAAATAGTTGAACTTTTGAATAGAAATATTTCAGTTTGTTATAAAAATGTTTTTTTGCATGGATATATTCTTACAAATCATTAACAATTAATTACTTTTGCAAGTTGATATTTTATCTACTTTTTTTGTTAATAAGTTGACAAGAATTAAATTTCATGAAAGAAGTTTTATCAGGCTGGTAAAATTTCAACTTTGTAAATGAATTTTCTATAAACACAGCCAATTAATTACGTAGTTTCGTTTACGTTTCGACTAGTTTCACTAGGATGAGGATGACTAGTGAAACTAGTTGAAACGTAAACGAAACTACTTAAGAAATTGGCTGTGTTTATAGAAAATTCATTTACAAAGTATCACACTCTTTTGTAACACGTACATTATAAATGAAATATCTGTAGCTGTAATAGTATTTCTAATTCTCTGCAAAATCTTTTTGAGGTGTAAATATCGTGATGTCTAAGCTTTGAACAAAATTAACTACAGAAACTCCATGCAGGCAAAAAGTGACAGCAAATACATGTATGAAGCATAATCACGTATTGGTTAAATGCAAGATTCCAAGACTTTTCCAGGACCTTTTGTTCTTGGAATATCATCCACAACTTCCACAACTCCTTGTAAAATAACAAAGTTCCATGCTTGTCTATGATAGCTTTAAAGCCCGCGGGATTTTGCAGTATTTTGTCCCTGGCTGTGAGAATTACACTGGCATGCAGGTGCCCTGTGGTGCCATCTTACCAGTAGTAGCTTCTGATTGTGGTCAACATATTAGTCTCCTAATAACCTAATAGTAAAGGATTCATTATTGTTTTCTTTGCAAGCACTGGCCTTCATGAAACTTGGTCTTGTGACGGGCTGCAACAGCACCCTCTGTAATTCTCGCATGGATACAATAGGTTCTTGTATCGTTCTGTGCCTTATGTGCATAAGGAAAGCGTTGCAAGTACATGTACGTATTTGTACATTAACCAGAATCAAGACCCCTCAATGTTTTTTTCTTCTTTTTCATCTTCTTTGTTTTGATATTCTTCGAGCATCTTTTTCATCCTGCGCAAACACCCTACGTTGTATGGGTCAAATGGGTCTCAATCTTCTTCATCTTCTTCATCTTCTTCATCCTCTTCATCCTCTTCATCTTCTTCTTCATCCTCTTCATCTTCTTCTTCATCTTCTTCATCTTCTACATCTTCTTCATCTACTTCATCTGATTCTGTCTGCTGTTCGGTGTTTTCGTGTGGATTGTGCCGCCCTCCACCGATCAAAGCGGCCAGCGTTTCTACGTCACGGCTGTATTGCATGCACAGACCATACGCTGAAAGGCCAGCCTTTCCGGAAAACACACAAGTTGTGTGAAAGGTTAATATGCAAGTTGCCTAATTAAACTGTTTTCCCGCTCATTTTATGAACTTGGGTTTTCTTGTATTTTCCGTGTATAGACCGAGCACACTAAAAACGGTGCACCCATGGAGGACTCAGATCCCTTTTAATGGTGGAAGTATTGTGCCAGCTATGCTTATCAAACTTGGAGGGGGGGGGGGGGTGTCACCAAAACGGTGCACTTGCTCAGAAAAAACAGGCACCTTCCATCGGTGTGAAAGAGGAGACAATTTTAAAACTATTTTCGTTCACACTGCAAGGAATACATGTAACCAGGTACACAATTCACTAACAACATTGATATATATGTGTTTTAAAAAAAATAAAATTCTTAATTCCCTTACTCAAAATATTACAGTGTAGGCCTATTCCTGAAAAAGTTTCAATATAGCCAGATTGTTCTCAAATAAGATAATTTTTTTTTCACTTGAGAGAGCCCTTCGGCCTCCTGTACAGCCCAGGCAGTAACCTCTCTGGGTTGGCCTTTGAGTTTGACTAGTTAGGCCTATGCGAAAGGACCATTTTTTTTTAAAATGAGAGGGGCACTGTTGCTTTTGATGACCAGTTCAGTGACCATTTTTTCGCGTGAGGGCCCATTTCCCATCTCGAGAGGGGCACAAGTGCGAGAGGGGTATTTGTGCTTTCGAGGGATAGATTACCATCTCGTGAATGTTCACAATCTTGTTAATGTGCGAGGGGTATTTGTATTTTTGAGGGGCACTTTTGCATCACAAGAGAGGAGAAAATTTGTAAGTGCGATCACATTGTTTTCACGTGTGCGTTTTATGGGCAGTTTTGTTTTCACATCGAGGGGGCACATTTATGACCGCGAGAGGGGCACTTTTGTTGGCCTGGGAATATCTGAGGGGATGGGGTTTGTTTTCCATCAGTAAATGTGGGCCGATTTTTTTTCATCAGATGTCTCATTCAAAAGTGAATAACTTTGGAATTGCTGGAGAAATTGACTTTAAGTTTCTGGGTGAATTTTCAAGTGCTGCATCAGAACCAATTTTTTACTGGTTAATAATAGCGCTTTTAACAAAGATCAAAGCGCTTTACATGATTATTACCCCATATCATTGGGCCAATGGGCCATGGGAGTACACAGCTTGATGCTGTCTGTTAACCCTAATCAAGCTGGGTTATTTTGACCAACTCTCAGCCGGGGGGGGGGGGGGGGGGGGCATCGGCCATCGAGTGACAAACAATTTTGAAACTCGGTACATGCATAGAGCAACTCATCATGAACATACCCAAGAAATTTCATGACTACAGATCAAAGGGTATTGGAATTATGGCTAATTAATTATTCATATGTACGAATGGTAATTGTGCTCTGTGTACATGACGTATATGAGAAAATTAAGTTTTCCTGGCGCATAGCGCCGGAAAGTTTTTCACTACGCGGAAACCCCTAGTCCAATATTTATGTTTTTAGTATCAAAAGATGCACAACGCTCGAGGCTAAAAAGTCATAACAGCTCGGGTCGCAGAAAAAATTCTTTTAAAGGCTATCGCGGAAAAAGTTGAAGGGGGGGGGTGTTGATTCTGACCCCCCACGACCCTTTTAGGGTTAAGCGCAATGAAGCTAATTCAATCACAATGGCCATCTCTACCCTCGCAGGTACCCATTTTACTCCTGGGTGGGGAGAAGCAATGAGTGACAAGGTACCTTGCCCAAGGGCACACGCACCATCAACCCAGGCTGGACTCGAACCCACAACCTGCAGAATTACCCGCAGACCACAAAATCAATGCCCCATACCACGAGGCCACGGCACTCCGCATTCCAGTTAATTATTATTTTTTTTGCAAAATGACAATTTACAGTCATTTCTTTTCGCAACTCTTCTTACATACACAAGAAGACGAAGAAGAAGAAGAAAAAAGGAAAGATAAAGAAGCATTCGCATTTTTTTGGCAAAAAGAAATAACTATAAAAAAGAAGAAATGAGTGTTTTGAGTACCTTCATTTTAATTTCTGCATTTGCACCCGCTCTGAGTAGACGTCGGACACACTCTGCATCTTTCATGACGGCATAATGGACAGCAGTCCAACCATCCTGAATAATCCCAACAAAATAAAGCATTAACTTCGGATTCATCTCAATAAATGAGTTGAATGTATACAAAGTAGTATTTGCTTGTACATGTGTACTACTTATTTTTAAGCATTACTTGCATTTATCTGACTAAAATGAAGCAAATGCTTTTACTGGAAAGCATTTGTTCAAAACAAACATATCCAGCTCCTGATTTTTTTTCGTTGCAGCATGCACCTAAAATAAAAACCAAATCTTTGGATAAACTTGTCCAGTCCACCAGAAGAATATTATGGTTCAATGTCGCTCGTTCACTTTGCTTGCAATTTGCTACAATTGTAAATACATTAGTGGACAACTTTCTTTTGTACATCAAGATGCATTAATTTATAAACATTCTCCTGTTCCGCATCGTGGACATCGTGAAAATTAAACATTTTCGCGTACCATGCAACCATCTCTTTGTGGGAAGCTGACTTGGGCGATGTTAGCGCGTGCATACTACACCCCTGCGTCAGTTCCAAGACTGCTTTGTAAAGCGCATGCGTAGTAGACTGTTGCACGGGTAACCCGTGTCACAGTCTACTACGCATGCGCATTTACCCTGTGCGTGACTCCTCACGCGTGCTTGGTAAACAGCACAAATAACGTCTGGCACGTAATTGTGAATTGACCAGTAAAAGTTCGGCTGTCGATCATGAATATGTATGAGGTATAATAATATACAAATTAAGAATGTCTACGAGTGTTCACCTCATGGAATGAAACATTCCATCTGTCACCAAATGAAATTCTTCTTTCCATTGCACTCACAAACTTTCACTATTTGTTTTACACAACACCTGAATAATCCTTGTCATCTGATTGGTCAGAGCTGCCAAAAGTGTACCCGTGCATTGGAACTTCCATTTACCGTGGAATGGACCTTCCGTTTTTACCGTGCAGCTGCGCCGTGCGTTGGGACAAATAATGCAATGACACATGATCAATGACCCACCAATCAGATGACAGAGATTTAATCAGGCGTTGTATAATGATATATATTCTCCTATACTTTAGTCTTCTGTTTAGTCTAATATTTTTTTAATGAAATGTGAGTCTTCACAAAACTTCCAAATGATTCCACTAGCTTTTGTATCTGGCCTTTAAATGTTTGAATCAAAATCTGGAAATATATTTCAACTTGAAAACAAAAACAAAAACAGAATAAGCACAAATTATTAAGTTCTAATTTAGACATATATACTCACGTCATCAACAGCATCAAGAGGAGCACCTTTGTTAATGAGATACTGCAGCGACTTGACATTGGATGATTGGGCAGCATTATGCAGGGGCAATTTACCGTTCTACAAAAAGAAAAAAAAAATGATTAACCCCTGTATTGTACCATTATTGCATTGTATTATTTCCTGATTAAAGGCACAGTCCATCATTTGCAACTATCCAAAATGTAACTGACATAATTATTGAGACTAAACTCCCTGTGAAATTATTCTGTTGGGCAAGCTGTCATTTTGCAAAAATCTATGAAAGACACATTGTTGGAAACGTCCGTTAGGCCAAAAGAAAAAAAAAGGCTCCGGTTTCTGGTATGCGCCCACGTCGCCTTATATCGGCAAATTTAAAAAGTTTTTTTTTTAATGAAATGATGATGTCTCAAAACCGCCAAACTCACTGGTTTGACTGGAATCCTGCTGCTGCACAATTTTACCATGTTTTTAGACGGGGTAACGATCGGGAATAAGCTTTATGTGGCCTCTCTGGGCTCCCATTTATTTTGCACTAAATTTAGTGGGGCACCACTTGCAGTCATCAGCCCACATTTGAAGGGAAAAAAAGGAAAAAAGAAAAAAAAAAAGGAAAAAAGCCGCATTGCCGCACCAATTTTGGGGCAAGCTCCATACCAGAAACTGAAGTGGGTTTTTTGGCCTTAGTAGTTCCTTTTTTTAAAAATTTGGCGAAGCGCGTGCAAGCATTGACACAACGCTCACGGTTGCTATAATTCGTCAGTTCAGTGCACTACATCGCGTAGCTGCAATCAGCTCAGTGAGAACATGTCTCGGACGCTGAATTCAGGCCCAATTCAAAACATAAATCAGCAACTTTGGATTTGAAATGGAGATCCTAGAATATTGTTTTCTCTGAATATGCAGCATTCACTGAGCTGAAACTTCATCAGGTTAGTTGCACAGCACCCTTTTTTAGATTTTGAAAACTTTTGTAGCTTCAAATGAACATAATGTGTACACTACAAATGCTGGACGCTACCTTTAACCCAATAAAACATATGGCATTGGGCGTTTTGGGGCGGTAAAGGCAGCAATATACAGGGGCAGTTTGAGCAGGTACACAGACTAAATCAGCCAACTAGCTTATCTGATTGGTCAAATTTGTCCATGGTGGTAACCAGTCAGAATTCACAAGACGTGGGGGAGGGGGAAATTCTTGAGTCAAGGGCCATCAAATCAGCCATCATCGTTAACAGTAATCATTTGGAACCTCTCAACTCTGTAGCAAAATGTCTTATTTGCGGGGACACTGAAAGTCAAATACCTTAGCTGCAATGTCCATTCTAGCTCCAGCGTCCAGCAGAACTTTGCACGCACGGGCGTTGTGCTGGGCGGCCACGTGCAGCGCCGTCTCTCCATCCTGCCCAAGGGCAAACAAAAGCACAGTTAGACAAGCACTGGACCCCCTGCGAGATGCCTCCTCAACGAATGCCAATAGTGCTACACTCATGTCAAGCTGCCAAAGGTTAGTGCACGTTCAGAATGAACTACGAGTAGTTGTGCATACTTTAATAGCTATCCCACGAGCCTGAGTGGAACACGGAATAATGTAGAGCCATATTAAAGTTACTAGACCGCTGACTCATGTACAAAGTGATGCCTACTGGGCGCATCCATGTTTGTACACAAACCTATGAGAAATTGAAATTTTGTACGGGCTTTGTACGGCTATTTGCATATCTGCATTTGTATTCTATACAGGTGCGTTATCAAAGCCGAAACCGAAATGCACAATTAGTAATTGAGAGCATTTTTATTTTGTGTAAGCAATGCAAACATTTGCACGTATTCGCTGCAGATAATTTTTGCTGTGATGTTTTTTTAACCGTCCTGAAGCGCTTACAATTGTTTGCGTATGTTGTTCTTGCGTGTTGCATTTAGAATACACTTTAAAAATTCACTTCATCTAATGTATGTTCTACAGACACGCACATTAATTCAAAATGTCTGTGCGCAGGACGCCTTTAAAGTATCTCTGCACATAATGAGGAGTTTAGCGCTCTAGTGATTTAATATAGCCCTATGAGTAGTGCATATTTGTGTCCCATATTTAGAAGTGCATATTTGTGTCCCATATTCAGCCTAGTGGTATGTGGGATGCAAGACATTTTCCATGTTCCACAAACGTGACTGGGATAACAAATTTATCTCCAAACAAACTGGACGCATGTTAAAGACACGCACACAATACACAAACTTTTCAGCATTTTTTTTCTATTACAAGTGTGTGCAGAAGGAACGTCGCGCGCATCTTGGAATAGCCAATACGCACAGCGTGATACAGACCGTGCTATAAGTATAATATTACACTGCTGTTGTCATGGATCGAACCAATCAGGATCCAGGATTCAAGTCGCTTGAATGTAATGTGTCATACGTGTATGAATCAATACATGCGAAAGCAAGGAGATCATGACCACAGGGTCCATACAAAAGGGTAAGACATTAAACACAAAAAATTACTTTACTCTTTATGATATGTGGACAATCTTTCATGGCGCGCAGCCGTGCACCTGAGCTCTCATCTTGCACAGAAACATGCACTGCTTCTGCACAGTGCCCACTAGCACTAATGATGAACGCTTCTTTTTCATGCAAGATTGCATTTCAGGTTCATCTTGGATTTGTACATAGACTCTGACAGTTTTGCCTAAAATTGGCTAACAATTTGAGGGGGAAAATAACCTGAAATCAGGCAATTGCAGGACTGACATCCCTGAGATACAAACCTTATCTTGAGTGTCCAGTTCACAGCCAGCCTCAATGAGAATCTTGGAATTAGTTCTGTTGATGTCTTTCTCGGCGGCTATGAAAAGTGGCGTAGCTCCATCCTGATCAACAATTAAAAAGAGAAAAAAATAAATAAATACAACATAGCTTTAGCGGCATACATTTCATAAAACGACCCATTATCACTTCCCTACTGAGCACGAGCCATGTGCACTAAATGTACATACATAGTTTCTGGCAAGGAACCCACCCACAATGCTTTGCATTTTCTTTAAAATGTTTTTTAATAAGGGAACAGGTAGCTACAAGCAGCACCCTTGTACAGGGTGGTAGGGGTGACCAACTAAAATTATCCCAAAAACCTGTTTAAATCTTGAAATTCCTGGACTTACATCTGCCTGAATTTGAACGGTGGCACCAGCTTTAATAAGCAGCTTCAGGCCCTGTGGATTGGCTTTAGATGCATTGAAGATTGGCGTCATTCCATTCTGAACACGGGAAACAAGACCGAGTCTTCAGCAATTTGATCATTGGGAAACAGAAATAGGAGAGACACTGCCTTGTCATAAGCTTGTGTTGGTAAATCTGCTAAGTGATCTGCTAAGGGCTATCATTTGTTCAGCACAACCATCGTAAATGTTTTCAGGAGAAATATAGGAGCATCTTGAATGTGCACTATTGGGATCTCAAATGCATTTCTGAATAATAATAATAGTTGGAAAGATTGCCAAGAAGTAGAATATAAATGTTCACACAACCATGACAACTATAGCTTCAAATATCCGTTTTTTTTATACTGCAGATGAATTTTGGGATGTGAACTTTTGGTTCTGGGTCATTACATAGATTAGGGGTCAAAAGTTTAGACTTTTTTGTGTCCCTGTTAAACCTTGCATTCAAACTGACTTCAGAGTAAACTGTCTCATTTCCTTGGCAGGTAATTTGCTTTACATAATCACTCTTGGAGATCAAATGCATTAAAGAGTGTATTGTGGAGTACTGTGGCCTCGTGGTTAAGGGCACTGATTCGTGGTCTGCGGGTAAAGCTGCAGGTTGTGGGTTTGAATCCTGGCGGGGTCATGGTGCGTGTGCCCTTGGGCAAGGCACTTTGTCACTCATTGCTTCTCTCCACCAAGGAGTGAATGGGTACCTGTGAGGGCAGAGATGGTTATTGTGATTGAATTAGATTCCTTGCGCTTAACAGGCTGCATCGAGCTGTATACTCCCCAGGGAGCTGAGATGGTATTTGGAATATTTCATGTGCCCAATGAGCAGGGGTAATAATGATGTAGCGCCTTGAGCACCAAACCTGGTGGATACGTGCGCTTTATAAATATCCACTATTATTATTACTATTATCATCACAAACACATAAAATATCATCAGATGTAAACAGGGTCAAAAAGAAAACTGGACCCTAAATTTGTGGAATGAGTGAACCACATTGAAAATCAACCACATATTTCTATTAATTTGTTTGAAATTGGCGTGAAAACCTCTGTGTGTTGTCATTTATTAAATGCTTCATCTGTCTTGTGTTGACAATTTGCCTCAAACTTCAAGGCTTTTTTTAGTGCAGGACGTACAAGTGGGCAAGGCAAAAAAAAACAAAACCAAAAACAAACCCTGCTATGTTAGATGTAAACAAAAAGGGTTTTGCAACTTTTCCCCCACAAATGTTCATTTTATGGATTGTCTGTGTCCTAAACTTGCAGAGAACAATAGGGCTCTTTCAATGACAGCCATTTCTGTAGGAGAACTGCAACTGCTTATTTTTACGCAATCAAGCACGCATTGCGCAGTGTGGACAAATGTTCCAAACATGCGTGCTTGTTTCTCGAAATGTGTTCAAAATACGACGCAGCTGATGCGCGTTATGGAAGTTGACGCTCAAAATGCTGATGCACGTGGCTGGTCTGTAGGAAATGACGTCATTTGAACGAGACCTATTTGAAGCCTTTAACCTGTTAACAATTGTTGCACTTGTTTAACTGCAGAATGTTTGTGCAACCTTTTGATCGCTGTAAGCCTTCCTGCCAGAAATGAGATTTAAAGGTTGCAGTTCTCTGTTGCGAGGCGCACAGGCCCTACACATGTTTCACGTACATTACAGTGTCCAATACATGATTTTCAATACATTTTGGTGGTCTCTGGATGAAAGCAAACCTTTAGTCATGACAGATGACAACTCACAATCGTTTTGGCTTCCACATCTGCTCCTTTGGCGATCAGCAACTTCATGGCAGCAGGGTGTTTCATATTGGCTGCTGAGTGCAGAGGCGTCCAGCCATGCTGTGAAGGGGGAATCATCAACACCATTTTTTGATCAAATTCTAATGTAGATGATTAGTTTCAGCTGTTTAGGCAAGTCAGCTGAAACAGCTCTTGTAAGATTCCCCCCCCCCCCCCGCAAATTTCTCAATTTCTCATTCCTGGAATGCTTCCAATTGGGATACAAAACGTCTTTTAAACAAAATGATGTTAATTGGAAAGAAAATTTAAAAGTAGGATATAAATGTCCACACAACCATTGTGTTATTCATGTTATTCGCGTTCTTGTGTTATTCATGGGAGAACATGAGAGAACAAATTTTGGGCATCAAAATTTTGACTAAAAAATCGAGCTGTTGAGTACTAGTTGTAAATCCTTGCGAACGATGCATCGCATTCTGCGGACGTGCGAGGGACAACATTTGTGTATTGGTGCTCTGTGTATTATGTGACAAAAACACAACGTAAACTGAACATTGAATGGACATGTATGGAAATGTGTATGCCACAAATGTCCGCCGCGTCCGATGTATACAACCTGGGTTTTGTCATCTTTTTTTTGGAACGGTAAGACATTAGGTTAGTTTCCTTTCAAGCAGACCTTTGAAATAGGACAATCCACAACCTATTTTGAGGGGGATTTCAGGCCGTAATAAGCTCCGTGCGCCAACGAAAGAGGGCGCCCTTTTACCTAACAACGTTCCTTGTGTGTGACGCACGTGCGCCAGGGGATTTGTACTATGTACACGCAGTGGTACGGCCACGCGTCGCGGCAAAATTGCAGTCAGGCAAGATGGCGTCGGTCGGTCACCCCAAACTGTACTTTGTTTGCCGGTGAGGGGGTACTTGTGAACGGAGCAGATACCCCTTTAAAGTCTCAGCATATGGACCGATCCAGTAAGCACCACCCCATGGTGTTCCGACCAATCACAGCCGTGATTTATGTCCGACATGCGTGCACAAAAAGTCCGACATGCGTGCACGCTCGTATGTTGCGCGCGGCAGGAAAATGCAGTGTGGCATTGGAGAGGAGCACGTGTTAATTTGCCCAGTGCGCAGTGGGCGGGGATTACTGGATCGGTCCATTATTGGCTGCCGCTTACCATATTCCTTGCATGGATGTCAGCTCCCCTTTCAATCAAAATCTTGATGACTTTTGTGCTGTTCATCACGGCTGCCATATGCAGTGGGGTTTCCCCTGTCTAACATTTAAAAGGTATAAAACAGATGTTTGTAAACAATTATAAAAATTATAATATAGTGCTTATATAGCGCTTTATACCAAAAGGTCTCAAAGCGCTTCACAATTATTCCCCCTGTTCATCAGGCCATGAGACCAGTTTCTGCAGCAGCTCAAGATCAGCACAATCTGGTCTCTACCTTCACAGGTACCCATTTATACTCCTGGGTGGAGAGAGGCAATTGTAGTAAAGGGTCTTGCCCAAGAACACACGCACCATGTTCCCCATCCGGGTTTGAATCCAGGTACCTTGGCAAGTGAGCTAAACACCATAACCATTGCACCACGGCGCTCCACGAAAAAAACAGAGTATATATATATATAAAAAAAAAAATTACGCTCAAGTCTTAACTTCTTGACTGTCATCCTGTTGCGAAGCAGCTAAAAGCAACCATAATAACCATCTCTGCCCTCACAGGTATTAAACCAGTTACCTCTGGGTTGGGAAGAATTTAGTGACTAAAGCCGTGTCTGCACTGGACTTTTTTTTGGACGGTTTTACCGAGACGATGGTCAAGTGAAAAATAGTCAAATGTGACCATTGTCTGCACTTGGACACAGGAAATTTTACCCCGTCGCGTGGGCGAAGTAACCGAGCTGTCACTGGGTCAGTATAATGACTCACCGTACCCAGAAAACAAAATGCTGATCACATTCTTCAGCCCCTGATACACACAGTAGACATGCACATGCCATTTACATGCACAATATAATTGTTACACACGATATGATTTCATCATGACACGCTAAATATTGCTTTTCCCCCAAAAAAGTCCAGTGTGGACAGGGCTAAAGTGTCTTGCCCAAATACATTCACTAAAACAGGTTTCGAATTCCCCGCTTGACTGGCACTTAATTAAGATCTTAAGTTCAATGCAGCAGACCACGAGGCTTGGAAAGGAAGGGGGAAAGTTGGGGTTGTTGAGCCAGTCACTCCATTCCACGGGGGAAGAGAAAAAGGGGGGGGGGGTTAAATCCTTTAAACCCAACTTTATCAGCCGTGGTGGTTACATGTATGCGCTTACCTCACTTGTGTCCCCAAAGTTTGCACCTTTGTCCAAGAGATGTTGAATCGCTTTGTCATTGTCCCCCAAGGCTGCAAAAAACATTGGAACTTTCCCATTCTGTTGGGAAAAAAACACCCCAACTTAATCAATTCAAATGTTAATCAGGAGTTCTTCAGGATGACGTTACAAACTAAAATACAAACAATCCTCCATCGTTGTTTCGCATTGGTGGTTACCAAGAAGTTTATGTTTTGAAACAGTTTTTCTTTTGTAACCAACAATTACTGCACCAATTGTGTCATCCCTGGGCCAAGGTCAATGTTCTATGTAGTCTTCGTCCAAGACTCGATCTGGATCATAGTTTTTGAGTAAAATCCATTTATCTATTTCGTGAAAACCTTGTGGAGACTTATTCATCTATAGAAATTACCCTGTGGAGACATATACAATTTTTTGTTCCCTGTTGTGTGCATGTCTCCAGAGGGCACGGTGTATCAGATCAAACATGTCAGTGTAACAATAGTTGCTAATAAACACAAACCCCAAATCCATCAATTTCTGAATACAAAGCAAAAGCATGTTGTATATATTCCCTTGAAAATAAACACAGATTGCTATCCTTGCCACTTACGTTATCTTTGCAGTCGTACTTGGCCCCAGCATCCAGTAGCACTTTGCACACTGCTGCATCATCCTTGACTGCATGATGCAGTGCTGTTTTACCATCCTGCATAAAAAAGTCCACTGATATACCAAGTTTGGTCTAAATACTTCAGAATGTTTAAAAAATATCTGTATATTTTTTATATATTTAGGGTTAATTCACTGTAAATCAAGAAGTCTAGATAAGTCATGTATTGCAAATCTGTACCAGCTTGAGGTGATCCACGAATCATGCATTTCGCTTTTTTTTTTCGCAGTCGATCCCTATATGTTTGGTCTTCTCAATTTTTCTGAACCTCTTCATTTTCAGTTCAGGAAATGATTGGCTCCTGGGTGTATTTGTTTTTAATACACCTCACCCACAGATTCTGTATCTTGATTGGCCGAGAGTGAGTCACATTTTGTTCGCTATTTTTGCTATCTTGCTGTGCACGACAAAAAGTACTAGACCCATAGCAACCAAAGTACTGTACGATGAGAACCGGGATTGTGTGCAAAAGCATTATGGGTGTGCGCGTTGCGCGTATTAGTCCCAAGCACGCGCTGTACTACAGAGCTGGGTTTAAACATTTTGTGAAGTGGTAGTTTGGAAAAGTACAAGTAAACTTTCACCTATTTTCGTATTCAATTTGAAGTACATTTTAATTGAATTTAGATTCAATTTTTCAGTCATCACTTAACAAGCAGAATCTGTGAGAGAGGTGATAAAAACAAATATTGACTGCTTGATCTTGTGGTGTAGTCAAAATAGCCTCCTTCAATGATCTATGGAGCATTCTATTTTCCCTCAGCTTCGCCTCAGGAAAAATTGAATGCGTCATGGATCACCCCCGCAGGCTAGTTTTACTACATCACGAGATAGAGCAGTCAACATTTGTATACTATGAAACAATAGCATTTTACATCACAAGATAGAGCAGTCAATATATGTATACTATGAAACAATAGCATTTTACATCAAGAGATAGAGCAGTCAATATTTGTATACTATGAAACAATAGCATTTTACATCAAGAGATAGAGCAGTCAATATTTGTATACTATGAAACAATAGCATTTTACATCATGAGATAGAGCAGTCAATATATGTATACTACTATGAAACAATAGCATTTTTCACATTTTTTTCCATCATGAGTTACACCTCAATTGACCCCTGCATGGCCTTTGACATTATATTGTCAAAGCAACACATTCAGCAGCCCTAAACCTTTACTCTCAGTAACGTCACTGAATGCTCATTCGTTTCTGTCGTAAACAAGTCTTTGTACACAATGACCTCAAATGATCCCTGTTGGCTTATTTGACTGTGTCTTGACCATGTTGTACATGTTTAGTATACCTCACACATTTAATTTCATTCTCAAAAGTGGAGCAAGTTCCTTGGAAAATCCATAAGAATCGTTCTTCCCTGGGACTATCAACCAGCTGGACATGTGTCGGGCACGCATGTGCAAGTTTATAGCTACTTTTACTTCCCTGATGCTTTAGAACTTTGACCAATGAAAGGAGGGCATTTGATTCAAAATGTGAATGTGGCTTGATATACTCACTTCATCAACAGCATCAATAGAAGCCCCCTTCTCAATGAGATACTGCACTGACTCAACGTTAGAAGATTGGACGGCGCGATGCAGGGGGGTCGTTCCATCCTATTTAGCAAATGTAAAAAACAAACAGCAGGTTTTATGGGTAAATCGCTGACACCTTAAAAAGAGATATGCTATTTGGGGTTCGCGGCTAGTTGGAACTGCAATAATCCAGTTCTCGCAAGACAGACTGGTCATCAAAACTGATTTGGGGGATAAGGCCATGTAGTGCCCTATCTAGCTTCACAGTCGATCACATTTCACTCTCAAGCATAATCATAAACACTTGCAGGGTTCAACTAGTTGGAACTGCAATCATCCAGTTCTTGCAAGATAGACTGGTTCCGGCCCCCTTATCAGAACTGATTTGGGGGTTTAGGCCATGTAGTGCCCTATCTAGCTGTTCTTATACACAGAGCAGTCACAGTCGACATGTCACTCTCAAGTATAATAATAAACAATTGCAGGGTTTCTTGGCCTACCTCTGAGTGAACGTTGACATTAGCACCAGCCTCAATAAGCAGCTTTAAGCACTCAACACTGGCATGGGCTGCAGGGAAGATTGGCGTCATTCCATCCTGTGTGTACACACACAAAAATACTGCAAGTAAAACTTGCGCGATCCCCCTGGCATCCTGGCAGTTTGTATACATGCACAGGCAGTTAGTAAGGACAATTTTCAGTGACGGCCTTGATTGTCCACCCGGCAGGTATCAGAGTTCTCAGTTGAATGGGGAGTTTGGGTTGAATGGGGAGTTTGGGTGAGACACGGGACTCCGTGCAGCCTAATGTCAGTGAGTCTTGGTATGTTCCCCTTGCCACTGCAGCATGTGGAGTCATTAACAGTAGACCTACTACTGACACATATTAGAGTCATTAGTAGTACTGAGCTGAGCTCTCCAGAGAACTTGTAAATATCCATATTGGAAAGAATTTTTTGTGACATCGGCCTTCTCACCACAGACCACTTTTCAAGTTTAGTTGAGATTGATGACAGAACTTACAGTGAAAAAAACAAAATGGAGCACACACACAGACACACAGAAGGAATATACGATTGCAAAATCCCCCTGTCTGGCTTGAAAGCCAGGGGGATAAAAAACAAGACAAAACTTTAATCCTCATTTTTGAAATGGCTTCTACCTGTTTGTTACAAAGTCACGACCAAATTTATTTATTGGAAGAAAGTAAGTATCAAGGAGGCCCCTATTGGCCTTATTCACAATTTGGCCATTATAATATTGAGAGTGAGGTAAAATCTTCACTTTTTGGAACTTGTGTAGAGAAATGAAAGCAATGACATTACAAATTAATACCAGTCTGCTCTGATGAATAATTTAAAATTTGTGATTAAACATACCCTAATGTTTTAAGCCACATGAAAAAAAATTGAAAGTGAGGCAAGAATGAATAAATAGTCTGGCACCATCCAATTCAACAGTTCACAATTTATTAAACGCATTCAGGGAACACAACAAAAATGGGTTCCCTGTTAATGCGGTCCATGCATGGTAGGTGCAGAGACCTTCATCGTAAAGTCTCATCAATTCCGGAGTTCAAAAGCCTTTTTTAAAAGTCATGAAATAAAGGAAAAAAGTCCTGACAAATCTTATCCCTGTATGGAGAAATTTACTCACGGTCATTTTGGCCTCGATATCAGCTCCTTTAGCCAGCAGTATCTTTGTGGCTTCGGGATGTTCAATGGCCGCGTAATGAAGAGGGGACAACCCATCCTGTGAGGGAGTAAAAAGGTCCACAAAATGCTTATTGTTCCACGTCACCTAGCCTTTGGTCAAGGCGCACAGACACGTGACGCTTCCTGGATGCTTACACAAAAAAATCTAGCACGAGCACGTCAAAATTTAGTTTAAGTTTAGTGTCATGGCCTTGCGGTTAAGAGCACTGGTCTCATGATCTGGTGTTTCAGGGGCAACAGCGGCGTGGGTCCAGCCGATGTCTGGACACTTGTGCCCTTAAGCAAGGCAATTACCATTATTGCTTCATCCTTCGGATGGCACATAAAGCCATAGGTCCCATGTGTTGTGTAATGCAATGCATGTAAAAGAACCCAGTGACATTTATCGCTAAGAGAGGGGGTTTGCCTGGGTGTTTCTGGCAAGTGCGTTTATCCTCATACATATGAGGCTTCACTTTCAAGGAAGGAAAGAAGGAAGGAGCCGAAAGCACCTTTACCATCTCGTGGAAAATGCTACTTTTTTTTTTTTTTTACATTTATCTACCAGTTTAATAGAGAAATTTCTCGTGCATAATGCATTATATGTTGTGAATACTAACCAAAAATGTAGAATTACTATAAAAGAAATATCGAAAGAAATATCACAAGAAATATTGGAGCAAAGCAAGGTGGCGACTTCAACAGCGACAGTATCATTGAAGGTTGGTCCAGAAAAGCTTAGATTCTGAACATATCTCGCAAAATTCGGGGGAAATTTCAACCTTAACAACGCCATGCAATCAAAGGCATGTTGGAAGGTAAAGATATCAGGCTCACAGCACAACGGCTGTTTGATGTCGCATTATGAGCGGTCCTCAAAAAGGCAAAGCCGAGTGGAGAATGCATGGACCTCGCTCACAGTGCCTCATCAATCAGCCGTCGTCTGGCGCGCGTGGTGTCGCTGGTAACCGCAAACCACCATTAGATTGGTTCATCCCTAATTCCCTAGTTCCTTTTACTAGGAACTGGACCAAGTCCATCACAATCCATCAATCACTGTACTTCCAATACAAAACTGTACATTCATGACATAATGGAATCCACCACTGACACACTGGTTGACATTCATGGACTTGCTACACATGGCTTTTAATACAATAGCAGTACAGCAAGCTAGAGGTAAAATCGATCCAATACCCCTAGCCAGTACTGCTTCAGGTTATTTGGCCCAAGTCCATCATACTCCATCAATATTTAGTCACGCCAGGCCTCCTCCACCAAAATGGGGGGATGGATTTTGATGGAGTTGGGGTGGTTAGGGTTAAAGACAAAACAGCCCTCCATGAAATTAGCCCCAGGAACGTGGAAACGGCTTACCTGATTTTTTGCCTGGAGGTCAGCTCCTTTATCAATCAATAATTCAATGGCTTTTGTGCTGTTCTTCATGGCTGCACAATGCAGTGGACTGTTCCCCTTCTGCAATTTCAAAATATACAAAATATGTAGGTCAGAGCTCCGAAGTCTTTCCAAAATGAAAAATAAATTCTACGTCCCGAGCAGGAGTGAACTTTGTCAATGATCGTCAGAGAAATTGCTGACTAAAGGCCCCCCCAAAAAAGTCTCCGGTTTCTGGTATAGAGCTTGCCCCAAAAGAGGTGTGGCGATGCAAATTTGTTGTTTTCCCCCTACTTTTTTCCCTTCAAATGTCCGCTGATGTTGCAGATGATGCTTCGATCTCCTTAAAACTCTAAAAAATATCCTTCAGAGCGGAGCTTGAGGTGACCTCAGTTAGGCCATTAGGCTTGAGAATTCTGCACCCACTTATGATCTCGACTGACAAGAACATTCTTCAGATAGTCAAAGACAAAAATCAGAGAAAAGGCGACGTCAGACCATACAGTGACTTTGACATCGTGCATAAGCTGCCAGGCTGGTCATTAGTCTGCTCCCTTACATATTGCGCTTATTAAAAAGCGTTTTCAGGTTGTAGATACACGACCATTGCTTCCAGATGCACAATTACAAAATTACAACACAAGCTGCAAATGGTGCCCGACTTAATTTAGTGCAAAATATATGGGAGCCCAGAGATATATACTCGATCATAACCCCATCTAAAAACACGTTAAAATTGTGCAGAAGCTGGATTCCAGTCAAACCAGTGAGTTTGGCGATTTTGAGACATCATCTTACATTGAAATTTGTTTTTTCCTTATTTTGCCGACGCACATGGCTATGGCGCACTGACAAGAAACCGGAGACTTTTTTTGGTCTAATGGTCAAGAAAGCAAATTCCAAACGAATCTGATGTAATTGGACTATCACTTTTTTTGTGAAATGTGTTAACTTTATCATGAATTTGCAGGACGGAATGCTTCACAAACCGTCTCCATATTCGCTTTGACACTGACCTTAAGAATATCTCAAAACTCTTCGAAAGTTTGGTCAAATGCAAGTACTTCCAAAACGGAATCAAGGAGCATGCTTCCCACAAATATTTGGAAAGCAAGATGACATTCTGCTTCTGACATTCTGGCCCCTCTTTTGATTATTTTTTTGGTTTGGCTGGAGAGGATCTTTACCTGAGTGACCTCATCAAGGCGTGCGCCTTTGTCCAAGAGATGTTGAATGGCCTCCACATTATCTCCCACAGCTGCCAAAATCATGGGAACATTCCCATCCTAACACAACACAAACACACTTGTAATCAAGCTATTCAATGTCATCACATGTTAATCACAAGTCATCACATGGGAATAATCACAAGTCTCTGATAATTAAGTACTGAACCCTTACTTTCAGAATCCATTTAATCACTCTGATTTTCAGAGGAATCAAGCCCCATGTCAAATAAATTGGGGGGAGTCAGGTTGGCGTAGCGGTACTTTCCTCGCCTTGCACCGCTGTGACCTGGGTTCAAATTCTGCCTGGGCCAATATGTGGATTGGGTTTTTGGTTCCTGCCTGATTCCATGGGTTTTCCCGGGAATATTCTTCTGGGGTTTTCCTCCCACCTCTAAAACTGTAATTTACTTTCAATGCCTTCCCCCTACAGGTTTCTGCAGGCTTGCGAGTTACAGTGCCGTGGACACTTTTGAGCATAATTAGAAATAAATAACAATAAAAAATTGGATTAGACTCTACCGTCCTTTATTGTCAATTCTGCAAAATCCTTGATTCTACAAAATCCTTAACCTTCAGTTACTGTTAAGTCTCAAGTGAATTACGTCACGTTACGCAAAAGACCTGCGACATTCAAACAATTATTTGTCACTCTTTATTCCCTGTTGCTATGGACACGAGATCTGAATTTTCTTGGGACAGTCTTGATGTACATGTATAATGATAGAACTTACGTCATCTTTGCAGTCATACTTGGCCCCAGCATCCAGTAGTGCTTTGCAGACTGGTGCATTTGACCTGGCTGCATAGTGTAATGCCGTGCTGCCTGTCTAAATTTGTGATAAGTCCACAGAAACCAGAAATTTCAGTCTGGAGAATCTCTGAGAATCTCTTAATGTACATCCGCCCATTTGAGTGGGATCTGAACCGCTCATACACTGCATACACCTTACCAAAAAGAGCTTGAATTCAGAAATGAATTGCCATTTTGCAGTAGAGTGGGGAAAAGCCACATTTGAGGTTTTTTTTTTTTTTTTAAAGAAACTCAATCTACAGGGTGAGTAAAAAAAACAACGAAACCCAAATGTCAGGACTATTGCTTTAGTGAAGTTCTGTAGCACTTTCAAAATCTAGGCTATGAAAGCCCAATTCATAAGCTTTCCTTTAGTACAAGAATCAATCAAATCACTTATGTACTTTTCAAGTTACGGAATTTTAAACATGTTTTACACAACCACCATTATAAAGTACTGTCCACGGATCACAAAAAAAGTGTGCGTTCTTCCAGCAAACGAAAACAATTCACAAACATCCTTATGTGATTTGTTTTCGTTTTGCTGAAAGAACACTTGCCTTTTTGTGATTCGTGGACAGAACTTTATAACGGTGGTTGCGTTTAAAATTTTGTAAGTTGATGTGAATGTGAATGATTCTTGAACAAAAAGAAAGTTTATGAACTGGGCTTTCATATCCTAGATTTTGAAAGTGCTACATGTAGAACTTCACTTAAAAAATAGTCCTGACATTTGAGTTGCATTTTTTCTTTACTCACCCTGTATAAGTCCTGTTTTATCTTTCTTTGGTTTTTTGGTTCTGTCAAACATCTCTAAAATCTATTTCATCCCGTCTATGACACAACTGCCGGATATTTAAATGCTGTTTTCTAAAGAATCAGTTTACAACTTGAAGTGAGATAGTAGTCTATATAACCGTTCCTGAACTCAGTATCCCTTACAATTGTTGTATACCATTGGAAAGCTGCAGTTCTGCAGAATTCTGATCTAAATATCTCAATTCTTAACCACTTAAGGACGGGTTTAGTTTTGCCGAAAAATTTCGAAAATTGTTAACAGCAAAATTGTCAATGGCAAAATTTTCGACGGCAAAATTTTCCAGCCAACTTCTGATACACAGCCAAACGCCACAAATATTGATTCCCAAGAGTGATTTTAACAGTATCAAGTGGCGGCCAAAACATGCTCGTTACCACATATAATTCATCTGGTAACAAGCATATTGACGGCCAATTTGAAAAAGAAATTAAAAGTAATAACACCCCAAAAATTGCCACCGCTCACACTGCAAAGCTATCACACATTTTCCAACTCTAGATGTGCATACCTTGCCAAAAATCGCTATGAGCATTGCTCCATCGATCAATTGATACCGGTGGCCCAATTTTTGGACCAAAACTGATAGCCTAAGCGTTTAGTTTGGTGCAGGTTCTTTCTGTACATACGTACATGATCTGTGGCTTCCACGTCAGCTCCAGCTTTGAGCAAAGCTTGGCAATAGCTGACATCCACTCCGGGGTCCGTGACCTCATGCAGAGGAGAACCCCCGGTTGACTGCAGGAAAAAATAAAACCCAAATAAAATTATCCCTTCACGTGCACAAATGTGAAATATTCAGTGTTTGTTTTATACAGGGTGTGTAAAAACAAGGCCCCAAAAATATTTCATCATATTTAAAAAAAAAAGAGGCACCAAAAATAATGACTGGAAAGCTAACTTCATAAACTACTTTTAGATGAAAAAATTACTAAAATTGCTCAATCCCTTCAAAGAATATCACCATTTAAATGCAATGAACCTAAAACCTGTTTCGTCCCCCCCCCCCATTATTGTGTGTTCTGACTGTTTGGAACAACAAGAATATGAAACAGAAATCTTGTTTCAGCAACTGTCAACAGCTGTAGTACACAATATCTTTATTAACAACCGTGCTTAGGCACACGGTATGATTTATAACAGCAACTTTTTTAAAAGGCGGTCCTTCAAAAGGACTTTGTTTGATATTTTTAACTTTTAAACCGAGGTTTTATAGCTGGTAATGTTTGAAGACAATTTTTACGAAGATTCTTGAAACTGCATTTTTCCAGTGCAGTAATTGCAACATTTCCATAGCAACTTATTTTTTTTTGGATAAAATACATGCCACTCACGTTGAACTGTACATTGACATTTGCTCCCGCATCGATGAGTACCTGACAGCACTGCGGAGCCTTTGAGGCAGCAACAAGTATCGCTGTTTCTGCCTCCTCACTCTAAAAAGATTACGACAGAACAAACTCAGGGTTTATAAGGGAAACACCATGTTTAAGACTGGTTGGAGTATGGATAATGACCCGAAGCAAAGGTAATTATCAGCATCCAGACTCCAACCAATCTTACACATAGTGTTTAATACCGACCAAGTACATATTTATTCCAATTCATAAATACCATTTCAGTCAAAAAACAAGTCAGGTGTGTTTACAAACACAAATGCCCCGCAACCGTGACTGTTTCCATGACATAACACCACTCTAACATCAAATTACATGTACCTTGGTCAAATGGAACGTTCATTGACAGCATTAGTGTCTTCTGTAGGTTTTATATGAATTAATCCCTAATCCCTATGATCTCAGAATAAATACAAGATTTCTATTGTTTTAGCCACTGTGACCTTGACCCTTGACCTTTCGACCCCCAATGCGATAGGCTCCTTAGGATTGCCAAGGACAATCCACAAACCAAATTTGAAGTTCATATGTAAAGTATATCTCAAGTTATCTCGCTGACAAAATTTCTTTTGTTTTTGCCACTGTGACCTTGACCCTTGACCTTTTGGCCCCAAATGCAAAAGGCTTCTTAGGATTGCCAAGGACAATCCACAAACCAAATTTGAAGTTCATATGTAAAGTATATCTCAAGTTATCGCGCTGACAAAATTTCTATTGTTTCAGCCACTGTGACCTTGACCCTTGACCTTTCGGCCCCAAATGCAATAGGCTTCTCAGGATTACCAAGAACAATACACAAACCAAATTTGAAATTCATATGTAAAGTATTTCTCAAGTTATCGCGCTGACAAAATTTCTATTGTTTCAGCCACTGTGACCTTGACCCTTGACCTTTCGGCCCCAAATGCAAAAGGCTTCTAAGGATTACCAAGGACAATCCACAAACCAAATTTGAAGTTCATATGTTAAGTATTTTTCAAGTTATCGCGCTGACAAAATTTCTATTGTTTCAGCCACTGTGACCTTGACCCTTGACCTTTCGGCCCCAAATGCAAAAGGCTTCTTAGGATTACCAAGGACAATCCACAAACCAAATTTGAAGTTCATATGTTAAGTATTTCTCAAGTTATCGCGCTGACAAGATTTGTCCGGACACACACACCCACACACCCACCCATACTTGTTTCACATGACTAGTGTGGACTTTCCATTGCTTTCGTGTAGTTAAGAAAAACCAGTGAAAAAACTCATTTTTCTCAAACTGTGAAAACTCTTTCAACCCAATTTTTTTTCTATGATTCCCTTTAGTGTTTCTCTTCATTCTGCTACAAATAAACCTAACCCAAAAATGCCTCTAAACCTGTTTTCCAGAAATGGGGAAACACTGTGTGGACGTGGGGTAAGTCCACACAACGTCGGTGCTACCTACATTATGTGGACGTCTTTTGTTCGGAAGTCCACACTGCGTATGTAAGACAAACTCACCCACCCACACACACACCCACACACCCACCCACCCACCCACCCACGGAAGGACAAGGCGGAAACAGTATGCCCCTTCGGCTTCGCCGCGGGGCATAAAAAATCTAAAGAAGGGTACTGAACAACTAACCTGATGAACTTTCAGCTCAGCTTCAGCTGTATATTCCGAGAAAAACAGCGTTCTATGATCTCGATTTCAAATCAAAAGTTGCTGAATCATGTTTTGAATTGGGTCTGAATTCAGCGTCCAAGACACGCTCTCACTGAGCCAATTGCAGCTAGGCGATGTTGCGCACTGATCTGACAAATTATAGCAACTGCGCGCGTGTGTGCGTCGTGCCAATGCTTGCGCGCTTTGCTGCGAAACGAAATTAACTACTAACTTAAATTTCCCACGGTGTGCCTTAAGAAGCACCGTTGTAAAGGCCTTCTTTTGTCAATTTCTTTAAAGTGACAGCTTTCCAGAAAGAATAATTTCACAGGGAGTTTAGTTCCCTTACTATCTTTCAACCAAGTATGTTTTTCAACAAGAATTACGTCAGTTACTTTTTGGATAGCTGCAAATGATGGACTCTAGCTTTAAAACATTCCAAAGGGATCCTTTGATGTACACTGCTTGGGACTGAATGGAAACCCTTTCAGTTCAGCAACCTTCATGGTTAGAGTAGTCCTTGGCCAATGGCAAGTGCAACAAGCCAGGGCGAAAAGAGGGTGCAATCAAAAGCATGAATGATCCAAAATCTACTTACTGAACAAGATCTTTCTTTTCCCTTCGTTGAACTGTCTTACAAATTATACCCAAGTCTTTGCAAATATTTTAAGATACTGGCTTCTTGATTTCTTATCATGTGGTCACCACCTTGGCTGGCCCTTTTTGACGGAGATTCTTGTAAAAGAAAAGCGGAGTAAGGTTGGACTCACATTGAGCGGTGCGTTGACATCGGCCCCAGCATCCAGCAGGAGTTTACAGGCCTCTGGGCTCTTCTGAGCTGCATAGTGCAGGGGCTGTCTGCCTCCCTACAACATAAACAACAGCACATATGCATGAATCATTAGACCTTTGGCATCCAGTGACCATCTTTGGGGTCACGCTGTCCACATCCCACGAGAAAGTTTCTGAGTTAGGAAGCTCGAAACACTGCTTGTTTGGGTGTCCTTTTGTTTACATTATTTATCTTGTGTCTAAAACCCTACGATATACCAGCTATGTGGTTGTGAAGGTCAACATGCACATGGACATGTGGATGTTCGCAGGCGAAATCTTTGAAAATCAATTTCTCCTGTTTGGAAGACCGTATCGTCACGCAACTTTCAGGGTTTATTTCCCTTATAAATGATCCAACTATGTGCTTAATATCGTTTTGATATGTCGCTGAAATTGGAAAAATAGGCTTGGGTACATCAATTTTTCAAAGCTATAACACATGGCACTTGCAATATCTGTCAATCTTTTCAAACCTCATGAATATTAATAAGGTTCCTATCCATTATGGTGAGCAGTAAACATTTGCAGTAGCGCCTCCTTCACAAGTTATTAATAAATATCACCCTTTTTGCCGGCTTCCATTGGTCGATACCGAGACCCACGCGAAGACATGCCGAGTCACGCTATGAATATGCCCCAAAATCGGCCAACCTGAAAACCATGCATCTATATATGAATTTGGTCGGAAAAAAGTTGAAATTTGGAATATACTTACATATGTAGATGATAGCTAGCGTTCAATTATTCGTGAAATAAATAGTTAGTTTTGGGGACCTTTAAGAACGATTTTATAATTTAACCTTTTAATTAAGACTGAACTATTTTCTGAAAAACACAGCATCCAAAAGCCATGTTTTTGGGGGTTGCATGAATTTCACTGCTCTGATGGTAGCGCACATTTACGTAATCGGATTAACTTTTTTGAACAATGGTGATGCATAGGCTTTCGCAACCACAAGGCTGTATTCCAGTGGTTTAATGGTTTAATCCTTTGTTGATTTGAATTCCAGTGTTGGAGTCGAGTTCTCAAATCTGAGTATAGAGTACTTTAGTGGCTGACTCCTGCATGGCCAACCCTTCCAGTGCACGAAAGATATCAGAGAATGAGTTTCTTCTTTGCCCCAGATTATTGACCAATGACGTGAGACGATCGGCTCATCAATATGCATGAGATGCAAATGATTGTACTACTCACTAAGTCCCGAGACTCCACTGCAGACACATCAGCTTTTGCGGCCAATAACACTGGGATGGCTGTTGGGTTTGCCATAGCCGCAGCATGCAGAGGCGTTGAACCATTCTGGAATCAAACGAAAAACAAGTGATTCACACCAACCGTAATAAGAAGATCCTTCCAAATTCAGCTGGAGGTTTGTAAGGTTCTGGATGATACAGACAACCACTTGTACAAGTCCAGGGGCTCAATTTCGCCCCTTGAAAGTTCAAGTCGAGTAAAAAGACGTGCCATTTGGTTCCTGCAGCGGAAGATTTTAAGGTATAGTAGATCATTTTGCAGCTATCTAGAAAGTGACTGACCAAATTGTTCAAAAGATTACTATGTTACAAAAAAAAGTAATGGCAATAATTAAACATGCTGTCATTTTGATGAATTTTTTTTAAAAGAAGATCATTGCCAAAGATGAGACAAGTGATGCATTTTTAGAAATTTGCATGGTTGCTTTGTAATTAGGCCAATCTGTGAATGGGTCACGCAAGCGTTGACATGATGCACGCACGCGTATGGTTGCTATTATTTGTGAGTTCAGTGTGTGACATCATGCAGCTGAAATCAGCTGAGTGAGAATATGTTCCAGAAGCTGCTTTCATGGCAAATTCAAAATATGACTTGGCAACTTTTGTAGTGCGCCCGGAACATTATAATTCTTGGAATATACAAACTTCATCAGGTAAGTTGTTAAAGCGCCTATCTTTAGATTTTGAGCACTTCTGACACTTTGAATGAGAGCATTAAATGCACAAAAAGAGAAATGATACAATAATAATACCATAGTCTTTATATGGCGCACGTATCTACCAACAATTAGGTACTCATATTATATTTTTTTGAAGACAGCTAAATGAAGTTTATGGGAAAAAAATAATTGAGATCCATTATGTAGCACGTTTTATAGAGGGTATACAAGGCTGGAATTTAAAAAAAAAACCAGTCAATTGATTGATTTTAACTGCAAGGATAACTTGGCACAGTATGCATGTTTGCATAGCCCTGGGTTCACAAGATCTTTATTGCAAACACAAAGTCCGGAGACTTCACATGCAAAATCGAGTGATGATTTAGAAATATGTCTGGGACCTACGTCATCGGCCTGGTTGACATTTGCACCCGCTTCAAGGAGAATCTTGCAGGATTCAGTGTTCCGTTCAGCAGCGGCGATCAACGCGGTGGCACCATTCTGGAAGTTGGACATAAAAATTTAAGAATTTTCAGGAGGAAAAAAAAATATAGGCAAGTTATCTGATGCTTCTGTCACACATGAGGATTTGAGGGAAAAAAGGCTCCGAGAGTGCATCTGTTTCTGTGAGGTTCCGGTGTTGTAGTCAAGAGTAACGAGTACAGCCGAGTTCTTAGACTGCAGAGAAAGATTACAAGTGCGAGTACTTCTGAAAACAAGAACAGGTCTCCGCATACAAGTCCTTGGACCACCGAATACGAGTACGAGTACTTGTATTTTCGAGTACTGGTACGAGTCCTATAACATTGTGCTTGAAGCCAAAAATTATGTGTTAAGTACTTGTGATAAAAACTACGGACAGTCTTTGTAAGCATTTTTCAATAATTTGAAATTCATTTTCTTTAATCTCCAATAGCAGTCCCAAATCAAAGTGTTTTCAAAGGAAATGAGACTAGAAAATTTAGGTCATTTAATAAAATTAAGAAGTTGAAGTTGAGTACTTTTTCCGGGTACATGGAGTTAGGTTGCCGGGTACGAGTAGGAGTACAAGCATAGGTCTCCGAGAACAAGTACTTCCGAGTACAAGAATGAGTACGAGTACTCTAGAAAAGGTACTCGAGTAGTACTCAAGTATTAGTACCAAGTACGAGTACTACAACACTGTGAGGTACAAAGTACATGTACTGACCAAATGTCATTGGTGGATTACGCAAAACGCGTAAGAGGTTAGGATAAAAGGTTGCCATAGTAACCTCGCTAAATGTCAAGTTGATGTCGGCTCCTTTGTCCAGAAGGATTCTGCACATCCCTGGGGAACTGAAAGCTGCTCGCATCAGCAATGTAAAGCCTTCAAACAGGAGCTGCCAGTGGGAAAACAAAACATACACGATTTAATATGATGGGATATTGCAATTAGAAGATGTACAGCATCAGTAAAAAAAAAACGAAACCCAAATGTCGGGACCACTGTTTAAGCGAAGTTCTGCATGTAGCACTTTCAAAATCTAGGATATGAAATCCCAATTCATAAGCTTTCTTTTAGTACAAGAATCATTCACATCACTCATGTACTTTTCAAACGGTTCTGTCCACGGATCACAAAAACGTAAGTGTTCTTTCAGCAAAACGAAAACAAATCACACAGGAATGTGTGTGAATCGTTTGGGTTTTGCTGAAAGAACGCACACCTTTTTGTGATCCGTGGACAGAACTTTAAAAATGTAGTGGTGTTTAACTTCAGTTACTTAAAGTGATTTGAATGATTCTTGTACTACAAGAAAGTGTATGAATTGGGCTTTCATATTCTAAATTTTGAAAGTGCTACATGCAGAACTTCACTAAAACAAAAGTCCCAACATTTGGGGTTTGTTTTTTTTACTTACCCCGTACATGTAAATGTAAATTTACATGTAAATTCAGAACTGGGCTTTTACCCATTACTACCATTATAACAGTGGTGTCAGTCAGCTTGTTAAAGAAAAAGAAGGGGAAAAAATATGCATCTGCCTTCCACTTCGAAATAAAATATTTAAAAAACTGTCAAATGAAAGACATATATGCACAACTAGCTATAGGGCCACGAGAATGTCCAACATGGCTTCTTCACGGAAGCAGTGCTCTACATGGGTAACATTCCCACCTGGTCAGGACCTGGGTTTACCCAGGAAGAAAATCCAAAAATGTACACCGACCCGTTTCAGTCACAAAGAAGTGTGAATGGTGGGCCTTGCTAACCTGAACCTATATTAAAATAGATCCAGTTCTGTTCATGACATCATGGTTGACTTCAATATGGGCAGGCGAAACGATAGGGTCTATTACGCATGAACAGATTTGCTGATTAATTAGGCAAGACCTCGTCTCTTGACTTCCTAGATTTTGTCCAATCAGCGAGCGCTTTCTATATCGGGTCTTCGGTCATTCACCCGTTGCACGTCATAGACAATGGATACACAAAAAAAAGTGTCACGCGCTCTGCATCATGTTACGGAATATCTTGCCCGGCTGTTGTTGTATTACAAAACACTGCATTCGAATTGACCAATCAAACCATTCAGTCCTGATTTAGGAATGGAATGACATCACAATTTAGCAAAATTGACTTTGATTGGCTGGCGCGCTGCTTGCATATATCTGCGTGTCAAGATATATCAGATGTTATACAGGAGATTGGCTCTGTGGATAAAGGGTGAAATACTCAGACGATAGCTGAATCACAAATTCAAATAAAAAAAAAACACATTACGAATCAATTTTGTACTAGACGCAAGTTTGTAAAGACAATTATCAGAAAATCTCTCCCACATGCCGCTAATTCACCTCGCCTCTGAAATTCACATCAATATCATAATTCGCCAACAGTTGTGTTCCCACGGCGACGTTGTCTTCATGGATAGCTTTCAGAAGCATGTATGGCGCCTTCTCTGCTGGTGATAATGCATTGTATTGTGCAGCCATTCTGAGACGATACCTGCAAGATACATTGAGAAAACATTATGAACTTTGTGATTATTAGAAATGAAACCAACTATGCAACAGCTAAAGTTATAACACACCTGTTGCTTGTTCTTTATCACATGTGATTCACTATTCATAAATACCCAAGACCGTTTACGCATTCCTATTGGTCAAGAGCTCGTCACGTGGCCAGTCTTAAGACGGATGATAAAGACATGCCTAGCTGGCCTTAAATACTTTTCCAGTGTCACATGGAATTTGGGCTCGGGAAAAGTTCCATACTCGGACGTCAATTTATCTGCTGCCAAACATATTAATTGTCACCTCACCTTGTCATTTGAACCAAGAGAAATCCAGGAAGCTGTGTAAAGGTGAGAAAAATTTACTCAAAATGTGTTTTTAGAGCACATTTTGGATGCATACGTCGTGCAGAACTAACTTGAAGCAGCCGGTCAAAACTGATTGTAGTGGCTGAAAGACAGCGGTACGTTATACACATGACATCAACAACCATGACGTCGCATGAGCCTGCCAATGATAGTGCAATACGTCATTATGAATATTTATTTTCTCATGAATATTTAGTTTGTTTCAATGGATACTTCAAATACGTCCAAAGATTGATTATTGCAACAGCGATCGTGCGCGGCCTAGCGGTTAAGAGTCTCGTGTATCAAGCAAGCGTCAGAGGTTCGAATCCCGATGAAGTAACTGACTGATTAATAAATAGAAATTAAGGAAAGGAGAGGGTGAGAGTAGAGGAGGGAAAGTGGAGGAATAACCATAAAAGATGTAACTTTTGGCGCTAGAAAATTAATTGAAAAAAGTGGCGCTCGAGTATGGAACTTTTTCCGTCTGATATTCACACTACACCAGCCCAGCTGCGTTTTGTGCGACATCGCGCAGTACGCGCGACCATGGAGGTGGAATGCGCAACGTGCACGCAATTGTGGAGGGGCATTCCATATTAATAGTCAGAGAGAGAGGGGTGTTTCGTAAAACATGAAGTAAAATTGTTGAACAAAATGGTTAACAACGTTTTTGAGTAATAAAAAACGGAGTAATTGCAGAATACCCCGCCACTCGGAAATACACCCCTAAATTCTCTGGCTACGAGGTGCGCTGAGAATGTTTATTGAGGTCAACCAACCGTGACCTCGTCGTAGCCGGCTACGACGTGGATAGATCGAGTGGCGGGGTATTCTGCAATTGTGCCTAAAAAACACCCTTGACTCTTATGTGATCGAAACTAAACAGGCCGGGGCCCTACATAAACAGTCGATCGAGTCATTGACAGTACACTACCTGACTACACTACATAATCGCCCATGTTGCAAGTTGCCCAATTTCCGGACACTAGCTTTAGCACACTCAGCACTGTGAGTGTCAGCATAGGCCCTAGTAAGTATTTTGTTTCCACTACTCACTAGATGTGGTTTCAGTCATTTCCCAGTTTATAAATAAGAGGGTGATCTTAACTGACTTACGGTACGGTTCTGAAAGAAGGCCGGATATGGCGGAGCTTCTTCTAACTAATAATATGTGTGGAACTGCAGCAGCCTCAGCTCAGCTCAGAACTCAGGCCCAAATTTCCGGTCATACTAAAAAGCGTCAACACAGCGTAGTATGTAACCCATAAAGTATGGACAGAAACAAGATTTTGGCTTAAAATCAAAAGGTTAAACGTCTGAAAATTGCGATTTTCAGTTCAAGAAAATTGGCTCTCCGTGCCGCTCCGAAATCGGCTGCCTTAGGGACCTGTTCGCATTGCATAATTGCATGCAATTAACACGTGTAGCTGGCAGCTGGCCGTTCAAAACATAAACAACGCTGGAGCCACGTTAACGGTGGCCCTGAAAGGACGTGAAGGATGCAATTCTGAAGTCCCCTACCTAGCGTAATCCGATACAGTGACGCTAAAAACCGTAGTAAAATCAATGCACACAAAAAACAAACAAACAAACAACCCAACAACCCACCAAACACAAATGTTTTTTTTTTCATGTTCTGTTTGTAAACATGAAAACATGCTCAGTTTGATTGAAATCATTAAACCAGTAACAGAAGATGAAATTATAAACTTCCAAAATCGCCGAATATATAAACGAAACGATATATGGTCACTGACAGCTAAAGCTAAAAATCGTGGTAAAATCGTACAAAAGGTCCCCAAATCTGTTCTCAGTTCCCTGGAATCCTCACACGGTTGTTACCGGTATTTCACGAGTATAGTTGATCGAACAATATTCCAAATTTCAGTTCAATCTGTTTTTGCCTACACGGAACTGTTCTGCCGACCAAAACAACACGTGGTTTTCATCAGTTGGCCGATTTTCCCCGCAACCGAATAACGTACGAGGTGCTCATCTATGGTTGGCCCGTGACTCGTACAATCTGTGACATCATACTAGAAACGCGCGCAAAGTTCCCTTGCCAACTGTCATTATTAGACAAGTTGCGCGTACACGGCGTACCAAACCGTAACGAGGTTTCATTGAAGCACAAACACAAACAGTGCGGTACCATTTGAAGGTAAGTCCTTTATCTTATGAAAATGATGATTTCCGATAAGAAAATATTCAAAACAAAGTTATAGAGTACGGTGGTAATCGGTTACCTTTTGTTTAGTCTAGTTTTTCATTGTTCAAGATACTGAATAAGACAGTTTTCAATTCGTAAGTTTTTTAATGCAAATTTAATAGCTATTACTAGTTCATATGGTATTATCGCCATATATCGGCCGGGCGTCTGCGAGCTGCATGCAACCCTCTCGAAAACTTTTTTAAATTCGTGTTCTTTTTGCGTATGTACGAAAAAACATTGTCCAACAGCAAATAATCGCCTACACCGTGGGTTTGTGTAGAAAATATTAGACGATTATTTATTACTCCCGTCACGCTCAACTTAAATTCAGTAGCGGCCACAAGCCCCACATTTTAAAGAATAAAGTTAAGACAGGATCAAGGTAACAAGAATACAAACGCACGTTTTGTGATGTACCCACTGAGCTAGTGGAAACCTCATCAGGTATAAAATATCTGATTGGTGTTATTATCGGAAATGAGGGAAATGCACGAAAACAAATGATCCTTAAAAGTATGGTATGCCAATTATGATTAATACCAAACGACGATACATCCCATATGATATCAGGTTTTAGTTCCAAATCCAAAGTACAAGATGCCAATACAGAGACACAGAAGTGGCAGCCAACAAATGACGTATGACGTCGAGGACGAGTATAGCGATGAATGGGAGGACAGTTTTCAAGACACAGGTAAGGTTAGGCCCAAAAAAGTCTCCGGTTTCTGGTTTGGTGGTGGATAATTATCGAGACCACTATTTATGTGGCGCGCCCTCTATTAAATAAAAGAATATTGGTGCGGATGCTGCACTGTTGAAAATAACAACTCGTTTTCCGAAACACAACTCAAGAAATACAAGATGTTTTTAACCGAAATTTCGTGCAATTATTTTCCACGATGTGTAACAGAGGGGTATTGAATATCATGAGAAACAGTCCAACGATAACAATAATATGATCGTAACAATGTAGGGTTTTAAGCACGAAAAATACACCTTGATTTTCATTCGGATTGCATTTGTCGCACTTGAAACACTGTATTGTTACGGTCAATGTTGCTTCTTTGGCGGTTTCTTATGAAATTAAATCTCGTAATGTTAAACATAATGACAAATCACTAGACGGAAATTCAATTTCAAACATCTTGTATTTCTGGAGTTGTGTAACATGTTTATTTATTTATATTTATTGTATTCCTCTCTGGTAATGAAATCAAGGATTCCTGAAAAGTACCCTAGGCGCTGTAGCTCAAAAGCCTGAAGAAACATGTAGAGAGGGGATAATGAGAGGAGTGATATGTCCATTTTCAATTGGCAGATATTATTTGCAACACTCCTCCCATTGTGAGTTCCAAAATAGTTTTAAGAACGGTTATATTCATGAGGACATGCCTATAAGCCGTTTCATCACACGACTTGACTGTTTGCTTATTAGCAGATGTTATTTGCATCACTCCTCCCGTTGGCTACAAGCCCAAGGCCAGAGATGGACACCAGCAAGTGTACCTGTCCAAAATGATCCTGCAAAGGATGAAACGGGCATCGGGCGCAAGTGAGACTCGACGGGCGAGGGAGGTCTTCAGGCGATATGAAGAGCGCCGCCACTTGGCCAGACAGATGCTGAAGCAATCTCCGGAAGAACCATCATCACCGCCTCTTCCTGGCAGCGTCATTGGGAGTCGCCTCCAAGACGATGTTGAGTACTACTCCAGTGATTTCACCGAGGATGAGGATGATGCCAAGTGGGTAGGGGATGCTGGTCGGCATATTGTCACCATAGAGACCAGCTCTGGGGGTGAAGAGGTGTTGACATCTTCCGAGGATGAGGAGATCCAGTTACTGATGGGCAAGAGTGATAAGCACACCAGGAGGAGGACTTCCTCTGTGGTTGACTTCGGGAAGCAGTGTCGCGGGGATCGTAGTCACAAAGGAAAGAATGCCTCTTCTTCTGCTACGAATAACGCAGCGAAAGATAACCTTCCAGATACAGATGGCAGGAGGTTTAATCTTCCCCACGACAGGCCCCTGGACCCCTGGAGGCTGCCACCGATTGAAAACCTGACCAAGAAGGGACCCGTAAATTTGGTCCTGAATCCAGCGACAAGCCAAGATACAGCTTGGGAAGGCCCATCAACTGCCTCCATCCCCGACCAGATGCTGATGAAATCTCTCCGGGCAAAGGCAAGAAAACTCAAGAAGCATGAGCGACAAAAGAGAAAGAGGAAACAAATGAGTGAAAAGAAATAAGTATTGGTAAAAACAAATCCTAATTTTTAAACCAGCTGCTTTATAATCAGGTGGTTATTTCCACAAGCATGGCAAGTCCAAGGGGCATTTTGGATTCCCTTCTTGTTTTTTTGAAGGGGAGATTTTTTTTTTTTTTTTAACCATGTCCTGTATTAAAGCCTGCATGATTTTCAGTTGTGTGTGTGTGTGTGTGTGTGTGTGTGTGTGTGTGGGGGGGGGGGGGGGGGGGGGGGGGTTAACACATTTTCACAGAAGTTGAGACAAGTTTATGGACCCTCTGGTTTGTATTACGATCTACTTGGATGAATCAAAATGTACACTTTCATACACTTCACTTGCCATTTAAGTTGTGGTGTCATTAAGCAAAGTGTATTCATCAAGGCAAAACATACAACTTGAATGCTCCCCACCCTTAAAGGTAGCGTCCATCATTTGTAATTTGTGCATTATGTTCATTTGAAGCAACAAAAGTGATCAAAATCTAAAGAAGGGTGCTGAACAACTAACCTGATGAAGATTCAGCTCAGTGAATGCTGTCTATTCCGAGAAAACAGTATTCTAGGATCTTCATTTCAATTCAAAAGTTGCCGAGTCAAGTTTTGAATTGGGCCTGAATTAAGCTTCCGAGACACGTTCTCACTGAGCCGATTGCGGCTATGTGATGTAGTGCACTGAACTGACAAATTATAACAACCGCGGCATGTGGGTGTCATGTCAATGCTTGCGCACGTTTCGCTGAAGTAAAAATGAACTACTAACGGAAATTTCCAAGAATACATCTTTAGAGGCATCGTTGGAAATGGCCTTCTTTCATTGATTTCTTCAAAATGACAGCTTGCCAGAAAGAACAATTTCACAGGGAGTTTATATAGTCCCATTACTGTCTCTAAACCAAGTATGCTTGTCAACAATAATTACGTCAGTTACTTTTTGGATAGCTGCAAATGATGGAATGTACCTTTAACAGTGCTGAATCCTCTAATGTAATATGCCTTTTTCACACACCGGGGGTGGGGGGGGGGGGGGGGCTGTAGGGTTAATGTATTTCAATATTTCTTTGCTGTCTTGCAGTGCTTGCACAAAGAATTCCTTGCCCAGTGTTTCGGCAGCTCATCAACCTTAGGTATATGTTTGCAATTCACTGAACAGTGATGTACTCTACAAAATCAAGAACAGTGGCAAGGATTTCAAAATACCATTTGTATAAAACCAAAAATTCCAAATTTCAGAAATTGATTTCAGTGTTTTTAATGTAGTCACTTTAGCAAATAACAAACAATGCAAATTCCCGCCTCTCTATCTTGCCATTTTTCCATAGATTCAATTTAATTCATTTAAGTAATGAAACCTGAGGTCATCATCAATGATCATTGTTATTAGTTTTTAATACAGTGGAACGTCACTATATCGAACACCGCTATACCGAACATTCGGCTACACCGAACAATTGGCTCACAATGTTTGTGTACAAAACGTACCGAAAATTGTTGGAAATGTCAACAGAAGAGCCACAAATGGCTATTATTTCCACAACGAAATGTAGGAAAAACCAGCCATGTAAACTCAAAAACTGTGTAATTACATGATTCAATAGTCGCACATGTTCGAAGTCGTCTTTCAGTTACTACTATGGCATACTTGGTGAAGTTCTGCTATGGAATTGAAAATATCAATGGACACGTTTGGCGACTAAGCGCGTGGTTTGTAAATGCAACCACACAATAACAATGATCAAAAGAGGGCGCCACTAATGTGTGAAAATCGCTATACCGAGCAATCGCTATTACGAACAATTTCTGTGGATCCCACGATGTTCGTTATAGCGACGTTCCACTGTAAAGGAACGAAGGTAAATGTATTACCTTTTTATTAAAATAAAAAAGAGTTGTAGAAAATGTCTATCACATCATTTGGCATAGATCCATGCAACTTCATGACAACCAACTAATACATGTACATTGCAAACCGGAATAAAAACTGAACAATACTATAAGTGATGTACTGTTTCATCCGTCATAATGTCTTGCCAATAAATCTTTGAAAGAAGAGTTAATCACAAGTTTTGGTTGTTTAGATATCAACTGTATATGTTAATAAAACATATCTTAGGTTTGACCTCACACAGGTCCAAACAACATGAAGGCTGGTACTGACCACAAAATCAAGAACATGATTACAGTGTATGTACACGTTTGTCAAAAAGAATTGCCATAATAGGACATCTCTAGTGATATTCTACCATTCCATTAACTTTACCTTCTTCAATTTCATCTTCACTGAAATTTCCTGTTGATAAACAGAAATCAAAAATGCAAAATAAACGCAAGCACCCCCACCGAGAAACGTTTACAGGTTAAAAATGGTGCATTAATGTTTCTTTAAATGTTTGCCAAATGAAATGTGGAATCTCATCCTTAGTTTCTTGTAACCATGCATGCCCTCTTAGGCTTTTTACAAACAACGAGATTGGGCTTTGAGGCGCCCTGTTATTGTGCCCCTTTCACATTAATTTTTGCGACCTAGATTCCCGAGGCTACAAAACCACCGTCGATTGGTAATGTGACTCCGTTGACCATGGCGCTGCGATCACTCAACAGAAACAGGATCACGTTGACCACATCGGATGGGTCTGCATTTGGTAAAAAAAAGAAAGAAGTAAAGCCATATATCAAGGGTAATACTGAATAAACGTAACCTTACAAAATGCAAAAGGCCAGTGCTGCAAAAGGCCAGTTCTGTATTTCATCTGCACAATGATATGGGTCCCAGTTTATTCGGGATAATTTATTCATACGTTCATACGTTCACATGACACTTGTGCGTTCATCACGAGCAGAATGTGCGTTCACGTAACATCGCGGTTACTAGACGCTTGATGCTGAAGTTTGGCCTGGACTATTTCATCGAGATACCAAACTGGCTTACTGTTCACGGTGATATTGTTCAACATGACAGGTTTCAATAACGCTATCCAACACAACTTTTTCCATTCATTTTATCACTTAATTGCTTGTTGAAGACTTGGCCTAATAAATTATCGTTCTTCAGAGAGTTTCACTATAAATTACAATTGGTGGTGCATTTTCTCCAAATTTTTGGATAATCCAAAATGGACCTGCACCCTTAGCCTTAAGGATTCTCTGAGAGGTCTTTCGTCTAGGGAAGAGCCTTGGTTTGGAAAGACTCCACCCCAATATGAGGAGCCAGACTTGATCCTAACAAACTTAGGCCTGGGATGTCGGCCACACTTTGCAATGGCTTGCAATTTTATGCCCCCATCTGCATTGCATGTTTTCACTTTGTTAAGTTTTGGGATTTTAAATACAAAAGCACAGGGAGTTCAAAATTTCCAGGTTAGGGTTTACATGGTCTAGCCACCAGGCAATGCTGGTAATTTTGTTGGCATACCTGCAAAGCGGCCGAGAGGGATGCGAGCTCTCATTGGGTCAGCTTTCTTTGGATCAGCCCAGCCAACCAACCCCATAGCGGTGTTGACGACGGTGGGGTTCACAGCATTCACTCGGATCTGACAAGAAAAAACAGAACAGAAGGAGGCTCACGTCAGTGTTGTAGTCCAAGTGTTGAAGTCCCCCAGGGTCATTCCACATGACCTCAATTCCTGAGATCCCATGGCAACCAACTCATTTGGATTTATAACAAGTGCCAGTGCACAATAAGCTTTGGCGAAAAATGCGATGCTAAATGGTACATATGGAACACCATACTTTTGGTCAATTTTAATTTTTTCAATCTGGATACCATCCAACCAATACACAAAATACCATGTGACTATAACATTACTGCACATATCTTGCCTCCGTTTACAAAATTCCATAAACAACTTGATGAATTGTTATGAACAATTTTTAGAGTGCATTTACTGACAACGGCATGGTATTTGGTCAATTTTTGGTCATCTATTTTTGGTCAGTTTTCCGGGGACAGATATATGCAAAATCGATCGCTCGTGCATTATCCCGATAACTTTCTGAGAGTGCATTTAAAGTTATCGGGATAATGCACAGTGACACGTCATGGCATTTGCTCAATTTGCAGGGACAGACAGACAAACCAACCGATTGACCGACCACCAAGTGATGTAACTTAAACCCTCCAGAAATAGGGTACCATACCCACTTTTTGTACCCATGAGTCGCTAACGTTTATTTATAGGGTGTGGAGGCCAATTTCTTGCAAATGAATTAAGGATTTGTTCTGAAATTTGCAACCCAGGGTAATCTGGCACCAGGCTCTCAAAATCTGCCATCAGAATCTTTTCTCATTTCAGAGTTACTGGCCCCATCTTGTCATAGGCGAAAATCTAAAATTCATTTTTCAAGGGGCTCCTGTCAGTAAACAGATCTGTCACAGAGGATTCATGATACATGTACTGGATTCCTTTTGGATTTAGGTACTGTGAGTTACCGATAATAACATATTGCCAAACCAACAGAATATAAATTTGTGTGCTTCTTTTTTGTAGTTTAGTCACTTAATTATCGGGGATCTTCTACGAACACGCTAAATGCTTTGGCTTTAAGAACAGCACAGAGTTGAAGGAAGACCCCATCTAAATGTAATGTAAGTTACCATGCAATTGCCCAGTAATATATTGAATTGAGCATCAATATCCGATGGCCCCTAGTTTTTCCTTATCAGTTGATACAATGAATGCAATTTTTTGGCAGTGCTGCTTTGGTTAAACCACACGTTGAGAAGGGCATGTGTGCTTTTGAAAATATAAATATAGCATGTCTGTTTTTTACAGTGATTAGGCCTAAAAAAACAGACATAGTTCTGCTTCTGGTTACCCTACCTACCCTACTTTTAAAGCTTTAATCCTAAATTTTTATCGACAAGTTAAAAATAAAATTATAAATAAAAAAAATAAAAAAATCCTCTTGTCTTTTTTTGTCTTCGCAAAACACCTCTCAACAACCTATTACGTCAAATACGCTTGTATTCATTTGTTTGCCTACTTACATTCACTACTTTTGAGAAAAAAACTCAATTGTTTTTATAAGTTCCCTTCGCGATTACAAGTTCCCTTCACGATTCGCTATGCTGTACTGGTTCCCGCCCTGCAGCGCACTAAAATGGGCCAAAGAAGGCATGATGGAAATGCGACAACCAGTCTATGCATATGTCCGGCCAACATATATCGTAGCACTACAGTGCATGCACTGCAGTTGCAGGTCGGATTTGACATGGTACAAATGCCAACTAAACATCAATGGAGAAAGAAGATTTCTGCAAGTTAATTCACAGAACTTGATCTCTCTTGTCTGTGTATGCATTTTCCGTGTTCATGAATTTATTTTGAGGTTTCAACCCTTGTACTTGAGTGCAGTGTATTTCCCCGAAATTTCCTGCCGCAACGCAAGCTCGTTGCCCGCCACACTGTGCATCACGCACGCCCTTACCACGCAATATACCGACGTGTTGGCCCGTTTCCCGTCGTGACTAGCGCTGTGCATATGGTGTGCAAGACTTGCATTCTCCATTATTCTTAGGAAGTTTCTTAAGAGTTATCGCCCGTAAATATTTTCGACATTAATTAAGGCAATTTTGTATCATTTTTTGTGGCCATTTAAAAACAAACTTTTGTAGCGCAAATGGCAATACTTCATGCTGAAATTCACATATAATTGAATACCCCATTCAATTAGCACAAAAAAAAATAGGCCCAAAAAAAATTTCCGACCTACCTACCCTATTTTTTGAAAGGCATGTAATCGGAAGCAGCACTATTTTTTTTTGTTCGGCCTTATCAATTCTTTTGACTTTTGACCTACCTGATGAGGTCCCAGTTCCATGGCCATGCTCCTAGTCACTGAATCTACAGCTGCTTTGGTCGCACCTGAAGAAAATCAGCACATAGCCAAAATGTGTCAGACATGCATCAAAAAGACTGCTGAGAGAATGCAGGGGTGGCGAGGGCGATCCAACCAACCTCCAACCCCAGTCTAAGTAATAGAACCCTGCGAAGCTGATTCGGCAATTAATTATGCAAAAAAAGACTGCGTCTTGACCCCGACATTCTGACCATTCAGCAGGCGCTTTCTTTATCGGGTCTTGCCATGGATATCTATGAATAAAACCTAGACACAACATCTGCTATTTTTTTTTTCACGCTGTGAATTGAGCAAAATAGTCTGCAGTCTCGCGCTCTGTAACGATATGTTTCGCAATACGGCAAGCAATAATAGAGCCATCCAATCACGGTCGTGTCTAGGTTCTGTAGATCGATGCGCCCCCGGCCGTTGTATTAAAAAACACTGCATCTGAATCGACCAATCACAATCTTTGTCCAGATTTGGGAATGGAACGACATCACGATTTAGTAAAGTTGACTTTGATTGGATGGCGCGCGGGGTCGCATAAATTTGCATTTTTAGAAATATCAGACGTTAGACCGGAGATACGGCTCCGTGAACAATGGCTGATACTCAGACTCAACCCCCCCCCCCCACTTAAAAGAGAAATCAATGCAAGTCCAAATGGAAATCTACTCACAGTACACCGTGTGGTTGGCCAGAGCAACGAGAGATGCTTGACTAGACAGGTTCACGATGGCGCCCCCACATTTCCTGGCTACCATGGTACGAGCCGCAATCTGGAGGAATCATACAAGAAAGGAAAACTAGTCTGCCTTTCATTGTCTTCAAAACCTGGACAGTTGTGTCTTTGTCAAACTTGGCATCTCATATTTAACAACGGGTGACTTTTGAGACGTTGGTGGCAGCAAACACATTGGTCTTTTTCCTTTGTTAGCATCATACTGAGCATGAGCGCTTTAGATTTAACATGACGTAAACAATTGAAAAGGACCGGTATGTTTGCTGCCTTAAACGTCTCAAAAGTCTCCCACTGTTGACTGCTATGACGCAGGATATACTGTTTTTAACACCCAAGGGGTAAATAGCACCAAAGGTGAAGCCGATGGTGCCATGTGCCCCGAAGGGGGTTAAAAATGGCATATGCCACATCGAAGCAGCCAACAATTGTTTTTCTTACATCGTGCCAATAAAATATCAAAATGATCAATGGTTGTAGCTTACAATGCAAGAAATAAATTAAATCAATGCGGTGTAACCCTTGATAACTGCAGGCTTCCCTGCCGGACATAAGACTGAGAGGTGGCGTATTGCATGCAGTTCACAGTCGCGGTGGCGTATTGCATGCAGTTCACAGTCGCACTCGTGCATTGCAGGTTCTGCAATCGTGCGTGCAAGTTCTACACGTGCGCAACGCTCATTGTATGTGGGGTTAACCATTGTATATGCATATGTACAGACTGGATACGTGACTGCTCTGAACCAATGAAATAACAATATCCAAGCAAACAATATGACAAATTTATTTCAGAACTGAACTCATCAGGGCCTTTTAACACTGAACATATTACCAAAAAAATTAGATTTTCCACTTTCGGTTTTCAATAGCACGTGCTAATTGCAAAGGTAGGCTCTCTGCAGCTCATGTGCTCGAGGGGAAAATGAATAATTTGGTCCTTATCACATGCAAAAGTCTCCCGGAAGTTACCTGTCGGCATGACATTACAGCACCATTGTCTATTACAAAACATTTTCCACAAAATATCTAGGCTTTTGTTCACACTAGATGTTTTCAGATCTCAACTTTGAACATTCTTTTCCACTTACAACTGGTTAAACCTCTCAACGATACAAACTTTACGACTCCACCCAGCTTGCAGGTGCCGCGCAAAGTGCGGCATCCTGCTAGAAATAATAAATGTTCATAAAAGAAAGTACCTACCTGAGATACTTCAATGACTGCTCGTACATTAACATCCATCATGCTAAGAAAAAATATAAGCAAATGAATGATTACTTATCGATTACTTACAAGCACCATAATGTTTGCTGGTCCCAGAGGGGAAAGCCTACAGTCCTCTTTGGAGCTGACTGACTGACCGACCCCCACCCCCCTCGACTCCCCAACTGACTGACTCCCCGACCACTGACTGACTGACTGACTTGCTGATTAATTATTAATGCAAGACAACCCCATCTTGACCTCTAGATTTTGACCAATCAGTAGGCGCTTTCTATGTCAGGTCTTCGGTCATTCACCCGATGTTGCATCTAGACTTTATAAAAACTCGCCAGACACAGAACAAAGGCTGTGGTCACCGGCTCTGATTTATGTTAACATAAGACTTTATCATTCTTATGCTCAGATACGCGGGGTATTATGTACATGTATGTATTTAATACTTTCCCAGGACAGAGCTAGCACTCGGGCACTCCTTGTGACCCATGGGTTCTATGCACAACAGATCCCACGAACTGAAACACTCTGCAATTTGACAATGGAAAATTTGAATATTTTTGTTCATGTTTATCCAGCACCAATGGACACAAAAGGTTGAACCGCTCAGTGGATGTGTGCCATAATTTAATAGTTCTTAAATTGGTCCATTTTATGAAATTTCAACAAATGCAAACAGTGTACCTTACAATTATACAAGCATGGCAGTAACTTGAGGTTGTACCTGAGGTACCCGTAAAAAACAAAAACATTGCAAAACCTCGAGGTAAACCTCAAGCTATATGTACTGCATGTTTAATTTCACATTCGCCCCTTACCATGCCAGAGGTGGGTTTACAAATACAATGAATCTGTATGATGTCGATTTCTTAATACATTTGGATCAAATGCGGTCTGTGAAGTGTCACACGCAAGACGGCCCCAAAATGGTCCATCATCACGCCTCTTTCTATTACACCGCTGAGGAGGTACTGGTGTACAGAGACTTTCCTCACCTTGTAAACTGATCATGAGAAACTTCCAGGAATGGTTGCAAGGCAGCGATAGCAGCGTTGTTGACCAGAAGGTCGATGGCTCCGATGTTCTCTATGGCTACCTTGGACGCTTGGCGATCTCCCAAATCCACACACAGTGTATGAATGGATGGCACCTGAATTACAGAATTTCAAATGTCGAATTACAGAATTTCAAATGTAAAGCCAAATACTTCACCCAAAAAACTATGTCTCATCCCCACTGGCTTTCTTTTTCTCACCTGCCTCCATTAAAAAAAAAAAATCATTAATTTACAATATATTTTGTCTTTTTAATTGGTTCCAGCTAGGCCTGGGCGAGTAATGGATTTTTTTTAAACTTAAGTACTCACAAAGAAATTACTCACGAGAGTTTGAGCTTCTCATACAAGCAGACAAATGATATACGTTAGTATGACGTGAAATAACTTACAAGCAATTAGAGTGCAAATCACACCACATTCTTCAGCACTGAGATAATATGAATACTGTTTTGGGTCAAAAACTTTTTGGACGAATGGAATCCTAACAAGAGTGAGAGGTGGATGGAGTGATTCCTTGTTTGAAGGGGAATGTATTAAGCAATGAACCCTGAACCCTAAAATTGCTACTTGCTAGCACCTGCTTCTACTCGCACCAGGACAAGTACTCGATTAGAGCAGCTTAAACTACTCACAAGTATTTCTGATACAAAAGGATAAAACAATTCTGAAAAATAAAGCTCTAGGCCACTTGAACATTTTTAAAAAATTGCAAACTGAGTACCATATGAAAATGACCTCAACTTTCAGTCCAGGGATGGGTAAAGACAAAGGCAAATCAGTTTTTAGAAGCAAGACATTCACTACTGTAACTCCTTACTATACATGCGTGCATGTACCTCTTTCTTCAAGCTGTCAAGGTCTTCTTGAGTTCTACTGAGTGCAAAGACTTCGGCCCCACACTGGGCAAGCATCTTGGCTGTATCTCTCCCAATACCTGTCAAATACAGAGGTCGACATTTAAAACAATGTAGATGAAACATTTTTTATATATATTGGCCTAGATGTCACCTAATGAAAGAACCCCTATTTTAGGGAACGTTTCTAAAGTCGGAATGCTTGGAACATTCCCCTAGGGAATGTTGCCTGTTCCAATGGGGAACATGCGTTGTTTCATTTGGGAACAGCCTGCAGGGAATGTCAGGTGTTCCTGTGTGGCAACGTTGGCCTGTGCGTGTGAACAAAAACTCAGGAACGGCATGTTCCAGTTGGGAGCATGATGGGAACACAGCTCCGTCCCGATGGGAAAACACATGTTTTTAAGAAAGTTCCATACAGAGCGGAAACTTTCCCACTTTTGAGATGTTCCTTTTATAATTCAAGATACGTGGACACAAACGACCACACAAGGATATCAATGGATCTTTCTCATGGCAGCTATCTAGGAGGCACATGAACTTCGTATATGGAAATCTTTCCAAGCTCATCATATATGTTCGAGTTTACTTGGGACCATTGACATTAACTATGGGTGGGGCCTATCTATAGTTGGGCCATGCCAATCTTTGAATTTTGCATAAAAATGTTGCTGGACTATAAAACCCAGCTGGACAACTCATCAACAAGGCAGTGCCACGTGGCCAGCCAGCCCTGCGGCGCGGCATGCATGCACGACGAATACATGGTGCCAGCGCTGCGGAACATTAACACCCTGTATCAAGCGTCCAGTTCAACTCTAGTCCTAACCATAGCTTGGCCTACCCAACTGCTGCACTATAGTTGGGACAGTCCCAACAATAGTTGGGACAGTCCCAACAATAGTTGGGACAGATAGTTGGGGCGTAACAACATCACACTCACAGGCCTATTGGAAATCCTGATGAGCATAGATAAATGACAATTGACATAGTAAGAATCATTTGTTTGAACGATAATCACACCTTTTCCTGCTCCTGTAACCAACGCTCTTTTGCCATCAAACTTGACATCCATGCTTGACTATTGGCTGAAAACGAACTTTCCTCAGCTCAGGTCGAGCCCCTTCTCTCGACTAGTAGTAGTAGTACTATTTACCAGTAGTAGTAGTAATGTTGTGCCCATTCTTGAAAATCACGCATTCTCGAGAATGGGCGCGCATTCTTAAGAATGAGCGCCCATTCTTAAGAACGAGCACGCGTTCTTAAGAATGAGCGCTCATTCTTAAGATTGGGTGGGAATATCACGTGCACAATTTATGAATTTTGCCCAATCTTAACAAACATTGCACGACATAATTATGTTAAATGAATTGTATAGCGGTTAAAAGGGAAACAATTCATATAAAGAGGAAAGAAAATGTTCTATGCTTCTGTACTCGTATAACTACGATAATTTGAATCATATTAAACCTGTTATTATTGCTTTTTCCTGCCTACTTATGGGAAGTTTTGTAATAACGGAGGACTGGGAACTAGTCTGGGAAGTGCTTTGTTTAGGCTAGACAAGTACAAGTCCCTGTATGTATCATATGCGTGCCACGAAAAAAAACGATGTCCAGAAGCTGCCAAAATTGCTCTTTTGACTAGATAGAATCCAGCTCTGCGACGTTATGGTGGGGTGTGAACAATAAATTGGTGGCAATTTAAATGGGAAATAGCATTAGCACTATGGTATGTCGCAGTATTCATTCTCATTCTTCACATTCTTCATTCTTACGTCCCCCCCCCTCTTTTATTATCCCAAAAATCTGAATTCTTTCTTATTTATTCTTATTTTTTTCCCCTGCCCCTCCCCCAATACGCGTATACTTTTCATATCCACTCTACATGTACTTTTCAGCGCCTTGCGTTGCAACAGTATAATTATTAAGAATCAGTGAACGAGGATTCAGCTAGACTTGCCAAGCGCAGCCGGTGCTCGGCATCGACAAGACCGTTATCTTGTCGCGCATTCTCAAGAATGTGCGCTCAATCTGGAAGAGTTATTTTTTGCCAAGATTGAGCAAGGATCCAGTTGCACATTCTCAAGAATGTGCATACCCATTCTCGAGAATGCGTGATTTTCAAGAATGGGCACAACAGTAATAGTAATGATACTAGGCCTAAGGCCCTAGATCCGTACGTACGTCCGTACACAAACGTTCACTGCACTATACGCGGCGCGGTGCGGACCAGGGTGACCGTAAGGTCAGAGAGCCAAATTCTGCTAAATGCACATCAAAAATCTGTCAGATTTATCAAAAATCTGCCAAATTCCCATTACTCGAAATACGCTATAAACACTTAAAATCACATGCAGATTTATAGTCGCATAAAGATGTTATGAAATTATTAACATAGGTAAATTTCGGGCAAAACGTACGTTGATCCGGCCACGACAAATTCCGTTTCCCAGTGATATAGATCGATCTATTTAGAAGTAGAACCTCTCCCATTACGCAAGGGTTTGTTTGAAAGGATTGAAGCTTTTTTTAAACAAATGTACGATTTTTGGTTCAAATTAGCTGTTTTACTGTCAGAACCATTTTTGCAGAATTCTGCCTGAAACAATTGTACCTCCATATGCTGAAACCATGGAGGAAACCTTCCAAAAAAATCCATTCTGTCAAATTTTCTGTGAAACTAATTTTTGTAAACAAAAATTCTGTCAAAGTTAGCCGAGAATCGGCTAAAACGGTCGCCCTAGCGCGGACCTTGGTTCACAGACAGCAGGTTCCCACGGATCCTGGGACCAGGGAAGTGTAGCGCGCGCCCATTGATCTCCATATACACAGACTGGATAGGACATCGCGTACGAACGTGCGTCCGCGCGCGCGTATTTTGAAAAGGGTAAAGAACACAATTTCGCATTCGAGTTGTGTACACTTTCGAACGGAGGATTAAAAATGAAGTTGGGTTTTCTTCGGTTTCGTTGTCATTTTTGAAAGAATAAAAGAAACAGAGATCTAAATTGATCAAACTCGATGAGGAGTATAGTCAAGGTGTGCGCAGCATTAGATTGCTGGAGTCGGGAAGTAAGGAGCGTTGAAGAATAGGACAATTATTCGCAAGTAAGTTGTTTTTTAACGAGGCCTATACAACATGGCATGGAGGAATATGAACATGGGAATGACAAAGCGAATTATGTCGCTCTGAGTTTGAGGGGACGGGCCTGTGTGGTAGCTAGCGAGATATTCTGTTCAAATTCCATGCGATCTAGGCCTGTCATGCTCAACGGTCGGCATCATTTTTCTTTAAAAGACATAGGCTAGGCATAAACGTGCATGATTGACCCGGCAATGGCAATGAACAAAAGTTGACTTGTTTAAGATAGTTTATTCGAATAACTTTTATATGCAAAATCTGATTGAATTATGTCTGCCTTGGCTTAACGCCTACCGAAATGTTTCTATTCTTTTCTTTATAAAGAGAAACCGAGGAGATGGTTTATGCTAACTTACTGCACAACTGGCCGATTGACCTTCATATCAAACAAAGAACTTCAGCAAAGCCATATAGCAAAAACCACCAGCTGCAGGACCGAGCCGGACGAAAATGGAGAACTTCACGGAGGGATGGAATCGACTGTATTATCCACTGAATGGAACATGCGATGTGATAAGCATCTGAGCGTTTGACTTAATCAATTTTTACGATGTGGAACTGTTAACATTGATTGATTTTTGGTTTTGGAAAGAAGCTGTGGAGTTCAACGCAAGTATTTTTATAAGCTCCCAAGATGACTGTCACATTATTGACAATTTGTATGGTGAAGAAAGCAATGAGTACTTTTACGGTTTGAAATTATGTTGTGTACGCTGTTATATAAGATTACTAGCTATAGCCATAAACACCGTCATATTCGCTCACAAAAACGATTCCCATTACACTTACAAGTAATTATATTTATTTTCAGAAGTATAGCTAAACATTTAATTGCAAGACCGTGCGTAGCTTGAATTTTTCTTTGACAAAATTAGTATAGTACTATTTTGGTTTGTGATTCATCTCCTTTCACACAATATCACAAAGAGGTAAACGATGTCATTCCCTGATCAATCTAGGGACGGGAAGAAGTTTTTACTGATTACTTTGTAAAATTAAGGGTTTTTTTTCCTTTTAGATTGTAACTGGTTTATGTTCAGGTTTTTTAATAAATATATCAATCATTTGAATGAATCTCCATACAATTTCTCGTGTGAGTGTTCAGTTAAAAAAATATGATGTCATTCCAGCATATTATTAATACAATTATTCATTTCGTTGATGGAGTAATTCAGTGTGCTCTAATGACCAATGTGCCAAAAATGAAATGGCAATTTACTTACAATCATTTTTGGGAGGGGAAGGGATTTAAAAAAAAAATAAGGGAAAAGGAAATGGGGGGTTCTTGAATTTCGAAAATGCATAATAAGAAAGTGTATATCAAGAAAGTGTGGAAAAGCTGTTTGGAGGGTAACTCTTCATCGTTCAGTGTTTTTTTAAGATTGTTTTGGAGGAGCGCTTGAACTCCCTCCTGTTTGAAAAATTTCACTAAACAATCCATTTTCCAAAGTAAACAAAGTGAAAGCACAATGCGCGTTTACCCGTCTGACAGTAAACGCGCCGCCATTGTTCGGCCGCGCATTCGTGCACAAACACGGCGCGATGTCCTATCCAGTCTGTGTATATGGAGATCAATGCGCGCGCCGGCCGTGCACATGCTGTAGGCCCACCGTACGCGTACCACCCGGCTCTTGTGGGGTCGTATCATCAGTCCGACACCGCCATAGAGTAAGGTTGCAGACCAGTAAATAGGTCCGAAATTGCCTACGCCGGCCAAATCACGATTTGCATGCCCTCAAAATCTTCAGTATTTGAGCATGCTGTGGGCCATGAACTTGAGGGTTTGTAAAAATATGGGTGGAAGCCGTGCACAGGACTGTGAGCTTGTAGTTCCGTTCAATTTTAATGAAATTGGAGCCCTTTAAAGCGCTCTATTTTACCATAACGTGTAGGCATCGTTTTTCAAAATGGAGATGGGCTTCAGGACAATTTTCAGGGGTGATCATCTTCGAATGGAAATTTCTCCTGGAAGTCATCAGTTGACCCCCCCCCAAAATAAAATGAATAGAAAATTAAAGATGACAAAATAAGCCTTAATTTGATACCGAGACTATCGTGGCCCTGAAGGGACATCGCATATCGCAAACGTGTGCGCATACGTATGCGATGTCGCGAAATTTATCGCGAATATGTGCGCACACGTATGCGATGTCGCAAAATTTATCGCGAATATGTGCGCACACGTATGCGATGTCGCGAAATTTATCGCGAATATGTGCGCACACGTATGCGATGTTGTGAAATTGATCGCGAATATGTGCGCACACGTATGCGATGTCGTGAAACAATTCGCGAATATGTGCGCACACGTATGCGAATTTGTTTGCAATGTCGTGAATTTTATTGCATACCTTGTCGCATACCTTTCAGTAAAATTCCTAATAAACTGGGGAGTTGTAGCAGCTAGTCTTGAATCTAGACGTACTGTTAGATATAAATAGGGTCTGACTAATAAACCTTCGCGCGCACGCTGTTCCGCGTGCAATCGTTACTACTAGTACTGTCGAGCGCAAACTTGCTACTTGCGCAACTTTGAAACTTGCGCGCGCAAATTTCAAACTTGCGTGCGCGCGAAGGTTTATTAGTCAGACCCTATTTATATCTAACAGTACGTCTTGATTCCAGACTAGCTGCTACAACTCCCCAGTTCATTAGGAATTTTACTGAAAGGTATGCGACAAGGTATGCAATAAAATTAACGACATTGCAAACAAATTCGCATACGTGTGCGCACATATTCGCGAATTGTTTCACGACATCGCATACGTGTGCGCACATATTCGCGATTAATTTCACGACATCGCATACGTGTGCGCATATATTCGCGATAAATTTCGCGACATCGCATACGTGTGCGCACATATTCGCGATAAATTTTGCGACATCGCATACGTGTGCGCACACATTCGCGATAAATTTCGCGACTTCGCATACGTATGCGCACAAGTTTGCGATATGCGATGTCCCTTCAGGGCCACCATACGAGACACATGAGAGCCATGTCGGCTGGCGCTGACAGCCCTTGCTATGCTATGGGACTTACTGCACAAAAACGAAACTGGGGGCATCATGTGCCTACATCTGGAGCTCACTCCAAAACTTTCAGGTCTGAAGCCTTGACGATTTGTGGGCTTGTTGGCCCATTCATCCGCTATCCAACAAGATATAGTTTGTCAAAATCCATCCATGTTAAGGTACATTTAGACCGAGACACATGAGAGCCATGTCGGCTGGCGCTGACAGCCCTTGCTATGGGACTTACTGCACAAAAACGAAACTGGGGGCATCATGTGCCTACATCTGGGGCTCACTCCAAAAGTTTCAGGTCTGAAGCCTTGACGATTTGTGGGCTTGTTGGCCCATTCATCCGCTATCCAACAAGATATAGTTTGTCAAAATCCATCCATGTTAAGGTACATTTAGACCGAGACACATGAGAGCCATGTCGGCTGGCGCTGACAGCCCTTGCTATGGGACTTACTGCACAAAAACGAAACTGGGGGCATCATGTGCCTACATCTGGGGCTCACTCCAAAAGTTTCAGGTCTGAAGCCTTGACGATTTGTGGGCTTGTTGGCCCATTCATCCGCTATCCAAAAAGATATAGTTTGTCAAAATCCATCCATGTTAAGGTACATTTAGACGGAGACACATGAGAGCCATGTCGGCTGGCGCTGACAGCCCTTGCTATGGGACTTACTGCACAAAAACGAAACTGGGGGCATCATGTGCCTACATCTGGGGCTCACTCCAAAAGTTTCAGGTCTGAAGCCTTGACGATTTGTGGGCTTGTTGGCCCATTCATCCGCTATCCAAAAAGATATAGTTTGTCAAAATCCATCCATGTTAAGGTACATTTAGACGGAGACACATGAGAGCCATGTCGGCTGGCGCTGACAGCCCTTGCTATGGGACTTACTGCACAAAAACGAAACTGGGGGCATCATGTGCCTACATCTGGAGCTCACTCCAAAACTTTCAGGTCTGAAGCCTTGACGATTTGTGGGCTTGTTGGCCCATTCATCCGCTATCCAACAAGATATAGTTTGTCAAAATCCATCCATGTTAAGGTACATTTAGACCGAGACA